GAATTACCAGGTCACTGGTTTCCCGGATTTGCACGCAAATTGTTGAACGGACGAAGGTCGACAATAATAATCTCCCTTTACTGTTACAAAGGGAAAAGTTGCTTCTTTAGTTTCGGGAAAAGTACATTTCTAACAACGTTACAAACTTTGAAAATTAATAAGCCACAGCAAGTTCTTTACACATCCTCCCTATTATTTCGACTCAAAATCTCATAAAAATTAAAAAAAAAACCGACGGAAAACTATCAACCTTGAAAAAAACGATGAGACCAATAAATATAAAGCCCGCCTAATTTCTATAGCGAAAAAATTAGACAAACACCAAAACAACAATAAAATAGGTACAGCTACGAAATGCAGCGGGAAAATTGGGCGGAGCCTAGGGAGAGACCTGTTTCCTGTGGACACGCCTCCTTCTCGCTCCGCTGTCGTAACTGTTCGCTTTTTTGAGTTTTTTTTTTTCGCGGCGTCAATTGGCTGGAAAATCCAATCACGCAAGTTACAATGAACCGTTTAGGACTACCAAAAGACAAAAAGCAAGGAAAAACGATTGTAAAAGCAAAGTGTATTTGTTGCGGTTCTTTGGAGCCGCTGCTACTTCATGACTTACTTGGAAATCTTCATGACTAGCGCTCGTTCTTTCAAAATGAAAAAAATTTTTTTGGGGGCCACTATTAAGGTCAACCATCTAGACCATCTCCAGATCGTTTGGGCCAATGTTCAAAAGGTTTCAAACGCTTGTAATGAATGAGATGATCCCTATTACGAAAATTCAAGTATAATATTGATCCGTATTTTTGATGACATCAGAGAAAAAAAAAATTTGTTCGTAAGCGCAACTTTGCTAATTAATCGGCGACGGAGATGCCCATGATTGGGCGAATCGGATCAATTATGAAATCGGCCCTGTTACAGCCATTTCCTTTCTCAAAATATAGCGCCAGGGACATTCCTAAATTTCATCAAACAGATCTTCAAGCAAATCAAGCACAATTGACAAAAATGAGCTTTTTTACCCTATAAAATGAACTTAAATAATGGTAATAAATTTAAATACTGAGTGTTTTTTGAGCAATAAAATTGTATCGTTTCAACATAATTATCTTTGAAGAGCCAATTATTGATTTTAACACCAAACCATACTAATCACATAATTTTTTTTTTTTCAAAATGTTACCCGCAGAATTTCTTAATGAACGTAAATGAAGACTTTTCCGATCGCCTTTTTTTCAAATAAATAAACGTATGGTCTGTTCAAAAACTCTGCGCTGAGGCTTTTAAATGAGCATAGACGGCCTTTATATAGAAAAGAGCTTATTATATTACTTCTGCGTCTTTGAGTGCCTGCGGCAAGGATTTCTGAACAAACTATAAAACTTTTTGCTGAAATTTTGATGAAACTAGCGCCATTTGTTCGCTTTAAAACGCTTGCTGACCATTTTGTGTTTGAAACAACGTGGGAAAACAAGAAAATAAGGAAAAATAAGCACCTATCTAAGAGAGGGGCAGAAGATCGTGCAAAGATTATAGGGGAATAATGCATAAGGCCCCATCATCATAACACATTCCAGAAGGCGTCCGCAAATGATGGTGGAAAAAAACTGACAAAAGAGACCCGGTTATTTTTACTTTTTTTTCCTTTTATAAGCTGGAAGTATTCGGTTGTTCCGAGAAATATTGGGAGAGAGAAAATTCATCTTTTACAAAATGGTCGAGAAAGAAGAGTCGGCCATGAAGGTCAATCGAACTGAATCCAAAATGATCAGACATCTTTTCTTTTTTCTCCTTCTCTCAAATGTTTCAAATCAGATGAACTTTAATGAATAGTTTGCCATTTTAGGTCAATCCAATTCGCCTTTTTGAGAAATAGTTTTAGAACAGAACATCTCACTCCTTGTGTCCATCATTTGTCTCCCGATTTTTCACAGATGATATTTTTGTGAATGAAATAAATCATTATTATTAACAGAGATGAAAAAATTGCGTGGCTTAAGCTCATACATTGTGCTTCATACTTATAGTGCACTCCACTTTTTTTAATTTACGTAGAACAAGCTATTTCATTAGGAACCCTAGATAAAATAAATGAAAATTGAAGAAATTTTTATGCCTTGAAATTCGACCTATAATTTTTTTGCCATTTTATCGATTCTTTTTTTGATATTTTTCCCAATAATTATCAATTCTTTAACGTTTTTTAAAAAGTTTAGTTGCAGGGAAAAAAACTTATAAAAAAATAAGTGCGCTTAAGTATTAAATCGGAATTGAGAGGAAACTTGAAAAAAAGTCTAAATAAATTTTTTTCAAAAAAACAGCAAAAAAATAGGGTGCATGAAAAATTATGACGCGCAGTGTTAGGCATTATTAACACTTCGCTATCCTTATTGTTCAGAAAAAAAAGAAAGAAGTTTCGGTAACTTGAAAAACTCAGCAAAAAGCGAAAAGAATGCGAGAAAGCAACAAAAAGGGTAATAAAACCCAACTGGAACATACCAAACCAAAAAAGCGAGTTTTCTCGCGATGAACGAGTTACATTCCGAGGTTTGAAAGTTTTCCCGTAAAAATGTTCTGATAAATGAGTAATCAGAGAGAATGAATCAAAGCGAATGGGAGAAAAAAAAAAGAAAATGGAGCGTATTTAAACGAAATATGTGAGTAATAAAGCCCTTGTGTAAGCTGACGAAAATCATTGGTTTGTTGTAATTTTTCTATCAAAAACGAGGACAATGACAAAAAAAAGGTATGGGGCGACTTTTGTGTGTCCAGAACGGGTGGCGGTTTTGGTTTCGGTTTTTCGATTTGGGAAAAAGAAAAGACACGAATGGAACAGAAAGAAAACGGCGCGCTTCGGAATGAGGCAGTAGTTTCGGAAATGAAGCCGTCGGTCTTGGAATGGAACTGCCGACGTCGAAATATCTTCTTCTCACCTAATACTTTTACGAAGTTATACAGTACTCAAAAAAATTTTGATTTTTCTTCTGATAGAAAGCTTCAATTTCAGAAAAAAAAGCATTTTTTTGCCTTCTTCAAACTTAGTACGCTATGGAACAAAACCTAGCTTTTCTCAGGATTCACTGATTTTCACTGTTCTGAAAAAAGTTAAGGTTTTGCAGAACTAATGAAAATACAAAAAAAAATATACGGAAGTGAAAATTTTTGAGCAAAATCGAGCACATGAAATCAATTCAGTTCTGCAAAAAGCGAGTGTGAGATTTTGTGGCGATCTTCGTGGCCCCAAAGACTCTGGAATGTAGGAGAAACTGCAGAAAGAACCACAGAGACGAATTCGCAGAAACTGGTTTGCCAATTCTATTATCTATTATCAAACGGAAAATAAATTCTGACGCTATTTGTCGTGGAACGTATATTTTACTTTACTATTTTCAAATCTATGTTCGAAACGCAGTGAATTCATATATTCCTAATTTCGTAAAAAGGCATCAAAATTATTGTTTCGGAACACTTCATTCAGTTCAAGCTTTTTTTTCTGACCTGAAATCGAAAAACATTTTTTCAAAATAAGATCTGACTAGTGCTGTAGTAATAGTCGTCTTGTCCACGGGGGGGTGGTTCGATCCCAGTTGGAGGATATTATTTTTGCCGACTCAAAACTTCCCCCATTTTTCATATCTTGGTGAATTCATTATAAAAAAATTTACATCAGAAATAGCAGATTACAATCTGGTCAAAAATTTTATTGCCTCGTAATAAGGATTCGGTCATTTTTTTTTTGCTTGAAAGACTTTCAGAAGGATACTTATCAAAGATAAGCCCTTCTTGTGAAAAATTTCGTTTAAATTTCTGAAAAATTCCTATTTAGTGACATAAGGAAAGCAAATTCGCAAGAAAGAAAAATTCATTTTGATATTCCTATCGTATTATTGTGTAGGCCTAACCATGTTGGGAAATCAAACTATTGGATTCGCGCGACGAGAACGCGCATAAATCGCTATTTATATGCATTAGACTGGTCTGGGGCCAAACGAAATCAGGTGTTTCAGAGTATATATAGCTCACAAGGGAACTTTTCCAAACGTCCGGTTGCAATTTCGAAAACCTTAGCTGATATGCGCTTATTAAGAACCTTATTCCAGCACAAGAAAAAAAAAAATTGTTTCCGCGTTATGAAGTTTCAAATTTTCAAAATAACACCTTTTCCATTACTCATGCAGTTTGCGGATTTTAACGACTCTAAAATGAAATCTCTTGCAAGGAATTTTTTTTTCGTTCTGAAGTAAGGAGCCCTTAAGGTACACTTCCGCGGCATGCTTCAAAGTACGAGCGTTTACGAAAATTCCTTGGCAGATTTACAAAAAAAGACTTTCTAAATTTCAACTTTTTCAGTTTTTCAAGAACTTTTTTTCAATTTTCATATCATCCGAAAATCGACTCGACACTGATTTTGACACCACTACACCGTTTAAAAAGCAATCGGAAAAAAATTAAATTTTTTTGTTTTTTGAAAGAATAATAAAATTCAAAAAGCTTGTTTTTTTTTTAAAATTATTCTCGACAGAGAACAAAACGAGGGTCTTTTTTTAGAGACTTTCGCTTTTTGTAAACGCCCGCACTTTATAGCGTCCACCCTTCAACCAAATTTCATCAAAAGTTCTACCGGGAGCTAAAAGTTTCCATGTCAGCAGAAAAATTTTAATATCAAGTCTTATTGTCGATTTTCAAGAGCTTATTTCTTGTAATCATAATTGATAACTGCAAAACAAAAAAACCTTATGAATCCACAACCTGATCGTTTTTCGGAGCTGGATCATTCCATCGCGAAATCCGGGCTTTAAAAAAATATGAATAAATCCATCCAGAGGGTTTAAATAAAAAAAGTATTTGAAATGACAAATTGAGTTTTTTTAGAAAAAAACTTGAAAAAATTGTGAAAAAAATTTATTATTCATATCTCCAAAACCTATCAATTAGAAACAGGAAACAATAGAAGTATCATCAGAGAAAAAATATGACAGGGCTTTCAAAACTGTTTTGAAAAGAGACTAGGCAATGGAATCTTCGAGTGTCCGGAAAGCTTGATTAATGGTTTCCATCAGGTCGTCGAAATCTTTCTTGATTTTGAACTCGCCTTCAACCATTGGGTCCTAAAAAAACCATATTCCCTTGACGTGAATAAATAAAATTCATAAATACAAAAAAAGCCTTTTTTTAATTTTTCTCATACTCGATCAAAAAAAGGTGACTTTCTCCCACAATGGAATTTTTGAATGAACGCCGAGTCAGTTGACCAAAAAAATTTTTTTCTTGTACCTTGAACTTCATCGCCGACAGTTGGTACAGCAGATCGCCCATTCTTTCTCGGATCAGCGCCCAGGTCATCTAGAAATCTATACATGATCAATTTTTTTCTTCTCTACCTATTTGTTTTGAAAAAAAGCAATCAAAGTCCTTCCAAGAAAAAAAAGTTTCTTTCTCGACGCTCATTATTTTAAGAATAAAAGATGTTTCTCTGGTTTCAAGGCATTTTTTCAAAGCTTTTTCCGACCTTTTTGAATTTTTTTCTTTTTCACTTTTGCAGAAGCAAATTTGCAATGACCTATTAGAAAAGGAGAAAATCTTTAAAAAGCACTTTTACCAGAGTCGATTATTACTGAAAAAAACTTTTTTTCTTTAAGAATTTTTGTGCTGACCAGGGAATGTTCTCAGCCTACTCACTATTGAATGAAACTAGGTTCACCAGATGTAGTTTTTCACGCTGATCCCGAATCTGCGCTCAAAAGTTGCCCTAGAGACGTGTGAAAAAAGTTGATGCTCTCAAAATCGAAAAATTCAATGTCTCCGATTGAGCTCTTTTTTGGAGGTTATAAAATCTAGTTCCTGTCTCTCTGTTATTAAAAAAAACCAATTTTTTGAGAGTCTCTAACCTTTTTCACAGGCCTCGAGGGCAAGTTTTGAGCACATATCCGGAAACAGCGCAAAAAAACTACATCTAGTACACCTAGTCTCATTCAAAAGTGAGCTGAGAAAATTCCCTTGTGAGAAAAAAAAAAACCAATTTTGTCATAACATTATGACCATACCTTAGTCTCACTTTGAGCCTTCGATTCCACGGCATGTCGGGCAAGATTATAAAAACCAACCCTCAAAAAAAAAAAAATATCAGACGAAAAGTCCTTTGAATTTAATGAATTTACATATTTCGAAGCATTCCAACAGTTTTGTAGAACGGACAGAAGCGATCGTATTTGGTGTAGCCGTTTTGTTGCAGGAAATCCTCCTTGAAGTTTTGACTTTTTTTTTTGAAAAAGCTATCTTTATTCTAAGTTTTTATTCGAAATAAATTATCGTAGAAGTTCTGATCGTCTTCTCTGTTTTAACACTTCACGTATTTTCTCAGGCATTGACGGAGCGTGTTTGTTGGCTAAAGCGCGTGTCTTTTCTACTTTTCAGCTTTTTAGCTAATTAAAAAGTTATAAATTTTATATTTTTTGTGTCTGTTCATCTTCTCTCTCTGCGCTGCTCCAGTTTATACCCATTTGAAAGCGTAAAAATTCAAAATACCAAAATTTCACTTAAAAATTGTTTTTCATAACTCTCTCTTCTACATTGCTCGGAAACGCTTTGAAAAAGTAAGCAGAAGCATTAGGTAATATTATAAAACTATGAAAAAGTTATTTCAGAACTGTATTCCCATGGAAAAAAAAACGGAGAAAAAGCAGGAACTCCCGCGGGTGCGCGCTCGGTGTCTAAGTTAATTATTTTTTTTCTCGAAACCTTTTTTTGTTTGATTCCCTGTGAAAAATAGACTTTTTCAGTATTTTTCCCATTCATACCTTGATGATTTTTGCCACTTCCAGTGTAATTTTGTCCGCTTCACAGAGCGACGCTTTGCCCACGAGCTGAACGATCTCCGACAAGTCTTCTTCTTCCTGGAGAATTTCCTTGCACTTCGTCCTCAAGTTCACGAAATCCGGGTAATGATTCTCGTAGAACTCTTCCAGTGCTCGCATATATTTGCTGAAACCGAAATAATCATTCAAGTTTCGTTAAAAAGTAGCAACATCTTCTAATATGAAAAACCATTATCAAGAGGAAGAAAACTATTCTTTTTAAAGCTATTCGAGTCTCAGTTTTGCTGGAAAAAAGGAAATGGACGACATAGCTGTGCTTACTTCTGACAAGGGAAGTGAGTTAGGTGAACATTGCAGATCTGGTTCAAACTTGTGTGGTAGACAGTGTAGGTATGAGTACCCAGGAAAAAAAAAAGTCTGCTAAGCGCCATATGGTACTTCGAAATAGACTGTAAAAATATAAGCTCAAAAACTGATTTTCTTTAGTTTCTCGATTTCTAAAACGTCTACTGCTATTCACCATATTATTGACGTGAGAGACTCCACAAAAACCCAAAGAAAGTTCGTTTTTGAGCTTTTTCTGTGCTACATCGGCTGGATCACACCACAGCCTATTGCGCGGGAAAAAAAAAATTTAGATCCAGACGACGTATGTTTCCTGTACATTTTGACAGGCTATTCCTCAGGACTTTATGGCACTTAGCAGATAATTCTATTTATTTCGAATACACATAACTGAGACTACCTCCCACAAAAGTTTGGACCAATTCTGAGATGCTCATTTCAAGCTCTTTCTCCGTGAGTCGTGGTAAGGAATGCCACAAGTTTTACCAGCCGTGCTTCTACGGTTTTTTTAACGAAGGCGAGACCTCGCGTTATCACGTCTGGTTCACCCTCATCAGTATGAGAATACGAGATTTAAAATTTTGAAAAACACGAGGTTCGATTTTGAACTTTCTTTTTCCTGCTAAAAATGTTCCCATTTTAACGCGGACCCCGCAACCGAGCGGGACAAACGCTGAAGCAGAAGAAGCTAAAAATGTTCCCATTTAAATAATCAAAATCTCCGTGAAAAAACATTTCATTAAAAAAAAACCTGTAAGAAATCAACCAATTGATAGAAGGGAAATGTTTCCTTTGGGCCAACTTCTTGTCCAACCCCCAGAAAACCTGTCGAAAAGTTGATATTTCCAAGGAACATTTTCAGAGGTCAGGTCACCTGGACGATTCCAAGAGTTGCTGACGTCACCGGATCCGCAAAATCTCCGCCAGGCGGGGAGACTCTAAAAAAATTAGGGAACTGTTTCAGTTTTTTTAAACTTTTTAAATGAGCCATAATACTGGTTTTTTTGAGAAATATAACGAAAAATATTTTTTTTTTCGACTTTTTGGAGAAATTCTTGGCGTGGCTTAGGCTTAATTCTTAATTCTCAATCCTCAATCTCAATTTCACGAGCGCCAATATGTCATTTATCTGCTTTACTATAGATTATAATTTTCGAAACAAAAGACTGACGCTCCAACGATAGTGACGGATCCTTCTCGACTGGGACTTCCGAGGCAATGGACTCGCCCAGCCCTTTCATAAAATGAGGCAAGCCTGGCAGCCAAGTAGGCCGGGTACCCGGAATCTGCTGGCATTTCACCAAGACGACCTGGAAATAGATGAAAAAAAGTATGCTATGGTATAAGGCTGCACGACAAAAAGTTCTTGAGGGTTGAAAGACTAGTTTATCTTTTGAAAATGAACATTTTCAACTATTTCTCAGGCGTCACCCATCTGTGGAATAAGCTGGCTACACGGGGAAACCTTAATGTTTCTACAGATCGTTTCAGGTCACGTTTATTATCCCTCGATAACCATTTCCTTTTTGAATCTATTCCTAACAGACTCTTTTAAATCGTTTGTCCGTGCTTTTACCATACGTGGGCCAAGCCACTTTTAATAGTGACGTCCCCCAAAAAAACGTCGGATTTTTCCCAATCATTGTAATACCCGACTTTTTTTGACTTTTTAATCCATGAAAATTCGTTTTTCCAAATTATTTTTAATAGTTAGAACATTTTTTTAAGTGAATCTTATCACTGACCGGTGATAACCGGAAATAATGGAACAATTCTGGAAATGCGAATTTTTTTCGATCCGCTTTTTTTGAAGAGCTTACATATCGTTCTATAAAAGCTAAAAAATCAAAGGCTAAAGGGGGAGGGGAGTGGGGAGGCTTTAGCCTAATTCTAATTCAATTAGTAAATTATTTTTCTTTTTTTGCAACTCATATACCTTCTCCTGTGCGCTATACTTTGTGACAACTCTATCTGCTTTTTTTCTATTTAATTTTTGTGCCAACTTCAATTCTCAATTTTTTCCTCATCATCTTTCTTCACTGGCTCAGAGGCTTGTAAGGCTCTCAATGCCCTTTATTTATTCATTTCGTGCTTAAATGCCAATTTTTACTTTTTAAAACCATTCTTGTACATGAAAAATTGTTGTCTTCGAATGACAATTATTAAATAACATGCCCACTTGACAGATGCTTTGAATTTTCGACAAGGTCCATTTTAACAACGTTTTTCAAAGAACTGAACCAAGTGACTTCTTTTTGTCGCATCAGACCCACAAAAACCAACCGGAAATCTCTCGCAACGCCTCGGCCCACCTAGAAGTCGAATCGGCCATCATCGCCACGTTCAAACCCATATCGCGAAAGTATTCGGCCAATGTGATTCCTTGGTTTTTATTTTTATTGAACCATGTCTCGTCAATCAACCTGTATAAATGGAAGCTTCTCGAGCTGCCACAGGCATATTTGAAGTATTGGCGACCAGCGTCGTCCTCTTCATTATTGACGTTGTTTCGCCCTCCACCTGCATTGTCAGCTCCGGAAAATCTCGCAGAACCTGGTGTAAAAAAATTGTATTTGAAAAATACGACGGTCTTTGAAAAGACGCCAAAAATTGAGCTTGCCAGTAGAAAAAATTTATAAAATTTTAACCGTTGAAGCAGAAATAAAAAAAATTACGACTCAGCGTTTTTTACGCGAATTTTTGTGTTTGTCTCTGATCCTCCAAAATTTAGTTATCTTTTCATCCGCGGAAAGTTAGCTTGATATTTGATCACGCTATGGAAACTCTTTGATTCCTGGGGATAACACAGATTTTTGGTCCTTTAAAGACTTATTAAACGTTTCTAAACAGATTATATTCAGTGTAATTTGATGAAGTCGACCGAAAAAGGAGATAAGTTAATGGTGAACACCTGACTTCAACTAGTTATCATCTAACAGTTATGAAAAAATAGTTTTTGGAACTTTTAGGAAATTTTTTTCATCCTACCTCTGACATTTCATTGCCCCGTTCTCCACACCCAACATAGATGATAGCGTCTGAATTGGAGTATTTCGAAAGGGACTGCGAAATGACGGTTTTTCCGCAACCGAAGGCGCCGGGAATCGCTGTCGTTCCGCCTTGAACACACGGAAAAAGAGCGTCGAGAACTCGCTGGCCGCAGAGCAGCGGATGATTGGCGGCAAGCTGAAGTCTACTGTCTTTTCTTTTTACAAATATGGAGTATGGTGAAATGTGGAGTATTTTTTTTGGTTTTTCGTCTATTTTTTTTGTTAAAGACGATTGTTTTGACCTGAAATTTCAAAGAAGAAGAAGAAGAAGAAGAAGAAGAAGTTTGGAAGAAGATCATAATGAGTGGTTTAGACAAACTGATCAAGTGTATGCCCCAAACATGCTGTTATCAAATTCAAAGGCTATGCTACGAAGTATTAGATCTGTTTTATTTAATTTATTCAAATGGAAGTCATTTATCACGGTTAACTGGCTTGGTGAATTTTTTTATTCAGTAGATCATGTTTTTTGCGACTTGATATCTATACAAAAAATATTTTCATCAAGTTTATTTCTGAAGCCGGTTTAAACCATTATTTCAAAATGTCATTAACATCCTTTTAATAAATAAGTTAAAATTTCATATCGAAATGATTGTTTTTGACAAAGTTACGGACGAAAAACCAAAAAAATACTCACCCATCTTCGCCACAGTACAGCACATGAATGCTTGTGCAAAAATCTTTTTACTTTTTAAAATAATTGAAGAAAAGTTATCTTTCCAATAAATTCCTGGGCGATCTCAGACTATGGGAAAGCGTTTTGAACCAAAGGAACACGAATCTATTTTTAAAAAAGCTGTTCAACTCGACAGCCAAAAAAAAAAAAATTGGATTTCATTTTAATCACGCTGTTGTAATTGTCACACAAGGAGCGATCAATTTCCTCAAAAATTCCGTTTTTTTTTTTTACCTTTTCAGCCACGGGCCTCGGGACTCGTACCGGCCAAACTTGGACCATCGTAAACCTTTGCGTCTTTCCAGCAAAGTCTACCTCGAGCAGAACGTCCTAAAATCTTCTAAATCTCAATTTTTCTTACCAAATCAGACCTATTATGGCATGCTGGAAAAGTGGGCTCGGTCGCTTTTTTAAAGGGGCCAAGTTTCGACAAACCAAATATTGGCGGCACAATAAGTGCGAAATAGTGTTTGTTAAGTTTTGAAAGAATTAAAAAAAAAAGAAATTCAGAAAGAAAAGCGAATTTTTGTAAATTTAATGACCAGATTTTCTTTTCCAGCATGCCCTTTTTATATTATTAAAATTTTTTGGGTTGTTGGAAAAAAATTCCAAGACTTGCGGCTCGCCCTTAAAACCTCGACAGAATAGCTGCCAGACGGCGCGGCATAAGTGATGGTTCCACAGGCGTTCGGTGGCACCATAATCTTATGCTTAATCATTGTGTTTTCAGCCACAACGCCAATTATATCGCCTCCTTCAAAACTTCATTTTTTATAGTTAGGAAGAATTGATATTATTCAACCTGCAACATGAGCTCCTACGATAACTTCCGGCTTGATTTTGTAATCCCATCGAGCCGAACGAGAAAGGGCCTTTGTTGAAATTCCTAGTAGTCAAATTTTATCAAAATATTGTTCAGAAAAGAAAACAGATCGAGCTTCAGAAGCTCTATTAAGATTTGAAACAATTAGTAATATATCTCCATTTTTCCATAGAACGACGGATTTAAATTTAAAAAAACACCTTCCAACTCGTTTAAACCACCAGCAAACCTTTAGGTAAGTAAATTGAATCGGTCATCTCTGCAATATCTTTCAAAGGCCTTTGAATTCCGTCAAAAATTGATCCCATGATTCCAGGACCAAGTTCGACAGATAGTGGTTTTCCCGTGCGCAAAACTGGATCTCCAATCGTCACGCCAGCTTGAAAGATATTTTTTTATTAGTTTATTATGATAAAAATATTGAAACTTACAAGTCTCTTCATACACCTGAATTGTTGCGAACTCGCTCTCCAAACGGATAATTTCACCAACGAGCTCTTGGTGTCCAACTCGGACCAATTCGTACATAGCAGAACCAGCCATTTTTTCAGCAGTCACAACTGCAAATTGTTGTAACTCTATTAAAAACGGTTAAAATTACCTGGCCCAGATACTCCGCACACAAGGCCATATTCTATTTCATTATGACCGTCCCTCATATTTTTTATTTCCTGAAAATTAATTTTACAAAAAATGAAGAAACAAAAAAAGATTAAAAAGAACAACAACGAGCAAAACAAGATTCTTTCGAAATTGCTATTACGCAACACGCTCCACGTGTTTTTGAGGTCGTGGATTTGCCTTATTTTCATGGCGTTCAGAGATAGTCCAAAAAATCCGAAATCAGAGAAAAATAACTGACTTTTTGGAGAATCAGAGTGAGATTTGCATTTCGCGGAAATTACTTCGAACGCGGTTTAAGAAAAAAAAAATTTCCATTTCGTTCAGTTCAAATTCGCAACAACAAAAAAATTTAACGCAAATTTTTATACAACGTATACGTTCCAACTCCGCCCAGATTTTTCACACTGATCAATGAAAATCTAACTTCACAATTAAATCAAAAATGAAAAAAAAACGATTTTTAAACCATGTTTGAATGATTTCGCGAAATAGGTGAAACTGAAACTCTGAATGCCTTCAAAAAATTGGGTCTATATATACATCAAGATAGCGACTTACGAATTTCGAGAAATTATTTAGAACACGGCATCAGGTATAGTCAATTTTTGCCAACTTGAAAGGCGAGGCCTTGATTGACACGGGCGAAGTGTTGCGTATGCGACGCGGCTTTTAGCGGGAGCACGAGGTCGAACGTAATCATGTAAAGAATTTAAAGAAAACATAAAAACATTAGAAAATCTTGAAAAACTATCAAGAAAGGTGGCTCGCATTTGAACTCGGGTTTCCCGCCAAAAACCGCACCGCTTACGCAACGCTTCACTTTTGCCATTCTAGCCTTCCTGTCGACAGTCTTGAACTTCCTTTTGTGGCGTGCGGCATGTCTTTGTGCATGCGATTTCAATATAACAGACATTTTAGACTAAATACAAGGGGCATGAACAAAGACAGGCCTCGCTCAGAAGATCTTCGAGGCGAAGCTTCCGGGAACGCTTCTTCGGCTCGGAAGAAAATGAAAATCGTGACAAGCAGGGACATACCATTTCTGTTTTCATTATTTTTTTTATTAGTTTTTTTTCCGCGCGAGACGGTTACGTTGTAAATTCCGCGTTCAAATTGGAATTCCGAGCAAACAAGTTTTTAACCGTTTTTTTTTTTATCTTGGCGTGCTTTTTTGTGAAAAGAAAGCAAAAACGAAGGTTCTTGCAGTTTTTGTAGAGCAAACGTGCAAAAAAGCTGTATTTATTTTTTTAACCAGTAAAACTTTCACGTTTTTTTCAACTAAATTGAATGAACGTTTCGGGAATTTTTCGCAGTAGTTCTGGAAAATTACTTCTTTATATAAAATGAGCTGTCAATCAAGCTCACGTACTCCTATCGCAACTCAAAAAAATTTGATAAGACTGTCCAGGCTGTCCCGTATTTTTGGTGAGTTCTCGTGATTTGTATCCGTCCATTCATTATTTTGATGTCTAATCTCCCAGATTTCTGAAAACAATTTTTAGAGAATCTAAAAAATGCCATACGATTTGAAGTCGAAGTTTGACGAAGAAGAGGACCCTGAGTTGCTGGCCGAAGCGGAATTGGCAAAAACGGATCCTAGTTTTGCAAAGAAACCGCAGACTCCAGCCAAAATCGTCCAGAGTGCAGCGAGTGGAGACGCCGTTGTCAAGCCGGAGGATAAAACTTTTTAAAGGTTAACTATTTCATAAAAAAATTATGAAAATCACCCGAAGAAGACTTTAGCCAAAAAGCCCAAATCGGTGAACCAGGCTAAAGGCTTGCGGAAGCAGCGACAGCGCGGTGTCAGCGGCTGTTCGAGCAGAAAGTGTAGGTTTTTGTTATTAATGTCACTCTTTCTCGATTCAAGCTTTCCGTAAAGAATATTTTTATTTGGTTTTTCTAATTTTTATATACCAAGATATAGTATAGGTACGCCGGCCTCTGCATTCCTCTCGCAACACGGTGTTTTTTTTTTTGACGGCGCCCCGCCTACTTTTTCCGTAAAGTGTCGGGTGTTGTGTGCAAACACTACGGCGCTCATAATCAGAAAATTGCGCCTCTAGATTTAAAAATCGATTCTTCTCATGACCCAAGTTGATGTTTGCCGCTTGCCCCTTTAATATGCTCCATTTTTCACGGTCGGATATCTCCGTCCCCTTATTTTTGGTTTCGCAATTTCTTTCACTAGCATAAACGCCCTGGAAACGAACTTTTTGGAAATCGTGATAATGCGAGGGAAGAAAACAAGACGCTGCGGCGTCAAAAACGACCAGCTCCCTCGCTCTTCTATCGACATAAATAATTTTTTGTTTTCAGACTCGGGTATCGACATGGACATGGATTTCGATCTCGAGCACGACGAAGAAGAAGAAAATGACGAATACGATGACTACGATGCTTCAGAAAAGTACGAATACGATGAGCAGGACGAGACTTTTGTCGATTCGATTGTCGCATTGAAACTCTCTCCGAGAAAACGTGCTGATACATCTGATTCGGCTATTTCGAGTGTAAACTTGAGTGAGAGCCAAAAATGAAAGGAGGAAAACGTCGTTTTTTTCTCAGTAATTTTTGTGGGGTATATGAAATGAATGAAAAGAAATTTTTTTTCGATTTGTATAGACATTCTAATTGGTCTTTTTTTTCACAAACCGAAGACCAGGTTTAAAGCAAAAGAAAAGTTCGCGCTCATTTCGATACGGGATTTTTTTTTGGTTTCATTTTTCTAGTGTATTTACCTCATAAAATGTATATTGTTGGTTTTTTTATAAATTCATTTTTTGTATAAAATTTTCTTTCCTTCACGTTTTTGAAATTTCTTTTCATTTTTGCTGGTAATGTTTGTTTTTGTTACGTTTGATGAATAAATTTCGACATACATTATTTGAGATCGAATGAAAAAAAATTTGACAAATTCAACAAAAACAAAAAAAGAACCTAGATTCTATCTTTTTTAAACTTTTTTTGAAAGTTCAACAAAAAATTGTTAATACCAATAAGTAGGGCCAGGTTTTCTGTTATCAGCAATTCCGCACTTTTCCTTTATTTCGTCTTCGAAAGAAGATAAAGTCGGCGTGTAGGTTCTTTGCAAGACCAAATCCGCTGGCGTGTCCTTTTCCCTCTACTTCTGTAATTGAAACAGAAAATAAAAAATTTAAAATACTTTGTTTCATTCGACTTTCGCTTTGAACTACTATCTCTCGAAGTACTGTAATTCTATCTAAAAACCCTCTCTTCCAGATTTTGTTCGTGAAATTCGAACATTCACACTCATTCCTCACCAATATAATTCTCCGGCTGGACATAATCATAGGTGACGTAAGCTTGAGTAGGGACAGGGATTTCGTATCCGCTTTTCAGTGAAACTCGAATGTACTCGTCCCCCTTGCCGTTCAGCTGCCATCTCAAATTTTTATAATTTGAGGGGAAATGAAAAAAAAAACGAAATTACTTCGCTTCGCAGGGCTCTTCATCATTGGGGTCGACGAGCATCACGTGTTTTTTATCGACGGAAAGCGGCTGTTCTTGCCATCTTCAAAGTTAGAAATGAATGGACGGAATAAAGATGAAAGGATTCTATGGTTCAAATTAACTTCAGAATACCAAAATTTCTCAAATTAGAGTCCCTCAACGCACGTGCTTTGTTTTTTTCCTGCCGTATAAAAAGTAATCTCGGCGATTTCCAAAATGACGCGTATATTCCGTTTAAAAAGATTTACGACATACGAAAAATTTGAACTTAGGCCGGCCTAAGTTCAAACTTTTCAAAGAAACTCGAATGTACTCGTCGCCCTTGCCGTTCAGCTGCCATCTCAAATTTTTATAATTTGAGATGGCAGCTGAACGGCAACGAGATGGCAACTTTTAAGCGCCAATTTAAAATTTTGGTCGAAATAATGTCGAAAAAAAAGTCGCTCAAGGAAAAAAAAAGTTTATATGGATACGTATTTCTGTACGAAGAATTTAGTTTTTACAAAATTTCAAATTTGAAAATACCAATCAGAGGTCCATTTTCCTGTCTGAAATCACCTGAAAGTCTTGTCAACGCCGTATCTTTCACTATTTTCCATGTCCTCGCCGAGAATCGTATGCAAACCATCTACCAGTACCTCGAAATTGATTCAGATAGTCATCGAGTTTTCGAGAACTTAAAAAAACCTCATTAGTGTCCCTGGAAACGCTCAAAATCGTTCCTTGTCGCCCCTTATCCTTCCCCACCATAACCTGAATTTTTATTTCGGTTAATAAATAGAAAAATGCGGGATTTGAATGAGAAGTGAAGCTAACTTGAACCAAATCTCCAGGAAAGAATGTCCATTCAATATCAGGCAAACGTTTATTTTTCAGGGCGTCGAAGCTTGAAAAATTGGTTTCCTAGCCTGAAAATGCTTTTTTATTTAATGAAAAATAAAAAGAAACTGAAAATCAATGACTTCTTTCATATTTTTGCGTTAAAAACAGAAATATGTCTTTTCCTACAAACCTTTCGCTTTCCTGATGTGTAAAGCTAAAAACTGCAATAAAATTTTGTAAAAAAATCACAAAAAAATATTAAAGTGAGTTCTCTTCAATGTAACCAACTTCCATTTTCGTTCTATAGGTGTTCTTCAAAAATAATTTTGATTTATATTTTCAAACTGACATTGCGGATCGATATTTATCAGCCCGCTCAAGACTTTCTTGAAGTTTTCTATCCTCCCAAGGTCTTTTGTGCGTTGGAACGTAGTCTTCTGGATGAAGTGTCCACGATGTAATCGCAGGAGCGCCAAATCTACAAAATATTTTAAGTTTCGAACAAATCCCTGCATTTTCATGCAAAAATAATGAAAAAATCCCAAAGAGCCATTAAAAGCTTCCAGGCCTTCAACGAGAGAACAAATCTTTCAAAAAATGTATGCAAAAATTTTCTTCCTAGCTCTCAAGTGAGCTCACTTTTCAAAATAAAAAAAAACTTTCCATTATTTTACAGCCGTAACTTCTTTTTATAATATTTACCGTTTTTTTCTTTCCTACCTTTTTTACATCCTCGATAAGAGCCTATCTTTAAAAAAGCCATGAAACGTCACTATGAAAATCTCTTTGAAGTCAAGAATAAACTAATTTTTGATTCGAAAAATACACAATTTTTAATTTCTAACAAACCTCTCATCGAAAACTTTGCGAGGAACGGTTCTTTTCATCCGTTCAACGTACTCTTTGGGCATGTGACGAGCATAATCGAGCTCTGAGAACGGCTTTCTTGGAAACCGAAGAACTCTCGAGGTAAACATTTTCTTCAAATAAGTTGTTATATAGCAAAATTGAGCGGTGAAAATGTGTAAAAACTTTTCGAAAAAAAGACGAAAACATACAATGAAGGCCGACTCAAACAAGATATCTTGAAAAAAATGTTGGCATGGTTATTTTTTTTTACACTCTCTGGAAGAAAAAAATCACAAATATGATTTTAAAAAAAAATTTTTTTTAATCGATAGATACCATGGCATGTTACCCTTAAAATCATTTTGTGAAAATATCTAAAAAAAAAATTCATTGATTATATGTACAAACACACGAATCCTTGAAAATAAACAATATTGTGACAAAAAACCGCTTGAGGAATGTCTAAAAAAACCGAAAATCCTCAAAGTTAAAAAATAAACTATGAAGTTAAATATTCTCTTTAGAACAAGAAAATTATGCCAGGAAGAAGATTTGCACAGCAAAAAAAGATCGAACATTATGCAAGAAGCGAGGAAGAGATTGATATCGATATGCAGATAAAACAATTATTTTGAAACCCATATACAATTGTATTCTAAAAGACCTATTTCCGATGATTGTATTGGCACACGATTGGGCGGATGACAGCTATTTGAAAAAAAAATTATTATATTAAATAAGGATAAATGTGATGAGAGCTATGTAAATTTTATGAACAGAATCTCCAAGGCTTGACTTCTCTTACCTTATAACTAGAACTCATTTACATCTTCCTTTTTTTAATAGAATTTTTGGTTTGTCTGAGGCTATTTATAAAAGAAAATATTAAAAAAATATTAAAAAAATGAGCTATTTTATTATACACCCTTTACATTTTTAGGAAACCTCTCAAGAGTTCGTTAGTAAGATTCACAGGTCTTTTTTTCTTAATGGCGAAAATTTATTTATCCCAATCCGACGTCCATGCACATCATGACGAGGAACCCGACGATGCAGCCAATCGAGGCCAATTTCCCGTTTCCGTTGCGCTGCGCCTCCGGAATGATGTCGTCCACAACGACGTAGATCATGGCGCCTGCCGCGAAGGCCAGGGCGTACGGCAGCACCGGCTCCATGAAGATGACGGCCGCCGCTCCTAGCAGCGCGGCTATCGGCTCGACCATTCCCGACAGCTGTCCGTACCAGAACGCCTAAAAATATTATCTCTTTGAAAGATTTGTAAAAATACGTGGGCTACGACCACATTTAACTCCAGTTTATTGTAACAAAAAAATGTAGAAAAAAGTAGTTCCAAATTTTTTCTTAAATATTGATTCATTCAACTTTCCCGACATTTTATAAAATAAATTATTATCGAAAAACTGTAACCGGGAGGGAGGCAATCCTGTAATTTTCTCCTCAATATTTTTCTCAGCCGCTTCAAACGCATAGTTTTGTACTTTAAACCCAATTTTTTTTTCTCACCTTGAGCTTTGAATGCCCAAAAGCAGCCAATGGGAGGGACACGGCAAGACCTGAAGATGGAGGGTGAGCAATGAACAAATAATTTTCTTAACCTTCCGGAAAATTCTGAAGTCCGATTCCAATCGCTAAATTGAAGGCCGATTCAAAAGTGGCGGACGGAGTTCGGCCCACGGAGCCGAAGCCGACACCAACCGCCAGACCCTGAGATGATAAAGTTGGGATTACTCGATTTGAGCTATATCAAACCTCTGGAATATTATGAACCGTCACAGCCAGAATAAGAAGCAAAATTCGGCGCCACGAAGTTCGCATGTCATCCAGTGTTGTCCCCTGGAAAAAATAATTTCAAAATCTCTCTCAACAAAAATTTGAAAAAGTACATTTCGATAATTTATTTGAAAAGGTAAATACAAGGACTTACAAGGAAGGTAATTTTACTTTGTGGTTCAGAATTTTCTGGAAATTATTTGGATAGTTCCGTGATGTAACAGATGAGTCTCAACCTGCATAATTTCCTAGCTTTCGAAGGACACCTCCAAGTCAAAGAAAACCCTCAAAACTCGGATGAACAGGACTTTGGACTTTGAGCCTTGAATTTTTCCGAAACAAAGAAGTTGTGCAGGCTGAGACTTTCAAAACCTACTCGTGGTACATCACGGAGAGTTATGGACATTTCGAAGGAAAACTCTAACCTCAAAGCAAAATGACTTTCCTTTTTAGTATAGTTTCGAACTAAGCCCAACCAAGTTTCGAAATTCTAAATCTTTCGTCTAAAAAGTATTTCGAAATATTTTCTTGAATCTATCCACCTGAACAACGTCCGGTTTCCCATGATGACTGGTTTCCGAGCTCAAATGTCGTTCCTCTTCATTTACCGGACTGAATGTTTTAGAAATATATTGAAAGCCACACACTGCATACAAAAACATGCAAAGTAAGGAAAAGGGAGAAGAAATTTCGAGTTTTTTCTCGAAGAAGGTATGAAGTCAAAGCAAACAAGGAAAAAGCGCACTCAAAATTTGAATCTTCCTGGATTCAAGCTTCAATTTTTTTTTTTTCAAAAGATAACAACACTTATCAACATTCCGAAGCCTTTCACCTGCACCAGCCCTGTTTTTTTTTTCCGAAAAAAAAACGCGAACAAAAAATACGGCACAAAACAAAAAAATATTTCAAACAAGCATCAAAGATTTTCAAAAATTTGAACCTAATTTTCTAATTTTTTGAAAATCAAAATGTCTTGATTTTGAGATTTCGATTTTTTGAAAAAACAAACATGAATTTCCTACTGGCAGTGTTAACACGAAGCAAGCCGATCAAAAATAAAAAGAAGTTGAAAAGCATTTGTAGGTACGCTCTTTTAATGCCGTCTTTAAAAGCTTCAAATTGATTATAAATTCAAAGTTTCTGAAGTTTTGACGCATTTGAAAAATAATATCGACCTTTTTTCGGGTGCGAGATTTTCTCTAGTGCCTTCTGATCAGAAATGAGCAGAGATTCGCAAAAAAAAGCGGAAGAGAGAAATTTCAGAGGCATAAAATTCACTTCTTGATGTTGTTTCAGAAAATTCTAGAGAGTAACCTGTCCCAATTTCATCAATTTATTGAAATTCGTCTTTTGAGCCTTTTCAGAGAAAATTTCGCCTACAGCCTCTGCCCTTTTTAATATACCGTCTACGAAAAAAAAATGACGAGGACATAGAAAAGACAAGAAAAGACGAAAATAGGAGGAACAGAGGCCGGTGGGGGTGGAAGACGACAACGAAGTTTTTTCTGATGTTGTTGTTGAGTATGATGATGGGCGAGTGCGGTCTCTCCTCACCTCGGGTCGACGAGCCGTTTGCGTCGGCGCGCCGGCCCTCCGTCAGTCGCGTCACTCAAACCGTACCGTGCGAGTGCCGCGACGTCCAGGTCTTCGCGTCGTTCGTGCGACATCAGCGACATCTCAGTGTCACGCGACGCCGACGGCGACGGCTTCAACAGCTCTGCTACCGCGTCTTCGCCAGTTATACAGCTGAAAATGGGGTACATGATGAAAAAGCTGCGAAAATCGCGCCGTCCCGCTGTAGAGCCAACGAAAAAAAATGATGCTATGAAAAAAAAGTCGGCGAAATTTCAAAAGGCGACTTTTCCTATTTTTTCGTATCGCTAGGGAACTTTCCGACGGCCAACTATCCGCTGAATCCCTTTCCGCCCATTTTTTTCGGTTTATAAAACATCTATTAACATTTTTTCCTATTTCTTTATGTTTCAATCATGAACCAACTACCTACTTTATATAGGAAGATTCAAAACAAAGAGTTTATCGAGAAAAAAAGATTCAGAATCATGTTTCTGTGTCTAACCTAGATCATATAGGGTCTTTTTTGCGAGAGACACACATTTATTTACTTATTTCGGGAAAGAAACGAATTTCTTGTGACAAGCCTCCCAAACGATTGAATAGCAGAAAAATGAAAAAATTATTAATATGGATCTGTTCTAAAGAAGACTCAGCAATAATTTCAAAGTAGATTTTACATTATAAAGAAGCTGAAATAGAATATACAAGAGAGTTTGATAATTAACAGTTCCAAAAAAACATTAAAAAAATAAATGAAATACAATTTTTCAAATTTCCGGCGTTGTTCCGTGGACCCAGAGGTGGAGAAATGGCGCCCCTAAGCGTTTTTAAACGTTTACATTTCAAAACCGACGTAGGCCGCCATGTCATTTCTTAATAAGTCGCTGCCCAGGGTGCCCGGGGCCAAAGCCGCGATGGCAAAAAACGCCATTGGAAGAAAAAATACGCGAAAAAATTAGTATTTTCAAAAATTTTCAAAATCGTTGTTTTCGAAGCTTCTAAATTAAAGGTTATTTGAAAATTCTGATTTTGTAGCGGCGGAAATTTCTTCTCTCAGCGGATCCCTAACCATAAATCTGAAACTTTTCGCCTAAAGCAAGAACAAATATGACCACACTCCACATAGAAGTTTTAACTGGACATCATAACCACCAAACATTTAAAAAGATAGTCAAAAATTGCGAATACTAAGATTAAATGAAAAAATTAATATAAATGACAATTTTCGCCCAACGTTTGCCACGTGGTATTACACGCCATCGAAACATAATGACGCGGCTCATTTCATCTCAGGGGCCTGATGGCTGAGGCGGGCATGTTGCGCCCGGGAGGGCCCTTCATTTCTTCCACCTCTGCGTGGAGCGCATTTTAAAAACAAACTTTAGCACACCCTGGCGAAATTCGCGACCTTTATTTCTTGTCGACGATTCTCCCTGCAGCTCATTTGTATTCGGCTATCTTTTCACGGCTTTTTTCGCGATTTTTCCTTCACTTTGAAATCGCTCAAGCACTTTTTGGAAGAAAACAATTTTTTGCCATTTTGTAGAGAAATGTATCATGTTTTTCATTTTTCTTTTCTCAAATGTAAGGAGGCTCAAAGTAATCAATGATTTCGTATCAAATTGGTCTTAGCTTTCAGTTACTTCTAATAAAAATTCACCAGATGAATTTCACAACCATCAGGAGCCATTTCGTGATAATCGTTAAAAAATGGCAGTTAGCCTCATTCAGAAGTCCTACTGTGAGCTCAAAGAGTTCTGAAAAGGATAAAATGATAAAAATGATCTGAATAAGCTTGGATACAGATTCGGGCAAACTATAAATGACTGTCTGAAAGGGGAAAAATGATTTAGTTTTGGATATTCAGAAATCATCGTTACTTTGAGCCTTCGATTTGAATGAAAAATTGAGAAAAACTCACGCAGGGAGTAACCGATCAGCAAAGTGGACGAAAGCGGCTCCTACGGCGAACCCCAGAGCAACAGGAAGGAAAGCTAGGGATTTGTGGTCGACCTCGGCGATTTCGATCGCCGGCGCCAGCAACGACCAGAACGACGCTGCCGTCATCACGCCAGCCGCGAACCCCAAACTCACGTCTACAAACGTCATAATCATGAATATAGAAGCGGTGAAAAGCAATATTGTGAAAATATCCAATTTCGTACATGGGCTAACAGGGTGTTTTTTTTATCACTTTCGTGCCCCCTATTGATTCAGGTGGTTTTCTAAGCCGCTGAAAAGGTATCCAAAATACTTATCGAGCTTGTATATTAAAGTATCATTGTCTATATTTTTTCCTGGCTCCGATTTGTCGATAAATCAACGTATAATCGTAGAAATTGCGTCATAAAACAATTCGAAAAACATTAAATCGACCTGAATTATAGTTCTAATGTTGCCTATGGATGAATTATACGTGCTCATCAAATTTTAGGCTGTTTGGAAAATTTAAAAACCAATAAATTTCCGATCCCAAGAAAATTATTTCAGGAAATTAGCAGTTCTTGAACTCACAATCAATATTTAACTCGTATTAACCCTATAGAGGATATAAATTTTGAAGTAACATTCTTTTTTTTTTAATTTGTTTCTTTTCCAACGAAAAAAACGCCGGTCAGGAAAGTTTTTTTCATTTATTTTGCTCAAAAACAAATATACATTGTATAGAATAGATATAGTTGAGCGGAAAAGAGCCCGATATGAAATTAGGTGGGAGCCTTGTGTAATTATATTTAATTTCCGTAAATTCTTAAAGTCAAAATCGACACCGTCGCAAAAAAATCTAGATTATTTGCATTCAAATAAAAATTAGACTATTTTTCAAAATGATATACAACAAAAAAATAGAAAATTTTTAAACAGTATAAAAATAAAAATAAAATGAGCGACTTTTTCAATTCAAAAAATATTAATTCTGATACTTAAATTGGCTTATTTTATTTAAAAAAAACGAAGCGAAATAAATGAGCGAGATTTCTGAACTTTTCGAATATAGGAAGCTAAACCAAAATCGAATTTTTCAGTTTACTAAAAAAAGCTTTGAGAAAAATACATAAAAAAATGTATTTAAAACCGAAAAAAACGAACCAAGAAGCTTTTTTTGCTTTGATGTTTCATCACAAAAACTAGTGAAGCGCCGAGCGCCGTAACGCCCCAAGTGAACGTAGCGGCGAGCAAAGCTTGCCAGATCGGGTTTATCTCGCGTATCATCTGTAAATGTAGTTAAAATTTGACAAATAACAGTTTCTCGTTTAAAAAGAATTGATCTGAAAAGATCTAAAACCAGAAAACAGAACAAGAAAGTCTGTCCAGACTTTTGAGGTTTCAATATAAAGCATAGCAACGAACAAAAAGCTTTCAATGCGTCTTGTCGCAAGGAAAAAAAAATGTTTTCCTTCGCCATAGAAACGGCGGAAAGAAAATAAAAGGAATTATTCGGAGAAAAGAGTTAAGACAAATTCAAATCTTTGTGGCTTCTTTTTCATACTGAGAAATACTGAATTAAAAAGTAATTAAGTGGAGTATGAAAGACCAAAAATTCTAATAGTATCTGAACTTTTTCCAAGTTTCATGCAAAAGAAACGAAATTTGATGTCTCCTCCCCACGAAATCAAAAGAAAACCCTCGTTTTTTTTTTCTTGTGAGAAAAAAAAAGTCTGAAACCCAAAAGTGAGAGAAAGAGAAGAAACTATACCTCCACGTTTTTGTTTATTCATCGGCCGTATTCCGACGCCAGCCGAAATGACTGGGTGAACGCAGATAAGAAGCTTACCGTAAGCCGAGTAAAAAATTTAAAATTTCTTCAACTTTCACTCCGTTCATTATTTGAATAAAATCTTTTTTTCGTAAACAAAATTTTATTAAGTGACGTCGGCCGTGTGCCTCTTGAAAGATTAAGGTATGTATCGTAAGTCTCGAAATTGAAATCCATGAAAATCGAGCGTCAATTGAACCGAAAAAAGAATCATAACGCAAAGTACAAAGACAAACTACAATAGTGAAATTTAAAATTTCAAAAAACTCAAGAAACAAAGAATGAGCACAGGAAAAAAAAGATATGAACAAATAACAGGAATAATTTAATCGGATATCAAACGATTAATTAATAAGGAAAAAAAGGAAGATTTTCAAGCGCAATGAAGTGCCATTTGAATGTATTTCAGTTGTTGTAGCCGTGAGATTTTTCCGCCGCCGGATATAAGCAAATTGAGCTGAAAAATAAAAACTCGGATGGTTTTAAGAGTGACTGAAAACGAAATTAAATGATCGAAGCATAAAAAATATTTCTTGCGCTTCACATCCGTCACATGTCAGAGTATTCCCGTGGGGAAATGATTTCTTTTTTTTCTCAAACCTTTCTGATAATTCTAGTAATCACATCCATACGAGCGATAGCCTCATCATCGTCTTCATTCGTTCCGCAACAGCTTCTGCAAATCATAAAAAATGTTTAGTCTCAAACGACCGCGAGGCAAATGATGATAATTGACCTTTTAAAATCACATTATACATATCAACAGTGATTTGAAGCTATTGAAAACAAATCGTTTCAAAGTATTTAAAATTAGCCGAGAAATACATTAGTGAGCCACTATAGAATTGAACCATGATGAAGTCACTTGACGTAGTTTTTCAAATATTTAATTTCAACTTTTTCTACGTTTTTTTATTATATTTTTTTCTAGCATTTTTTTGGTAATTTTTTTGGAACATAATTTCACAGAAGACATATATCACTGAAAACCTATCAGTTTTGGGATTTTTCTGAACATAATCAATACCTTTTTAAACGTCAAAAAAAGATTCAGAAAAAAAAATTTCACAACATATAGATAACAAATGGTCATAATATTCGTAGTTTTTATTGAAAAAAAATTTTTCCACATTCAATTTTTTTAATGAGAGCATCAAAAAAATCTCTTTTGGCAAGCCGCTTATGAATCTCTTACACATCCTGTGCGCTCAACCTCACCTTTTATTAGCGGCGTAACGAATTTCAGTCAAATTCCTGATCTTCACCATCTCATCTCGGAATAATTCAGCAATATTCTCATTCGACGGTCGTTCCACTAAGTTATGGCCTGAAAATTTACTTAAAAATCCCTTGAAGAAGTAGGTTGAAAAACCCAGATTCAGCCAATCAGGAAATAGAGACTTCAAGGTGCCGAGAAGTTGCTGAGCAGCCGTACCGACAGAATGTGAGATACCATCGAGTTTCTTTAAAAACTTTATTTTAAATTATCTCGACTTGGAAGACAATATGGGTTAACAAAAAAGTTCAAAAATATGGGCTTGATAATCTTAGAAAAGCAATACTCTTGAAAAACATTAAAGAAAATCTCAAATTAGGAAAAACGTTAACTTTAAGGTCATTTGCTAAATTTAACAAAACATAACTTAGACTGTAGGTGCCCGAAAATCATATCTCAGGTAACAAAAAATGTAGAATCATGTGCTTGGCTAACTCACGGATGTCAATACATAACACAAGATGAAAACTTCCAGAAAATTTCACAAAATTCAATCTACTTTTTTTTTCATTCCGTTTCTCACACGGACAGACTGTTTTTAATGCCGCCAACCCCTTCTTACGACTAATATTAAATTAAAGTAAATGATGACACCCTAAAATGGAATTAGGCCAAAAACTTTAATTTTAAATCCCAAAAATCATGGGTCTTTTTCCTATTCGAAAATGCCACAGACCTGAGTAGCGCTACAATAGGGAGGAGCACGGCTGGTCGACCGTCGTGAGGGAGGCATCCCAGTTTCGCGGCCTCTTTCACTCGCCGAGACGCTTCTTCTCCTGGCCGTCGAAGCCACCGTCGGCCTAGCCGATCTCAGTTTTCCAAGGGCCGGCGGCGCCGCTTCTCTCTCTTCAATCGTCGCCCCGTGAACACACTTTGCAACATTTTTCCCACCAAAGTGTCGTTGGGCACTGAAATTTCTCCTAGTCAGGTGAAAGTTGAGAAGCTTCTGATTTCGGTTCTTCGGAAGGAGTTTGAAAGCTGTCCAGCAAGTGATAAAACGTCTTCCCCAAACTTCTACATACCTTCTGGCAGGCATTTTCCACTTTTTACCTTCTAAAATTCTCTCAAATACTTTCTCAAGATCTTCCAGTTTCCAAGCTTCTCATGCTATTTTTCTTTTCTTTTCAAAACCTCTCGGGATCCTTCTTGACGCCTTTTAAGCAAATTTTGTCGATATCGATCGGTTCACTGTAGATATGGCGGATAGACTTCTGTGGGGCGAACCTGAATAAAGATTGAAAGAATATTCTTTTTTTTTTTTTTTGAATTTTTTTCTACTCTTGGGATATCAAGTCAAATTTTCGAAGCATTCCAGGATAATGTTATTTTTAAACATGAAAACTTTTATGTATTTATTTTCACGGCGTTTTTGTGAGCGCAAACCCAAAAATAAGGTTGGCGGGGTCAAAACCTTCGCCGTTCCTAAATGACGCCATGGAAACGGCAGAGATTTCGGCTCGAAAAGCGTAAATAACATGGCATAATAAAGGCATAGGGGCAGTAAAAAACGATGTTTCAGCTCAAAGCAGTATTTTGTAGAGCTTTTCATTGCGAATCGAACGGTGAACTTGGAAACCTACCTAACTTCCTAGATTTGGAGAAAAAATATTTCAAAGTCGAAGAGAGGAAAGTTTGAGTTCCCGCCAAAAAGGGCGTTTTGCAGTAAAGTTGCTCTATGGACAACACCCTTCGCCATTTTTCGGACTTTCGCTTTTTCTTCGTTTCTTTCAAATTTCAATTTTTCTGTTGTCACCAAAGTTCTTTTTGTCCCAAAAACTTTTTATTCATGTATAGTTTGCAAACTTTGATCGCAAAAACGCTTCTTTGGTGACAACTGATGATTTCACACAGGTTTCGATTTGGATAGCGATATTTTGTGTTTTCTTTATTATACGTGTTTTCCGTTTGACTAACTGTTTTTTTCAGAAAAGAAATTCTTGATTTGAAGCAGAAATCCGGTTATTTCTCACAAAATGCGAGTCTAATGAGACGTCCGCAACATCGCGTGCACGGCTACTGTAAACAGTTGTCCGTACACCGATCCAAAGCATTTTTCAAAATTAAAGACGGGAAAGTAATATCACGTTTTTCTTCAAAATTAGTCACATCTGTAGATTTTTGGTAGCACAGATCGAATCGCAATGAAAAAAATATATAAGATACTGCTTTCACAGGAAACCCCGTTTTTACCCCTATGGCTTTAAAGGCGCAGGCGGTCACATTCTTCGTCAAAAAAGCGCCGTGTTTTAGCAAAAACAGTAACAAGTAACAAACCTCCCCAAGTTTGGCAACGACCTATTGCAGTCGGTTGGCATGGGATTTCGGAGTTGTCGAACGGAAATGGCCGGGAACGAGTTTTGGAGATCGTTCTTGTGGGGAGACGAAGCGGCCGTGTTGCCAATGGTCGCCAAAGACTCATTAGGAAGTTGGGGATCGCTTCTCGAGTTGGGCTCGGCTCTCGGGTTCTCGAAGGCCGGTTCGCTAGCCGCGGTGAGTATCGGCGTTGGGATGTACTGCTGTGTGTGGATCTGGTCAAGCTCAAACAGATTTTTTCGAGAGAGACGTTGGTCGTGCTCCATATCCTGGTTCTGTTTTTCTTGATGATCTCGGGCAGAAATTTCACGCTCCGAGCTCTGGGAAGAGTGGTCACGACTTCTCAGATTCAAGAAGTCCTTTTCATTAAGGTCGATCCGATTCGGCGAATCGAATATAGTATTCTGACGATTCCGACTGTAGCCCGGCTCCTGCGAAGAGCGTCCCATTCCACAGCCGAGCTGGCGGTCCATCAGAGCATCAAATTTATCCTGCCGAGAGCATCTGACGTTAGCGTAACCAGATCGAGCTTCTTCTTCACGATTCGGACAACGATAGCATTGTCCTGGCTGATCTTCATGCTCCCATCTTCGCTCTTGTTCATTACGACTCCTCGACTTTCTACTACTCCAAAACGAATTTTCACCCGGAAAAACACAGGTGTTAAAATTTTTGCTGATTCGAGAATCGTAAATTCTCAGCAATTCCTCCGTTGACAGGATCGCTGAAATATTTTTTTTATTGCTTTTTATCCTAAGTTTGGTTTTTTTTTTGTTTATTTCGGAAGTTCAAAAAAATTTATGAAAACTTTAAATCACAGGTATCATTCGGATACCAGTTTTTAGTATACACTAGTCATTCAAAAAAAAAATCGCCGATTTTCTAATTTTTATCAGGAGCGACAAACAAAGCTCTAGCTTACTAAATACGAATGGTATAAAAAGTTAGAACAATTGAAAATTTTTTTGAATCAGCAGTCAAGTCTGATTTTTAAATTTAAAACAGGGCCACGATTACAAAAAAATCAATCCAAAACAATTGATTAAAAAAATATTATTTTTCAGAGAAGCTTCAATAAATATCACTTTTCCAGGAATTTAACTTTTTTTCAACTCACCAGTAGTATTAACGGCTGCATCGACTTTATTTTTCGGTGATTTGATTTGGTTAGAAGTCGGAACTGCGGAAAAAACGTTACAGCTCGAGACTTTGCTCCTTTCTACGCGTGGAACTTCGGCTCGTTTCGAAGATGCGGTCGAGGGTCTGAAAAAAAAATTTTTTTTTTAAATGAAAAATTACGGGTATATAATGTTAAAAAAGCCGTGAAAATCGAGGGATCGGAAAAATAGCCCTGAAAGAAAGAGCTGCGAAGAAGAAGCTGCTTAAATTTCGCCGGGGTGGGCAAAAAAAACAAAGACAACGTGTCGGACTTCTAGTGTTTTTATTTTTATGATTGGAAAGCAGAAAAAAAAGAACTAATGAAATATAGATAGGTTTTTGAAGTATAATCAGCAATAAAAAAAATTAAAAATATCGCGACGCTCATTTCTCGTCGGCAATTTTTCCTGCAGCTGATTGGGCTACTCACGGCTTTTTTTTTGCCATATGCCCAAAATAACAGTTTTTTCTTCGTTTAGATAGTTGAGAGCTTTTCATTTTTTCAAATTTCAACACAAAAAACTCACGGCCTAGTGTCCATTTCAATCTTGAAGTCGCTATCTTCGAAAGCCGACATCACTCCGGCTTCTCTGCCACCGGCTGTCCTTCCCATGCTCATTCCACCAGCGATTCTTCTCGTTTTCTTCACTTCCTTGGCTAGAGATCGTTGATCCGAAGAGCCGGATTGAAATGAGCTGCTCGAATAAACCGAAGAAGCGACGTCGCTAGCGGTTGAAGAAAGTGAAATTTTTCTCTAGAAAACCTCATTTTTTTTTATGGTAGCCATGTAAATGAAAAAACAGAAGCCTATCCTGGTTTCAAAAAAAAAAGCCAAAATTCGACAAACCAATCGACAAATTTGATCTAGTCGTGCAGTCTGTAGCTCCAGTTCCTTTTTACTATCTTCCAGCGTTCTTTTAGACTTTTTCAATTTTATCGAATCGTCGTATCGAGACTGAAAACCCAAATTTACACAAATAAAGGCCTTTCTCAATCTCACCAAAGTAATTTTAGAATGTTGAAAGCTCGTGAGTTTTTCGCCGTTTTCGTTTGTATCCTTTATTGGGCTGATTTTCAACTTTCCTTTTTTGGAATGGCTACGCAACACTCTTTCTGGTGATTTAGCTGGAAAATGAGAAGATTAAAGCCAAAATTTGAAGAAAAATATATACATTTTTGGTATAGCCCATCGAGATCCAGTCGTTGTGGCAATGGTAATGGGGATAAAATGTAGTCATCATGTGTATTCTGAACTTCGTCCACCTCAAAAAGATTATCAAAAAAAATTATTTGAGAATGAATAAACATCATCATCAATAATAAACGTGTTGTAGTCTCGTTTTTGAAACGAGTTCACCGGTGAAGGTCCCAGACCTTCATCCACATCCACTAACATCACCAATGAATAATACCAGCCTGAAACGAAACTATAAGTGTATTGCAAAATTCATAACGTTGTGAATATTCATGCTGTGTTTAAATTAATTTCAGGGATATACAAATTGTGGTTTTTCGTGTACTGGTGGCGCTTCAGGCGTGAGCGTTGAAGGTCTCTAATGTCATTTTTCAGTTTTGATGCTTATGTCGTGTTCAAAGTAATTTCCGCCAGATGTAAAATGGTCTCTGGCCTTCCAAAATTTAGTTATCTATTGCTCTCTCTCTGACGACCATTTTGCATTTCGCGGAATCACTTTGAACACGGCATGAGATTTGAAAAAATTAAAGCATAAAACTCAATCATACGCAGTTTTCAATTAAAATTGATTCTTCGAAAAACAACTTATTTGATTTGAAACCATTTCAAAAAGTGATAGGAATCGTGAAATAACAACGACGCATTTGAAAAAGGATAAAATAAAATCCAGAATCCCGGCGCGTCCCCCGCCAGGGCCCGTATTTTCGTATTTTGTCATTCGTGATCGGAGTGATTTTGCGAAATTCAAAATACCCATCTGAGAATGGACAAAATAGCTGAATTTCGATAAGTCAAAGATGATTTTGAATTTCGCGGAAATTATTTCGAACACTGCAGCTGGAAATTCCTGCCGTTGGCAAGACGCCATCTTAGCAACGGCTCTTCGTAGCGAGAGCCCACGCGGCAGCTGACCCTGCGCCCATAAACCTTGTCGTTATTGTCCGCTCGGAGAGGCGACTTGGTCAGTTGATAATGTTTATTTCGTTTAAATTAGTCACGTTCGTTATAATTATTGTTTTTCATTTTTATCTAGAATTATTACACTCATTTCGGAGCTTTAAATAAGTCAGTAGGAGACTGTTTTTATGCTCTTCCCGAGCAATCATGCTTCTTTCCATTCAACAAACGTGCGTTTTTTTATGACTCAAAAAAATTTTTTTCTCTAGTTTTTTTAATTTAAAGATAATTAAATGAGTTAACAGAATATCGAAAAATTTTTTTCATTCTTTATCTGCAATAATTATTGAATTTCTTGGTTTAATAAATTATTCGCATTGGTGTATTCCGATTGGAACAAATAGTTTGAAGAGAAATTCTGTAACTTTTTGAAAAAAATGAGTTCTTTTTCAACGCAGTAATTGATCAAAAAAATGGAACTTTTTAAAAAAATGATTTTTGAGGGAGAAACTAAATTATTCGCATCGGTGTTTTCCAAAAATATTCCGATTGGAACAAATAATTTGAAGGGAAATTCTGTAGCTTTTTTGAAAAATGATTTCTCTTCAACGCAGTAATTGATCAACAAATGGAACTTTGCAACAAAAAAAAAAATGATTTTGAGGGAGAAACAAGCCGATGGCAATGTGATTGGCTGGGAACAACGTTGAAAATGATTCGCCGGGATCCATGCGGCGTGATTTGCGTCGTTTTGATTTACGTTTCAATAGCCTATGCAGACTACGTCGTCATCGTTTGGATGCTTTACCCGACGTTCCAAGAAACGTTCGTTCTTTCGAGATCAAGTCTTGAATTTTAATCATTCCTTTTGAACATGAAGAAAGCAAAAATAGTAAAAAGAATCTATTTCCGTTTTAAAATTCTTTTTTTTGGCAACATAGAGGTTTTGATCTTGTTTTTCCAAATTATTTACTTTATGGAAAAATGAACTTCGAATTTTCGAAGTCAAAAAGTCAAGCTTGTGATTTCAGAATGTGGGGAATATTCCACGCTGCTTTTTTCAACCTCTTGTTGCTTGGTACCGTTGTGGCACACACCAAAACAATGTTCTCCGATCCTGGAATCGTTCCAATTTCTAAAAACAAGTTCGTTGTAGTCTCCTGAAAACTCTTACAGTTCATTCGTTCCAGGACCAGTGGTCCGAGACCTTTGTCTTCGGAAGATGAATCGGAAAGCGACGAAGAGGCCATGATGAGACACCCCTATTTTGGAGTTGGTTTCGTCTTTTTTTCTCAAAAATAAGATGCCTAAAAAAATGAATGCAAAATACCGACCTTAAACTCTTCATTTATCCCATGATTCAGCAGAGGATTTTCTCTGAAGGCTGAATAAACTTGTAAACTTTTAAGATGCCATGAAATAATTTTTTGATTCAAACAATACCATTTACCTGGAATGGGAAATTGAAAACCGGTTCAAGCTTTCATTCAAATCAGAAAACGCGTCCATAGTTTTTTTGATAATTCTTTTTTTACAATTTTTTTCTTTTTAAAAGAAAAAAAATTTAAGACAAGAGGATCCCCGTCGGAATGGACAATGTGCACGCGATGCGAATCTTTAAGGCCTCCAAGGGCCCATCATTGCCGTGTTTGCAAAAAGATGCGTCAGGAAAATGGATCATCACTGTGGGTTTTTTTTTCGGCTGTAAAATGTTCAATTTTCAAAAAATACAAAAAGTTGACCGGCAAAATTATTTCTATGAGCAGATTCCTTTCTCATTTATTTCATTTTTGATAACTTGAAAAACTTTTTCTTGAAAATTGCTTATTGATTGAAACGATGCTTTTTTCAGGTCCTTGGGTCAACAATTGTGTTGGCGAATTGAATCAAAAACATTTTCTGCAGTTTATAATTTATGTGGGCGTAACTAGTTTATATGCATTATTGTAAGTTCTTGGACATACATTAGGAATTCGAATAAAAATCTATTTTAGCATACTTATTATTTGTTGGGTTTATGACGACGAGTTTGGCACAACGGGTATGCGTGGACCGAACGGCGAAAACGCACACCATACTAAAGTGTTTGTTTTTTTACAAACTACCTTACTTGAAAATATTTTGAATTTTTCAGACTTCATTCAATATTTTTGGCGATGGAAAGCGCCTTGTTTGGAATGTTCGTCATGGCTGTTTCATGCGATCAGGTTAGCTACAAAGCAAATAAAACGGAAAAATTATATTTACCTCAATGAAAATCAAAATCTCGAAATTCGTAATGCTAAAGCTTTCCAAAAGGCCGACTTTTCTTTTGCCGTGTTCAAAGTAATTACGGCGGTTTCAATATTGACGCGTTTTTCGTTCGAAATCATTTCGATAAATATGCAAAATTGGGAATCCGGGTTTCTTTAAAAAAAAAAATTGGAACTACGAGGAAATATGTGGATTTTTAGACGCCAACTTCGAATTTTTGAATTGTTTAGGCATTTTCGGCGAAAAGTTTGAATTAGGGCATGAAAATCACCGTAAAACGACACACATTTCAATATATATCGTTGTAAGACCCGTTTTTTTTTCTATGCATTCTCATGATTCCAAGTCAATATTGAAATCGCCGAAATTATTTTGAAGACGGCATTTAATCTCACATTTCTTCCAGTTGAGCGCAATTTTCTCCGACGAAACGGCTGTCGAAGCCGTCCAGCGGCGAGCGCGATACGGATCTTCGCGAAGACCACGAACCAGTAAGATCGCGTTACTGCGGCAGGTCTGCGGGCCTGGTATGTCCTTTATCTTTGATGCAAAATAATGAAAAGAATATAAATATTTTTATTCCCAGGACCAAAAATCCTATGGTTGATTCCGTGCCGCTGGTCTTCGCAAAGGACTCCTTCCCGTTATGTTCGGTCCCATCATCAACTGTCGCATTTTGATGTGTAGATTATAACTTCTTTTTTTCTGTTGCTTCTGATGTCATTTGCTTTATTCTTGTGATATTTCTCTTGTCAATGCGGATAAAGTAAGTTTTGACAAGCTGTAAATGAGGATGACAGTGGGGTTGAACAATTTTCGAAAAACCATTTGAATTTAACCACAGTAATTTTTACCCCAAGTAAAATTTAACCACAGTAAACTAATGTGATTTTCAGATTGACAAAAATCAAGGTTTTTTTGTTCTCAATCAGTTTCAAAACTCCACTGCCATTCTACCTCACCGCTTATTTTTGCAAGCCTTTCTTCTAATTTACCCTACTTGTGTACTTACTTTGAGCGATAATGATTTGTAACTATCACGTGTTCATGCTTTCTTTAGGTGTCACACTACTATAATAACCAATTTCATGAATATTTATCATTGAAAAAAGCACGAGAGTTTTTTTTTTCTAATTTCTAATCTAGTTCAACTAAAGATAGGTATGCATTTTCGGTGTGAAATCAACCAAAATCCATGTGATTTGCTCAATTCTTTATTTAATCCATTTTTCTCCTTTGAATGATTGATAGAATGAAAAAAAGAGAATAAAATTGGAGTCATTTTGGTTATTGAAAAAAATATTTTCCTTGTTTTTTTCTAAAATTTTTTTTCGTGATTTTTTTCAAGGTGTAGGCTTTGGATGAACTTCTCGTTTTTCTGAAAATTGGAGTTCTTTCAAATTATCTCTCTATATATATATATCGGTTTTTTTTGAAACCCACATTCTTCTAGAACAAGGCAACAGCAGTACTACGAGTAGGCATAGGACACAAAAAAAGCAAACCGTCATTGGAATCACGAGATTGTAACGAATCTAAAACTTTTTTTTCTCTGAAAAATGGTATGAGTCGAACCTTGAACTCTCGTTTGAAAGCGCCGAAATAGCCCAAAGAAAGTTCGCAGTTCATGCCGTAGTAGCCGAATCGACACTGGCAAGAAAAGCCGCGACGGTAAAACTCGTCGTTGACGCATTCGCCATGTTCACACACGAGTTCTCCTGAAACAAGAACCGCAAACACGTGTGTAGAATGACGCATCGCGGCTTTACCGAACGCTTCGCAGGCGTTGTCGACCCGCTCACATAGAGATCCACTCGTGCCGTTTAGACATATGCAACTGAAATAATGCAATGCTGGAAAGCTCGGTCGCTTTTACTAAAGTGGCCATTTTTTTTTAAATTTTGAAGTTTTTTTTAGTTCTAAACTGTTTGATTGTCTAAAATGCAGAGAATTCTCAATTGTGGTTAGTTTTTCGTGTTTCGAAAAACTAATTATTGGCGGCCCAAATTAGGACATTTCTTTTTCTCAATAAATTTGATGTCAAGTTAAAAAAACTAGTCATCCCGAGTTTAGGCTATATTTTTGCCAATTTTCAGGCCGTTTACAGCTCCGTTTCAAAATTTGATAACATCTTAAAAAATCAACTACGTCTGGTGGGCATCCGTCGAGAAGAGGAAAAAAAATTATCTTTCGAATAATAGCTCGGTAAGTCGAGGCGTTTTTTCGACGACGCTCCGCCCAGTTCTTCTCCGTAAAGTTTGTTGTGCCGTGTGCATGCACGGCGACGCTCACGCGCAGAAAAATTTGAGTTTATTTAGTGAGACGATTCGAAATCTCACGTGAGATTTCGAATCGTCTCAAATACTATCAGCAATACGGCCGCCTGCGCCTTTAATATACCCTGATATTTACGCTCTTCGAGCTGGTACCTCTTCTGTTCCCATGAAGCCACGTGGGAAGAGCTTAGGTTTCGACTCTGCCCACAGCATTGGTTTTTTTTTTTCAATTAACAAAAACGCTGTGAAGTGAATATAGTACGACCCACTTGTAACTGTGTTGACCGTCAGGAACGCAGCGCGATGCGTGGGCGCAAAGGTTGTGGTAGCATGCATTTGTGGAGTGGCGGCACGTTGGCGGCGCAAACCCTGCCTCGCAGATGCATCTGGAAAAACTAAAGGTTGAAAAAAATCATTAATCTAATTCATCAAAGATTACCTGTATCCTTGAGCCAATTCCCGCTCATTGCAGATGTTGAAGACGTCGTCGGACGTCTTCTGATTGCACGTCACGCATCTGCCGTTCTTACAGGCCGTTGGAGTGCAGTCGCCTTCCAACGTCTGCACGCAGTTTGTCCCTAACAATGACGTCACAATCTTAAAACGGATGACGCCATCGCCAACCATCTTTCAACGCCGCGTTGATCGGACACAGGCACTGGTAGGACTGCTGCGGTTTGCCGTCAGTTTCTTCGACCTCGTCGGTTATCTCAAAGAGGGATGCGTCAAGGGTCAGGCTGGACTTACTGGAACGCAATCACCATGTTTGCAAGGTTTCCTAGCGCAAGGGTCAAAGTTCTCGCAAGCCTCACCGACGTAGTCTGCTCGGCAACTGAACTATTTTGTTTTTCAAAATTATTTCGCAGATCGGAACAAAATTGGAACTGCAGGAGGCATGGAAAAATGGGGTTCTGAAACGATTTTCAGGCACGAAAATAATTTTTTTCAATCTTTCAATGGGTTCGAAAATTTAAAATTTTTTCGATTTTTGTGCGAATCAAGTAGTATAGTCAATGTTTCCCGACTTGAAAGGCGAAGGAGGCGGGGCAAGGGGCGGGACGCGTAGCGTGTGCGTACGCGGTTCTTGGCACGAGTTCAATTCAATTGTCGCCGGCTATTTAAAAAACTCGGCAACCGCTCTTTTCCAATGTTTTCTACTTTTTTTTGATGCACACATAAAAATAATCAATAAATAATTGAAAAAGGAATGAAAAAAGCGAAAAACGGGTTTTTCAAAGAGTCGATGGCGGTTGAATTGAACACGTGCCAAGAACCGCGAACGCACTCGCTACGCGTCACGCCCCCTGCCCCGCCTCCCTCGCCTTTCAAGTCGGGAAACACTGACTATAGAACCCATATTCTTTCTCGGCTCCTCAAATTTAATTTCTCTGTACTTTTGGAAACCATTGCAAACAAATAAAACGTACTAGTTCGCGAATAAATCACTTGTAAACATTAGAATAATAAATCTCACATGCATTTGGCGTGGCCCAAATGATCAACACAATGGCCGTGCTTCAAGTCCGTACAACGGCTTTCCACAGTTATGCCTCGCTTTTTTTCTTCCCGAGTTACCTCGCAAGCGTCTTTTCGAGTGTACTGAGAATAAAATTATCATTTTTCGTTCACCGAATTAGAAAGAATTTTCAAGTTTTTTTAAGAAATATTGAGTTGAAATTCGAGTTTTCACAAAAAATTGCTTTCAAAATGAATGCTTCTTAATGATTGTTATACGGCCACGAAAAACAGCACCTCACAGAAATTGCCTTCTTGTAATGGGTCACTGCATTCGCAACGATGTAGCAGGTAGTATCGAGAAGATGACACTGGAAAAAAAAACCATGTTTCCCTTGACACAAGCTGGCGCGGAATTACCTATAGATAACTAGGAAAAAAAATCCTTTTTTTTCCCAGTAGAACCTGGGTTTTCCATGTATGTTTTCCTTCATCCGAAATAAATTATATTCTTCATTTAGCGTTTCAAAAACTCAATTCTGTATAAAAAAGCTATCTATCAATTATTTTTCCTCTCGAAACAGCGGAATAAAAACTAAACAGATTGTAAAAGAATCACTTCTAACAAGAGTCGGAACGCAAAGAGCCATGTGTTCACACCAACCAGTCGTCATACCGAAGGTTTGTTGTAGGTCGGTCTGAAGTCAGAAAACTTGGCATTTTGTCGAGAATTTAGAAAATACCGAACTTTCATAGGAATCGCGGAAATTCTGCAACTCTTTAATGTCGCTGGCATAGGAAGAGTTTTTCGAGTCGATGCTGAGCTTGAGATTTTCATGATTATATTATACTTCTGTTTAAATTATGTTATTCTTGAAAACGAAAGACCTTTTTTAAAATTTAATGATTTTACAATTCAAGAAAAAAACATACGAATCAAGCAGAAAATTGATGAATTTGAACGAAGTTGAATTGATCATGCAGGGAAGGTGCTTTTGGGGCACATTTTGCGGTATTTCATGCTTTTCACATCGATCGCCTGATAAATTGGTGAATGAAAGCTTTTAAAAACATTGAAAAAGCTGAATCATGAATTGACTTCTTTATTGAACAATTGAGAACAAAAGAAGAAAACATCTTTGGGGAGAAAGGTCATCATGGCGTAAGCCGCTCTGGGTCGGCTGCCCTAAGGCATATTTTTAAAAAGCTGTTTCATTCTTACTGTTGTCGCAACGATCAAACAAAAAAAAACACGAACCCGAAGTGGTTGACCCAATAACTTCGACCTTTCTTGGACATTTGCAAAAGGCTGTTATCGTTTTTGCCTGTCCATTGCAATTTATGTTAAACTAATTATTTAAAAATCATATTCACATGCATATCTATCACATCCTCGCAAATTCCACCGTTCTCGCACTTGAACTCGAAGCAGGCGGATATCTGTTCACACTGTAAAAATAATACTTAAAAAAAACTCGAATTTAAACTTTTCAAAAGTGGCCTTTATAAGGGTTTCAGTTAGTGGCCTCTATAGGGAAGCATGCTAGTCGTTTACTGTTATGAGCTCTGTGAGAAAAAGTATTTCCATGCGATAAATATCAACAAAGGATTAATCGATCAACTTTTATCGAATACGTCTTTTCAATTTTCAAGAATTTTCAGCGGATTTCGCGACTATGGGGTAAACCAAAAAATAAAACAGCACCCTAAGCCCTTATAGGGACTATCTTAATTTTACCTCGCGCAAAAGCCTGAGCAACACTCAAAGAAGTTAATTCAAGTTGTTTCAATTTTATACTCTACATTTCGGGAAAGTTGATTCAGAAAATTTCTAGCATTCTCAGTTTTCATTGGCAACTCTTTTGAAATTCACCCTCTTCCCAAAATATTGTTTTTCGCATTGACATTTGCACGTTCCGTTGCTTACAATACCCTGACCTCGATTCATACAGTAATCCTCCTCGCAACTGAAATTCACTAATTTCCCAATAATTTGAATTTTTTTTTTGCACCTTTTCACCTCTTCAGGAACGTCACACAAGGCGCCGAAGAAACCAGGCCGACATATACAACTGCAAAATTAAAAACGAGACTTTAGAAAACTCGAGAGATATTAACAAAGGTTCGCTGTTAAAGGTAAAGCCCAAAAATCATATTAAAAAAAAATTAGAAAGAACAAAAGTTCTTGAACAGGGCGAAAAACTTTACATTATAACTTTTAAAGATCAAGCTTTACGTTTATATTTTAGTCACTTTTTTCCGAAATATGTTTTGCCATCTTTTTGTTTCACAAAACCTTTTATTTTTTTTAAAGGGCCGTTCCAATCAGGGTTGTTTGAGTTGCGCTTTTTTGGGAACAAGAGGAAAAAAATTTTCCAATAAATTGAGACGAGTCGAGAAATTTTCGGAACGATCTCAAAAAATCGAGAATTTTACTATAAATTTTCAAACTAGACTTTTACAGACTTAAACATATTATATAGACTGAAAATTTACATTATCCTAAAAAAAAACATTCTAACAAACTCTCAAAGATCAAATCGATCAAATTATAAATTTATAGTTCAATTTTTCGGAAAAAGTCGTTTTTAGATTTAAACTCTTTTTTTCACTGCTCTAACGACCGGACTCAACGACACCGTAATATTCTCGGCTCTTTATTATCTTCTTCATAAAACATTTATTTCACGGAGAGTGGAGAACTTAGAATTTGGGGCGTCGCAGATTGTTTAAATATTGAATAAATCCGAAATTGAAATATTTTTAAAAATTTTTTTACCTTAATAGTGAAAAAACCAGTAGGAAGTAAAATTGCATCAAGAGAAATTTTGAACATTATTCAAATATGAGAGCTTTAAAAACGTCAAAACCAACTCGTAGGCGACCGAAACGTATATTTGAGCGATTTCGGAACTGTTCAACGACGAATTGCCGCGAGCCGCACGGAAATTCGCCAAAACGGGCGAATTCACAACTTTTTTATTATCTCGGGTGCTGAAAAATATCATCACTTTAGAAAAGATCATTTGCTATATGTTTCCGGTTGCCATGTTTTCCATAGTTCAGGATCTTGCTAGTCCTTTTTTGAAAGGAATCTTTGTTTTTATTAAAGGCGCATTCACAGAGACGCGCATTGAGAAAAGATTGAGTAACTCGGAAGAAAAATTTTGACAGGCTGTCGTGAAGATATTAAAAAAAAAACACTGCTTGATAACGGCGTTTTTTGGCGACGCCCCGCCCACATTTTTTGCGTAAAGTGTAGTGTGTCCTGTGCACTGTGCACTGCGGCGCTCTCGCACACGCCACGTTCAAAGTAATTTTCGCGGAATTCGAAATCATATCTGCATTTCTGGGATTCAATTATATTTTTCACTCTCTGGTGGCTATTTTTAATTTCGCGGAATCACTTTCAAAACGGCATGTGTTTTAAAAATAATGAAACAGAAAAATCGCGTTTTTTAAATGAGAAATAGATTCGTCTCATCTAAAATTACTAAATTTAGTCAAAATATCGCGACCCTGCCAAGAACCGCGAACGCGTCCCGCCTTTCATCTCGGGAACAACTGACAATACTCGAGCGCGACGCGTTGAGCCATTCTACTTGCGGCCGTGTTTTACCTGACACAAGTGGCGTTGTTGGCGCAAAGATGGTCGGCACAATGACTTTGGTCGGCAATGTGCTCACAAGTCTTTCCGAAATGTGTCGTTGGACAGATGCAATAGAAACTGAAATCTCTTCCTCTTTCAGCGAAATGAGTTTTGCCGATTCCACGGCTAAGCCAAAAAGACCGTATGCCAAATTAGATCAAATTTGAGCAATTTCGCTTCAAGACCTATGTTTTTTGCTTCTTTTATGGCAGATTTTTTTCTTTTGTTCTTTAAAAACGTGACCGTTTCGTGCGGAACGCACTATATAAAATGTTGGATAGCTGGAAAAAACCAACTTTCCATCTTTGGCCACACATTCGCCGCCGTTTTCACACGGTTTACGGGCGGATTTACAAGCATCGAACGATTTGTCCTGTAAAATTGCTCTGATAGGAACTTAAGAACTTAATTTTTCTCTTTAAATTGAAATTTTACCCATTTATCCGTTCAGATTTTAAATTTCAAGCAGCAAACTCGGCTCTGTGGATGGCTCGGTCTCTGATTTGTTGATCTACGGAGTTTGAGAGATGACTTGATAATCAAAATCAGAATAGACTAAAACGAAATAATTTCCTTCCAGTTTCCTTTTAAAGCTTTTTTTCATCTTAAAAATTTTTTGATTCAAAATTCACCCTTTTTGAAAGCTAAACTCTGTCGGTTAAAGTCTGGAGCCGCGATTATTTTGTCCGGAGCTTCCCGGTCCACTAAATCGATCCACCGATGGACTTTTGCTCCCTTTATAATCGAAAAAAATCAAAAAAAACTTTTTTTCTAAGGGAAATTACGCGTTGAACAAATCATAGGAATAGCTATATAAAGAAAGAAGCGGTAGATCATCAACATATGAAATGACTAAATTGGGTCACGCCACGCCCATATCCGTTATTTTTTTAGAAACTATATGATAAGCGTAAAAATTTTTGCCACGAAATTATTAAGCATATATTTTTCCGTTTCAACAAAGTAGTTGACTGAGCACTGACTTGAACGGAATCTTTGAACAAAAACTAGTAGAAGAATATTGATTCATGTCTTTCAAATAGTCAACAAAACTGCTAAAAAAAATGATGAAAGCCAAAAAAAAACAAAAAAAAAATAATGAATGAAAAAAGAGATTTTCAAGGAGATTTGCTGGGGTAAAAACAGTTGATCTAGCGAATCATTGAAATCAGATGTACAGAAAGGAAAAAGGCTGAAATATTAGGGTGGAAAAGAAACCCGAAGAAGCAGAAAAGAAAAATCATTTTAACAAAGGTCCACCTACACGATAAGAATCACATCGGTCTGGGATGAAATATGTAGTAAAACTACCCAAAATCTTTAAAAGCAACACAAACAAAACGTTTTGAGGGTCATAAAATGAGATGAAAACAAACTTTCAGAGGTATCAAGAGAAAAGAAGAGAAATGATGAGGGAAAAGGACAGCACATTGTGAAAAATCAACGTCTAGATTTTAATGGAACCGGCGAGTTTGAATCTCTCCGGTACCGTTTTCCCAACGATTGGATCACTTCACGTTCTCGTGCTTTGCTTTCTTTCTGAAAACAAAAATATCATCTTAAAAAAAAATTATTATACGACTAATCGAAAACCCTCCCCGGTTTTTTTCAACATATTGGCTAAGGACCGTTCCAGGATGCCCCCCCATGCGATATGTTGGCCTAATATGTTGCGGGGGGCATTCTGGAATGTGGGGGCCTTTCCGGAGAAGCTTACAATGCCAAAGATATGTAGAGCGCATCTTCAAGATTTCCTAGGATTCTAGAATAAAAATTTAGCCCCCCTCCCCCACCGAAAAAAACTTTAATTTCACCCGCACCAATCGAAACTTGTTTTTGTGGGGGGGAGCATTCTGTAATTTTAAGAAAACTCTTTTTGAAAAAGCACCTTCATTCGCTGATCACGTTCGCGGGTGCGACTTCTTTTCCGACGATCCTTTTCGCGCTTGTCGTCCTTGCGTGTACGTTCTCGGTCGCGATCGCGGTTTCGCTCTCGTTCAGCGCTTCGCCTCGTGTGCCTGCAACGGAGCCATGTCCATTACTTTTTTGACGCAACGGCGACAAACTTGTCGTTATTTCGCGCAGCTTTGCGCTCACGGTCGCGACTCCTGGATCGTTTCTTCCGATGATCGCGTTCAGAAGAGCCTGCAGTCGGAGCTTATAAGCGTTTTTTCAAAGTTTACAGGCGGAGCAATTTTCAAAGAAAGTGACAAGATACTAAAAAGTTTTTTTCTGACTGTGTAGACCATTGACAGCTGGCTTCAGCAAATTGAAAAAAAAGAAAAAAATCTTCAATATTTAAAACCTTTTTTTAAAATTTTTCCAATTCTTTACGAAGGAACGTATTTTTAATCCCCACTCGAACTTTTTGATGAAATTCTGCTGAAGTGTATTTTTCTCGCAATAGGTCATTTTTTCGATTCATGAAGCTTCAGAATTTTTTTAATAAACTGTACCGTGAAAAAATATATAGTCACTCTTCTCATTTTGTAATAACGCGCTCTTTCGACCATAACATTATACAGAATTTCAAAATGAGCTGGAATCGTATTTAGCAATCAGAAACACTATTTATTAACAACCTCACAAACTTTCAAAAATAATTGAATTTCCTATAAAAAAATTATGATGGAAAAAGTAAAGTTTCGTATCTTTTTTGCTCGGCACTGTACGTATATTTTGGCAAAAGAGCGCAATTTAAAGCTTGTGAAGCGCCTCAAAAAGGTCTATTGCGAGAAATTTTTCACTTGTTCTGGAATCAGAAAGTCTTGAAGTAAAGTTCAGCAAAATTTCATGAAAAGATCAACGAGGAGGTAAAAAACGTTTGCTGGTTAGTGTGTCAACCTCTTCAAAGCTATTCTTATCATAAAGTTGCTTAAACAATTTCAAAAAAAAAACCTACCATTTCTTTTCTCGTTGCGAAGGTCGTTGATTGCCTGGTTCTCATTCGAGATCCTCTCTCCAGCCGCAGCCAACTTTTCCGCAACTTCCTTCGCTTTCAGCGCCTTCTTCTCCGCCTCGATACCATCCCGGAGTTTGTCGAGTTCCGCGGTGATTCTCGGCCAGTTAGGTACTTTTTTACGGGTGTAGAGCTTCAATAGCTGAAGAGCGATCGCCTGAACGTCGCGGTCGGACGTGTCAAAGGCTTCAAACCTGGAACGAATAGCTTTACTTTACTTTTTCAAGCAATTTTTTTTTTCTGTTACCAATTGAAAGGCGTCGACGGCAGAGCAACGGGATCTTCCACGGTCCTTGCGGCAAGGAATATACAGGCGCAGGCGATTGTTTCCGCTGTATATCGCAGAAACATGTCCGTCCGCAGACCGTCGTTCATGTAATTCCTAAAAAGAACAATTATTATAAAAGAACTGATTTCATGGTGGTATGACAAAAAAGACCAGCGGATTTTCGAACGGAAATTGCTTTCTAAGGTTTGGTTAGTAAAAGATCCATTAACATTGTTTCCGTTTTTCCTTGTGTTTTAATCATGAATCAAATACTTATTTTATATAGGAAGATTCGAAACAACGAATTAATTGAGAAAAAAAAGTCGGAAAAGGATTACTCGGAAAGTCTCATAGCGATATGGGAAAATCGGAGAATTCGCTTTTTTTTCTTATTTTCATACCACTTTTTTCACATTTTTTTTTACATAACCTCGTCAGCACAAGAATAATTTTTCAATTAGAAGCTCGAAAAAACCAAAGCGAGAAAAATTACACCAAAAACTTTGGACTCTCAACATGTATAGGAATATATTGTTTAGTTATTGTGTTGTTCCGTTACGTTAGTTTGACAAAATCATATTCTTTTTTTTTCTTTATCTTTATCAAAAATTTTAAAAACTTTTCTCAATGCAAAAGACATGAGGCTTGAGAAAAATTATAAAGATTTCCAAATATTTTTGTGCTGTTTTATTTTATATTTCGTTAATTTGTTTCGATTTCGAATACGTCAAATAAAAACTTGTTTTTCTACCTCAATTTTTCGGTATTTTTCAAATTCAAGAAGCCTTACATCCAAATTTCAGCTCAGCCTCCACCCAAAATCTTTTAAAATAAAATTATTGGCCGATAAAACAAGCCATTTTTAAAGGATTGCCATCTACTTCAAAGAGAGACCAACATAATAAACTATGAAGTTCTCTCTTTTTTTTCGTATATCAAAAAGCCTCACCAAGCCTTTTGAAGGATATCGGTCCTATTGGCGGTCAGTCCGAGCGCATGACAATAGGCGACGATCAGCCGATGAGGATGTTTCACATGTACAACGAATCCGAGCGTAGACAATATCCGCCGTTCCATCAAAATAATCTGGAAAATTTGAGTTGTCAAGCTTTTTTCTTTTTTTTTTTGGTTTACATTATTCTTGGCCCTCGCGTAGCTCGCGTCGATCATGCACGGCTTGAAGCTGGCTGTCGTCTCCCTAAAATGAACAAGGCGAATTAGACACCTAGATACTAGTTTTTTTGATGGAAGTTTTATATTCGAATAAGTCGATTGGTCAACTTAACAGCGCTCCTCCAAATGAATAAAAAAAGCGCACGTGAACCGAGTATAAGAATTGAATCCATTGAGAAAATCTTTTTTTATTTTTAATGATTTCGTTTTAAGTTTTACGAAACGCTGTTTTTAAGAGAAAAAAACTTCCGTTTCAAATTCTTTTTTTAATCCCATGAAATTTTTCGCGATTTTTTTGCCCAATAATTTTTTTAAAATATGGTCAAAAGCTCTACTGTTTGCCGATCTAACTTTTTCTTGAAATATTTATATTCAATTCATCTTTCATTGAGTAGGATCTGAAGGAAAAAAATCTTCGTATTACTGAAATTATACTTTAGTTAATTCTGTCAAACTGAGAATTTATAATCCTCAAAACTGTCAAACTTGTAAATCTTGAACCAAACTTAAAAATTTTTTTAATTATAGTATTTTGCGCCCAAAAAATTGTTCCGGTCCTGCGATCCAGAATAAAAACAAATGAATTTTTGTGTTCTATAATCAACATTCGGAAGAAATATCCGGAGAAATGAAAGCCAAAAAGAATTATCCGCGTATCTAAATATCTCGGAAAAGTTTATTATTATTTTTTTCTATCCATAGTAAAAAAACTTTCAAAACATAGAAAAAAATGGAAGAACAATTCTACAACTACAAAAAAAGAGCTAGAACTTAAAAACCTGTAAAATTCGTAACGATTAAACTTTTTAATAAATTTTTTTCATATGCGATATCACTGAAACTATCCAAAAGCCCGTAATGAGGATGAAAAATTTCTCGAAAAAAATGATGAAATTCTTTTCTTTTCTCGGTTCGCGCACAAGTTCCCATTCTTCTACAGAAACCGAGGATCACTGACAATGAAAAAGAGAAATGCAAGGAAAATCGTCGTTGTCAGTCAGTTTGCCCAAAAAACTTCTCTGACAAAAACACGGAGCCAATTGCAGAATCGAACCATCGGCCGTGTGAGTTGGGGGCTCTCACAGTCTCCTGCGATAATTGCAAATTATTCACGGTTAAATGTTTAAAAATTAGCTCATTTCAATAAAAAAACTTTCCAACCTCAAACCACCGAATTGAAAAATTAAGAAAATTCATCGAAAATCCATTCATTTTAGTAGTTCAAAAACAAAATCAAAAAAATCAAGAGAAAAATCGAAACTCACGCGAATAAATTAAAAGATTTTCGACACTTGCGATGGCAAAGTCATATATTTTTTTAATAAAATGCATTTTTTTACTCGATAAATCTTTTAAAAAAATAATTTTTTGGTTCTGATTCATGAAAAAAATCAGAAAAAAACTGTAGATCACACGAAAGCAACTGCTTCCAGCCTTGGCAGCACAAAAAAATCTTTTTCTTCCTGTTATTGGTGAATCTATATGAATTCAGTTTCTGAAAAACTTTTTTTGAACTGAAATTCAATTTTTGTTATAAAAAAATTTAATAACAGATCAATGGTCTCTATACCACAAATGTATTAAAAAGCTTGGAAACTAGGTCCCCAATAATATTTCTCGAACAAAAACTCACCAAGACTTACACGTTTGTTTCCAACTTGCGTCTCTTCGACCTCTTCTTTTTTTGAATAATAAATTAATAAATTTTTTTCCCCAAAAAAAATAATAAATATATTTATATATATATATATTTGAAGGAGCGCTGTTTATGAAAAATGATGATGATAATAACAAGAACTTGGTTTCAATAGAAAAAGAATTGAGAATCTTACTTAGTTATTGGAACACCACGTTGTTGTAAACGATGGATTTTTTCGAGACACGTAAATACGTTGTAGACGTCACGCGCTCGTCGCGGAACTTCTTCGATTTTCGACGCCAACATCAAACAAGCCATCACTGCGTGCTGAAAAAATTTTTCATTTTATTTGACAAAAAAAAATTGTATTTCAAAGTCTTGCTGTGGTATTTCAATGCTAGGTGAAAAGACCTACAACTGAGCTGAAAATAGTCGCTTTCCTACGTTTCTTTGAAGATACTAACAAATGAAAGTCGAATGTATGGCTATCTGGAGTTTTAGTAAGTGAATAAAAGCCATATGAGGAAAAAAGTGAAAAAGTTCATCCCAGACAAGTTCCAATACTGATACACCAACTTTCCCACAAGAAACCACCTCAAAGAAGTATCTAACAAAACTGCGTTGATAATAAAATCTCTGGTACAAAATTTGAGCTGTGGCAGCGGCGGTCTGAGGCAACCGCAACATGATCGCACCCTGTTGGATCAGTTCGCAACCAAGGTACCGAAGTTCCTAAAATACTAATAAGACATGAAGATTGGTCAATAAACTACGGATTCGAGTTCCAAAGAAAGTCCGTCAGACAACGACGGCGGTTCATCCAATTTCTTTCTCGCATTTTCGTCAATTGTCAACAGCCACTTATCGCAATTGATATCGACCCTAAAAAAAACATTGGGGGATCTTGAGTACTATTTTGAAGCGTATAACGAAATTTGAAATACCTAGAGTACAATGGACGCATGCCGAAGGAACTAGGAAGAATCAACAAGTTTTCCGATTGTTTGTCTGTCGTTTCGAAGCCTTCTTGATCGCCCTGCTCCCTATCCTCTTTTGTTTTTTCGCCATCATTATCTGCCGACTGAAAATTGAGAAATTCCACGAAAAAATCACAACACAACTATAAACCTGCTTTGGATTGAGCTTTACCATAGATTTGGCCTTTTCCATAGCGATCCTTCGCCTTTCCTCCATTGACAACATGTTGAATGGAATGACAGTTTCTATAGATTTCTATCCGATTGCGAAGAGGGTCAATCCTGAAAACTTTCACATCAAAAAAACGTAAAAAGTTTTGACGATAGTGAAAAAAGAGCGAGTATTTAGAAAAAAACGATCAGTAAAGTTCGAAGTTGAAAAAAACATCATCAAAATCCTTAGTTTGAAAAAAATTCAACGCAAACAGACCCATCTTTTGTTTTAAATTGGTTCTTACAATAACGCTTACGCCGTATTTGACGCCATATTGCCAAATAAAAAATAACTTTGAGAAAGTAAAAAGATAACTAAATTTCGGAGAGTCAGAGATGATATTGAATTCGCGGAAATTACGGCACAATATACAAATAAAGCCAACGCATTTGAGAAGCGTTCTCCTACCAATAAGCAAAAACAAGTGCATGAATACCGAGGCGTACACCACCAAATTCTGAGAAGTTTTCGAATTTCAGGACGCGACGCGGCGGTCGCACGCCTTATTATGCAAACACTTACACTTCAAAATGCACGAAACTCCTGCGACGCGCAAAAAAAATAAAAATAAAAGGCATATTTTATAAATATTTAATATTCACACTTGTATAACTTAACAAGAAAAAAAGGTTTTTAAAGAAAAATCATCAAAAAGATAAGGATGACACAAAATAAAAGAAATCAAGTGTAGCCTGGGGCGTTGAAGTCATGTAACTCAGGTGAAGAAACTTCGCTACTTTTTCTAGTTTTGGAAGTTGCACTGTAAAACGTTTCCGAGTATTCAAACGTCTGGAATGAAGTTATATTTTAATGCAAACGAGGAATCAATACCGTGGGTTGGCAAGGTCTTTGATGAGAACCACGACACGGGGCGCAGCATAAACAACAGCAAAAGCAACAAAAACAACAAGTGAGCACTCCAACACAAGACAATATGATCTGAAAACGTCCGAAAAAAGAGGTAGATCAAAAAACTAATTTTTTCAAAATTAAAAATAAACAGAAACAATTTTTACCCTAAAACCTAAGCCAGGGACTCTGGCAACCGCTTTAGCAAGGTCGTTTACGTCATCTGGAGACATCTTCGACGCCATCTCAAAAAATTGGATTTTCTCAGAATAATTTCCATTTCAGAAATGATATTCTGACCTCAAGACCTCGATACCCGAATTTATCATAAATTGCGCGGAGGTCAGGGTCCGACAAAATCGCATAGGCTTGTTGAATTTGTTGAAACTGAAAACAGATACCAAGATGAATCTGATCTTTTTTTTTAAATATTTTTCCACATTTCTTTGTTTTCAATCTGAAAATTAAAAAAACCTCTTGAACAGATTGCTCGCCAGCCCGATCCGGATGGCATTGCCGTGCCTTTTTGTAATAAGCTACACGAATTTCTTCATTCGTTCCTTTGCGATTCGCATCGAGTATTTCATATAAACACCTCCTTGGCTTCTGTTCCCTTTTTTGACTATTAAAACCGCTGAAAAACGCCTCTTTGAGAATTTTTCGCTCAGATAACTCGGAAATATATTTTTGTCAACATATATATTCGAAATTCGCCTAAATCAGCTTCAGTAAAAGAAGTACTACATAACTTTTGAAAACTTAAAAAATAGAAATGCGTCGATAATTATGACGCGCATTGAACACAACCCCAAATATTTCCCTCCACCAACATATGACATTAAAAGATAGACCTGAATTGATGAAAAGTGGTTGATCGATAAATAGCTACAACAGTCTTTTCGGATGAAATTGATTCACTTCCTGCACCTTTTCTGGCACTTATTTGCATTTTTCCAAAAGACCACCATCGCATTCTAAAACTCGAACTTTAATAATTTAAGATTTCAATTTTATTACCTTTTCTTAGAGAAAAGAAGGGTAGAAAAATTAATGCGTGTTATAAAGTGTTTTCCCACTCTGTTTTCGAAAAAAATATGCCGTGTTCAAAATAATTTTTCATAAAAGCCATGAAAAAAATCCAAATTTTGGAGAGACAGGGGTAATTTTGTATTTTGCAGAAATTATTTTTAACAGATATTTATGAACAAAATATACTAAACCACTCAAACTGGAAGGAAAAAATAACATATTCACAACCAATGATTAAAATATTTGAATTACCTTGGAGATTATCGAAAAAATTTTGAAATGACCAGATTCACGTAGTTTCTTTAAAAAAAAATAGATATAGTTTTTTTAAGCCAAGCAGTCCGACACGAAACTGTTTTGGATCAAAGAGTGGCTGTTTGAAAACTCGAACGTAATTTAGTGATAAGAGGCATTATTGCATTGTTCAAATTGATTACGCGAATTCAAAAAAAAAAACTGTCAGGAAGTAAAAAAAATAACTAATTTTTGGAAAGTCAGAACTAATTTTTCATTTCGCGAAAATCACTTCTAACGCGGCATATATAATTCGCTCTTCAGTGCGAAAATCAAGGCCAAAAAAACCAGCAAAAATATCTTTCCTCCGTAAATCACTTCACAAAGGTGAGCAGTCTGGAATTGAACTCATAGTATGTTTTTTTCTATTTCATGCAATTTCTGAACGTTAAATTCGGTGCTCAATTCCTTCAACTGACATATACTCGTAATGAGAACTTAGAAGACAGGGTACAAAAGTTTACGAAGAAAAGTAAAACAATGGATTGAAGACAACTGTTCAAAAACATTTTTTTAGGAAAAACAAGGATGAGAAGATCTTTAAAGAAGAAACCGAACTAGCCGTCGTTTTTTTCAAATAAAACAAAATAAAAATAATAAAATAAAATATAAGGAGAAGAAAAAAATGAACCGCATTTTTTTTTTTTGGCTCGCCCTCGCATTTCTCCTTTTTCTCACTTCATAGGTTACGGCCGAAGGGGTGAAATAAAATTTCTTATGCGCTGCTCAACTGTATAACGAATAAATGAAATTAAATTTGAATAGAGAAGCGCTTTTGCCAAAAAGCCAAAAAAGAGCAGAAATATCGAGCCTGCGATGTTTGTGTCAAAAAATAGAAAACAGGGAGGTTCGCTCCACCGCGAATCGGCAAAAGTGCTATATTCGAAAAATCCGTTTTTAATTTGTTTCTTTCTTTTTTCGATTTTTTCTTTTTATGCTTAGTTATGTTCACGTTTATGTTTTTTCCTCATGTTTAATTATTTTTACGTATTGCCGTGTTAAAAGTGTATTGGCGAAATTCAAAATAGCCGCCGAAGAAAGAAAACTATAACTAAGTTTTGGAGAGTTAAAGGCTTCGCATTGCTCAAATATATTTTTACAATGGTCCTTAAGTGACCAGGTGCTGTTTTTTCCTTTTGAAAATGTTTTGGGTGAATAATACTAAAAGAAGCTTCCAAAACAGGCTTTAATCGGAGCATTTTGCGGTTGCTACCCGCCAACGTGTGGCATTCCAACTTGCGAAAAAGTTTTCAAAGGAAAAACTGATTTTTCTTGCTATTTCCGTTATCTTATTGTGATTTGTGCACATTTGATGAAATTCAAATATCTGAGCCGTACGTTCATTCAATAAATTTATCTTTTTACTTCAATAGCGAAATCGCCTCTGTTTCAGTGACTGGTAGCGGAACTTATTGTGTAATCAAACAACCATGGTGCGAGTTATTATTAAAGGAGGTGTCTGGAAGAACACAGAGGTTGGTTTTAAACGGTTTCTGTTTGAAAATTTAAAATATTTTAAGGATGAAATTCTTAAAGCCGCCATCATGAAATATGGTAAAAACCAATGGAGTCGTATTGCCTCGTTACTTCACAGAAAATCCGCCAAACAATGCAAGGTGAATTTTTGAAACGATGTACGATTAACACTTTTGTTCGTTTTTCAGGCTCGTTGGTTTGAATGGCTGGACCCAGGAATCAAGAAAACCGAATGGTCGAGAGAAGAGGACGAGAAATTACTTCACTTGGCCAAATTGATGCCAACACAGTGGAGAACCATCGCTCCGATCGTTGGAAGAACCGCCGCTCAGTGTCTGGAACGGTCGGTTTCAAGGAAAATTCAAAAAATTCAGAAATAGATGCTTGATAATTTAAAAAAAACAAAAATTCGAAAATTTTTTAGGAAAATCTCAAACTAAGGGGCTTTAAGATTATTTTTTATGTTCAAAAGATCATATCTTTGGCTGTAAGTGTGCTAAATTCATGTTTCAGATACCAAAAAATTCAAAAATCTTTCAAGCAGTACAGACTGTTTTTGCCGTGTGAAAAACAGTTCAACTACCTTTAATTTCAGCTACGAACATCTTTTGGATGAGGCTCAACGAAAAGCTGAAGGACTGGATGACGAAGTGGTCGAGGCGAGGAAGCTCAAGCCTGGAGAAATCGATCCGACCCCAGAAACCAAACCTGCGCGACCTGATCCTATTGACATGGATGATGATGGTACGCAACGAAAAAAAGAAATAATAATATTATTATTTTCTCAGAATTGGAAATGCTGTCGGAGGCTCGTGCCCGTTTGGCGAACACACAAGGAAAGAAGGCCAAGAGAAAGGTGAAAAAAAAGTGGGAAGATTAGAAAAAACAATAAATTATAGGCTCGAGAACGTCAGTTATCAGAAGCACGTCGGTTGGCATCACTCCAGAAACGACGTGAAATGCGAGCTGCCGGACTCCAGGTCGCTCGACAGTTCAGAGCTCGTCAAAATCAAATCGATTACAGTCTTGAGGTTGTTGAATTAAAGAAAAAATAATATTAAATTCATTTTTTTATAGATTCCATTCGAGAAGCAAGTTCCCGCTGGTTTCCATGATCCCGGCGAGGATAAGTACGAAGTTGAAGATAAGCATTCGAGGGTGAGTAAATGCAAAAATTTCAAGTATAATGGCTGAAACTTCGGGAAAAGATTTCTCTGTCGCCTGAGAACTAAAAATTGATTATTTTAGGCAATCGCTGATCATGAGAAGCCGAAGCGCCGGGAGTTGGAGAATGAGAAGAGACGAGAAGATCGCGATAAACTGAAAAGACGAAAGTAAGTTTTGTTTTCAGAAGTAAACTTGGAAAAATAGTTTTTTTTTTTAAATCAAAAATCATCAAATTTATCAGAATCCTTCGAAAAAAATCGCAAAAAGATTTGAACCTTCATCTTGAGCTCCGTAGGCTACCGCGCTAGCCCCTGCACCACGCTCTTAGGTGTTATTCATTGGCTGAGATTCCTTGGAAACGTGTTTGAGGATAGAGATTTCGAAAAATCATATCTCCAAAGCGAAAAGTTGAGAGCTTGGCCAGTCAAAGATTGTTTAAGCAAATTTATAGAAAATTCAATAGCCTATGCAAAAATAACCTTATAGTGAAAGAAAAGAGACGAAAACTGAAAAGCGATTGTTTTCTAGAGAAGAAGACAACCACGACGCTGTTTTCAACATCAAAGAGAAGAAACGAAGCAAGTTGGTGCTCCCGGAGCCGCAGATCAGCGATCGGGAGCTGGAGCAGATCGTCAAAATTGGCCACGCGACAGACAGCGTTCGCCAGTTCCATGATGCCACTGCGACTAGGTATTCGTTGGACGGAAAAACAAATTTAAAAAAAATTTCCAGTTCTCTTCTCACCGACTATTCCGAGTCGGCGAGAGCTAACACTGCTGCAAACCGAGTCGCGCGAACTCCGATGCCGAAGGACACTATCCAGATGGAGCTGGAGAACATCATGGCCCTGCAGAACGTCGAAACTCCACTGAAAGGCGGCCTGAACACCCCGCTGCACGAATCGGAACACCGAGGCGTGCTGCCGACGCCGAGAATCAACGCCACCCCGAATACGGTCCTTCATGCGATCGCTGCGACTCCCGCTAGCCAGTACGGAGCTCTTGGTGGAGGTGCGTGAGGATCCTCCAAACAAAAAAAGCCTTTTTTCCACTAAACATACGATTACGGCGTTTTCATAATAAGCAAGTCAAAACGTTCCGTAAATTATGGTGCTTAGAGTTTGAAAACACCGTGACGCACTATCGCATAATCAAAACTTTTTTAGAATTTGCACTTTTAAGATGATAGTTGAAGGACTTTTCCTAGAAAAAGCTGAAAATGTACTTACTTTTCAAATAAATCGCTCAGTAAATCTTGAGATGCCTCTAGAGTGTGTGCCTTGTAATATAAAAACGGGTCCTGAACAGTTCTAAAACCACCGTAGTAGTACGATTTACGGCGATCATCCCTGATGCTTTTTTTTTCATCAGTTACTTTCAATACGAAGAACGGCTGTGTTGTTCAGAAACTCCCGGATTCACGCCGAACGCGACGCCGTTCCGCGATCAGATGGGTATCAATGACGTGGGCGGCTCGTTGGAGCAGAAGGCGCTGCTCAAAAAAGCTTTGGCCGGCCTGCCAACTCCCAAAAATGACTATGAGATAGTGGCGCCGGATGACGATGATCTACCGCCAGAGGATGATGATAAGGTTGGACTGGCCTTCTAAGATCTCAGAATACTGTCTGAAATCTTCTATACGATATTAGGCTTTCATGTGTCCCTATAAATCTGAAAAAATAACCTCTGCGATCCTCAATTCTTTTCAGGGCGTATTATTAAATATTTTGGAGACTTTCCCTCCATTCTGTTGTGTAGCATGTTCTAGATACTTTCTCTTTTTTTCTGGGCTTCTCTTAACCATTTCGAAGCTTTTCCGTTAGTTTGAAAAAAGTTCATTAAATTTCTGAAAATCTGGAGGGGTTCCTTCTTTTTTTTTCTTTCATTGAGTTATCCTAATTGAAAAAAGATTATTTTTTCAAAAATAATTTGAGAAAAAGAATAGCGGAACTTTATTTGGAGTATTTGAATTTTCTTCAGAAAGACGAAGAAGGCTGGGTGGAAGATGCTTCAGAACGAGCTGAGCGACGTGCCAAGATGAATGCCGAGCGTAGAATTCGAGAGCTGAAGCTTCGATCTCAAGTAAAAATGAATTACTTTTTCCATCAAAAGAAGCCATTACGTGCAGGTCGTCCAACGGGATCTTCCAAAGCCGGCCAAGGTTCACGAACAGGCGTTCCGACAGTCTGTTGGCGCCACTGACGTGATGAGGGTAAGCTAAGATGAACTATATAGTCAGCTGAAAAAGGGTACATGACAAAAAAAAAACCGCGAAAAAGCCGTGAAAAGATAGCAGAAAATAAATGGGAAAAGCCGTGAAAAGATAGCGGAAAATAAATTATAGAGAGCCTTTTGCAAAAAAGACTCTCTATAATCGAAGTTAGACATAGAAACATTGATAGTAAATAAATATTAAGAAAAACATAAAAAAAATTCACAAAAATAACTCGGACCTTGGTAACGCGAATCTGACGTGTCGGGGCATTTCTAGTGACCACTTTAGTGACCTCAGCTCTCTTAAGTGACCCTTCAAAGCTAATTATTCCATGGCAGTTTTTTCACATGTTTTTTTTTGGCTCCATTTTCGCAGCCATTTAATCATATACTAGACAAGTTTCTCTAACAAAATCATGACCAAACACTCAATTTTTTTTTCAAATTTTGAGAAGAAAAACCATTCCAAATATTTATTCTCTTCAATTTTTTTTTTCTATCTCATAGCCTGTAAACTTCATTGTGTGATATATTTCGTCAGAAGTGTGACCTCAAGAAGAATGTTAAAGATGAGGAGAAGGAGCAGATGTGTTCAAGGGTTTACTTGGCGGACCCTTGCTGTCAGTCATCTGGAAATGAGAGATTGATGATTTATCATACTAATTTATTCTGTTAGCCTCCAAAAACTTGGCCTTTTTTCCAGGCCGACGACCTAATCAAGCAGGAAATGGCGAAGCTTGTCGCCTGGGACGTCGAAAGCAAGACGCCGGCTGAAATTCCTTCCCGAGAAGAATTGGATGAAGCCTCCAGACTTATAAAGTACCTAAACTCGGCCTAAAAATAATAATCATTTTTTGAAGAGAAGAAGCGCCTGAAGGGCCAGCGCTCAACGAGGAAATGTGGTCGGTCGTTAACCAATGTACCAGCGAATTGGTCTTTTCCAAGGGGAAATTTACCCGAATCGCTGTTCTGTCCAAGTCTGAACAGCTTGAATCGTTCAATCAGCAGTTTCAGGTGCGTGAACAAAATAATGCCCAATTTTCCCCAGATTTACGGAAGTTTTTAACACGAAAATGAAAAACCAAACAAATTCCACTGTCCAAACTTCAGATGTACCGTGATTGGATGAATGCTCGCGCCAAGAAAACAGCCAAAATCGAGAAGAAGCTGAGGGTGAAGTTGGGCGGTTATCAGGTTCCTTTTTTCAATGAAACTTTGAAGCAAAAAAATTTTTATTTCATCTAATTTTTTTAAAAAAATATTAGTGCGCGTTATGAAAAAAATGGTAGGAATACAGTAATATTTTTTTGGGTTTTTTTAGACCCCTAGCCCCCCTTCTGAAAAATCACTGTAAAAAAATCAAACTTTGATAAAATTCAAGGGTAAAAAAAGCAAAAAAACTTGAATTGGTCGCGCGTTTTTTTCGCAAGACGATAGGAATACACTAATGTTATCAGGTTTTTTTGAAGATTTTTTTAAAGTTTGTTTTGAGACCCCCAGTCCCCCATGAAAAATCACTGTGATAACCATATTAGAGGTGCTCGGTGAACAAGTATTTTGTTGCGAAGGCGCCGAGATCTGCATAGGAAATGAGAGAAGCGTTGTTTCGCATGGAGATTATACGCGCAACTCCAATGTTTGGCGGGTTGTTTCCCAACTTTGTCGGAGCGAATACTGTCGAGTGAAGTGGCGCTCCGGATTATCATATTATTAACATCGAAACTCGACGAGGTCACGCTGGTTTTTTCATTTTAACCGCTTTTCAACCTTAATGAAGTAGGTGTACGCGGAATCGCTCCAAAGAGTCACGGTTGCCAGTAATTCTTGACTGATTTGCTCACAGTTCCATCTAAAAAGCTTTTTTTCGAATGCAAGAAAAAAACTTCTTATACTGCTCCATGACTTGTTCCCTCGGTTTTCCCAACCGAAATAGTCGTGAGAGTACGGTAGTCTGTTGAGATGCGAGAGCCGGGTGCGCTTGTCAGCGGGTGTTCGGCGGAGGCCATTCATTGCACCATCAACGAATGTCGAAACAGATCTGCGAAGAAGAGGCCTTTCTAGACACACACAAATCTCACGGCCAACGAGCTCCCCGGACCATACAAAGCGTGGCGGGTGCAACAGTGATTGATAGGCTCGCAAGGCCAAGAAAAAAAAATTAGATGGTCCATTTATATGGTTCTCCAAAATTTTGAAATCATTTGATTGCTTTTATGAATTTTGTAGATATCTCATGGCTTTTGGTTATGAGGATCCATCGTGGAGAGGGCTAAAAAATGAATTGTGCCTTAAAATGCTTTTCTTCTTTTTTTTTTGAACGCTTCCACCTACTTTAAAGTCGAGGAAAACTTCACTGAAAGGCAATAAAGTTTCCCGTTTCATCCCCTTCTCAATAACGTATTAATAAATTGGATGAGTTTCAAATGAGTTTTTCATTTGAGATCTTTGGAACAGATCCTGGATCATTTTTCATAGTTGTGTTTGTGTACGGAGTTCTAGAATGTTGAATATGATTATTATTATTTTTCTGAAAAGTTTAAAAGTGCCTTAGTGGCTCCAAAAAATGAAAAAAGTTTTTCAATTTTTTAACTTATTTATTTTATAGACGATACACGCCAACTTGTCGAAGAAGTTTTCTGAAGTTGAACGCGACTTGGAGCTTTCGAAAATCGAACGCGAGACCTTTAGGTTTCCTTTTCAGATTATTTTAATTTTCTCACTCATTGTATCCCTTTATTTGCAGACGTCTGGCTGAACACGAACAAAAGGCGATTCGAAAGCGAGTTTCACGTCTTCAGGAAGAAGTCAAAAAGCAGGAAGAACGCGAGAAAGAGCTGCAGAAGCTCTATTCTACTCTTTCAGGTACATTATCTGCTCAAAATCAAGGTCGAATCGAAAAGAAAAAAAATTTTTTTTTCGGTATTTTCTCACCGTAACCTTAATAAAAAGACGCCGCAAGTCAAAGTTGTGTATTTAATTTGAGCACAGCCTGAGCTCAGAAAACTCGCTCTGAAAATTTTTTTTTTTCATTCACTATTCATTGATTCTCTCGGAGAACCTGCGGTAAAGTTATTTTTCCAATCTTTTTAGCCTTGGACTGTTGATAAAAATTGCAGATCAACAATGGAAACTGTCGCAAATCGAAGTTCGCGAGATGGCGACCAGTGGCGAGGCTCCTGTTAAATACTGAACTTGAGGTGTGCCTTCAGATGATTCCGGTTGACTTCTGGAATTTATTTGGTTTTTTGCAAGCATATCAATCCTTCAAGCTCGAAAGTCTGACGTCTTTAGGTGGTAATTAGTAATTAGTCGGTTTATAATATAACCTGCCATCAATCCTTTCCTGCCAAGGAGAGAAGTGTCGCGGGTGAAGAGGGTTTTAGCCGGGTTCTTTGTTGCCAAATTGGCTCCTTCGCCTTTCTTTTCACCTTTTTGAACTCGCCGCAATCTGGAATGGATTGGATTTATCCAATGTGTTCTCAATTTGATGATTAATGGAAAAAGATTTCTTGGAAGTTTTCATCGAAGCGCTTTTATTTTAAAATTATCTGACTTTTGAAGTTTTTTGACAGATTCTTATAAGATTTCAGATTATAAATTCAACTCCTCAGAGGTTTCAAAAAATCTAGTCACTTTTTCTCAACTTTTTATTGTATCTCGTATATATTTATTAAAGTCCCTAATTAGATAATCTTGGATTTTTTTTTCCCCGATATATGTTGCGTCACAGGTCAAACTTTCTATTGTTGGTTTTTTCCATTTTCTCACCTGGTGATAGGCCTTTTTGACCGCCTTACGAGGCTCTTTGAACGGTTCCGACGCCCCTTTTCGGCCGAAAAACCAATGTAATGATTTTATTGCGCGTCTGCAACACGTCGTGTGCCGTTAATGGCTTTACGGATGCGATAAAAAATTTTAGTTTCCTTTTTTATCGTTATTAGCGTGAGATTTTTTTGATTATTTAAAATTTATTATAATAATAATAATAATAGTTGAAATAATTTCAAAAAAATTAAAGATTTTTTTCATACCAATTGATTCATGTTTTTCAGATCGGAAGTTGACAACTGACAATGGACTTGTACGAAACTTTCCTTTCATTTGATCTTTTCTTTTTATTACTTCAATAATGTTTATTCAGTGTTTTTGAATCATTTATTGATTGTGATTAGACTCATATTTCACGTTTCTGTTTGGAAATCCTTCTCTTTTGGATCGTTTGTTGAGTTTGGAAATGTTATTTTTTGAAGGCAGAATGAAGGCTCTTTTTCATATACTGGATTTTTCCCTACTGGTTTTTTAGTGGATATGGTTGCATCTGGGGATGTTCCATTTTGGGTTTTGATACGTGATGTATAGAAAAAAGTCATTGGAATATTTCAGAAACGTTTGAGGACTTCTCGGACATTGGTAACACAAAATGGACGTGCTCCGGACGTTTCTGGGCAGTTCTAGGGATCACTTAAGAGCGCTGAGGCTACTAAAGTAGTCGCTAGAAATGCCCCGACACGTCCGATTCGCGTTACCAAGGTCCGAGTAGGTCTTACGGTTTCAGTAAGTCATTGGAGCGCACTTGATGGTTAGCTGGGTTCTAAACAATTTTGCAAAAAAATATCTTAAATTTCCAAGTCTGGGAGTCGCATTTCATGTTGGGTCGCAGGACGATACCGCCGAGAACCAAATTATGCAAATTTTTTTTGTCTGTCTCTTCACTCGTTTTCCTCGTTTTTGGACCGTTTCTATCTCGAAAAGGCGATCGAGTGACACATTTTTGTTGCCATTTAGGACCACAGCGGGTGGTTTCGCCCATGCGTCGTTTGAATGTCTCGAGACTAATGGAAAACGGTAGAAGCTTTTTTTCCAATATAGGATATTCAAAGATAATATTCATAATCAAAACTACAAAAACTGGTCGCATGCGGAATGGCTCAGCGCGTATCGGGTTCTCGAACAAAATTTTAAATCTCAAATTTGACCGCTACGCGACAGCAACGCTTCGTCGAGCTATTCTACAAGCGACAAAAAATATACCATAACATAATAATCCCAGGTGAGCAAATTTCGCTTCTATTTTGAAAGGGATTACGGTAGCGGAATGTTTGTTCAGATGCTAATTTATTCATCCCCCAAACCCACCTTCGTTTCTAACGGCAGTGGTGCGTAAACACACATAGAAAACGATGAGAACTCTTTTTCAACTAAGTTTTGCTTTTTTTTCGATGGAAAACACTCAGAAGAAAGAAACGAGCGAATCTAGATATTTAAAGCCAAGAAAGCCGTTCAGCACTTTTTTTTCGACCTAATCTGCTTTTTTTTAAAAGATCTATAAGCTGTTACCAGATGTTTTTTTTGTCGAAGTGCAAACCTGACGAATCCATTCTATTAAATATTCTATTTGCGAGCTGATCCAACGGGTTCATTTTGATTTTTCCTTTTTTCAATAACCCTTCCAGCCATCTGGACTAGAAAACGTATGATAAATTACATCAAATATACTAGTATTGCAAAGTTTTCACTAAATTTCCTTTTTTTTCAATCTTATGAAGTCTTCACTTACACACAAGCTCCCTCCCAATGAGGGGTCAATTGAAATGCGATAATTTCTCAGTTTCTCTCCAGCTCAAACGGCATTCAACACGTCGTTTTGGCACCTGGCCATTCCTCCGCTCCTCAATCACTATTCCTCCGCCCTTTTATGGCAGTTTGTCAGTTATATCGACCGAGGGTGCTGATGTGAAAAGAGGTCAAACTCGGTCATGGCGACGGAATTAGGAGCCATGTTATGAGAGCGGAGTCAGCTGTTTTGGAAATGTTAGTTTTAAACTATTAAAAAAAAAACAAAAAAATTTTGACCGGTTAAAAGTTAAGTTTGAGTTATTAAGGTCACTTCACAAAGTTTGTCAGTTTATGTCAACTTCTACTTCCAGAAAAAAATGCTCAATCCGAGGCGCAAATTGTAGCAAAGTTGCTACATGAAAATGTGCAAAAACTTCTTCAGGGAAAAAATTTGTTCTGGCGGTGGCTGGCACCCAAAAATTGTAGACTTCTCGCCTAATGTTTGATTTGGCACACAAGGTGTGGGAATTTTTTCATTAATTTCTCCCAAGCTAATCGGGAAGGTGCCATATATGTCCACGAGTATACCTCTCAAAATGGATCGGGAATACCTCATAATATGTCCATCCTAGTACTTTTAGCATACCTTTGAGCTCTATCCGAGCCATACCGAAGGCCCTTGAGAGTATATAGATAAGAACTTTTCAAGTTTTGAATTACACAACTGACACAAAATAAGGAAAACTCGATATTTCGAAAGCCCTATCAATTTCGCTAAGTCGTGGTACCATTGTTAGACTTCAGACCCAGGTAGGGATTGGTAAAGTGGTCCCTAGAGGGGACTTTCCTAGAACCCGTGAGGTTGCCCCTGTAGGGGCCACTATGGAGATCCTAAGTTTCACGATACCCGCGATAATGTTGCGAAAAACTATTTTTGAAAAACATTCAAGCTTTTATGCTTGGAAAGATGATTTCTTGAAATTTACTGTTGTTAAAAACTATACAAAGTCAAAAACAATACGAAAATATTTCTTTGGTCGTCTGAGTTTTCTGATTTCCCTTCCAAACAGTAACTCCCAACCTCAAAAAGCCGATGAAGAAAACGCCAAATTTTTCCCCGTGGATGTCAAGACGCCATGCTGAGTTTATGGGAGAAACGTTCGCATTTTATTGGTTTCAGGCCATTTCGGTGAATGGGTGGTGCTTCAGGATTTCAACAATCTCTGGATCTCGTCCTAAAAACTGAAAATTTTTGATTTTTCGGACTAGTTCAAAGAATTTACACGGATTACTTCGAAGAATTGGCCGCTAAAAGGGAGGCTCAAAAAAAGGCCGCAGAAAGGCAGCAAAAAGAGTCCTTTTATCGACCCTTCCATTTTTTCTAGGATTTTGAAGACTCAGGAAATGGAGGGAGAAGGGAAAGGCAGCAAAAATGGTGCATAAGAGGCGATGAAATGGCGCAAAAAGGCAGAAAAAAGGAGCCGTTTCCCCTAAAATAAACATTTCTATGCAGCCTTTTTCGACCCTGCCAACTTTTGTCTAAAAATGCAAAATATCAAAAAATTATACACAAACTTCATAGGAATAAGAGATTTATTCAATTCCTTTTTTTATGGATAACTGTATGATTCAAAAAGGAAAAAAATTTTTAAAAAAAGTTTGCAAAAAGTCTTTGCTCCGATGAAGTGGGACCGAAACTACCATGAAAAAACGATTCTTGACCTCAAGAAATCTCTGAAAATTTTTCATGTTCCTTTTAAAAGTTCATCAAGGTTTTTTGAACAAACTAGCATCACAGAGAAAAGTTTTTTCAGACTATTTTTTTCGAGAATATATACATATACTTCAAGACCTGGAAATCTTCCTTTCTGAAATTCTCCCATGGGAAAAAAATAATAGGAAACAGAAATTCCTTGTTCGTTTCAGAGCAGAATAGTATTGTGAAACTGATAAAGGTTAAGGTTTTTCTCTGAATTCATTATTTACAGTAAAACGGGGCTTTGTAGCTACCGTATTCTTGAAAAAGCTTCAAATTCAAAAATTTATATTATTATGCAAAAAAAGCCACGGAAAAAATACAAGAATACTTCAATTTGGTCAAAAATATCAGAAACGGGAGAAACATTTCCCAACATAAAAATTCTTGAGAGCCTGATCATTTGTACAGGAGAGACTTGAATGCTACCCATTACTTCAAAAAAATAAAAGTTTAATAAATATATAAAATCTGTGTTTAGAAAAATTTTGAACAAAACGACAAAGAACAGGTCGAACAGCACAGGTTAGGAGAATCTCATCAAAGAAAGGTAGATCGAAAAATAGTATATTTTTAAAAAAAGGTGAAATGGCGGAAAAAAAGTACAGTTTACACTTTGACCAGATTTCTGAGATCAGAAATGAGAAAATTTAATACATTTGTTAATCACTATAGAACAGTTGATATGTGAGGCAAGAAGGGAGAGAAATTTGAACCGGAAAATTTGGAGGCGAAATTCGGGCCAGGAAGTATGCATTTGAAAGAATCTTGACCGTTTCATTTCAGTAAAAATAGAAAAAAAACTTTCAAAATTACTGATAACAAGTTTTCTAGACCATATAGAAGAGAAAAAAAAAGTTTCCTGGACCAAATTTTTGAAAAAAAAAGCTGTGAATAAGGATGGTTAGGTCGGTTGTTGTTGCTGTTGCTGTTGGAAATGACTGACGAGTCCAGCGGGGTACTGGAAAAGTTCTGGAGGATACGGGTTCGAGAGCAACATTTGCTGCTCGAACTGCGGCGTCATTCGCTTCTCCTTTTGTCGCCGATTGCAGAACCAAACTCGGACAACCTAAAGAAGTCATCATTTAAACACAGTCTTGGACATTGGTATAGCTTATTCACGGCTGGCTTGAGACACCGAAAAAAGAGTCCTGACGCGATAACGCACGAGATAGTGCCTGGCTCGTGGAGAGCGCAGACAGGCCACGCCCTCTTTGTGTCTCAAACTAGACGTGAAATAGCTATAACGCGAAATGGACGTGTCGGGGCGTTTCTAGTTACCACTTTAGTAGCGTCAGCACTCTCTAGTGATCCTAGAAATACTCAGATCAGGTCCGGTTTTCGTTAGGTATCACAAGATTGAAGCTTTCTTTGATCTCAGGAATACCAGAGTGATCTCTCTAGGGTAAAACTTATAGTCCGTTCAGATTTTGAATGTCAAGTAGAATGACGTCATTCGAAAAGGCTCTGTGGATGGCTCGCTCTCTGATTGGTTTATAGCGCTGTTAGGGGGCGGAGCTTGAGCGAGGACTTGACATTTAAAATCTGCACAGACTATAGAGTTTGAAAGTACCATCCAGAGGCTATCCCTTCCTACCCCTATAGGGGCACTAAAAGTTGCAAAAGTGGGCACTCTAGGGGAGCATGCTCATGATCCCTGTACGCATTTTTTCATAAAAAAACCACTTTAGGGAGCAACTAAATTTTATCCCTCTAGGAGGCACTATGTCGCCCCATATCGGGGGTTTTTTTTAGCCCTAACCCCTGAAGGGACCATTCTGGCGTTTCTAATCTCATTAAAAACGTATAAAGTTTATAGAACTCCGTGAAATTTAAAATATTGTCCGAGTTTTTTCAAAATGCGGAATGGCTCAAAAGTGTCGGTTTTCTCGATTCTGACGATCCAGAACAGTTTTTAAAGCCACAAACCTCTTTTTCCAACTGCAATTCCATGGCAACCTGACCGATTTCTTGAGCGTTCGGCTTTTGATTTTTTTGGAAATGATACTCGAGTCGTGATTTGACGTTGACCTGAAGAATAATCATTTGAAGCTTTTGAAGTGACCAAATCAACTTCTTTTGGTGAAAACTCTGGTCAGAATAAATACGATTTCATCATATTATCTAGCATTCAAGAAAGATAGGCGGGAGAATAGTCGAGTGACATAAAATAGCTAATCAAAGCGTGATTATTGAGGAAAGATGATTTTATCCTGAACCTTAGAGAATCACTGGCAAATTTACGCCTCAAACCCAACTTCTTTTTTGAATTCTAGCTCATCCAAGGATCTATATGAGTTTAAAAGTTCAATAACCTCTATACTAGTCCTTTTCTTGCGTTTCCGGCCTCCTTGACCAGCCATTTTTTCAAAAGCCGAGTTTGGAGAGGCTGACGTTGAATCGGCTTCTTCCAGCCACCTGTACAGCAGAGGCTTCAACTTGCACATGTTCTGAAATTCAGAAGAAATGCATGAAAACCAATGGATCTTTAATTTTATTTCGAAAATTCCGTCAAATAGAAATTGTAATGAAAAAATGGGATAATTTTGTATTAATTGACCGCTTAATTTGTTTTTCGAATAGAGAGTATTCAAGTCAAAAATTTTCTTTTACTTGAAAAACAGTTTTCGCGGCAATCGGCTCATTGCAACATCAGAAAGAGTAAACCTAAGCAAATACGGTGAAAGAAAAAAAAAATGAAAATCCTTCTAGGGGCAGCCGCCAACGTGAGAAAGACACACAGAACACGATGCCGGCAACCCTTTTATGCGTAATTCTTTCGGGTTTTTCTGGCCACACAGGTTTAAATGCTGTTTCAGACGGTAAAGGATAAAAATTCGTAGAGCTTGCGAGCAACTATGAAAATAACGAATGTTTCAAACTAAACTTAATCAAATGAAGACGAATTGTCGAGTTGAATGGCAGGTCTTTTACATTTAAATCTGTTTCATATGAATTTGCTATACATAATAATGCTTTTCCCTTTTTTTTGAGATCGAAATTGAAATATTGATCCTTGGAAAATTCCAAAACTTATCGCGCAAGCCAAATATAAAACTCAAAGAAAGAAGAATCTTTAAAGTACGACCGGTGCGAGATCTGAGAAAAAAAACTCTACATCAGTATTTATAAATTTTCTCGGGCAAATGGCAAAGTCGGAATGGTGGATAATGGCCGCTAAAAGGGAGAGGCTCAAAAAAGGCCTCCGAAAGGCAGTAAAAAGGCAGCAAAACGACTCCCTTTATCGAGCCTTCCATTTTTCTGGGATTTTTAAGGTTCGAGAAATGGTGGAAAAAGGGAGAGGCAGCAAAAAGGATGCGTATGGGCTGAGAAAATGGCGCAAAAAGGCAGCAAAAAGGAAGCCTTCATCACCCAAAAAGGAACAATTCTATGGAGTCTTTATGGACCCTCAGAGAGTCCTTCCGACTTTGCCTATGTTGGCTGAGAAATATTTAATTTTGAAAGCACTGAATTTTCAGTACCTTGAGTGACAGCTGAAGAGCTTCGAACCGACAGATGGTCGTTTGACTGAAGACGTTCCCATATAAGGTGCCGAGAGCTAAACCGACGTCCGCCTGCGTGTAGCTGTAAGATGAAACTTTACATTTTTACATGGTCTAAAAAATTATATTTTCAGGTGAAAAATGACAGAATTCACATCGTCTAGAAGAAGGTATCGGTCAATGAAAGTGTCGAAAATCATCAAAAAGCCTATTTTCGCAAAGATATTATTCTGGTTAGTTCGTTCACCGGTAGCTTGAGGGGAAAGAAAAAACGAATAAAAAAAAAGTGAAATACAAGAAAAAAGAAGATAAAATGAACCCCAGTTTAATCCTCCGTTGCTTGAACTGCTTGGCGAACCCCTCGAGGTCGTCGGCACAAGCATGGTCGCCGTCGTCGGAGCCCTGCGTCGTCGGCGCCGTGTTCTCTTCTGACGGAAACGAATACGGCCACGGGTGCGACAACCTTTGTATGACTTCAGGTCGTTCTGTCTCGATTTGCAGCTGAAAGAGGTGTGACCTAGTCAGTGTCTTTGAAAAAATGAAATTTTTAAAATACACCTAACTCTGAAGACCTCTGAAAACGACGTTACGACACATAAATGGTCGATACGTTCAAAGTTGAGGGTCTATCCGATTCAGAATTTTACGCTGATTCCAAATATTCGATCAGTTTGTTCAGAAGTGGAGATTAAAGCTGACAATTTTAGATCCAAGCTCAATGACCTGGCTTAGTGTCTTTGACTATTTTAAATCTTTAGAATCCAGTTAAGAGTCATCTGAAGACCTCTGAAAATGGCGTCACGGCACAATTTTCTTCAATTTGATCGACACGTTCAAAGTTAAGGGTCTTTCCAATTCAGAATTTCACGCTGATTCCAAATATTTAATCAGTTTATTCAAAAGTTGAGATCGAAGCTCAATGTCATCTGAATATCTTTGAAAATTACGGGACGGTACAATTTTTTTCAGTGTAGGGTCTGCCCGGTCAAGAATTTTACGCTGGCTTTTTTGAAGCAGAGAGAGAGTAATTATGAGGTTGGAAAAGAATGCATTTGAGGGCATGAAAAGATCAACTGGAATGATAATTTTTTGTTGATCTAAGTTTTCCTGGGTCATTGTCCAATATTAGCATCTTACTGAGGTGTTCAGAAGTAATCTAAACTAACCTTGAAAAAAAAACCATTTTTTGAAGCTTTTCCAAAAAAAAAACACTAGGGTTTGAATCTTAAGAACTCGTACTTTTCAAAAAGCTAAAAAAATTCACTAAGTTGTACAATTTATTTTGTGATTCCTCCCACCAATAAATCCAGACACAATCCTTACTGCTTCCCTCATTCAAACATCCAGAAAAACGTCGAAAATGGATGAGAAAAGAAGAAGGCGAAGGAGAGCGGTAAGTCGTAATCAATTGTGGGAAGAATCGAAGGCGATGAAAAGGCGAATGACGGGTCTCCTGGAGGATGACGGCGGCGTTTTGTTAGAAAGGTCTATATGGATTTGGATAATTTTATATCCTTCATAAAAAAACTTGACAATGTGTTTTTGAAGAAAGTAGAAGTAAAAAAAACTAAAGCTTTCGAAAAGAAAAATATTTTTTTCAATTAATCATTTTTTTCTTAAACTGCACAGATTTAAAAAAACAAATTATAGTAGTTTTAAAAACGCTTTGATGAAAAGTAGAAAGTTTTTGAAAAAAATAACTCAAAAAGAGAAAATTTTCAAATAAAAAATGTCGACTCTAAAAAGTACAAAAAAGAACAAAAAAAAATTAGTCTTTCTGATTTTTATATAACGCGACCTAATAAGTGAAGAGATTTTTCTTAATTATTTTTTTTCTCCGATTGAAAAACTAACGGCACAGTGTAGCAGATAATAGTTCTCGGCCATGAATTAAGAGGAAAAATGGCCAGACATGGGTAGTAATAAGAGGGCGCAGACGGTTGCCGAGCGAAAATCCAGAAAGGACTGAAAGAGATAGAAGGTAGGAGAAACAATACAGTAACCAGAGGATTGAAAAGTTCATTATCGAGGTGTTTGATTCGATTCATTTTTCAGTTTCACTTCAAATTTCATTTAACAACGATAAACTTGTTTTTCTCTTTTTTTTTTCTCTCAACTGTAGTCCAACTATTTGTTCTATTGATTAAAATCAATGCTAAGTTCCCACATTTAACAGCGTGAAAATGAAAACTTCGAGACTTCATTGAACAAATAAGGGCTCGCTAAATTTGTTTGCCAAATGACACCAATGGAGATGGTGGAAAACGCCTAATTTGCATGAAAAACACTGGGAAACGGCGGAAAAAATCGATAGCCGAAATCGAGTGACGCACAATATTAATATTGAAACACTAGAAAATTTTTGTGTTTTACGATTCTTATGAACTTACCTGATGCTTTTCGACTTCAACATGGATAAAATCGAAAGAAAACACAGAAGAATGAGAAACAAAAACGCAAAAAATGAGGGGAGGTTACTTTTGAAACAATAAAAAACGGAAGAGAAGAAAAAAAGTTTGAAAAGGAAAATTCGAATTATTCGCAAGCAGTCTGCAGACACGCGATAACTTCTTACGCAACTTTGCGGCCTTGGAAACCGTGGCTATCGCAAATTTTTTCACTATTCGTCAAAAAAGGTCGAAAAAGCTTCACATTTAGTCAGAAAAGTCAAAAAACCTTCATGGTATAAAATTATAAACTTCAACTTCATTTTTTAACAATTGCCTTTACTAGTGTTTTTACCCAAAAATTTATATTGAGACTTGAAATTTCTCAAGATTTCACAGAAAACTAAGAAATTATTTCTCATGTAAATATTAATAAAGCTTATCAAATTAACCTTCATGTCGTGTTGTTGGATGACGTTGGAATGGATTTGTGGATGGATGTGGGGGTACGCGCTCCAATCGGGTTGTGGGGGGAAAAGGAACTGTAGCGGTTGTTGTTGATAAACCGGGGCCTGGGGCCATTCTTGGAACGCTTCGCAGGTCGGCTTGATCACCTGAAAATCAATAAAAAGCATTCTGAAAAGCTACGTAAAGTAATAAAATTTCTGTATTTTGGTCATTACAATTATTTCATAACAAAAAAATTCTTCTGCATAAATTCAGAAACAAGTTGGATGAAATAAAAATCTTCCTGAATAACTAAAACTTTGAGCACGATCTGACAAAGGCCAAAAAGCCAAAGCCTTCTCACAAGATAGAGTGCTGATCTACCTGCGCATAATTAGGCTGATCTTCGTGCGGAAGAAGCTGCCCAGGCGGAGGCTGCAAAGGCGGCGGCGCGTGTCCGTTGTTGGTGATGGTGACGGAAAAGTTGTAGTTCCAGATCTTGGGGCCGTCTGTCGGTGATGACGCCGACGGCGAGGCCGACGCGTCCAGCGGCCGCTCGTCCTCCGCCTTCACGTGGTACGGGTTGTGCGGCACGTCGGCCTGGATCTACAAAACGTCTTGTTGGAGAATGGGTGGACCGCAACGCGGCACGCTACGTCTAACTTTTTGGGAAAAGTTTTGAATCTGAACAGTCCTTTTGGGCGGAATACCTATCCCATGAGTTATTCCATGAAAAATCATCATATAAATCGCTTCCTTCCCGTCGAGACCCAACAGGAACAACGTATTATTACTTGAATAGTAGTACAAGTTATAGGTCTCATGATTTTCAACGAATATAATTTTAGTACATAACACATGATTGCAAGGAGAGGTGGACATTTAAACTATGAAAACGCAAATGATGGCCTATCAAGGATTTCAACTAATAGAAAATAAAAAATAAACTATTTCTTCACACATCTACACAATTAGTGTTAAGAGAAGATTCTCTGCTGAATAATTGAAGGTTTGTCGGTTTGCAAAACTCTCGTTGTTCAAGTACCCTTTTTCACACTTCTTGTGATAGTTCTGAGCGTTCCGAATATCAGCTTCTTAGACATTTAGGAACAGTTCGGCGTCCAGATTTTTCAGAGCGTCGGATTAAATCTCAGACCAGCGGAAATGAAAATGGACAACTCAGTAGGTGGAAGGAGAGTATCATTGATTTTAAAGATTATGAAATCAGAAAGAGAAACTGGTGACCTACAGAAGGAATAAAAAAAAAATAATCTCAAAACGAGATTACTTCGAAACGCTGCGAAAGTCTCATGAAGCTGAAACTAGATGAAAAAATTCAGTAACGCTATAAAAAACAAAACTTCTCTATTCTTTCTTTTTCTAACCTTCAAAGTCAAATATAAAAAACTCAAAAAGCAAATTTTTCAACTTACAAGACATCGTTCTTTGCTTTTTTTTTGAGAAGTTAAAAAATTCTAAAAAATCGAGACTTTCAAATTAAGTCAAACAAAAATCAAAATATAAAAATCAAACCTGCATCTCGTTAAAGGTACTATGCAGATGAATTCAGAAACTAAAAAAGGTACGTTGGTAGTCAGTAGAAAGGAGAGGCGGTAGCGTTTGAGGGGAAAAACGGCCGCCTTCATGGAGGCGGTCCAGCCGGCCACGCCTCCCCCGCGCGCTGATTGGTCAGCCGTGCCACGCCTAATCTAAGCTGGCCAGACGGTCTGGCCGGCCGGCCGGACCGGCGCCAACTGAACAGACTGGACCTTCTGGAAAAAAAGGGTCTGTTTGATGAATATGCAGCAAAGTGGGCGGTCTTCCTGCCCATCAGAAACTCAAATGAGCATTTTATTCCGCCATTTTTTTCGTCGTCGTCCTCCTTTTGCTGCATCGGATTTGCATGCCCAATGCGAAACAACCCGCTGCCATTTTTGTTTGTTTTCCGAGTTTCTCAGAAGTTTTTGCCGTATTTGGTAAACTAGTTGCTCTCATTACTTCTGAAACTAGTCCCTCGAATATCATAGTTATATCGTAGTTCAGTTCTGATTACTTCTGAAGACGTTCAGATCTTATTAGAAAGACATCCGTCTTTTTCTAAACTTGTCTTGAGATTAAATAATAGAAATCTATACACAATTTTGATAATGTTACTCATTATGAAGCATTCGATGTACACTCAGAAGTCTTCGGTTTCTTCTGAAATTAGAATCACAAACACGTTCAGATACCATTCCGTTCATCTACTACCTCCTAACACCCATTGAAAAGGATAAAATGTTTTACAAGGTTCTGGGAATATTCCGAGCTGACGTAGAGCTCTTTTAAAAATTTGACGAACAGAAATTAATTTTAAAAAAAACTGGGAACGCTGCAACTGGTGCTATTATAACACTCAAAAAAATCTGGTTTCGATTTTTCTTAACAAAAGACATTTTTGACTGTTCTTTTGAAATCGGAGGAAAAAAATCAAAAAAAATAATTTCTTAATAATTTCCACGCCAAACTGTTTGCGAAAAGTCATAAATAGTTCATAAGGTTTAAAAAAATCGTAACTGTACTAAAAAAAATGTTTAATCTCAAATTGAAAATCTTTTTATTCGAAAAATCATTGGCAACTTCGATTTTCCTGTGAAACAGTCTCAAGTTCTGAGGGAAAAGAAAGCGACGTCAAGAAGATTGATCGGCCTTGTTGGGTACGCAATAAACCGTATAAACAGCCGTCACTTTTGCGACAAGTTTTTGGCATCGTTTGCTTTTTTTCCCGACTTCGGTGGCGTGTTGCGATTTCCGGGACACTAATGGAAAAACTAATATTTAATATGAAATTGTCGAAATTATAGTTATTTTTTTCCCCGACTTGAAAGGCGAGATGAGGCCCCTTTTGACGCGCTTTTTGACAGGGGACTCGAGGTCCAACAAGTCGCCTTTTTTTAAAAAAAAATTATCTTTATTCGACAATTTTTTTCAAAAAAATTAATTTTTTTATTCTGTTGGTTGAACTTAATTGAACTAGTAGACGTGTAAAATAGAAAAACTAATTATTTCTACGTTTTGCCCATGATTTCGTTTGAGCTCGAGTTCCCCGCCAAAAAGCCGCGTCGCGTACGCAACGCTTCACCTTGGCTAATGTACCTATTTCGCCTTTCAAGTCGCGAAAAATTCACTTGATCTGCTCACTAATATCACTTCATTCAAATTCCACATGTCTAAGACTACACGAGGAGAAAAATGATTCAGCGCATATTCGTCCAGAGAGCGCACATTCATATCGTAAATTAGCCGGCTTTTTTTCAAAGGCTTCTTGAAGCATTTCTTCTCTCAAATTAAACCTACATGATCTGATCCATCTCTGTGCTGTTGTCGGCGCCAACATACACAAGACGGGTGGCAGATGCAAATGGCGCGTGGATTTCTCTGTGTCAACAAACTTGCGCGGCGCGGTTCTCACACGTTGCGCAATCCGTTCACCTGCACCTACCAATCATTCAAGCGTTCGCAAAATTACAAATTTCATCAACAAGAGGAAAGCCATAAAAATTTTCCCTGGAGCGTCCTTTGATAAAAAAAAATTAATTTTTATTCATTTTACTCGGCTAATGTTAGCCAACCGCTAAAAATATTTTCAATTTTTAATATTTCCAATTTTTTTAAAGGTCTCAAGGTTCAAAATGCTAACGTAACTGGTGGAAGAAATAGCAACCAGTTAAGGATCTTTCCACGGAGCTTGTTGCGAGTGAAAAAGGCGGTGGAGCCCTCGAAGGGGGCTAATCGTACCATTGACCCCGGTGGTAGGTCGGTTGCAATAAAAGCCTGGCCGCCGCTCCTTCAAAACCTCCACTTCCATTGAAATGCGTGGGAATCCGAGCATTCTTTTTTCTCCTTTTTTTACCACAGGTACTGTATTTTGTGAGAGAATATTCTGAAAAAAATTTCCCAAAAAAAAACTACAGCGAAACACTAAAATAAAAATTTCCGATAATTGAAAGCTCGGAACATCGCATTAAAATGGAATGAATTTGCAATAAAGTTGAAAACTAAGGTTTTATGATTCACAAAAAAGCCCTAAAAGCGAATTTTTGACATCGTCACAATTAGAACGGCTCTAGAAGTTGTTGTTTTTTGATAACTGAACTTTCCGAGGTGCACCCTGTGGGAAACTCGAGCCTCTGGAAAATTGTGGTAAATGAAAAAAAAAGAATAGAAAACATTTTTTGAAAAATTAAAAAGCAGTCGTTTTGATCATCAGAAACAACTAAAAAAATATTTTTTGATTTTGAGAATCATCTAGAAAACAACCCCCATCTTCTCGCTGACTTTCTTAAAATATCTTCTAATTTTTAAACGGTTTGTTGCTGTTTTCAATGTTTAAATTTCCCTTTTTGAAAATTGGTTCTGTTAGAGGTCTTTTCGGCCCTTGAACTGTATTATTATTCGTATTGAATAAATGATGATGATGATGATGATCAAAAATGCGCACCTTTTTGAGCCAGTTCCTCTACATGTAGCCAGGGAACAATAGGCAGGTATTCACCTGCGTATCTGAGGGATGTTGGTTTTTTCTGAGGTGATGAGGGAAAATTTGGAAACTTTCAAACTACATGAAATTTTGAATTATCATGGAAATTAAATGAGTAACGGGTTTTTTGGTTACTCTGAACTTCCAACTTCTTTAAAAGAACCATCCGAGTAGCTCTACAAACAAAAACCACTTTTGAAGATTTTTAGGTGAACCGTAACTTTGCAAGGTCTTCAAAAAACTGTTATACTGTGAAATTTCCCAAAATTACACTATCGATTGCTATAGGCCCAGAAAAAACACCACGTTCCTTAGATACGCAGGTTCAAATCTACTCTGGATATAGTAAAAGGAAATGGCTCAAAAAGTTGCGTCCGAATTTCTGATGAATGGGCTCTCACACTAGGTTAAACTTCATCGAACTCGAAGAATTTTTATTAGCCTTTACATGGGAAATTTTTCGGAAATTATTAAGGCCAGCCTCACGTCTTGACCGAAAAAAAAAATCTTATTTCGAGTTACGTTTTGAAAAGGACTTTAAGTGGTGATTCCAAAATAAACGGGGGCAAAAAATCAACACTTTACGCTGTTTTGCGGACTTTTACTACCGTAATCCATTTCAATTTACACCTATATCCACCGACTCGATAAATGAAAGTTGTTGTCGAGAAGGAGCGCAATTAGGTTGTGTGCTATAACCACCGTAATCCCTACTCGTTGGAATGATTGGGTTTGATGTTGGTGACGAGAATTTGCATTTTGCTCCGTCGACTTGGAGGATACCCCTTTCTGTAACCTCGTTACGTTTTCCTGCTTCAGCGACTTTGGGAAGAATACCTTTTCTATCGTTGAGGGAAGCTCAAATACTAGAAAAACTGCTCGCGAATTTCTACTGAAAGAAAAGACTTCAATCAAGGCATAAAAAGGATTTTGCCCCCTGAGAGACGCGTCACATAGACGTCTCTAAGAGGGTACAAAATTTAATTCCGTTTCTCACACTATTAAACTAAAACAGCAATCAAAAGAAATGAAAAAATATGTGATGACTATATAATCATTTTTTTCCGACTTAAAAAAAGCGAGATAATAAGATTTGCAAATGTGGCTTTCTTTTTCGAGATGCGGCTTTTTGGCGGAGATTTCGAGGTCAAAACACAACCGTAGGAAATAAAAAAATATTTCAGCAGAAAAAAATAATAAAAAGGTTTATCGCTTTTTGACCTCGAGTTTCCTGCCAAAAAGGCGCGTCGCGTACGCAAAAAAATCAGCCTTATGGAATAGATATTAACTATATCGCTTTTTTTAAGTCCGGAAAAAAACTATAAAGGCCATCAAAAAAAAATTTTTTTATTTTAGAAAAAAACTTTGGAAATCTCGATTTTTTTGATGAATATCCTTGTGACAACCAGAAAAAAACCCCCAATCTTGCCAATTTTTTTCTTCGTGACATTTTCTAAAAATTAAAATAATCTACTTCAAAAAAACTAAACTATTCCCAAATCTGATTATGAAGAGTTGAAAGAATGTATGAGATAAGTGAAAAAAAATTCCCGTTTGCGTGAGGAAAATAAATGCCTACAAAGCTTGCAAACTCTGTTCAAAAACACTTGAAAAATGTTTATTAATACCTAACACCCAATAAACGCCTCAGAATCAGAGCAATGAAACTTCGCAACATGCAGTTTATGTGGCAGACGGCACCGCCCATCTGTCACCAACCTACAGTAATCCTTAGCAGTGGCGCGGAACATTATAATTATATTATTAAGAGTGGCTCTCGCGCACACACATTTAGTTTTGAGAGTAAGTGTTCTAAGTGTTAGGTTTTGCGGCCAGTTGACAGATTGCTGCTGCGACCTAATGGGTGCTGGATTTAAACTGTTTAGCTTGATAAATCAGGGAATCTGCGCAAAACACAAGTTTCAAACAATTTTTCTTGAAAAGGTTTGGAAAAAAACTAGCTCCGTAATTGCACTGAATGGCCGCACATTTTTTCAATTATGTATGAACTTAAAGTTGCATTATAAAGATGTTATAACCGAGATAAGATAAAAAGAAAGTTAGAAAGTAAAATGAAAAATGAAAAATGAAAAATTGTAATAATTCAGTCTAATCCTAGAAATGGACTTCTTGAAGATTCTAAACATATTTTCGGAAGAAATTTAGGAAGAGAAGCGTCCAGAAGATTTAGATGGAAATTGACCACTATTCAAAAATAAAAGATTAAAATTTTGGAAATTTCAACTCCACTTGGGTTGGCCTAAACTTTCAAGGAGAATGTATTTCTATAATCTACAAAGCTCAATCCTAAATTTTATCGCTCTCACGAAATATTATAAATTATGATTTCCGCAAAACGTTTAGAAAAATACAAAGTATGTAAGTTCGATGAAAAACGTTCTCATAACCAAAGAAAACAGTTCTGCATGACCAGAATCCATAAAAAAAAAATTTTTTTTTCACTTATAAATCGACACCCACCCACGCCAGATGACGTAACACAATTAGAAATCTCACTCCAACTAATTAAAACCACAAATGAAATTGAGTCAAGAAGAATAAAACAATGGATGAGAATGTGTGGAACAGAAGGCTGGTGGTGGAATCTGAGAATCTGAGGCTGAGGAGAACAAACCGAACGATGAGCCAATTTCCGGCCGGATCGTATCTCAATATGTAGTCAATTTGCCCAGCCACTGCCTTAATCCGGCTTTTCGGTGCCTTCAGGAAGAAGGAGTCTCGCCTAAAAGCTTTGGGAATGGGAGCAAGCTTTTTTTGGTGAAAAAAAGTCACCATAGATAAATATATCAAAAATTTTTGAATGAAAAAAACGTTCAAAAAAACAAAATTCGAAACTCTTGTATTGAAAATGGAAACACAGCAGGTTTTTTTGACAAAAACCGAGTCACAAATAATTAAAAAAATAAAAAAAGAGGTATAAAAAAGGTGAACTGTGAAACTTACAGGGATTTTTGAAAATTTTCTTTCGAATACCAAAACTTTTCACGAAACAATGAGCAGCATTTATTACTGGAAGTTTTCAGAATAGGTTGGCACCGGAAAAAAAAGACAAAAAGCGAAAAAGCTTTCATCCTTGAAATAAACGGAAAATTGTAAAATTGAACGAAAATGGGAAAAAATGAAAGTCGATAGCCGATGCCCCGCCCAACGCGTGCAAGGTCGGCACGCTTTTCAGCAAAGCAGGCGTTAAAGCCGTTTGATTTTGAAGTGTTTTTCTCCCGATCGACCCATGTTCTCTATCTATAGTTTAATATTCACCTTTTTCTCCTGTGCCCTTAATGAACTTCTCTTACTTTCAGGGTAGTCTAAACTATTCAAGCTTGCCTAAACACATTTCAAGTCGAAAAAACTCAAAAAAAAAGTCGAAAACAAAGAAGCTACGAATTTGCATAGAGATGATGACGATCCCAGTGGGAAATTTCGTCGTCAATGGCATCGAAAAATGAATTGAATATTAATCAGGCTTTCAGGAGGTGAGCATTAGAAGAAAAAAGAATAGCCTTTGCGGGGCGACCAAGTGGAAATGAGAGGACATTACCTTCCATTTTACCTGAATTCTCAATTTAGAGGTATGAATGCGCTAAAATTCATATATTCACGGGGAAGTCGTTTGTTTGTTTCTTTTTTCTGAGACATCTAATTTTTTTTTATTGAATTGCAAAATGATTGCTACTTTTTTTTCTAAACTCGCTCTTTAAAGTAGTGAACAAAAAACTTGAAAAATATCAACCAGCGTGGATGAAATTTTGAAAGTACTTGGACGTGAGCAGTCGTATCGAAAAGTAACCATTTTATACACAAGCAATCTCGCGTTGAGTTCTCTACTATGGCTAGAATGAAACTTCTACCACTGCTTGTTCTGATTCTATCTGGTCTTTCTATTGCTCACGTAACACCTTCTTCTGAAGTTTGCAAGGTATCGAAATTTTCAGAAAATTAACAAAACTCAGTCTTTTTTGTAATGCCACTTCCCGTTAAACCGCAAACCGCTACCCCGTGACGTCATCTTGCCCTGAAACGTCGCACAAGAAAACTTATTAAATACGACGTGTAAACTTTTCGAGTGACATAAGAAAAAAAAAGGATGAGACAATTTAAAATATGATAAAAAGAACTAATGCCAATTTCAAAATCCCAAATAGCCGTCAGTGAAGGAAAGAGATAACTAAATTTTGGCGAGTCAGAGATAACTTTGCATTTCGCGGGAACTACTCTGAACACGGCGTAATAAGAGTCATCTCATTTTTTTATGAGATTAATCAAACTTCAGTTTGAAAAATTGAATATAATGGAAAAAAAATAACTAAAAAAATTTTACAGGCCTCCCATTCTTCCGATTTTTCACGAAATTGAATGAAAATTCAAAAAAAAAAAAATTTGACTCGTGTATTTTTCTTTCTCGAACTGAGGTCATAAATCGACGTCAGGGAGTAGCGGTTCGTTATTCAAGCTAACAAAAAAGAGGCACAGATAATAAAGGGAATGCAAAATATCTTTATCTCAACCGAAAGCTATATTTAATCATCATTTTCCCCCTGAGAAGCATTTTTGCGATCAAAACTCTTAAATTTATACATATATAGAAAGTTTTCATAACGAAAAAAACTTTAGTTACAACAGAAAACATTTAAATTTGAAAGAAAAGGAGGGAAAAAAGCGAAAATCGGAAAAATTGCGATCCTTGTTGTCCATAGAGCAACTTTACTGCCAGGCGCACTTTTGGCGGGAGTTTAAAATTTTTTCTCTCTTTGAATTATTTTTTTTTCTCTTACACGTGTTAAAAACTAGAAAGTTCTCTACGATTCGAAATAGATCGTTCGCTACGCAATGAAGATTTCTACAAAATGTTATACTTGCCTCATACCCTATTTTCAACTGTCTAATGCTTCTAAGATCATTAAAAAGAAAAAATGAATTGCAGGACATCGGCGAAAACGGCTGGTTTGAAGGAAGCGAGGTGCTTTTCGACGAAGATTGTCAAACCGGAGTTCCGCCTCAAATTTGCAACACAGATGCACTCAAGTGTAGCCACGGGAAGTGCTGCGTCTGTGAGTTTGGTCATCCCAAGAACTTTGCTACCGTGCTTCTAGCACATTCTGTCTGCGGACGCGGGTCTGCGCTGCTCGGAGACGCGCCGCAGATGTGCCGCAAAGAGACTGACTGCCTTGGTTACGGAATCAGTTCAGTGATGAGTGCCAAATGTGTGGAGGTTCGTCATACTCGGAATGGCTTTTTCTCTTTGCGGACTTGCTAGATTAGATTTTAAAAATATCCAAAGAAAGTGTAAAAGAAAATACGCCGTTAAAGCAGTCATGAGCAAGTCAGATATTTTGCACTTTAAATCTGGAGAACTCGTAGTTTATTTCTTCAAAGTGTCATCAATCTCTCAAACAGTACGTGTGCCACAACTTGAAATTGCACCGAACGACATTCCGCTGTTCCGCTGCGTGCGTTCGCGAAGCGTCTTTCGAATCTAGGTCACGCTTTCAATTGATAGTTATTGCTGTGGGAGCGCATGAAAGTAGAGAACCTTAATGAAAGAAAAAAATTGAAAGCGCGACCGAGGTTCGCAAAGGCGCGCAGCGGCACAGCGGAATGTCGTTTGGTGAAATTTCAAGTCTTGGTACACAGGATGATTGAACATTTTCTAGTTAGACGGAGTTCACTGAAAATATAATTAAAAGTTGCAATAGCTTCAAGTCATTTTTTTTTTGCAGGGTGTCTGCTGCCGTGAGAAGATCGTTAAGCTAAAATTTGATCCGACTGGTGGACGTTTGATAAAATATTTCTGACTTTTTTTTTGTTTCAGGGTGCGTACAGGACAAAATTCCTTCATATTGCGATTGCAATGAGAATGGATGTATATGCGCAAAACCAGATTACTCATGCTATCAGTTTAAGAAAGGCAGCCACAGGACCTGCTGCAGTCAGTTATTTCTTACAACAAAAAATAAAAACAAAAATATATAATTTGATTAAAAGTATCGAAAAAGGTCTTTTTATTTTTTTTTTATCTTCTTTCAACCAAAGGCCAATCGAGGTATCCACACAGAAAATTTTTAGTGGCCACTATAGGGTTTTGACGTTTCAGTGGGCACATTAGTAGTCAAATTAGTGGCCAATTGAGGGGTTTAAAATTAGCCACTATAGAGGTCTAAGTGCTACTAATAGGCCAATAAAAGTTTTAGTGGCCACTTTCAAGGATCAACATAACTGTTTGTTTTAAAATTATCAGAGTTATAGTTTGTGTGCCACGACTTGGAATTTCACCGAACGACATTCCGCTGTTCCGCCGGGCGCCTTTGCGAATCTCGATCGCGTTTTCAATTTTTTCTTTCATTCATTTTCAAATATTCGCAGTGGAACGGTCCATCTATCAGCAATAAAAATAGTCTGGAAGGGTGACCTAGATCCGCAAAAGCAAAGACGCTTTGCGACGCAGCGGAACAGCGGAACGTCGTTCAGTGAAATTTCAAGTCGTAGCACACAGACAATACCATATCGCTATTCAATTTTTTAGTCCACTATTTTAGCTATTTCTGTGAATATGGTATAGATATGGACCAGTGTAGCACTGCCTGTTGGATTTCATTCTCGGTTCTTTCCCCTGATTTTGTTATATGCCAATATCCTCCATTGAGTTTTATAGGAAATATTTTGTGCAAAACTGGATTGCTGCCGGGATATCATACTTCTAAAAAAGTAATCAAAATGTACCCAAGAAATGAGGAGGACCTGCGGACGGGTTACATGGAAGCACATCAACTTTGCAGTAATTTTTAATTTTATTTTACTCTCTTGGTTTAAAGAATTCTTAAATTTTTTGCAGGTATCCCGCTGCCTAGTGAATTACGGAAATTCATTAAGGGATACGAGGAGTTTTTTGCTGACAGCGTGGAGTACCACGCTCGAGGCTTCAACAAATCCCATCCTTCTTTGTTGCCCACATGTTCATTAAACAAAGACTGCTCTAATGGCAGTTATTGCGATGATATTTACTCCCAAAGAAAAGATGAATCGAGAAAAGCTTGCTTTGAACGTGAGTTTTTGCATTCAACCTGAGACGCCTTGAGAAAAGCTAGCGGCCCGTTTTTTTTTGACTTTAGTCTTTCCAGCATATTAATAAAATTTTCATTTCGATGATAAACTTTTTTTGTTATATTATTCTTTGATGACGATCAATTAGAAATCGACCTCCAGATTTCACAAAAAAAAATTTCTCGCATTAGAACTGGCTTTCGAGCTGAGATACTTCAAATGCTGGAAACAGCGCTTTTTCGTCATAATTTGCGTATTTTGCAAACTTCTATTTGATTTTCGTTTTATAGCTTGTGTACCACCAATTGGAATTTCACCAAACGACATTCCGCTGTGCCGCTGCGCGCCTTTGCGAACCTTGGTCGCGCTTTTAATTTTTTTTTTTCTTTTTTTTTAAGGCACTCTACTTTCATGTGCTCCCACACCAATAACAATCAATTGAAAGCGTGACCGAAAGACGCTTCGCGAACGCACGCAGCGGAACAGCGGAATGTCGTTCAGTGAAATTTTAAGTCATGACAGACTATAGCTGGAAGTATTTGAAACACTTTCAAATGAACTTTTGGACTCTGTCCGAATTCCTAGTGATGCGCTAACGCCTCAAGGCGTTTCAGTCGTTTGAAGTTAAAGAGAATGCTTGGCAAGTAAGTCTTCATTCCTAATGTCATTTTTTTTCGCGCCGAAACTGTACGGCAAGGTAGTTTTGGACCCTCTGCAGTCGGGATTTTTCCATTGTGCCAGTTCGGCGGATTGCAAGGGCCTGAACCAGTACTGCTTCATCGGTTCCAAGACTTTTAACAGGCTTAAAGGGATTTGTTTGGAAGGTTGGTTGGACTGACGTCGCCCCCTTCGTCACGATAAAGTAGTTGAAAATTTTTTTTCGAGCTGCTATTTCTGAAAAAAAACTAAATCGAGTGAAAACCGCTTATGAGGTTCGAAAAGTTAAATGCATAAGGGCAGTAAAAAAAAAACAAGGTTTCAGGTGAAAGCAGTATCTCATATGGTTTTTCTTTGCGAATCGAACGGTGGACTCAAAAAAAAATTACAGATGTGACTACCCGAAAAAAAAACGCGATTTTACTTTCCCGCCTTTAATTTTGAAAAAAGCTTCGGATCGGTGCTCGGACAACTGATTTACAGTAGCTGTGCACGCGACGTTGCGGACGTCTCATTAGACTCGCATTTTGTGAAAATAACCGGATATCTGTTTTAAGCCAAAGTTTTCTTTCCTAAAAAATCAATTAAGAAAACAAAAACACACCGATAATAAAGGAAACACAAAATATCGCTATTCCAACCGAAAGCTATATAAAATCATCATTTTTCACCAGAGAAGCATTTTTGCTATCAAAGTTTGCAAATTATACATGAATAGAAAGCTTTTGTGACGAAAGGAACTTTGGTGACAACAGAAAAAATTGAAAAGTGAAAGAAACGAAGAAAAAAGCGAAAATCCGGAAGATGGCGAAGCCTGTTGTCCATAGAGCAACTTTACTGCAAAAACCCCTTTTTGGCGGGAACTCAAACTTTCCTCTCTCCGACTTTGAATTATTTTTTCTCCAAAACTAGGAACTTCTGTACGTTTCTAAGTTCACCGTTCGATTCGCAATGAAAAGCTCTACAAAGTACTGATTTGAACTGAAACACCGTTTTTTACTGCCCCCGGTCATTTTACACAAACGTCAGTTTTTTGCGAAACTACTTTGAACGACTGATTTTCATTTCCAACAATGGCTTCCACCTTGGGAGCGGACACACACTATTTTTTTTTTTAATTTATTGATTTATTTAAGTGGAGCATGCAAAGTTCTGCGAAACCAGCAATGAGTGCGGAGCTGGCAAGTTCTGTAGCCAAATCTTTGGAGAAGCCGACCGGTTTGGCGATCCTCGATTATTGAAGAAAGTCTGCTACGACGGTTAGAAATAATCAATTTTTCCCGAATTGAAAAGCGAGGAAGACGGAGACGGGGGCGGGACGCGTAGCGTGCGCGTTCGCGGTTCTTGGCACTAGGTCAATTCAACTGCTCGTGAATATTGGGATAGTTCGTCTATAGCTAGGGACCGCAGAGCCACGCCCACTTCGCTGTTCAAAAAACTTCGTCATTTTCGTTGCATTTTGGTTCTTTTTTATATTTTAAAACAGTTTTCTTGTACCGATTTGGGAAAAAATTGGGGGAAACATACAATCGGCTATGCTTAACAATCCTACATAAAAGAAAATAATGAGAAATAAGAAATAAGAATGTATGACGACAGTTTTTAAAACGCATTTGTGGCCGAAAACGGATAAAAATCCCGTTTTTTCTTGAAAGTTTCTGGGCAACTTTTTTTATTCTTGAATATCATAAAGCAACTAAAAAAACGCATATTCTGGCAAAAAAATAAAAACAATTCTATGGTTGGCCTCAAAAAAATAACGCAATTTGAAAAAAACACGATTTTTCGAAATTCCTTATTTTTCGAAAAAAACGCAATCGATAATTACTGATTATATTTTTTTAAACGGTTGTTTGCAGTTGTTTGCAAATTTTAAAAAAATAGAAAACTAAGTTTTTTTCATCGATTATATAGTTTATATGAAAGCTTAAAATTTCGGTTTTTTTCGTAACGCTTTGAAAAACGGCCCAAAGCGTTCTGGGCAAGTTTTTTTATTTCATAATATCAAACATTAGACATTTCTCTACAACATATCAAAAAAATAAAAAAATTCCTAGGATGGCCCGAAAAAGTATGGTTTATTTAAACGCTCGAAAGTTATTTTTTTAAAACTGCGCGTCGCTGGAAATCTGCAGACACCGCGAAGGCCACGAAATTTTTTTCGAAAGCGTGAAGAAGGTTTTTTTAAAAACTATTTATGTATTCTATTCAAGTTTTTCTCATTTTATTGTGGCTTTATAGTTGCTTTTTTTACTCATTTCATAATTGGAATCTTTTTTTCCTATATCATTATATCCATTATAGCAGCGAGAAAAGTATTAAATTTCGCTTTTACTCAACTTTTTTTGAATTTTTTCAGAATGTCAAGTAAAGAATTCTAAAAAATTGTCTACGTACACTCCATGTAGACGCACAAACTTTAGAGAAAAATAAAAGAAGTAGAAAATCAAAAGTAAAAACGCTTTCGCCCTTTTTTTTTTAAAAAAACTCTCTGAAAAAGGACTTGGTGATTATTTACATACTTTTCAGTAAATTTCTTAGTAGACTGTTACATTTTCAATTCGGTTTAATGCTGTTCGTCTTTCGCAGAGGTCTATTTTGTCAGTTATTTTCTTTTTTTTACGAAATGCATTGAAACCTTCTTCAAAACTCGCTTTTCAGCAGAGTGAGTGCTTGAAGAGTAAGCTTAGGGACCGCAAGCCATTTTTTCAGAACGATTCAAAAAATTTGTTTTTCACATTGTTCGATAGAAGAGACTGTTCATTTTCATAATCCGTTTAGTTTTTGAAAAAAGCTCCACTAAGAAAAAAGTTATGGCCAAAAAACGAGCGAGCGCGGCGTACAACTGGAGGCAAAATCTCACGGTTTACCCGCTGCCGCACGCTTTCTTTTTAAATGTTTTTGCGCGTTTCTGGACCGTTTTTAATTTGGTTTTCTGTTCTGAGAGATTGGCAGAACTGAGCTTAGCGTTTTTGGTATAAATCTTTTTGTACAATCCTCATAAGAATTTTTTTGATAAAATATCAAAAAAACTACCTAGAAAAAAAGATCAAAGGGATTTTTTTCAGCTTATTTTTTTCTTTTTCTACTCAGAAAAAAATTATTATCATTCGATTTGGAAGAAAAGAAAAAAATGAAAAAGAATGTTATTTCGAAATAAAAACAGGAAAAAAAGTGCATTTTGACTCCGAAAAAAACGGCTCCTGCGACATTTAAAAGGGGCGCATCGGTGTGTTTGACGCAAACACTGCTACGGCCACTTGCACGAAATCTTCCGAAATTTCAAAAAAATTGCCATTTTTTTCTAGGTTTTCAAAGCCGTTATTTTTTCGCGTCGATCGATTTTTTCATAATTTTTTTCATTGATAGAGTTTTTGAACGCTTAATAACATAATCAAAAAAATATAGACGCGATCCTATTCTCTCATGCGTCAACGAGGCAGGCGAAAAAAAGAAGGTTTTGGTAAAACTCAAATATAATTTGATTCGCTGTCCCAATAATTATTTTTCATTTTGAATTTTTTTATTTTTTTGGACACACTGTTAGTTTTTAAATCAAATAAAAAGTATACCATGTCGCTGAAATTTTTTTCGCATTTCAGCTTCAAAGTTTGGTGTCACTTTACAAGCTTTTAATATTTTTTTCGCGTCGGTAGATTTTTTTCATTTTTACTCAAAAAAATAAAAGAAAGTGTTAATGTATAACATACTTAAAATTTAGAAGCGTTCCTCACTTGGTTTTTCTGAAACGCGACGATTTTTGTGAAACTTGTCAGTTTTTTTCGTGTTAAATCTTACTTTTTTTCGCTTATTTTTTTGAAAAAAATAAATAGTTTTAAAAATATTCAGTCTTGTAGAGTGTTGTCGATTACATAGATTAACAGAAACAGTTCATTTCTAAAGTGGGACTTTAGCTACTATAAACACCTCAAAACCGTTTTTGCAACAAAAAGATCGTCATTTTGGTGGCGTGAAGGGGCGGGGCTTTGCGCCCCCTAAGTAAGCTGATATTGAAAAAGAGCATTATTCAATAGGAAAACTCTAATATTTCATTTAAAACTTCTAAAAACTCAAATAAATATGTTTCCGAAACGTCTCCTGCGTGAATTAACGCACAGCAAGGAGCGCGCGGCATCTATAAACACGCCCCTTTTTCCTGCGACCCTGACGAAAGTTTCTACACAAAAGTGGTTCCCCCGATTTCGCCACTTTTTTTGCTTATAACTTTTTTCATTTTTTTCATATTTTTTTCTTTTCTGTTTTTCGCAGTTAGCTCTCGATTGCCATCAGCTTTCTTTTTCATATAGGTTTCAACTTTATATCACTGACTTTGGAAATTGGCCTGCGGTCCCTATCTATAGCTGCATCACGGCTGGCTTGAGTCATCAAAAAGGTTCCGACACGATAATAAAAAGAGATAGTGATCGAATTCGTGCCGAGAACCGCGTTTTATTGTTAAACTTTGGGAGGCGGAGAAGTAGGCGGGACGCTACGCGTTTTATTTTTGGACGCTACGCGTCCCGCCTACTCTCCGCCTCCCAAAGTTTAACAATAAAAAGAAAAGTATAGATATTTATGAAGATTTTTTGCTGAGCTTGGAGAGAGATTTACTCACTAGAGCCTTCAAAATTGATGGGAGAACGGAGTTAAATTTCATTACGTTCTATGCATCATAGCTTCTATGCTCAAGTCTTTTTGGATTTGTAAGCCCCGACATAAAATCGCTTTAGTAGGTGAAGTTATCATCGCTATTCAAAAAAGCAATCTATAGCTGATTCACGGCTAGCTTGAGACGCTAAGGGGCGTGTCCTGTCTGCGCTCTCCACGAGCCAGGCGCTTTTTTCCGAATGGCTCAAGCCAGCCGTGAATCAGCTATATACAGTGCTGAAACAGATTTAAAAATAGTTTTAAAGGCCATTTTTTTAATCAAAAACTCATACCAAATCAAACAGTATTGCTTTTTTCAATAGTGATGATAACTTCACCTACTAAAGCGATTTTATGTCGGAGCTTACAAATCCTAATAATATTCCAAGGTTGTTTGGAGATCTCGTGTCGAAACTCTTTTTTTTCGAGACGAAAAAGTCGATTTTCAGGTCGAAGTAGCGATTTTTGAACTTTTTTTTCTTCAAATTTCAAGAACTAGGAAGAATTTTCAAAAAAAAAGCACATCTCGAACAACCCTGATCCATCCAACACATGTAGGGAGTTTGAAGTGTCTTTTTCAGATCCCATTGTAGAAGAAGCATTCTTATATAGGGACTTGCGCACCAACGATCTCACTCTTTGTGATTCTACTTGCGACGGGCTCGGAGCTGCATGCTTCATGTTGCCCAACGGGATCAACGGTTTCAAAGGAGTTTGCACACACGGTTTTGCATGTTCCAGCTATTTTTTCTGCATACCTTGCCTGAAAAAAGACTAACTAGACTTTTTTTTTCCGCTCTTACCGAAAAATCCGGACTGCCAGTTTTTACGCTGATCAATGGAGCTCCGTGCAAAGATGACGAGGACTGTCTTTGGTCGACATATTTCGTTGAAATTATCGAAGAAGAGCAAAAATTTTACACGTACGCTTGAAGACTGTTGGTTAAGATTTTGTCACTTTTCAGCAGAAACTGTATCCCGCATGATTTTAGTTGGCTTTGTGTGCACTGTGAGTCCGGAAACTTGATAAAAAGACTGAAAACCATTGAAGGCATAAAGGCAGTAAAAAACGGGGTTCCAGGTGAAAGCATTATCTTATATAGTTTTTGTTTGCGAATCGAATGATGTATTCAGAAAAAATACAGATGTGACTAATTTCAAAGAAAAACGCGATTTTACTTTCCCGCCTTTAATTTTGAAAAATGGATCGGCATACGGACAACTGTTTACAGTAGATGTGCACGCGATGTTGCAGACGTCTCATTAGACTCGCATTTTGTGAGAAATAACCGGATATCTGCTCTAAGTCAAGGGTTTCTACCCTAAAAAATTGATTAAAAAAACAAAAAAAAAACACACCGACCAGAAAGGAAACACAAAATATCGCTATATTTTTTCTCCAAAACTAGGAAGTTCGGTACGTTTTCAAGTTCACCGTTCGATTCGCAATGAAAAGCTCTACAAAATACTGTTTCGAACTAAAACACCGTTTTTACTGCCTCTATGCCTTTGATTAACAAAACTTACGCGTTCTATAGATGATTGATAGATTTTAAATTAGAGAACGAGAAAATTTGGAGGCAGTTTTGTTCTTTGTAATGGGATTACAAAGATCAGACATTGATTATTTCTCCGAGAAACCGCTGAAAATTAATCTGAAGCAGCTGATTAAAATTTTTTGAACTCAAAAAAGTAAGCTTTTCTTCAACATTTTCTTTTTTCTGTTGTTAGCTAGCTTTTTAGAAGTCCTCAAACATAATAGACCTTCGAACCTGCGTAGTTATTGTAGAAAGAATGTCTCTTTCCTTATCGCGCCGGGAATCTTTTTTTCGATGGTTTAGGCCAGCCGCGAATCAGCGACATATAAAGCCATGATTCGGCCCTCTATCTCAACCACAAAATTCAGAGCCAAACACTTTTTGCAGATAGAATCGATGACAGCAGGTGTGAGGAAGGTAAAAAGGCGGCGCTCATCATAAACGGACTCTCTCAAGATTGCATTCTAAAAAGTCTGCCTCAACCGACTCATTCTCCGCCGCCACCAAAACCGACACCCACGCCGCCACCGTCTACGACAGAGCCGCCTACGACTACACCTCCGTCTACTACAGCCCCAGAAGAAACAACCACCGAACCTGACGACGACGATTTTGTAACGTCGACGACGGAGGAAATGGTTACGACGGCTGTAATAACCGAAGCTTCTTCTGCCTCCAAGGTTGGACGGCTTCCATATCAGATAAAAACTCTGCAATTTTTGACAGACAGAGGAAGAAGAAGACGGTCTTCAACCGAGGACTATGATCATCATTGCCGCCGTCGCTGCTGTCGGACTTTTCATTGCAATAGCCGCCATCGCGGCATTTGTGGTCGTGCGCAACAAGAAGGCCAAAGCCAAAAATGTCAAAAAAGACAAAAAAGCCAAAAAGTCTAAGAAAGGCAAAAAGGCCGGGGGCAACTCGGGCACTGCCAAAACTACTGGGTCATCGGTTGGTATTTTTTTGGTTCACAAGTGGTTATTCCGCAACAACAAAAAAAGCACTCAACTTTTTAGAAACTAATTTAAAGTCAGTTTGAATTTTTTTTTCCGATAATATCACTTTCTCGGACAGTAAAGCCTTGAGAAGGCATTTTTAAGTAACCTCGAAAATGAAACGAATTATTTTGTCCTCAGAGGAGCGCACTATTTCAAGTGTGCGTAGCCTTTTTCTCATAGGAAGTCATTCAGCAACGTCATATACATAATTTTTTTTGTTTCTATTCACAATATTGTTTTCAGGATCGAACCCAGTCTTCTTCGATAGCTATTTGAATCAATTTCCGTCTATCGTTACTTTTTACACGTTTCCGACTATCGCGTAAATAAAGAATTTTTACTGAGTTTGCTTTCAATTTTTATTTTAATACCTTGGAAAATTTGATTCAAATTTTGGTTTATTTCGGGGGATCAAATCGGAACTGCGCATGTACGCGGTTGCCTTCGGGACCACAGTCCTTGGTGTGTACACCACGGAACTTTTGCACCTTATGCGTGGTATCTTACGACTAACTAGCTAACACTTTTCGTTTAAATTTCAATTTCATTTTTAAAAAGTTTATTTTTCTGATTATTCAGTTCAGTAGTTGATACCATATGACGAGATGAACGAAAACGGAGGGAAGCCGGTGGCTGCCACTAGGAGAAACGTACCGAAGCCGTCTGGGGTAGACTTTTTATTTCACAGTTAGTTTGCAAATTATCTGCTTGCAGGGAGGAGAAAGCGGATTATTGATAAACGTCATCAGAACATTGACATCTAGTGTCTCGGAAGATCAAAGAGAGCTGGAAAAAGCTCGATTAGAGAAGGGATTCAAAGACTCGGGAGCTCTCATCGATCGTCTTGTTAAAAGTATATACATATAAAATTCAAGTTTGAACATTTTTTATTTTAGATCATCAAACGGACGTTGAGAAATGTTTAGATTCCTTCAGGGATGTATCAGCCGGAATTTCCAGTAAGTTATTAGAATCTTTCGTTGAAATATTTGTTTAAAGACTGCCGAGAACGAATGCACAACGTCCGTAATGCCTTGCAAACTTGCTCGAGTTTACTGGAACTTCGGCGGGACGATTTAAAGAAGCTGTGGATGGAAAACGCTCAGCAAAAACACATCTGTGACATCTTAGCGCAACTGTTTGTTGAATTTAGGATAACGTTTGATATATTACTTTATAGAGAAGAACTGAAAGATGCCCCGAAGAAAATTGACGCCTTGGTTTTGCGTGGAAGTTATCAAGAAGCGGCGAAAATCGTCACGAATTCGAGTTTGTAAAGTTTGATATAAGAATTTCCGTAAATGTACTATAAAAAAAGCTCTTTTCTCTCAGTTTATATAAAAAAATAGGAATTATATTTTTTTCTTTCGTTCACTCATTCATGGTTATTTTTTTATGGTCCTTTGGGGCGGCATAGCTCAGCTGGCATAACTCATTTCTAACGTCCGCAAGGTCGTAGGTTCGAGTCCCCCCGAGGTCGACCAAGCCTTTCATCCCTCCGGGGTAGATAAATTTGGGAGCTGCATGCAGCGAAAAGGCTCAATCTATGCCAACGGCCTTTGGAAAGCCGGCACCGTACTTCTTCCTACGACCTCTCTTGTACCTGATGTTCTACGAGCGAAATTCACAACTTCTCTGCCTAAGCCACAGCTCCTGCCGCCGTTTAAACACAGTTAACGCAATGAAAGTCGATTGCACATGTACTCTTACATTGAAGATGCAATAAACAGTTTTTTTTAAAAAAAGTTTATGGTCCTTTCCTTCTTAAAACTCCGAAAAGACCTTTTCACAGAAAATAACAAAAAATCCTTCTCAATTATTTTCAGGTTTAGACTGTCATTGAGAATGGACCAGTTTAGAACTTGAATAAATTTTTCGATATATGTATATTTCAGGAGCCACCTTGAATGGCCGATTATCGGTGATCGAAGGATTGTCTCAACTCCGAATTCAAATTGAAAAGTCGACTTCTGTTTTGATCGAAAAAATCAACGAACTAATCGTTTCTATGATTGTCGTTGAGCCTTTTGAGCAACATGTAAGGGTTTGTCATCTTCATAAAATGGAAAATTTCAACACTAGTTTCGCGTTATTTGCTTTGAATATTTGTTGAGAAAGATTTTTTATTCTAAATGACCTTCCAATGTTTTTTTAACGATTTACTTTTCAGCTTTTTAACATCGTCAGGTCTCTGCCCGAGCAGAAAGCATTACAAAACGAATATTGCTCGATTCTCTTGGATCATGTAAGTAAAAAATGAAAAATTAAATATTCGCGTACAATGCATCGAAGTATGAGGATTTAGAGGCTGTCTGCGCGTTTTTCAAATCTCGAGCAAATTTGGAATGGTGGATAATGACTGCTAAAAGGGAGAGGCTTGAAAAAGGCCATAGAAAGGCAGCAAAAAGAGTCCCTTCATCGAACCTTCCATTTTTCTGAGATTTTAAAGGCTCTAGAAATGGTGGAAAAAGAAAGAGGCAGCAAAATGGTGCATAAGAGCCGATGGAATGGCGCAAAAAGGCAGCAAAAAAAGCTTTTCTCTCTTCCTAAAAGAAAAATTTCTATGGAGCCTTTTTCGACCTCCCAAGAATGCTTATAAATATATTTTTCTTTAGAAATTATTTTCTATTTCGAATATTGACTCTGAAATGTCCTTCGATAATGAATAATCATTTATTAGTTTGCCCTAAAGTTCTTTTTTCAGTCCAAACAACCGCCACCAGCGGAATCCTTGAAAGATCGCCTGAAAAATGCAGTGAGAGCACTTTCGGAACTCGAAGAAGGTCATTGGGATATTGATCGGTTGATTTTGCTCTGCAAAAACTCGATAGATCGTCAGGTTAGTTAAAAGTTTACTATTGGGATTTTTCGAAATTCATAAGCTTTTTTTTTACCGAAAAAACAGTAAGTTCAAAAAACTGATGAAAAATTTCTGTGCAAAAAATCTTGAATTTTTCGGAAAATTCAGAATTTTTAAGAAAAAAAGAAAACTTTTTTTCAGTTATCTTTTTCTCATTGCTTACCGAAAAAAAGATAATTTTTTTAAAATATGTTATGATATAATCATTTTTCAGGTCGCTCATTCAGTAACGGTCATGAGGGTACGTGGAAATATCGATGAAAATTTGGCCGGTGATGAATCTCACCTGTCGCAGTTGATTCAAATGGTGCTAAAAAAGCTATTAATGAATGAAAAGAAGATTTTAGGTAGTCGCACAATTGGAAACATCCTGTTCGAAACACGTGCTTTTCGCACAAATAATGGAAGAATTCATCCCAAATAAACGGATAATTCCCGCTTATTGGGATGCTGCCCAGGCGGCTGTTGAGGTGAGACAAAAACATTCAAATAATACGATATTACCGTTTCTTACCGGTTTTTGTTTCTTACGTCTTCATCTAGTTCTATTCGATTATTGGCATGCTTTAAAGTGCGGACGTTTAAAAAATGCGATCGACTTCTTGTGCTCCATTGCAAAGTAATAATATACGGGCATTTTTTTGATTTTCGTTCAAAAACTTTAACTTTTCGATTTTTCTCTAAACATTTTAGTGGGGCTTTTCTTCTGTATTTTTGACATTTTAGTTTTTTCAACCAAGATTTATTCTGTCTCATATTCAACTTTTTTCTCACCTGGTTTCCAGTTTAATATAGATTCATGAACCGCACAGTGTGAAAAAGAGACGGCGGCAAGCGAAAAAAAAAGGTCGTCGCAATGGGGCGAAAACGCGAGTTTTTTCTAACGCAACGCGGTGCGGCGAGTGTCACCCCCACAAAATTTCATTCACTTTTAATACGGTTTTTTTCTCTTTTTCTTGCGTATTCTACTATTCTTTCGTATCTTTTCACATTGTATGTGTTCTTAAAACGTGTTTATCGCGTTTTCCAAAGATTTGAAGTGATTTTCAATTGTTTTCGTCACAGAAATTCGCATTGAAATGACATTTTTGATGACAACTTACTTGGCATAAGATATTTCGTTTGTTTTTTTGTTTTAGAATTTTCAAATGGACTTTTTTAAGAGAAACGTTGTGAGATTTTTCTCAAAATTTTTTTTTCGAGGCAGTATTCGACGAATTTATTCTTGAAAAATGTTATTTTGGGTGACAACTTTATTCGCACAAGCTATTATGTATCTGTTTTTTTGTTTTTAAAACGTTCAAATGGTATTTCTTAAGAGAAGTGCTTTGAGATTTTTTTCTCAATTTTCCCTTTGGAAGTTCGATTTGACGAGTTTTTCCTAAAAAAACGACATTTTTGGGAAATATTTTTGTTTTTGCAAAAAAACTTTTTTTCGTCTCTTTTTTTCATTCAAATTTGTTCGTTATAATTTAATACACATTAAAAAAATCTTTGAAAACTTGCGAGAACCTAGGAAAAAAACATCATTTAATGGTCTTTTTTTCCAACCACTAAATCCACAAAACTTGACTCTCATCCCCGCGCCCCTTTTTGCAATAAACCGTGCCGCAGTTGCAGTCAGCCACGCCTACTGAACACAGCTGCCGCCTGTTTGGGAACACTGTGAACCGTAGAAAATCGTTTTTTTTTTCAACTCCTGTAAATCATCATACTGAATTTATTAATTTCGTCGTAGTACTTTTTTGAATCGTTTATTTCAAAAGAATAGATAGGGAAAAATACAAAATTCGGGAAACAGTGCCAGAAAGAGTGAAAAGATGAAATTAAGAAATGCCCGTATTTTATTAATTTACAGTGAAGCTCAAAAAAGCGGTCGCATTTTGTGAACGTTCACACTGTATAGCCTGTTTGATTTTTGAAAGAGGCTGTTCAACAACTTTGAAAACAAAAAAAAAGGAATGCAGTGAAATTTCTTTTTCAATGGTTGAATCAACCGAAAAATAAAAATGATTTCTTTTTTAATTGAATAACTTTTCTTCCCATATCAGGCCCTTGTATCGGACCATCTGGATGTGAACCCGCTCCTCAGCACAACTAAACAAACGTCGATGAACACGAAAAAGCCGTTGTTCCGATTCGATGCCACGGCGTGTGCTTCTGCGACTTCCGTAGTTTCTTCGACTTCGCAGGTTTCAGAATAAAATTGAATTATTCCTAGAAATCTTTGAATGTCCTATCAGAACCTTGTCGTCGTCTGTAAGCCTTCGGCTTATAATATCGTGGTCATGTTCCCGTGGTTGAGCCGTTTGATGGAATCGATTGAGAAACAGCTCGACGAGTCTCCATGTCAGCTCAGGTTCAGTGTAAAAGGAATAGCTACGACAAAAACAATCGAGGTGTTCTTTCCAAAAATGATGAAAACCAATTTCTTGGAATCTTTTTTAAGAAAAAAATAAGAAAAATAAGTTTGGAGCAGGATTTTGTGGTCCTTTCAGACGTTTTCGAAAGACCCTCTGGTCTTTGCCTATCATAGCTCCCGAAAACTTTTTTTTTCCAGGCGTTTCCTTCACTCTTTCGTCATGGAAATGTTTGTGGAACGAGTGAAAGCCAGTTTGGCCGAACGGATCGAAGTTGCGCTGAGAAGCTCATCTGGAGACACGGTACTGACATGGAAAGCTGGGAAGAATGAAGACGACGGATTCAGAAGATTCTCCCGTCATGTCTGAAAGTATTCGAGCTTTGCAAAGAGGTCCACGGGCTGATAGTTAGTATGGACGTCTACGCTGACCGTTTTGCCGCCCTCTGGCTTCTCCTTCTCACGGACTATTACAAAAGCATGTCGGACATGTTTGACGCGGTTGGGAGTCCTCCTGTGGTCATCTGGAAGGGCTTTTTTTCAGATGACGCCACCTCCTGCCGACGCCGATGGGACAAGCGTCCGAAGGATGAAGCTGTCGGCGACGTGGGCCGCCGACGACGACATTTCGAGGCTTCTGATGAGCCTGCCCAACTGGGCCGCGGCATCGGCCAGCCCCTTGACACCGGTCGCTGAGAGTGAAATGGTGAGTGGCAGCGGTTGTTTTTTTCTCAAGAAAAATGACTTTTACCTTTTTTTTTTTTACTAAGATTGGCGTCTTATGAAGCGGCACGGCGTTCCCAAACGGGGTGGGGGGACGTTAAAAAAAAATTTGGCGCGAATTTAGGTGGTATGAAAAAAACACCAGCGAAAATTCAAACGGCGACTTTTCCGATTTTTTCATTTCGCAAGGGAACTTTCCGACGGCCACCTTTCCGACGAAACTTTTTCCGACTTTTTTCCCTTATGCTTTTCGGTTTATAAAACATCTATGAACATTTTTTTCCTATTTCTTTGTGTTTTAATTATGAACAAACTACCTACTTTATATAGGAAGATGTAAAACGAAGAGTTTATCGAGAAAAAAAAGTCGGAAAAAGTTTCGTCGGAAAGGTGGCCGTCGGAAAGTCCCCTAGCGATATGAAAAAATCGGAAAAGTCGCCGTTTGAATTTTCGCCGGTGTTTTTTTCATACCACCCGAATTTAAAATCTCAATTACGCAGTCAAATGTATTTTTCATGCCGTTGAATACTCAGTTTAATTTGCAACGATAGGTAGCTGTGTCGTCACAGTCCTTTTATCCGCGCGCACTTACTTTTTTTTGTAAATTCAGAAACTTTGACGCCTCGCTCATCTACCCTCACCCCATTGGGAATGCCGTGCTCTCGTCAATTTCTTTTTTGTGTGTATGTATACTGAGAAAATCCACGTTCTTTTAAGCACAAGGACTTTTCGTTTAGCAAATGTTCATAGTCATGAGACAGGATAAAAAAACAACCGAAAATTATGCAATCCGTAGCGCGCCACCACCCTCGGCAGCTTCAGTATGCGCCTTCGCGCTCCCTTCCACCACAAGCCTCATTGGCTCAGTGGCAGAGCGTCTGTCTAGTAAACAGAAGGTCGCTGGTTCGATTCCAGCATGAGGCAGCTTCTTTTTTTTTCGTATCTTAACTTTTGCTCTTTTTCTCATTTTACCTTTTCAGGACGTTCGAGACAGGAACAAGCGCGAATCGGAGATTCTGATATCAAACTTGGGAACGCAAACGCAGAACAAGATGAAATTTTCGCAGTTAATAACGGAGATGTCTGATGTTCGAGCCTTCGCCGCACTACATGAATCTTTACGGTGGTTCAGCGATCAGGTATAGTTATTTTAAACTAATCGAATAAATTTGAGCTTTTTAAAGATAAAATCGCTTGTTGAATCTCTTCCGCAACATGTGAGAACAGCTCTTTCTGGATGTATGGTGCAAGTCAGACTCAAAGACGGACAGATTATGGACAATGTCGGTTTTTTTTTCCCCGAAAAGAGTTGGTGTGAAACAGTTTCAAAATTTGAGAAATGAGTTATCCATTGAGATCAATTTTGATGTTTATGTGATTTTTTTGAATGCTCAAAATCTCAGTTTCTCAATATTTTGTTCAATTCTTTCAGGAATCTGTAATCGATGCGATCGGCGAGTGTGTGAAACGTCTCGAAACGATTTCCGACTCGTGCCTTCTGATTCTTCACATCGAATTACGTGTACACTGCTTTTTCCATCTCTTGCCCTTGGCGAAACACCGAAACACTTCGGCACACGATGAAGTTGATCCGGAGGTTCAAAGAAAAAAAGAAGACAGTTCTTGTTACGTTTGTGAATTTTCCAGGTTGTAACGTTGAGTCGAGACCTTCAGGACTTCCACAATGTTTTGAAGGAAGTTCTGTCGCAGTCCAAGCTGCGATACGTTTTTGACGGCTTGGGCCATCTTTGCGCGGCCATTTTCATTCATTTAAGGTAAAGACCAAAGTTTTGATGAAAACCCACTTCTGAAATAATTACATTTCCAGCCAGTACATGCCGCGATTGACGGAACCCGGCAAGAAACGAGTTTGTCGAAACGTGTGGGGCCTCCAACAGAGATTGTCGCAAATGACGGCCAGAAGAGAGGCGGAGCTCGACAGAGCACGCGCCTTCTTCGACTTGTTGCTTACCTACGACCCTGACAGCTTGTTGAACGTCATCACCGATAAAAAGTTGGTAATATAAAGTTTAAGCCGTCGTCTTTTTGAAACAGTAAAAAATTATTGAGAAAGGAGAAATTTTTTTCCAAAAATTTCGAAATCTTTAGGTCCATGTTCTCGCCGATTGAACTAAGCCACCTTCTCGCCTTGGCCGTAAGAAGCGATCCGACTTTGGCCAGTCAGCACGGGGCCTTGGAACAACGACAACTTCAGCTCAACGCCATTTTGAAAAGATCCGCTTCTTAACTGGGAAAATTTGTTACTCAACTGTAATCGGTTCAAATTTTGAAGTTCGGATTCGAAATTGAGTAATTTATTCTATGAACTCATTCTCAAAGTTCATGACTTGAAAATATTTCATGGATCTTGAATCCTGTGCCGAGAAATCTTGAAAGCAACTACCTCATAACTTCATTATTTTAGCCTTCAAAGTTATTCAAACTCCTTGAGTTATTCCTAATGCTTTTTTCCCTGCCTGTAGCAAGAAACAGATTTCTCCTTTAATGCAATGACCACTGGTGCTGTATTTTCAATATTCATAAAGCTTCGATTGTGATTAAAATTTCATGTGATATAGTTTTTTTTTTATGCTTTAATTGAGAGAGATAAAGTTTTGATTTCTGAATTATTATTGGTGTTCTTCGCTTTGTATATATATTCACTTTTGAAAAAAACAAACCAGTAGAAATTTAGTTAAGATGGCGTCGGCGATTTGGGACACGGTTTTGTCCATCAGCGAGTACATCCCGCTTATTTCAGCCCCGCCAAAGTAATATTAATTAGTTACATAAGTTTGAAAAAAGAAAATTGATGCGTCCCGATATCATTTTTTTGTAGGATTTAAATTTATTTCCATTTTATTTCAGGAACCGCCACATACACCACCATCACACGGCTTCTGCTCCGTCACTTTTGACATCTGCACCCGATATGAGACTTTTTGGTTCGAATCGCTGGTCTTTCAGGCGCCGCAGCGATTTCACTCGGCGCTTATGGATCCCACAGTAAGTTTCGAGCTGAGAATAGAAGTTTGACGAAAAAAAAAAAGTAATTTTTCAATTCAAGATTTAATTTAGTTCAAAAGATCTTGCTAGTTTTTAATGATAATGTTTCAAAAAATCTCGTAACCTTCAAAGTTTCAATTTGGGATGTAAAAGCCACACAAGGAACAAACCTCACGTTCAGAACTTCGCGACAACCTGAGCATTTCGGAAAGACGTCGATTGGCGTTTGAAACAGGCAACCGATATCATCTGATCCACTCCCTGGGCTTAGTAGCCGCATGTCGATCCACCTATCCAAAAGTAACTGCCGCCATTTTCTTAGGTATGAACATTTTAATTCTTTACCTTGATTAGTCACTTTCAGGCGGAATCATTCTGTTCTGCGGACCTTGCTATCACTACGCAATCACGGGCCGCGAAGAAAGCCGTCAAGTGACCCCATTGGGCGGAATCTTGCTCATCCTCGGATGGCTATCTCTTTGTCTCTAGATTATGTATATTCTTCTTATTTCCTTGTAAAAATTGACCTGAATACTGGCTAACGATGTTTTGTTGTACTATTATAGTTTCTGCGAGGTACAAATGATAAAAATGTTCATATGAAACGTTGAATTTGTCTCTTTTTGATGTTATTTGGTTCTTGACATCCTCAAGAAAGGAAAAAATGATACAAGAAATATTTTCAATCAAGTGTACATTAGAGTTTTCAAAAGTGAATGTTTGAACGAACGTTCAACCAAACATTTTTCCGAACGTTTGATGAATTCGACCAATTAGTTAAATTTCACATCAACTGTTTGTTAAAAAAACCTCATTTTGGTTAAATTTCATAACTGAGCATTCAAAAATGAACAATTACTTATTTTTTTCGAAAAAAAATTTTTGTTCAAAAAAATGAACATTTAAAGTTCACTTTGAAAATTTTTGGTCAGAAAAAGTAAACATTTAAAATTCATTTTTGAAAAAAATTCGGTCAAAAAAATGAACATTTAAAATTCACTTTTGAAAAATTTTGTTCAAAAAAATGAACATTTAAATTTCGTTTTTAAAAAAATTTTGGTCAAAATAGTGACCACTCAAATTTTACTTTGAAAAATTTTTGTTCAAAAAAAATGAACATTTAAAGGTCATTTTAAAAAAATTTTTGGTCAAAAAAAGTAAACATTTAAAATTCGTTTTAAAAAAATTTTTGGTCAAAAAAATGAACATTTAAATTTCACTTCTGAAAATTTTTGGTCAAAAAGAGTGACCATTTACTTTTTCACTTTGAAAAAAATTTGGTCATTAAGACGAACATTTATTTACTAGTCAGAATATGATTGTTTAGAAAATGACCATTTATTTTTCAGTCATTATTTGAAAAGTCACAAAATGAAAAGAATGAAAGTGATCAATCTTGGTTGATCTTTCAAAAACGACATTCGTTTGAAATGTCAAAAAGAAAATTTTTCGTTTTTGAAAAATGTCATTTTTTTCAATTGGTCATTTTGAGAACTCTAGTGTACATGTAGGCAGGATTTGAATTTTAACACAGCTTAGAGAGAGTTATCCGTATACTGGAGTTTTCAATATAAAAAGAGGCTCATTTATATCACAGTAAAGCGTGGGTTGATCGGGAATGATACAAAGGGAAAGGAATTAGAAAAAGATACCGATTTTTCAGGTGATTTAAAAGAAAATTATTTAAAAAAATTATTTTTAAGATGCCGTCTTGTGCACTTCAATCCATGAAAAGCTGTGAAAAGTATGATCGAAGAATAAATTAATTCAATTGGAATGTACATGAAGTTGAAAATATACTACTCTCCGTCGGATTCCGACTGGTAGGCGTTGTACTCGTCCTCGTTGACGACGTCGGTACGCATCGCCTGGCTCAGAAGAGCAGCGACGTCAGCGTCCTAGAAAGATATTCAGAGTTCAGAGGATTTGGGGCTTCGAAAGACCTTGGCGACGTCGATGGGCAACTTTCGTTCCTTGTTGCGGATCCAAGGCTGAGCGTTCTTTTCGAGAAGTAACCGAATGCAATCGACGTGACCACGCCAAGAAGCCGCGTGCAGTGGCGTGTCGCCCAGTTTGTTCTTTAAAAGTAGAAAACTAAAAATGTATAGTCTGTTCAAATTTTGAATGTCAAGTGGTCCCTGAAGCTCCGCCCATATTGGTGCGATAAACCAATCAGAGAGCGAGCCATCCACAGCGTTTTTGAATGACGTCATTCAAGTTGAAATTCAAAATCTGAGCGGACTATAGGAAGAAAAAAGTATCTCGAATATTTTAAGGTTGAAAAATTCCGTACTTATTAATTTTTCCTGAACGGCGCCCTAGAGGAGCTAATACCTGTTTCAATTTTTTTTTTGCACCGCTCGGGACATTTTTAAAATTTTCAAGCGCAAAAAATAAATTTACAGCCCTCGAGTGATTTTTATTATTGGCTCAGAACCTCCCGAAACATGTGAAGCACGTGTGTTTGAAGTAGACTTTTTTTTTCAAATTTTAAAAAAACGCCAGGACTATTTCAGTATCACACATTTAAAATGATTTCGAGTTGAATTGCAACCCGCTACTCCCTGACATCATCCCTATGACGTCATCTTGACTTAGCGATTCGCACACGCAGCCATATTATTTGATTTATTTTTTTCACGTTTTAAATTCATAAAATTAGATTCTACTTGAAAAATTTTCCATTTTAGCTAAATATTTTGATTACGCTTATTTCTTGGGTTCCGAATGATGCCATAAAGTGACCTCGTGACGTCAGGGAGCAGCGGTTTGCGATTTAACAAAAACTTTTAAAATGAGTTTCTTTTCTCGATTTTCACGTTACAGAACAAATTTTTCAAGAATTTCCGAATGAGTTATTCAAACCTGCGAAGAAATAGCCGCATTCGGGATTTCCAAAAGATATTTGACGATTTCGGTATGACCACCGTGACACGCCCAGTACAGCGCTGTCGACGCCGATTTATCCAAACTATTCACAGAGACCTGAGAAAAAAGTTTCGTAATAAATTTTTTTATAAAAAGCGTTTTCTTTCTGTTTAATTATCAGTCAAGTTCAAATCAAACTAACGGACAAAAATTATGTAAAAAAATTAAAGATTGTTCAAAAACTCCTTCCGGAGTTTTTGAAAACAGAAAAAGTTCTCAAGGCGAAAAAGCTATCCTCAGTATTTCAAAGCTTCTAACTTTCAACCTCTCGAGCATGAATTTATATCTATATCTATATTTAAACAAATCCTAAAAATCGTCACGAAACTTTGAAAAAAACAACCTGTTCCCTAATACACTCCTTCAAAAAGTCGAAATTGCCTCGTTTTGCCGCTTCATGTAGAGGATTGGGCAATTCTTCAACATTTTCACTAACCACTGAAATGTCAAAAACATAAAAATAAAAACGAAATTAAATATATATACCATAGTTGGCAGGAACCAGGCCTTTCCTTCCTCCTATGCTGGCCGGCAGCCAATCATCATTTGGTCCTTTATCGCTGACATACAGCAAGTCGCCTTCAGCGAATGACATTTCTTGCGTCTTGAAATTTACAATTGACGCCGTTTTAAAAGTGACTTCCCTCAAGGCAAAATTATCTGATCCTCTAAAATAACATTTTCTTTTTCTCTCTCTGACTTTGCCGGAATAACTATGAACTGGGGATCACATGAAATTATTGAAAATCAAGAAAAAACATACAGATCTGGCCGTGTAGTCGTACAGAGCGCGGTAAACTTTCACACGTCCTGGTTTTGGGGCTGGCGGAGGCGCTCGTGTAGCCATCTATGAAAAAAAAGGCATTTATTTCTGATATTTTTCAACAAAAATTTTTGAAAAAAATAGTGCTTTTAAAAAGCTGTAAATTAAAAAAAAACACTTTTTTTAAATTTTTCTTTTTACCAGTTTGATATAAGACATTAATACAGAGGAAATGAAACTAGAAACTATGAAAAATTATAAGAATGCTTCAAAAACTTGTTCTGATCACCTAGACCTTTTTCAAAAATAAAGCTGCAATCAGTAGAGGAAAAATTTCCATAAAATTTATTGGAAAACACATGTGAAAATTATCCGTTTCCAGCAAATTCCGAGATCCTGAAGGTATACTACGCATTTTTCTTAGTAGATACTATCGGAAAAAGAAGGAAACTAGGAGAAAAACTTTATGAAAAGAAAAAACGTAGTCACCAACTATCGTTTTAAATCGGGACAAGAGTTTCGGCTCCTGTCCAATGGAGCACACTTTCCGATTTTTATTACTTTTTGTTTGCAGAAGAGTTTTCAACAATACAAAAATCTTCATTCGTTCATCAAAGAATAAGAAAAAAAAGCCACAAAAAAGTTCTCACACGAACTGTTCTCTCTTAGGTTCCTTGCAAGTCGAAAATAACTCGAATATCAGGTAGGACACCGCCGCCGGCGATATGAATTTTATTGAAGAAGGTATTGAGTTCATCGTCGTTTCGAACGGCCAAAGTCAAGTGTCGTGGTGTGATTCGTTTCTGAACGTTCTCGCGGCACGCATTCCCCGAAAGTTCCATCATTTCTCGGGCCATGAACTCGAGAACAGCGGCCAGATATATCGGAAAAAAAAATGTTGAAAACTTATTTGAAAACTGGAGCTTACTGATGCGCGTAGCCCAACCCTCGTACGTATGCTCTTTTTCTTCAAGTACTTATGAATTCGTCCGACAGGAAAAGTCAATCCAGCTCGATCTGACTTCGATTTTCGAGTCATTGTTTGAGACTTGCTGGTGATAGGTGAGAATTGTAGAATGAAAACCGAAAACGATAAAACTACACGACGATGATGGTGTCCAAGATTGTTTGCTTGAACAAACATTAAAGTTTTCATCATTTCGCAACTTTTCGTCATAAGCTATTCCTTTTTTTAAAGAATGAAGGGAAAAGAGCTTTTTGGACATTTACTGATAGACGACTTCATAGATGCTGAGAGAAAATGGACAACGTGAATTGATGTTTTTGGAATTTATTTTACTTCATTTTTTTAAAAATCTATCACGCTGCCATTTTAGGCTCAAAAAAACAATTAGAACTTCCGGGAAACGTTTATCGAAGCACCACTCGAAAACGAAATAACTCCTAGACATCAGAGGAAAATTATGAAGGACAATCATGAGTTTCTCTGAGAAAAATAAGATCTACTAAATAAAGCTTCGATTGATGCCGATGACGATATACCGAAAGTCATTTTTTTAACCAGAGCTTCCCTGAAGCGCCGTCTAATTTTCAAGATCCCCTTTCAAAGTTCAAACGTTTTGCCGAACAAAGTGATTACCGCGAAAATTAGAAACTATCTCTGTGTCTCCAAAATCAAGTTATCTTTTCTACTTACTGTTAGCTATTTTGAATTTCGCCTATTCATTAGACAAAGGACAATTTTTCGAATAATGTAGTAGGCGATAGTTTGAGACATTTCTAAATGAAACATTCGAATGAATATTCAGAAATTTCCGTATTCGTTTTCTTCTTGAGCTGAAGCTGAATGGAGTATCACTGAAATATAAAACCAGGTTTTCAATCAAACAAAATCTCTTTTTTTTTCCTCGATAATCTGCCAGTTTCGTTTAGAAAATTATCGGTACAATTTCTATCAGTCGTTTTGTTATCAGCACGGAACCAAATTTCAGTGCTCTCATCATTATCAGCAATGACATCAATTCAAACCACCACCATCATCATCATCATCATCACTATCATCGTCGTCAACATCTATGGAGAATATAAAAGCTGAGCTTGAAGCCAGTTTAATCAGTTCTTTTTCAGTCTTTCTTCTGAGTGTTAACGTAATTTTTCCAGACATTCTACTTCAAAATGCGAACTCGCGGGCGAAAACAATTGACAAAGCCAAGAGTTTCAAGATCAAAAAGAGCTGGAATTCAGTTTCCAGTCGGAAGAATCCACAGACAACTGCGATATGGCGAATATGCCAAGCATATTAGTGGCGGTGCGCCGGTAAGCTTTTTATTTTTCCTCCTAAAAAAAAACATTCTATGATCTTATTATCCTTATTTTCAGGTCTATCTAGCTGCCGTACTCGAATACCTGGTGTCCGAAGTGATGGAACTCGCCGGAGATTCAGCAAGGAGCAGTAAAAGGCACAGAATCACGCCAAAGAACCTGACAGCCGCCGTCCGAAATGACTTAGAGCTGGGTGAAATGCTCCGAAACGTGACGATCTCACAGGGCGGCGTGGTCCCCAACGGCAAAAACACCGAGATCTTCAAGTTCCAAGCGGAGAAGGCGAGGAAAAAAGATGAAAAGAATGAAATTAAACGTGCTGATTAACTTTTTTGATGAAATAACATTCATGGCTGGTCCAACTTTCATAAATACGCCTTCAATAAAGCTTTTCAAGCGTTTATTACATCATAAAACACGTGTGATTATCACAAAGCGTGGGTAGAAACAAAACAAAAACTTAACATACTTAAAAAGCGGTGGTATGAAAAACACCAGCGAAAATTCAAACGGCGACTTTTTCCGATTTTTTTCATATCGCTAGGAAACTTTCCGACGGATCTCTTTCCGACTTTTTTTCCCTCATGTTTTTTTCGGTTTGTAAAACATCTATTCACATTTTTTTATTCCTGTTTCTTTGTGTTTTAATCATGAACCAACTACCTACTTTATATAGGAAGATTCAAAACGAAGAGTTTATCGAAAAAAAAAAACAGTCGGAAAAAGTTTCGTCGGAAAGTTCTCTAGCGATATGAAAAAATCGGAAAAGTCGCCGTTTGATTTTTTGCTGGTGTTTTTTTCATATCACCTAAAAAGCAAATGATTCGAAGTTAATTTACATATTTTGGCGCCAAATGTTCGACTTCCTGGTCGACTCCTTGTTGTGGAACCACATCAGTGGGCACCTGAAAATTTATTAATTTCCATTTCTTTTTTAAGAGAAAAAGAGTAAACTTCACTCCATACTTGTCGCTTGATTGATGCCAATTCCACGGCCCTTCCTTGGGAATATTTTCCGGGTTGAGGCCTCTTTTCCGACACGTATTTTGATAATAAATGAAGCAATAAGAACACCTCACGTCTCTTCCCATCTGAACTTCATTTTTTGGTTAGGAAACTATTCCAAAATCTAAAAAACCGTTGAGTGCTGCCTCGTGTTTTTATAGGTTTGCTGTTGATATCTTACACTTGTTGGCGTGGTTTGAGACGATTGTGCTACAGAGCCCGAGCTGGAATCGGACGCGAGGAGCGGTGAGAACAATGCGAGATCGACCTCAAGATTTTGATTTCTCCCCAAAAAAATTTTCGTTCAAAACCTCAACCGAAGGATCCTCGATGTCTTCCTCCAAACTTGAAATCGTCGAGCACATGGAGGTGTCACAGGAAGCGTGGCTTTCGCTGGTGTAGGAATAGCTATCGCTGTGGTTCATCCGATAATGGGCCGGTCGCATCTGGAGTGTGTTGACTGACGACTGCAATATAATATGACCTAACACAATTGAAAAATAATGAAAAACACGCGAAAAAGAAAAAGTTATTTTTGCCAAGTGGGCGGAATGGTAAAATACAGTGATATTTCGATTTCGAAAGAATTTTTGAGCCTCACAAGCTTTTTTCATCTTTTTCGTATTTTCTTGGACATGGTAACGCGAAACGGACGTGCTATGGACGGTTCTGAGAATTTCTTGGGATTACTTAGAAAAGCCGACGTTACTAAAATGCCCGGACACGTCCGCTTCTTGTTACCAATTTTCGAGCTGATGGCGAATTCGCATTTTTCGAAATCAAGTTGCACACGGCAAAAAGTGCACATACCATTATGCTTTTGTTGTGTTGTTTCTTTTGCCGCATTGATCGATCTCCTCTCTCAATGAACTGGAGATGCTAAAATGATATTTTTTATGCCGTGTTCAAAGTAACTTCAGTGAAATTAAAAATTATCTTATTCTCTAAAATTCAGTTATCATTATCGCTCTGTTAAGGCTATTCAATTCAGCGAAATCACTTGGTATTATGGGATCAACTGAAAAAAGCATACCTGCTTTTCGCTTTGATAAGCAGTGGGTGCAGGTGAAGAACTATCAGAAGATGTCTGATCCAAAAATTGAGGTGGTTGGCCAAAATTATTAGGCTTAAAATATTTTGCTTAAATATAGGAAACTTTTAAATAGGAAATTTTACTCACCTGATTGTACCGTCCCTTCAAACATCTCGACTGTGTTTTGCTGATAGGGATAGTTGCTCTGAAAATCTCAGTAGTTTTTCTTGTCTCTCAAAACTTTTCAAAATTTTGACAAGATTGACATTCTGGTAAGAATTTCACTTGATTTTGTTAACAGAATAAAAAGTTCTATAGTCTGTTCAGATTTTGAATGTCAAGTAGAATGACGTCATTCAAAAACACTCTGTGGATGGCTCGCTCTCTGATTGGTTTATTTTTTATGAGCGGAGCTTGAGCGAAGACTTGACATTTAAAATCTGAACAGACTATAGAACATATTAAAAGTGGAAAATGGAAGTTATCAACTAACCCTGGTTGGAACGTAGCCAGATATAGGGAGAAATGGTTGTTGCTGAACGTACTGCATGCTTCCGTACAGAAATTAACCGAAACTGAAGAAAATTTTCCATTTCGGGGGCAGAAACAGTTTCCCAAGAAGCCTTTCGTTCCCATCAATGGGGACATGGGAATCCGCTTTGGAGAATTTCGGTCCTGATTGGCTGGCCACGCCTACTTGCACACAGCGCACACCGCTGGCTTTGCAAGAGTTTTCTCATGGCGTGTTCATCGGACAAAACGAAAATTGTTCCGAAACGCAAAAAAAAATTGCTTCAAAACAAAAATTAGTACTGTTTTGGAGCAACTTTGGCACGCCAATGAACACGATTTTTCGTTTTGAAGCATGTTCCGTTTCTCCAATGAACACGCCATTGCCCTTTTTTTTGCTCATATATTATTTTCTTCATTATATTTCACTTTTTATTGTTTTCTCTATGCTGCAGAGGTTGATCGGAGGGCGCCCCAATTTTTCACCATTTTATCCAGTGGCTTCACCCGAAACGAAATTTTAAGCACTTCGATAAACAGTTTGACTCGACAGCTTCACTGATGAATTTTGAGGACATTTCACCCATTTTAGACCAGCGGATGCTCCGCAGCGTTGATATATATATATATATAAAAATGAGTGGAGAATTCGGAGCACCTGCCAATCAACTGTATAAATATATAAAGATGTTAAGTTTTTGTCCAGCGGGTTACGCGTCGCTTTATGATAAATACTCTTTTTGTTTCTTATGACGCGTTCACCGCTGAAATAAAGAATATTTAAAAAAAATAGAATTTTTTTGATTCTTTTTGCTGAAAAAAACCAACTTCTTCTTGTTTCAGAGTGTTTAGAAAAAAAATATATTTTTATGTTGTTCATCAGAGACTCGGAAATCCAAAAAGAATTTTTCATCGGCTCCTAAACTTTGCTATGAAACCGTTTTTAATTTTTCATTTTGATCAAATTTTGTAAAAAAAGGTTTTGTCCGTTGAACATCATATTTAAAAATTTAAAAAAATACTGAACAATAAACAGCCAAAAAAACAGAATATGTGAAAGACGTGAGGCGTGTCTTTTTGAATTTTCTAATTTTTCTGATCTGTAAATGTGAAAAAAATAAGATGGGTCAAATTCATACGGAAATTTTTTTCCCTGGTGAGTCTTTTTGTAAAAATAATATTTCCACACTTTTATTAAATTTCTGTATCTTTTATAAGATTTCTATCGACTGTATGTCTCTTTTTTTGTTCCAAAACCATATGATGAAATTAATCCATCAAATGCAAATTTTTCTTTTTCGTAATGATGCCAGAGTGCAAGAAGCTGCTGCAACAGCTGACGCTTGACGCGATTTGAGAAAAATCGTTCGACTTTCATGAAATTTTCGTTTTCAACGTTTCTTCTTCTTCGTTTACTGTTTTCAACCAGTTTTTTTGAAAGAAATTTTTTATTTTGAAGAACTTTTTGAGTAGTTTTTAATATTCATCCCAGTGTATTTAGAAGAAAACCTCAATATAGAAAGAAAAAGGGAGGTCGTCATATAGCAACCTAAATTCTAGGGATTCCCACCAACTCTATTTTTTTTTCTTCAACTCAAAAGCTAGTACTTGAAAGAGGTTTTTCGCGACGTTTCGTACAAATAAATCGTCGCCGCCAGCATCCGCGTAGTAACACCGCAACAAAATTACAACCCAATCCAAACGTTCCTCTTCAAATGCTTCCGACTGTCTTTTTTTTGTGAATACTGAGATTTTAGAAAAAATTGTTCTGTCTCTGATATATAGTACATGTACAATAATTTCTTAGTTCGTCCTCTATATTTTGTTTGAAGTCGCTTTGCTTTAGATTGAATTATAACTTATTCCGTATTTATTCCATGATTCAGCAGAGAATATTCTGTGAGGTTTGGATAAATGTGAGAAATGTTTCTTTGCTTTGAATGTTCTGGGCAAATTTTTCGATTTTTGTTTCCACTATCTTCAAGGAACTTTTCATATTTCTCTTTATATATTTTTTTGTGACCAGATTCGGGGAAACCCTTGAATCTGACTTGCCGCGCGCGCGTCGAATTACCTTTAAACGTGACATAAAACAAGCTGAAATATTTCAGTTCGCCACGGATTCGTCCAATAGCTGGGACTGGCCGCTTCAGCACCGTGACGGCGTCGTCAAGGTTATTTTTCTAGCAGTATAATTTTAATCCCTTAGTAATCAAGAGTATTTTGAAATTTTTCTCAAAAAAATATTATTCAAAATGGTTCATATAAGGGTTCAGGTGACGAATACGCGGGAAAAGTTCGAAGTCGGGCTTGCTGCTGGTTTTTTCGGCCCCAAAGACATTGAGGTCAAGGTCAACGGCCATTTGCTCATCATTCATCTGCAGAGAGAGGTTTTATGGCTGTTTATTCTCATTCAAACGCGCCCTAGTATTGAGAGCTGTTTGCAAATATTTTCAAAGTGAGATAATAAAAAAAAAATCTAATGGTTGTGCTCCTTGTAAGTACGAGACTTAAGTCTGATTCCTAAGTCCTGAAAGGTTGAGTGGTCCCTATAGGGGTCTTCTAATTTTTTTTAAAAGTTTTAAAAGTAAAATTGACTGTTAAATAAAGCAGCAAATAACACTGGCCAATCGGCGATCGCCCTTTGATGACCAAAATTAATCACAGACTGGTATTTTCATACTAATTGTGTGCACTCGGATACTATCAAAATTACGATTTTGAAAAAAATGTTTATTTTTCATAAGCGTAAACATATTCTTAATTTTGTCGTGATGTGAAATATTTTTCAAAAAATAAATTTAAGGGCAACGATCCCCGTGCCTCTTCTATGTTCCGAGAGGTTCATCGGACCTATCGGCTTCCTGAAGACGTCGATCCGCGGACCATTTCCTCCTACCTCAGCTCCCGTGGCGTTCTCACGATCTCCGCTAAGAAAATTCTGCTGATCCAATTGTTTTGTTAGGATTTTTCCGCTTATTTCTTCCTGCCATGCTTCATACAATGAAATTTTTATTTTATTTGCTTGTTTGCTTGCGGGAAGACGGGTATTTTCAAAGTAAAATCCATTACTTGAAACATTTTTGAGAAGAGCTCTTTTCCATTGAACTTGTTATTGTCGTGTTCAAAGCTTGTGGCAAAACAGTATCTCGTTCAGAAGCATGGAAACGCGGCAGATTCCCACAGCGTGATTGGTTCACTCCGCCCATTTGATGAAAAAAAATTCACATTGGAAATTTGTCAAAAGGCGGTGCCGTCTGGCTGTTTTCGACAATTTGCACCTCGAGCTTTTGAAATAGAGAAGACGAGTTTCTCCTTTGAAACACTTTCATAACAATATCTATTGATTTTCAGTGAGTACACAATATCGATTCGGAGGATCGGAACATGAGGAACTGGTCCGCCTGGAAATTTTCTCTCGGCTTTTGAGTAGATCCCTCGAGCCGATGTGTGTAATATTTGCGTTACAACGAGCCGGCGGCCGCGTTGTAGTCTCATTTATTCAGACTGCTTCTATATTTTCTTTTTTTGTTCGAATGTTTTTCTTTATCTTCCATTTTGTAGGTAAAATGACTTTTGAGGGGAAGGAAAATAGCCCGGTAATTGGCACCGGCGATGAAATCTCTTCAATACATTCAAGAATCAAGGTCATTTTTTCATTCTGCAGAACAGAATTCTGTATCCAACAGAAAACCAGAAAAGTTCTAGATTTTCGATAATCCATTTGCGACGCAAGTATCCAACCCAAAAGTGGATTTGTTCTGTGCGCAGTGTTTGCGTGGCTCTTCTGCAGGCGAAAGTTTGCTTCGGTGCTCCGGGTGAGTATCCAAAAATACTCCGGAAATTTCCTTATATGGTAATTTAAATATTTGAAAATTGGCCAAGAAAAATCGGAGGGTGTCGCTTCATTTCCATTGCCTCATCTGAGGTTTTTCATTGCATTTCTAGTGGTAAATAGGACCCAGAAACAGATGTTTTAAAAAAATTTTAGATAATTATTCAATTATTCATCCCCAAGTGTAAAAGAGCAAAAATATCGTAGAAAGCATTATAAAAAATTATTTTTAGTATTCTGACATTCCTTCTCATCAGAAGAATATGAAGACCGAATGACCACATTAAAAAAAAATAAAATCAAGAGATACACCTACTTCCGGAATATCAGCTGTTAAAATGAAAAAAAAAACCCTGGAAAGAATTTCAACATACTTCCAGCTGCAACTTCGCGCGATACTGTAGTAAAGAGTGCCAAAAAGCTGCCTGGCTCGTTCATAAGCCGGAATGTCGTCGTCTGAAAGCGGTGAGGAACTATTTTGAATGTATTTTCTCATAAAACGTTATGAAAACTCCGGAAAAAGTTTCTTTTGAACCGTCCATTTTTTTCAGCTTTTTTTCTCGTCGAAGAAGTTTTTGATTTTATTCAACCTCTTGAAAATTTGTTCCAAAGTCGAATTTTTTTCATAAACTTTTGTGTCATTTAGAACTTTTAGGTTTTCCCGAACCTCCCACTAACCGAAGTTTTCTTCCTTTCAAAAATCATTGACCGACTGGAGTACATCAAAAAGAATGGCGACAAATACGGCTGGGAAGCTGAACGGCCATTTTCGAGCCTCGTTGACCACAAGGAAGAGATACGGTACCTCCTCCTTCCTTGCCTGGAAATGTTTCGAATTCAGAGCCGACGCGGATAAAATGGAACATTTTGAAAAGGTCAACACGAAAATGGGTATCTTCCGGAAAGACGAAATGATTGAAAAGGTATGTTTTTCAATAAAAAACGGAAAAAAGTCGAGATTTAGGAAGAATTCTTCGACATTTTCTGCAAAGCCACGATCAACTCGCACAGTATTCATACCAATTCTGGCAATGAAGTCGGCATGGCCTTGGATCTCGGTATATTTAGAAAACAAAAAAATGAAAAAAAGTTAATTTCGAATTCAGGAGTTTCAAAAATACAATCATTCGTGTCGACCAACCTGTTCGATGGTTTTTGATGGATATCGGTGAGAAAAAGAAATTATTAGAAGGGATTTGAAACTCATAAGAAACAAATGAAGAATCGAACAAAGAAAAATTTAAAAAAATACAAAGGGGATTTATATTTTTGAAATTTTTTTATAGCTTGTAGATATAATTTTTTTATAGCTTTTTAGATTTCAACACGGCCAAAGTGCAAAAGGTCTCAAAAAGAACTTTTGAAAAAAGCGTCTTTTTTTTAACCTTTCTCTGAAGAGAAAAAAAGAAGAGGCGGAAAAAATGAGTTTCCGAAAAACATTTGACACCTTTTTAGATTTTCAAAAAAAAAACTTTAGACTCATCTTTTCAAGGCCCTTTTGACGCCGTTTGGAATTTGCCTGTGAAAGACTTTTTAAAATCTTTCTTTCGTGTTCAAAGTGATTTTCACCAAGTGCGAAATGATCTCTTACTTTCCAAAGTTTTTTTTTCAAAAGCGTGTTTTTCATTTTCAGCATTTTTTTTTCTCCCATTTTAAACTTCATGCCGTGTTCCATTTGATTCCGCGAAACGCAAAATGATCTCTGACTCTCCAAAATTTAGTGATCTTTTCCTTTCTCTAATGGGTATTTTTACATTTCGCGTATTTATCACGGAATCATAAAAAAATAAATTATAACGATAAAAAAAGCAAGTACAATACAACTATCCTTTGAAATTTATTAAAAAAAGTTGAGTTAAAAAAAGAAAAAAAAGCTGTTTGAAAAAAATGTCGTAGGACACCGTTTTTGTAGTCGCTTTGCTTCCCATTTTCGTTATCTAGAGTGTGTCTGCGTCCTCTGGTGCCAGGAGTTGATGCCAGCAATATCGAGCAAGCCTTCATCTCTTACATTGACGTCGGACGGAGCAAATACATCAGAAGACGCGATCTCAGGGTAAAAATTACATTTATTTTTTCATCATAGTGTGATAGATTAATTGAACTTCAGGATCGTTGGTATTTCGAATGTCAGTGTTCAAGGTGCACGGATCCTGAAGACGATCTGTTGACTTCGATTAAATGTGTCAATCCAAATTGTGATGAGCCAATTGTGAGTTCAAATGCGTTGGAAGATCAAATATCGCATTTTTGGATCACTTCCGAAACCGACGAGGCCATGAACATTGCCTGTCCGAAATGCGGGACTTTGAATGAAGAAGATCGGGTGAAATCAGCACAAGAGTACATGAAAACTCTCCCAGCTTCTTTTGATCCCCAGTGTCCTGCGGACATCGTGAGTTGAACAAATTAAAAAAAAAATTCCTTTCGATCCGTTTTAGTTTTTTATTTTTTATATTATGATATAACTATTCAGGAACCGCTCACTGAAAAGGTCAGTTTATATAAAATCCCCAAATCCCTTTTCAACCACGCTTTGTCGCCATCCTGAGCTGCAATTGCATACCCTCCGATCCCTCTTCCCCATCGTAGCATCGGTGGTTCAGTGGTAGAATGCTCGCCTGCCACGCGGGCGGCCCGGGTTCGATTCCCGGCCGATGCAATCCTTTTTTGCTTTTTTTTTGCACTCCTTCCCCTCACTCCGACCTTTGACAGAAAGTGATCGAATTTTCCGAAAAGTCCAATTTTTCAGCTCAAAGATCTGCTGTCGAAGGCTGAGCAAATATTACATCCTTCGAATGTCTATGTGGCAAGGTAAAAGAACAAAAAAAAAAAGAAATTCACAAAAAGTTTAATACGTCAGACTTCGAACCGCGTTGTTCCATGTGACTGGAAATTTAACGATGGATAATTTGTCGACCATGCACAAGCAAATCTACGACAATTATAAAATGTAATTGAACAAATTTTTTTGAAAATTTTTTTGCTCTTAGGTGCTTCCCAAAAGCCGACCGACATGTTGGATTTCAATTGCTTCATATTGTCAAAACGCTGGTTGAACAAGATAAGAGGGAAGAGGTGCAAAAAGTTTGGGAAAGTCTTCATGAAAATGAGTTCTCAGGCAATGTCCTACGCTTTCGATGCGATGAACATTTTCGAAGTTTGCTTCGGATTGGATCATCCTTACTACTTGCAGACGCTCGCCTTGTGGACCTATTTAGAGAAGCATGTTAGTCTTGAGAGTTTAATAGGAAACTTTTTCTAATAGGGATTGGTTCTGAATACTTTAAGCTTTCCAAATAAAAAAAATATAAATTTGTCGGAAAATCAGAAGGTTGTTTCAGTGCGAAGAAATTTAAGAATAATCCCCGAAAAAAAGAAAATTTTTCGATTTTTTTAAATTAAATTTTTCTATTCAAAATAAGATATATTTTTTCGATCTTGAGAACTATAGCTGATTCACGGCTGGCTTGAGTTATCGAAAAAATGGTCCTGACACGATAATGCACGAGACAGCGGCTGGCTCGTTGAGAACGCAGACAGGACACGCCCCTTAGCGTCCCAAGCTTGCCGTGAATCAGCTATATTCGATTTCAAGAGAAATCATTTCAATTTTAAGATTCCGAAGACGAAAGAAGAGCTGGTGCAGCTGACGCACTTCTCGGACAACCGACCAGTCGACATCGTCACTCTTCTGAAGAGAGCCAACATGCTTCCGCCGCCCCCAACGGCTAAGCAATCGACGATCCCGGCTGTTTGAGACTTTTGATGGAGCCGATTTCCACGGGTGTCCGGTAGAACTGTTTCTAGGCCTTTTCGTTGTTGGTTGGTCTTAATAAAAAGTGAAAAACTCTGAGAAGGTTGCAATATTTATTTTGTACAGAGGAGAGTGCACAGACAACGGCTTGGCGTGGCCGTTTAGTAGACGCGCTTGACGACGCGACGACGAACAACGTAGCCAGAGTGGGCGGGTGCGGCAGTCGTCTCTGGTGGGGAGGCGGCTGGCGAAGCGTCGCCGTAGCCGCTGACGGCTGGCGAACGTGGCGGGCATGGGCAGTAAGCAGCGTCGCTGCCTGGGTTTCCGACGGCTCCAGCTCCTCCAGGTTGTCCTGGAGCACCGGCCACTCCGTCCTTTCCGTCTTTACCAGCTGGTCCTTCTGCTCCTGGCTTGCCGTCGGCTCCTGGCTCTCCGGCTGCTCCATCGTTTCCAGCTGGTCCAGCCTCAAAGATAAACCTTGTGAACAAAAACTATTTGGGAAGACTCACTGATCCAGAAGGCCCGGCTGGTCCTGGTGCTCCGTGTCCCTTCTTGCCGTTGGCGCCATCGGCTCCCTTCTCTCCAGCAGGCCCAGATTCTCCAGCCTTTCCGGCGTCTCCTGGAGCTCCATCGGCGCCAGGCTGTCCGTCTTTTCCTGGAGCGCCGTCATCGCCGTTCTTGCCGTCAGGTCCAGCTGGTCCCGCTTCGCCGTCAGGTCCTGGTGGTCCTGCTGGACCTGGTGGGCACTTGACGTTCTTGTCGTAAGTCGGCTCGTTGTGTCCGCTGCCAGCCTCGCCGTCCTTGCCTGGGGCTCCTTGAGCTCCATCGTCTCCGGGTGCTCCAGCTTCTCCTGGAGGTCCTGGAGGTCCAGCGGGGCAGTTGTCTGGCTGTGGTCCGCAGTTGCACTGGCCGTTACCGGCAGAAGCCTTGCCGCCGCTGACGGCGTCGTCGTAGCCACGCTTCGAGCGGCTCAGGTATCGGTCGAAGGCGAACGTCATCTCCGTCGATGGGACCATCTGTGACCAGGCGTCGTTGGCGATTGTCTGCAACATTTTCCAAATATTTTATAGATTAAGAAGCCTTTGATCACCTTGAACTCGGCCAAATCTTCGTACGCCTCATTTTGGAACGTGTTGATCTCGTTGAGCAGCAACAGAGCGGAAATCAAGGCGGGAACGATTGCCACACCGCTCAAAGTCACGGCCGCGCCAGCAATTATGTTTCTGGTCATCCTAAGAAAAGACATGATATTTTGAAAAGAAGCGAAGCTGTCCGAATGATCACTTTGAAGCTGGATCAAGAAGCCACTAAAGGTGATTGGAACTTTTTTTTAAAGAGGATTCATTTTTGCCGTTTTTTGATAAAAGTAAATTTTAAATAGAAGCTAAAATAAGTTCACCACCATCCTAAATTAAAAATATTAAAATGGGAAAGAAAGAGAAGCTGAGGTTGTTGGTCGACCCCATCAGCCGTCTTTAAATAGTGTCGCCGGAGGGAGGATCGGGTTTTCGGCATCGTGCCAAAAAAAACAAAGGCCAAACGAAAAGCTGGCGGAAAGTTTAAAACATCGTTAGATTGTGATGGAAATGCGCAAACAGAAGGCGAAAAATTTTGATCTACGATTTGCGCTTTTTTTTCAAGGCCAGTGTTGTTGAAAAAACCAGTATTTGTTGTGATATTTTCGAATTTTTCCATTCGAAACACTTTTCGAAGTTAGATTTTGACATGATTCTAATAAATATCTTTCTTTCCGAAACCCTGAAATGGTTGACTGATCAGCAAAACTCGTTTATCAAAAACCGTTCAAAATTATTTTCGAAACATCCTTCTTAATGAAAAAACGTAGACAATCTGAAAAATCAATTTTTTTTCAATATTATGCACCTTTTGAACCATACCCAAAGCTTCAATTAATTCCAGAAGATCTCAAAAAAAAACGGCAAGGTTTATCGAATCCACTTTTTTCCTGTAATTGTTACACCAGGAAACGATTTAGATTGAGATAAGGAGGCGGCCGAAAGAACACTGTTTTTGTCCGATTTTGTTGCGTCACGGATCGGATTTTCGTTTTTTCTTCTTTTGCCATCGTCCTTGTAGTGTTCGTGGCAGATTCCTGGCTTTTTAATTTGCTTAATTTTAAATAAAGAGGTGATAAATTAGCTCTGAAGAGTTTTCTGCACTTTCGAAGTATTCAAAAATTGTCTTATGCCGTGTTAAAAAGTAATTTCGGCGATTTCAAAACTGACGCGTTATTCGTTTGAAAAGATTTTGGAAAATAGGGGCACGAATTTTAAATATTCGTAGAAAATGCTCAAACAATTCTGAAATTTTGAGTTCGCGCGTAAAAGTTACACTAAAATTGCATATCGTGCGATAAATCCTTCTAGTACTTACCTTTTCTGCGACCTGAGAATTCCAGTTTGCCTATTTCCTGAAATCATTTCAAACGAATAAGGCGTCAATTTTGAAATAGGCAACATTACTCTGGACACGATTTTTTAAACAATTTTTTGAAAAACTTCTTACCACAACATTTCACCTTAATTTTTCACCCTTTTATTTTTATAATGCACTGAACGGTATTATTGAACGTTAATCTTAAGTTTATTAATAAGATTTCTATTAGGCTAATAGAAACTAGAGTATTAGATATAATTCATTAAGTCGAATTCGGTTTTACACAAATACCGGCTTCTTGTCGTGGGTTGTTCTTTCATCATTGAAATTTCGCTCTTGGTCTTTGTTTTGTTGTTCCATTCATTTTTCTTTCTTCATAAACCTTTTCACTTACCAGGGAACGTTTTTTACCCCCTGGTTGAACTTGTGACCTCTTGATTGCCGATCAAGAAAAAAAATTTCTCGCAATAGATCTTCTTTCCGAGTTATGGAGCTTCAAAGTGAGCAAAATACTCAAATGCCAAAAAAGCGCTATTTCGGGCTTTTTAAGCTTCATAACTGGAAAACGAGATCTTTTGCGAGAAATTTTCTTTCTGTTCTGGAATCAGGGGGTCCTAAAGTACACTTCAGCAAAAGTTTAATTATTTTTGAAATCATCCTTCAATAATTGCATTTGCCTCAGCGTCCTAGTTTGTAATCAGTATTTCTCAGCCGGCACTTCCTAAGACTAGACTCATCAACGGCAGTTTGCAATACCCACGAAAGCCAACCACGCTGACTCTCTTTTTCGCTGCGCCCGACCGCCTGCGACGTTCGCGCTCATTCATTCTTTTACACGTGGCGACAAGAAGACGGTTTATTATAGAATTTCGGGCCGGAATTTTCAGATTTCGCAGTTATACTACGCTTTGCGGTCGTAGCTGGAGGCGCTGTTGACAAAACTCTCAGAGTTTGAAGAATCTGGGGGATTTGGAGGCCGGAGAGGCAAACTTTCGCCGCCGAATCGGTTCACGTTCTCGTTTTTGCCATTTTTTGTCTTGTCCGCTTTGTCGAAGGAACGCCGAGGGCAAGGGCAGTAGCCTGAAACAAAAATGTAATTCAGATAGTAAAAAAATTCATTTGTGATGTATTTCCGAAATAAAGCTATTTCAAAGTAATTTTCGTGAAAATGAAAACTGACTCTCCAAAGTTCAGTTATCTTCTCTGACGGCTACTTTGAATTTCGCGGAATCGCTTTGAACACAGAAATAAGAATCAAATTGAATCCCTAAAAGACATAAACTATACCAGAATCAAATCCAGGAATCCCAGCGAATCCTTCCAAGCCGTCTGCACCGTCAAATCCTTTCGATCCCGTCATTCCATCAGGCCCAGGAAGTCCAGGTGGGCCAGCTTTTCCGTCCACACCGACGTCTCCAACACGTCCAGCTTTTCCAGGCGCTCCAACAGGACCAGGAGCCCCAGGAGGGCCTGGCCTGGCCGAAAACCTCCTACCATAGGCTCCATGACGCCCGTCAGGTCCAGGCATGCCTTGAAAGCCTGGGAATCCGACGAAACCTGCCTCTCCAGGACTTCCAGGAGGCCCAGGTCTGCCCGGTGGCCCTTGCTCACCGGGCACTCCAGTGGGACCTTGCGATCCAACCGCTCCGACTTCTCCTTTTGGGCCCGGAGGTCCTGGCGGACATTGGAAGCAACTTCCAACAGGACCTAGCATCTCTCTGAAGACTTCCATGCCGCTGATGCCCGGCTTGCCACGGCTTCCAGGATCGCCGACGTCTCCGTCCACTCCTGGAGCTCCTGGAGGACCAGCACGACCTGGCGGACAGTTGTTAGGGCCGATGGCACACGGGCATTGGTCACTATCGACGGTTTGACGTTTGAAAAGACGGCCGAACTCGATTCGAGTCGGATGACCGCGCATCTCCTCCCAAGCGTGGTCTGCGTACAACTGCAATCAAAAGTTGTTTTTTCACGTAGTTAATTGGAATCAGAAAACTAAAATACGAAACCTTGAACTCGGCCATTTCGTCCATCGAAGCAAGGTGCATGTCGCTGACTTCGTGGAAAAGGTACAAAGTCGAGAGGAGCATGGGGAAAAGTGCGACGCCGCAAATCGCCGTTGTCGTCGCGGCGACGTGCGTTCCACTCCACATCTGAAAGAAATTACGACAAAAAAGTCGCTAAATGAACTACGTGATGTCATCAAATGAATTGAAGAGGCAAAAATTCTTTAAAATCAAAAAAAAAATGAATAACATGCTTGAAACAGAAATTTGATAGCCAGGTCGGATAGTTGGTCCACGGCCGGCTTGAGCTATCGAAAAAGGGTCCTGACACGATAATAAAAGATTAAGTGCCTGGCTAGGAGAGATCAGGCCACGCCCCCTTAGCGTCCGCGAGCATTCAGTTAAAGCTACATGGTTGTGACGTCATCTAGGCATCTCGCTTTGTTTGAACTTAAAAGAAAAGAGAATTCTGACTGAAGCAACCCGACTATAGTCCGTTCAGAACTTGAATGTCAAATCGTCACTCAAGCTCCGCCCCCAATGGTTTGATGAACCAATCAGAGAGCGAGCCGTCCACAGAGCATTTTCGAATGACGTCATTGCACTTGACATGCAACATATGAAAAAAATAAATGACTTCAGGAAACTTCCGACAACGTTTAAAGAGTAAAAAAAGATCTTCGAAAGTTCGCAAGTTGAAGCGACTCGGCTGATCTTCGTTTTTGGCCCTTAAGTAGTGCCCAGTGTTCGGATTAGCGCGCAAAACGAATATGGCTAACGACCTGGTCCTGTTTGCCGTTGGCCTAGTACATTCAAACGCCTCATTCCCTTCATCTCATTTCCCTTTTGCGGCATATCCGGTGAGAAACATTTCTTGCCATCGCTTCACTTCTTTCTTTCTTTCCTCCAGTTGAAACTTATGAAATGTGAAAGCGATTTATGCAGTCTTACGGAAACATTCAAATAATCTACAATCTATCTGTACAAGAAGTTATTGACAACTACCCGCCCCATCAGACAAAAAAGGCGAATAAAAACTGGGAAATTTGCTGGAATTTCGACAAAGATCCTAGAAAATCATGCTTGAGAGGTAAGAAATCTGGCAGATTCGCATGCACCTTGATGAATTGATTATTGTTTCTATTTTGCAACGTTATGATATACAGAAAATCTCTATAATCGAGTATTGTCGCGAGGAAAAGCGGCCGCAATTCGTCGCTTGGCGTCATCGTAGGTCGCTTGAAGGCTTTTCTGAATAAAAAATTGAATAAGACAAAAAATTGTTTGGGAAAAAGTAGTTGTTGAAAAAAGCAAACAAGCTTCGTTACGACTTTTTTTAGCTATGAATTTTGAATTTGTCAAATGACCTTAAAGTTAAGATTTTTTTCCTTAATTTGAGATTTTTTTCTTAGATTTTTTTCTAAGATGTAGTTTCTTTTTTTAAGGTTTTTTTCCTTAATTTGATAAATAATTTGTTTTTTTCTAGAATCATCAAGGACAAGATTCTGAATTTTTTTGGTACCTGGAACATAAATTAAGGGCACCTAAAGCCTGAAATTCGGATTATCTAAAATTACTAGTTGAAAAAAAAGTTGCTCAGAAAACTACTAAAAACGCACCTTCATTTAAAAAAAACTTTGATCAAAAAAACTGATTTTTTTGAATAAAGTGAAATGTGAAATAAAACAGTCTTTTTTTCTATTTTTTTATTGCTCTCAATTTTTTTGTTTGATTCTTCCCTGAAAATTTTTTTGTTTTTACGTTTTTTTCTAACGTTTTTTTCTATCACTTGCCAAAAAAACTTAGAGAACAAAAAAACTTCGAAACTTTCATGGAGGCCCAATCACTTTTTTTCTTTATATTTGAAACCCACACACTGGTTCGTCAACTTTTTGATGGCATCCAATCTGGCGACCGACGCAACGTAATGATGCCTCAAATTTCGAATAATTTGAAAATCTTAATTCAAATTGAAACTTTTTAGCCAATTCCTCTTTCTGTTCCATGAGAATGACTTGAAGTTGGTGGCAGGCCGCCATGTGCTCGTCGTGGATCATAACTGAGAGTTCGTCGGTTTGAACTGGAGACACTGGCTGAAAAAGCATATATGAAAAAAAAACTATTTAATTCCAGAGAAAAAATCGTTTTCACTTTTGCACTTATAGTAATGTTTTTTTATTTCCGCCGTAGAGCCATAAAGTGCTTCAAATTAGCGGGGAAAAAAAAATTGAAAATCTTTTGAAAAAAACTGATATATCACCACCACATCTCGCAAGTTACCACTGATGTTATTTCAAAAAAAGTTGATTGAACCAATAAAATTTCACTGACCCCTAAAGTGGCCACTAAAATTTTTAGTGGTCTAGTAGTACCACTTAGACCTTTATAGTGGTCAAATTTTTAACCCCTTAAGAGGCCACTTATAACTTTTTTCACAAGTATTTAAAATTATTTCTTTTCCATGTCTTTTTCCACTAACCCTCCACATCCTGTCGATCTCCGGAGGTTCTTCAGCTTTTCTCGAAGGTCCTGGAGGCGGCGGCACGTGTCGCAACGCAGAAGTTTTCGCGGCGAATGCGGCAGCCGCGCCGGCGACACTGCTGATGTTGGAGAGGTTGTCTGCGACCGACTGCGACCGGGTTCCGCGCATTTCGGCTTCCCATGGCGAGAGCGTCGGGTCGTCGTCTTCTGGCACGACGACCGGCGATGGGGGTTGCTGAACGGGGGATGAGTTTGGATAAACTTGAGCATATATTTGAAATATAATAACTTTTCCAAAACTTTCTCTGAAGAATTAATTTTCTTTCCAACTCCCGTACCAATCGTATCAAAGTCGACTGATCGCTTCCAGCTCGTCGATGGGTCTTATTCGGCGTCAACATCGATCGAGACATCGGGTGTAGAACGATATTACTTTTCTGGGATGGTAGACCAGCCTGAAAACCGCTCAAAATGACTCAAAGAATTCCGCAGCGGTGGTTACAAAATTCGGTTGAGGCGTCCGAATCGGCTCCCTTGTGTCGACATCCAACAAAGGTTCGCTTGAATCGGGATAGTCCTGGGAAATGGCTTCTTTGATTGCTTTTTTCAAAAGAAATAAACCTCTCTGAGAAGTTCAAAATATTCCTTGCACTCTTGGCTCGTGGGCCGTACTTTCGGATCATTGTCCCAACATCTGAAATCCTAAGAATGGATCAAAAAAAATCACGAGGTGATACCTTTTATAGAAGAGCGATAGAACCGGGCTACAAGACAATTCGGGTGGTCGTTTATCCGCAGAGCACACATTCCACAGAAGGACGTTTGCATCAATATTCTTTGGATAGGGATCCCTTAAGTGACCTTTCTAAGAAGAATTTTAAAAAAATAGTCAAACCTTCTAGAAATAATTTGCCACATAATTATGCCTATACTGTAGATATCCGATTTAGTGTTGTAGTTTTCGCCTCTGGAATTTCAAAGAAAATCTTCAGAGAAAAAAATTTAAAAAAATTGGCGTTTTTCATCGAAAAGAAACAACAGTAAAAAAACCTCAAAACTTGAAATAATCGACAATAAAAAAAAGCTCACATTCATATTTGAAACTAAGACGTTTCTCTTTTTCTTCTTAGAGCGCCAATTTTTCTAGTTTTAGAACCTGAAAATCTCTGGGGCCATCGTGATTGGGGTTCCACGGTTGCACGTCATGGCTGTGTGCATTGAGGTGAAAGTTCCGAAGTCGCACAATTTCATGCAACGGTATCGATCCGACAGCAGCATACTTAAAAAAATATTCTTGAAAAATAGAGCATTTTTAAATTATTTATTTATATCACTCGGTCTTTAAATGCGGAAAAAAATCCAGAATTTTAGAATAATACCAAAAATACTTCATTGCTTCATGTTTTGATAAATTTCTGATTTTTTACAGACTAAAAGAAATTCACAACATATAAGATTTCAACAAAAAAAACCACAATTAAATATTCATATATATAATAAACAGCTTTTTTTCCCTTTTTTTCTTTGAAAGAGATATGAACAAAACTTGTTAAATCTCTTTTTCTCTATAAATATGTATTCAAAACGTTTTTTTCTCATTGAACTAACTTTTTGAAGCTTCAAGTCGCGATGAACTTGATCATGTGAGTGGAAAAAGTCGACGGCGTTGCTCAATTGGAAAAGCCACGAGATTGCATGATCAATCTTATACTCGATGTTTTTATTCGTTAACACTGCAAATTAGCTAGAAATTAAACAAAATTGATAAACCACGAACATTCGGCCAAACTTTTGCAGTCCATGTACTCCATAACGACGCCAGTTCCATTTAGTGGGCAATCATAAACGCCAAAAATTCTAAATCAAATAATAAATCAAAAAAATGTTCAAAACTTTCAAAACCTCAATATATATTCACTAATTTTGTTTTTCGATTTCAAACTTTTCTGTAAAATTTGCTTTCAGAACTTTTCGACATAAGAAAAATGTGACAAAAATCACACCAATCGGAACTACTTATTGTCTGTGAGCAAAAAAAAAGTTTTCAAATAAAAAATTGGAAAAATATAATAAACACCCACTGAATACAATTTGGATGTCTCTGAAGGCTATGCATGACTTTCGCTTCACGAATCAACGTTGGCCGATGCAAAGGATCGTTTGCGTACTTTATCGCCACGTTCCTGAACATGAAAAGATTGAAAAATTTGTCCTACAACATTTTTTTTATCAATTTTATCACGTAGACTAATGGAACTTCGATGAAAAAGCGGAAAATCACAAAAAATAGTTAGTTAAATAAAAATTCTCTTTGTACTTGTATTCGCTCTGAGGAGAAGTCCTGAAACGAGCTTTTTGGACAGTTCCGTACGTCCCTCTTCCAATACGAATGCTGTTGAGAGCGTCGATCTAAATAAAACTCAATTTAAAAAAAATTCTTTATTTACCTGCTGTGGACTAATTATTGGAATTTCCATCGTGGAACATAGGCCCGAGTCCCGAGAACCATGTGAACGAGCTGCCTTAGATAAACTCATTTGAAAATTAAATATTAATTTTTGAAACCTGTCTGGGGGAAGGCGAATGACTGTTTGAGGTTGATCTATTGTATGAAGAGGCATTGCTCATCCTGAAAAATTTATTATGATCGATTTAAAAAGTAGAAACATTTTCCATTGGTATGAAAAGAAAGAAACGCAAGTAGAGAATCGAACTGGCGAGAAAGTACATTTTTGGAAAGGAATGGGGCGAGGAAAGTGTGGACCAACCACAGCGAGGAGAGTACTCTCGAATTCAACGCTATGAAAACAGAATGAGAAAAAATTTGGAAGTTTACATGCTGAGACTTCAAAGACGAAGAAGCTTTCAATAATTCATAATTATACTTATCGCCTCGATATATTTTTTGGCTCCTCTGAAAAACAAAAAAAAAATTTTCTAACACAGGTTTAAAAACTACTCGGTCGATAAAAATGAACGAAAAATTCACCTTTTCATTGTAGAACATCCAAAACCCCTGTACAAAACAACTGCTGGATATTCTGAGCACTTTCCAATTATCCATAAATAACTTTTATCTTCAATCAAGATAACCAGAAACTTCGAAAGTCCAATGCTCGTCTTTCAATATGCTCAAGTTCAAAAAACTTCTGTGAAAAAACTTGACAAAGAAAAATTTGAAATTTCTTTATTAAGCTCTATCGGGAACACGGCTATCAGATGAAAATTTCGCAGGTTCGCCCATAAAACAGCTGAATTGCCTGAGAAAAGCGTCTCGGTGTTCTTTGGAGCGCCAGAGAAGTATGTAGAACGACTCGGAGAAGCAGACCAACGCGAAGAAAATCTGGAAAAAAATGAATAGTCAGAAAGAATAAAGAGGTGGAAAACCCAATTGGAATGCAGGAAATCCTTGTTTTGTCCTTGAAAATTGAGCAAAATCATGTAGACACCGAGAATACAAATGTACCAGGAGCCGATGAAAACAGCCATCAGAATCAGAAGACGTCTAACCGCCCGACTAGTTCGACGTCTCCTTTGAGAATCCGCTGGAGCTTACAATTATATTGAAAAAAAAACCAGATTTGATGCTTTTCTAGGGAAAATTCTTGAAAAGCTGCTTTCTCCATCTTTTTTGTAGTGTTGAAAAATTAATAGTTCAATTAATCTTTTCGTAAAAAAATGTTTCGAACCGCGAATGAAAACTATATTAAAACGAAGACTTTTTCGTATTTCCTTCACGATACCTTTATTCATAGAACGTCCTTGCGTCTTAATATGGATTATCAAAACGACGAAAAGAGCCAAAACTGCCGTGTTAATCACGAGGTTCGTTATCATCCAGCATTTGGCAACGTCGGGATGCATTCCTGAATTTTTTGAGTCTTCAAAAATCCCAAACTTTTTTTAATGGTTCTTTTGTAAACGTTTTTCGCGAGTGGTATCAAAAAATAAGATCAATGCGACACAAAAGAAAGCCACGCCCAGTGGCGGAACATACAATGTTTTGTACGTAGTGGTGCATACGCTGCACAAAAGGCGACGGCGACGCGCAAAAAGCGAAATTGTTTGTTTATCATGAATAAAGATAGTTTCTAGCTGTTATTTATCCAGGCAACGCCGAAAAAAATTTCTAAAATGTTGTTATTCAAAAAAATATTACTTCAAACTCAAATAGAAGAAATTTCTTTTGGAATTAATATTCTATTTCGACCCCCAAATTTTTTTCTGACCCCTTAACACTGGTTTTCCTTTTGCGAATCATGGATAATTTCAGAAGGCAATTACAAGGAGAAAAAAGTTTTAAGTTACTTCTCGAAGAGCGAGGTAATACGATCAACGTGGCGGTAATTTTTTACTTTTTTTGGAGAATTGAAAAAAAAAACCTGTCGGGGGATTACAGTAACGGACCGGTTGATCGTCCATTTTCTCGAATCCCCAAGCCATCAACGCTGAAGAATACGTCAAGGGAAAAAGTAACATTCCCAAAATATACTTCTTCGTGTTGATTTGTCGGTACCTCAACAAAAATCAACTTTTCAAGGTTTTTTTTGTGGAATCTAAAAACGTTGAATCCAGCCATGAATCAGCTATTGAGTCGGTGTGAAAAAAAAACCTATGAGGGGCCAAAATGGCGAAAAGCATGTCGATGGGCAGTAGAAGCATCAAGACGGCTTGGAAGCAAATGAAGAACACGTAGGGGGCCAGAAGCGGATAACACTCTCTTCTCGTGTACGTTTCGTCTTCCAGAATCCCGAAGGCGTTGTGCAAGGTGCTGAGCAAGCAGAAGGACTGGAACAACGACAGGATGCATTGGAGAGTCGCTGAAAGTCAATAAAAACCCTGGAAGATTTTTTTAAGTCTCACCAGATTTGCTCTGCAGTCTTTTGCTTTTACAATTGAGGTAGATAACTTGAAAGTTGCCAAAATTTCCGACTATATTGAAGAATACGATTTCGCCGACAATAAAGCGCATGTTTAGTGCTTCCCATGATGACGTCTGGTTCATTTCTTATATATTTTTTCTCAAACTTCGAAATTCCGTAGGCATGGTCGCATTTGGAACGGCTCAACTGAAAACTATCCAAGTACGACCACAGCTTTTCGAAGTTAATTGATTTTTGTTTTTTTGAGTTTGGCTTTGAAAATTTTTTTAAAATTTATTTGAAATGAAACTTTGATGAGTTAGAAAAAAAGCATGAACAGAGAGGCTTTTTGGAAATACAAAAACGAAACATTTTCTTTTTAAAATCAAGATAAAGTTGATTCAAACAGAAAATGAAGAAGAGAAAACAACGAATAAAATTTAGTGATGACAGGGAGAGAAAAAGTGGGCGTTTCCAAAAGAGGCGGAGTTTCTAAAATGGACGCTCGGCCAAAATTTCTCGTTTTTCTTTGTTTTGAAACATTTAAAGACCAATTATTTGTTCAGAAATCGAGTAATAAAGCTCTTCAAGCTTCACGATTACCAGGGAAATTGGGAAAATTGAGATCTCAGTCAAAAGAGAAACACCAAAGAAGGTAAGAATGCTGTTTTTGATTTGGCAGGGTCATGGTTAGAATGAGATGAGTGGCAAGTAAAGCTGACAGTGGAAATCGAGATGGATTTTCGAAAAAAAATTTCCTAGAACGAAGATGGACGATATGGAACACATTAGAACAAAAACAAACATTCAAAGAAAGTTTCTGTCCAAGTCCTAAAATGTTTTGTAAAATTGATATCGACTGAATCTGAATCTTTTTCAAAAAAAACCACAGACTTGAAGCTAAATTTCTGAAAAATCCATAAACAAAAAAACGAAAACCTAAAAACAGGGTTAGGGTTATTTTTTTACCTTGGACCAATCTCATTGGCTCTTCCTAAAAAAAACGTTCAAATTTCGAGTAAATCATTTCTTTCCATCATTAAGCTCACAAAGGTGCCACGAACACCAACGAAAAACAAAAAACGAAAATAAAAACGAAAAAAAGTTCCGAGTGATAATTTCTTTAGGGAGAGATTTCAATTTAGGCCGAAATGTCGGATTCAAACTGGGCCATCAGTTCCATCTGCGTCGTCATTGGCGCGTCGTTTTCCAGAGCCCGACGCTGCATATCCTGGCAAAAAGTACTCATTATAAAGGGGAAAATTGTAGCCGGCACGTTTTTTTTTTCATCACTTTGCCGCGAAAAAGAAGAAGAGCGGAACGATGTGGCTTAAAGATGACATTCACATGCCAAATTGCATCGGAAAGGCGAATATAAAGCGTCGGAAGCAACTTCGACCCATAAACAAATTCTCATATTTTTTTTGCCTTGCTTTTATGATAAAATAAAAAAAGTTGGCAAAACCGTTTTCATTTTCCTTTGAGTCGAAACGCTGACAGCATTCTAGTGGTCACTGACAGTCTCTGATCATTTTATCAAATCAAATTTTTTAAAATTTTGTATGAACAAAATCAAGAAGGAAACAGTCAAATTTCCACTGCCTTTCCGAGGAATGCGAATGGAAAAGAGAAGAAGTTCTTTTCCCACCCTTTTAACAGAACTTAATAAAAGATTCATAGAGAAAAGGACAACTAGTAGACCTCCTCACGCATCTGCTGAATTCGTCGTTCTTCTTTCTCCTCTTCGGTTTCGAAGGGCTGAGAAATCGGCTGGCTTCTATAGCTGTTCGATTGGGAATCCGTCACCGCACGGTGCTGGAAAATAATTAATTCTTACTGATTTTAGGAATATGAGAAAAGTTTCTTTTCAACGTGAAATTTTTTTTATAATTGGTACACCTTCAAGAAGAAACAAACTCATTCATGACAACTTGAAGAAAATCCATTAATTTTTTTCATCAAATACTTTTTTTTTCAAAATCTACGTACTCGATCTCGATGCCAACTTAAAAATGAGGCTCGAGCAAAAAATAGAAGAAAACAGCTTTGAAAGGATGTCTTAACTGCGCACCAGGGACATTGTGACGAAACCAAAAAAGCTAAAAAAGGAAAAGGAAAAGCTGATAATAGTGTTCGAATTACTCTTTTTCAAAGGTCGGATACCTAGAAAATTTGTGGGTTTTGATGTCAAGTTTCAGCTTTCATGTAGATAGCTTCAAAAAAAAACTTCAAACATGAAAAAAATAAGTAATAAGCCGTGAATTTTTTATTAATTTCACATCTAAAAAGACCAACCACGTCACTTCTTCGTGCTATCGTTTTTCTTGAGAGACATATAATTTTTACCGAACACGTTATTATTTGATTTAAGGTAGGAAAACGCCGAAAATCGCATTTTAAATATTTTCAAGGGTTGAAAAAAATCGTAAAGAAATGGGGAAAAGAACTTTTTTAATTAACTCGCAAGACAGGTCTGAACTTGTTGTCGCCAATGCTGTCAACACACGACGTCGCAAACTTGCTTTTTTCCCTATCTAACTAGGGTATTTAGATGCAAGAAAATTTTTTTTCCATACGAGTGTCAGGCGTAAAAATAGACAAAAAAGAAAAAAGAAGTTCAAATTGACTTCTACTTCTTCACATCAAAGATCATTTTGAGTCATCTCGGGAACTGGTTAACCTTTCATTTTTTTTTTGTACTCAATTGCAATCGGCACTAAAATCAAGAAAAAAAAAAACCAATTACTATCTTCAAATGAGAAAATGTTTCAATTAATGGTGCCTTTGTTGGGATAATTGGTTGGAAAATGACAAGTCAATTCTCTTGGAATGGAGAAAAAGCGCGGCGATTTTTTTTTTTTGAGACGATCCCCGATTTCAACTTTCATTCAAAAAAGACTACAATATTTCCCTTTTTTTTGAATCTGAGTTCTCAAACAAAAAAACCGGAACATGCTCAAGCGACTTTTTCCATTCTCTGCAGTTTGAAACACGTTGCCATTTTTCAACTTCCTTAAAAAAACTCTACAAAATACACCTTTCTACGATCGTCAACTCCATTCGACCTGTGGTCAACCTCTGGCATCGTCGTTGGTTCTGGTGCATTAGGCAAAAGAGTGTCCAAAATCGAGACCGAACCTAAACAACGAAAAAAGCCGTCAAAATAGGCATGTTGCAAACGAAAAACCCATATTAGCGACGGGGCGCGGTTGCTGCTCGATTTTTGGCTGATGGGGCTTCGGTGCAGCGTTGAACGACCTTTTCACTTCATTCACCGCGGCTAAACGTGATTTTCATCCTTTTTGCTTCGCTTTTGTAATTCTGGCCAGGAGAGCACAAGAAATGATATTTTTTATATGAAAGAAAAAAACTAATTTTTTTCTTCAACTGCTTTAATGCCATTTCAAAGTGCAAACCTATGGAGATTCGAAAATTGAGCTCAAAAAAACCCTTCGACATTCTTAGTAAACACTGTTGAAAAGCTCGATCCTCGAAAACTCCATTCTTTTTTTTAGCACCTCACAACAACATTCAAACACTTTATTATGTATTTTTGAATAAGCAATCACTGGAATACTGGCTAAATTATTATCTGCAAAGAAAGAAATGGGAGAACGAGATTTTCTTGATAATTTTGCTGTAGTAATGAGAAAAATAGAGAAATAACACATAAGTACAGAGATTTTGAGGTCTGAACGTCTTCTAAGCAGTAGATAACGAAACATTACGAAAGGGTGTATGAAAGAGAATAAACAAACAGGGCACAAAAGAGTGCTCTGTGGATGAAATTACCTCATGTTCCACATAACAATAATGAGAAAAAAAAACAGTGCAAAATCGAACAGGTATAAAAACAACAATCAAAATATAAACGAAAAAAAGTTGCGTTAAAATGTTTTGTCTTCATACACCCCCACGTTATTGATTGACATGAAGAAAATTTACAGTGAGATTGTTAGTACACGAATTAAGGTGTTAATACTATTTTTCATATAGCCGATCCGCGTCTGGCTTGGGACGCTAAGAGGCGTGGCACTGTCTGTACCAGCCAGACAATCTTCCTTTTTATAAACTCGTTGATACTCCTTTTTTTCGACTAAAACCAGCCGTGAATCAGCTATATCTGTTAAATTTTTAAATACTATAACTATTAGTGAGTTGGTTTGTAAATAATAAACGGCTGGTAGAAACGCTTGGCAACAAATAAAAAAAAATCAAATCAAAAATTGCGGCTATTTTTTCCGTTCAAATCCGCCCCGTTTCCTGCAAAACCGCTCGATCGAAAACAGAAGAAAGAAAAGATCACGACAAGGACAAAGAAAAATCTGCTGAATAAAAAAAGTCTTCATTTAAAAAAGAAAGAAGAAGGTGCGCTCCAAGGATAGAAGTCATAACCTTCTTGCTTTTTTTCGGGTTATTTTTTTTATAAATGCATTTTTTTCGACTTTAATATTCTGCGATCAGTAAACCAATGAATAAAAATCCGTGCCTCTCAAGAATTTTCGAGGATATGTTCTTCTGAAAACTATCCATGAAGCGCATCATCTCTATACCATTTTCTCTCTAGTCTTTCAAATCGTTGTATCTTTCAAAGCTCAATTTTCAGTGCTGAAAAAGTACTATAGCCGATTCACGACTAACTCAAGACGCAAAAAGGCGTGGCCTATCTATGCTTTAAACCGAAAAGGCACTGTCTCGTTTTTCATAACGTTACTGTGGCTCAAGCCAGCCGTGAATCAACTGTACGCTTTTGAGGAAGGCAAATTCTCACGGCGCTGGCCACCGCCACTGCCACCAGAGGGCTTGGTCGGGGCTGAAGGCCTTTGAGGCGGCCTGGAGGTCGGCGGCGGGTCGACGGCTGCTCCGGAAGGCTTGGACGACGACGGGTCGAAGGCGCGGCGTTGAACTTCTAGGCCACGGCGTGGCTTGTCTGCAATGAGATTCACAGTGCGTGGCTCGGACACGGTAGAAGAAGAGGTTGGACGACGGTTAACAAAAGTCACGACGACCGAGAGAAGAGAGAAAGAAGTGAAACGACTACACATGGAAAAAAAAATTTTCATCTTATTTAGTTGATTCAAGAACCTTTGCTAATAAGTCTGATAGTCTGTTCGCCGCGACTTGAAAGTTTTTGTATGTCTGCGTCTCTCTGTTCCCTCAGAGGTTAGAGAAAGGCGAAAATAGCCCGTCAACATGAGAGACTCTTAGAGAGACGAGGAGGACGCAGAGAAGTCCCGTTTTTTTAAGTCGACAAAACGGACTGTACTGTTCAAGACGCAACTTCGCTTCGAGACTTTTTTTGAATCTGGCCATGATTCTTTTAAAAAAAACTCTGGCGACAATTTTTGTAATCTAGACTAGTCTTTACCGTCATTGTCGCTTTGATTATTCCCACTCCGACTTCGATGTTTGTAACTTCAAGACATTCTTTTTCTAACTGTTTCAGGAATCGGAAACTATGATGAGGGAGCGTAAGCCATTTTTTCAAAATAATTCACGAATTATGTTTGCTATTCGATAAAAGAGACTGTCAGCTTTCTCAGTTCTTGAAAAAATCTTCACTAAGAAAAAAGTAAGGACCAAAAAACGAATATGATGATTCCTAACTTCTCTGAATATTCAAAAATTCCCTCCGTGACACAAATTTCGATCATAATCTCAAAAAAATCCTCTTCTCTTTTTCCCTCAAACTAACCTTGATACTCATCCTCATCGTCAGAGTCGGAAGACGATGAAGAATCGGCAGAGGCATCCGAATCGGCGTCCGACGATTCTGACATTCCAAGCTCCTCGCTCTTTTCTAAACATTTCAAGGTTCATCGAAACATATTTTGAAGTGAAAGAAAAGGATTCAAGGCGCATAGGACTGCCAAAACTGGATTTAACGTAGAAAACTGTCAGGAAATACATTTTTTGAATGAAGTTATCTGGATCATGAAATTAAATTCCAAAAGGAATTAGTAAGCTCTACGAAAAAAAAAAAATTCAGCCACACAAAAATCCAATCTTGGGGAAATTTTATGCCTCCTATCTTTCCTACCATCAGAAAAAAGTGCATGCAAAGCGGTGTTAGAAGCAGAGGACAAAGGTTCGGGTCCAGGAGGTTCCTCTTTCTTTGCCGTGCGTTTCGTTCCGACCGTCGGTTTCGCCGTCGTCTTCTTCAGAATACATCCCTCGAGTCGCGCAATTTGGGCTTCCAGATTGCGACGTCGTGCAAGAAGTTCCTCGGGCTCCTTGGAGCTGAATCGCTTGGTGATGGCGGCGACGTCGTGTTTTTCCGACTCCGGCTCTGAAGGTCGTGCAACGTGCAAAAAGGTGCAAATTGGCAAAGGGTGAGAGAAAAAGCATAGCTTTCGCTTTGAAAAAAACGATGACGTTGAACGTCACAGAGAATCTCATCTGACAAGGAAGGTCATTTTACTTTTTGGTTGTGAATTTCTTGAAAATTAGTCAGAACACTCCTTGAAGAACCAATAAAAGAATTCTAAAAGTCGACCTGCACAGCTTCTAAATTTTTTTTAAGCAAGGAACCTTCAAAGTTAATGCCGTGTTCAAAGTAATTTCCGCGAAATGCGAAATTGTCTCTGACCCTCCAAAATTTAGTTATCTTTCTCTTTCTCTGACGGCTATTTTGAATTTCGCGGAATCACTTTGAACACGGCATAAAGAAAACCATCAAAAACTGTCAAAAAGGCCATTTTGGAGCTTTCTTGAAAACGAAGAAGTTGTGCAGGTTAAGACTTCCAGGACCTCAATTTGGTACTTCACGGGATATTCTGACAGATTTTCAGAAAACTCCCAACCAAAAAGTAAAATCACTTCACTTGTGAGGGAAAAAATGGACATAGAGCGCACTCGACAGATCTATCGAGACTATTTCATAAAAGTGAAAATTAGAGACTATGCAAGAACTTCAAAAACACCATATGCCTTCAAATGAAAACAACTTGTTAAATTCGATCAAAACCAAGCATCCACGCAAAAAAACACAGGGAGCAAAAAAGGCAAGTGAAAAAACCATGCAAAACCAAAGAACCAACGTTTCTTCTTGGATGCGGATGTGTCCGGTGGGGCCGTTCTGACCGGCTCCGGCTCTTTTTTTATCGGCCTCCTCCGATCCTTCTTGATTTCGGCATTCAGCTGTTTTTCGAAACCTTCGGGGAACACGGCCAGACAATATGCTTGGAGTTCTCTCATCGTCACTTCCGAGAGCTGGTCAAAGTCGATTTCCATTTGTCCGTCCTCGGCCATACTTGTGATCTGCGAGAATTCGGTAATAATGGGACAGTTGTAAAAGTGTCTCTTTACATGGTAAGCGTCTCGAAACCACAAAAAGGTATGATTTTATATACATTAGCGGAAATAGGCGAGTATTTTTTTCGTTCATAACTTTGTTGAAAACAATTGTTTTGATCTGAAACTCAGAAGAAAAAGAATTTTTGAAGAAGATAGCAATCAGCGAGTTGGACAAACCTACCGAGTCGATTCCCCGAAAATGCAAGGCTGTTATAAAATCTAAAGGCTATGCTACGAAGTATTAGATCTTCCCGCTTAATTGTTTCAATTTTTTTCAATTTTTCTTTGTTGAACTTTTTTATTTTTTTGTCTAACACTATTTCACTTGATTATTTAAAATTTCAGGTCAATAATCCTGTTTTTTTGAAAAAAAGTCACGGACAAAAAAACTAAAACAAATACTCACCCGATTTCGCTACTGTTGGCTAAAGTAGACAAAAAAAGCGTGAAAAATCGGTCAGGCTATCTTTTTAACTTCTTTTCAAGTTAAAAAAAGGTTCTTTTTAACAATTTCTTCCTTAAACGAACATCTTCTCTTCGCTGTATGATGCTGACGATGTGCAGAAGTTGCTCGTTGTTCATCCGATTCATGACGAGGCTCAGGAGTCTTTGTTCATCGTAAGTCATCTTCTTTTTGACCTCCTCAGAGTCAGAATCAAATTCGTACGGCAGGAAATTGTCCGACTTAGAGGCCTGGAAATAGAAAGTTTCATAGGAAGAATTGCTTAAAGGCCTTTTTTGTAAACTCACCTTCCGAGCCGTTTTCGACGAAAAGGTCTGAAAATGAAAAATTAATGAAACCCAATGGGATTGGCCTCAACTAACCGCTGGTTCACTCTTGGCCCCGTTCGTATAGAATTCATTGTTATTGGCCGGGGAGATCACTTGCTGGCAAGCCTTTTCCATCGCCTGGATCAATTCTGCCACTTTCCTCTTCTCCGCTCCATCGGCACAGACTCTTTTCGCTCCATGAACCTTTAAAAATTGTTCTTATGGATAGTGTCTTCATCGGAAAAACGGAAAATGTTTCAAAAAAATCGTGTAAAAAATCTCTGTTGCTCCAATACAGTATATATTGAAAAACTGTTGGACATAACGCTTATATTAAGCTGATTCTAGAATTTTCTATTGTATTCTATACATTTATTTCGACGAAACGGAAAACCAAACAAGGTTCATTTCTAAAATTTTTAAGCAAGTCTGATTAACTGCGTTCGCTCAATATTCTCAATGTAACTTTGATCGCGGATGGAAACGACAAGGAATTTTGAAAATTTACATTCGAAGCAAGTTTGCTCCACGGCTAATTTAAAAATTTCGAAGTGGCGCGCTTTACAGAAAACGAGATTCAAAAAGGAAAAAATCTTCATTGGGGCGTAAAAATGGCTGCCGAACAGCACACTTTAATTTTGTTCTGGAGCCATTTTTGTCTCATTTCAGAAAAAGTTCTCTTCTCCTGACCCCGTGTTCGATTTAACTTCGGCGAGTTTAAAAGTTACAATTTTTCCTTTTTGAAATGATTTCACGAAATAGGCAATCCGAGATTTTTTTCAAGACTTGCGGTCGTTTGCAAAAACTTCATTATTAAGAATAAATTTATCTCTTTAAATCTTCTAATAGTGTTTTTCTTCAAAATTGTTTTCCGTACAAAAAACTCGTTATTAACGGAGATATCGCCTAAAACCTCGATCGGTGTATGCAGAATTTAAACCTACAGTGAAAGCCGGACGGGCTGAACAGATGGGTTTGGGCATTTTTTTTTTGCTACAAACTTGAAAATCGCTAGGATTGACTTCAAACACACTGTAGATTGAAACTTTTTGTCTTTTCTAATTTTTCTTGGTCGCACTTGGAATGGCTTCAAGCGTTGCGGTTTCAAACATAGCGTCTATTAAACATTTCTACGATACCGCGCGAAAGCCGCTCCGAATCGAACGAGCCTAACCATTCCAAATGCGACACAAAAGCTTCGATTTCGCGCTCTTTACCTTATCCTTCAGCGTTTCCAATTCCCTCAGCCTGGCTCGAATACGAGTTTCTTCATCATTGATCTGGAAAAATTAATTTCAAACTTTACAAAAATTAAAATCAAGCAATTCAATCAATTTTTGAAGAAAGTAAAACGTGAATAAATGGCTTCATTAAAACTATATGATTTTTTTTTTGGTAACCTCCTTTTTTCGAATTTATTATTTTGATTATTCTCAGCTTTGATTCACCATTTTGAGGCACATATCCAATCGCGACGATCCATTTTCCGAAGAAGGCCGAATTTCCTCAGAAATAACTTCCGATTTCACTTCCGATTTCACTTCCGACTTCACTTTTCGCCATGGAGCTTCTTTCCACTAAAAAGGGGGAAGAATATTAAAACTTTTTGGATATTATACCTTCTGCTCGAAAACTTCCAAAAGCTGTCGACCACATTTGTGTACGGGATCGTCACGCGGATTGTATGTGAAACAATTGTTTAGCATCTGAAAATGGTCAAAAATTTTTTTTTACTTGATTTTTAAGAAAAAATATTGCTAAGAATTTTTTTAAATGCTTCTTTTCTCCATTTCAAAAAAATACCCCTTGAAAAGACTCCAAATCGAACATAAAACATTAGAAACCCTATTTCCAGCAACTGAAAGTGGTCAAAACTCCGGAAATTTATTTTCTAGTTTTATCATTTTAAAAACCCTATTTCCTCTCTCGAAAGACAAGGCATTTTTTATCCTATTATTTTTTTTTGTAAAATTCTCCCATCTTTCCAAAAACACGAACCAATCGGAAATCGGCTTCGAATTCTTCGGCTTCCGTGTACTGGCCGCTCTCCAACTTGCTCTTGATGGTTCCCATGTCCATTGGGTGTTTGATTATATCATAATAATCGAAAAGTTTCAATTCTTCTACGGGTACTGGCTGGTAAAATAGATATGCATAAGCCTGAAATAAAAAAACATAATTTAAGCTCAAATTGAAAAATGGAACCTCATGTTTCTTTCCGAACATATCGTTGAGGATTTTTCAAGCAAAAATTTTTAGCCGATCCGACAACGGAACGGGCTTTCTTGGCTTAGCGACGGGTTTCGGCGTCGGTTCCTTTTTGGAGGTTTCTGGAAATTTGAAGGCTAAAAAAACTAGAATAAGATAATTTTTTTATTTGAAAAAAACCTTGATAACAGGATGAGAAATGGCGCTTTCTTCATCCGCTTCCACACTTTCCGCTTTTCTTTTCGCCGTCGCCTTGTTTTTTGATGCTTTTCGATCTTCTACTTCTTTGTGAACCTTCTGAATATTATTTTTTTTTTTTTCGATCAGATCGGAAAAAAATACACGGCAAATAAATAGAGAAAATTGCATCACACTGAAGGTTTTGAAATCGTATTGATTGAACAAAAAAATAGCTTTCTGGAAAAATTTTTCAACTGAAACTTATCATATGAGCGCTAGAAAAAGAAAAAAATTGTTCATATTTTTCTCATAAAAAAAGCATATTGTGTTCAAAACTACTAAATTTCTGAAAAAAATAAAGAATTTTTTTGAATAAAAAAAGTCTAACATCAGCAATGGAAACGGCGGCCGATTGCCTCGAACTTTCACTACCGGCCTCTGATGGAGCTTCTGACGCGCGATCTTCTGAAAAAGGTTTTGAATAGCTGACAATGAAAACATATACAAACTGAAAATAAGTGAAACTATTTACTTTTCTTTCCGTCGGCACCCGCCACAAGCCTCGAAGACGCCCCCTTTTTCCCTTTTTTCGCAGAGATGTCAACGTCCGTTTCCTAAAATTAAATCGATTAATTGTTGTCCCCTCGTAAGAACCTCAGCGGGGAGATTTTCAAGATGTTCCTTGATGGATTTCTCAACGTTTTGAGCCATAATTGTGATATCGTCCTCGGGACCGTTGTACTTGTAGCAATTGTTGAACACTGTTTCAATGTCCTGGAATTCAAATATGAAAAAGGGCGCTTTGAATATTCGAAAAAAGTTATGAAAAGGAGTCTATAGTTTGCCCATTATTCCATCGATTCACCTCTATACACTCCTGGGCGTTGCAATAATACTGGTTCTTCAAGCGCATCTCAATAGTTTTCAAATCCATAGGCCGAAGAATCACTTTGAAATAGTCCTGCAAATATTTTAACTCAAATCAATCCATTTTTTTCCCCGAAACTCACAGGAATATTAAGTTGAACTGTATCAACAGGTTTTAGGAAGGGCCAGGCATGTTTGTGTTTTCCCGCTTCCTTTAGGACTTTGGTTAATATGTAGTCAAGGCGATTTGTGTGCCGAGTTGGTTTTCCATCGGGCGGAAAAATGCGCGGTCGTACTACCCCGTTCACAGGATCCTGCGAAAACATTAATTATTAATGAATACGAAAACTATTAATTTACCATCACTTCCAACTTTAAAATGTAAAATTTAAATTTAAAAAATATTTTCATCAAATTTTCTAGATTATATTTAGTCGTTCCTTCGAGCTCTGAGAAGAATTTATTTGTTTTTGTTATTTGCGAATCGTGGGAAGATGATATCGCTTTTACACGGAGAGAATTCAGATGAAAAAATACTCCCGGCAAAATAAATAATTTTCCTCTCGACTCGACAGTTTTTTTCAAAGTATTATTCAAAAACTCCAAAATACATAAGAAAAACAAAAAAAAAACCTGTGGCGGAGTAGCCCAAGGAGGGCGAGCACCGGAAGGCATCTGAAAAAAAAAAACTGAAAAATGAGATTTCATATCTTCAAAATCAACCGACGACAAAAAATCATAAAAAAGCCAAATTTAAAATTAAAAAAAAATCTTTTTAGTTCGTAAATGAAATTCTTGAAACTAATGCCGTGTTCAAAGAGATTCCGCGGAATCCAAAATATTCTCCAGGAAATGAAAACTATCACTAAATCTTGGGGAATCAGAGATAATTTAGCAGTTCACGAAAATTACTTTGAATTCAATGTGTTAACACAGCATTAATTTAAAAAAAGAGATTAGATCAAACTTCAAAAAAGAAAATGAGATCATGCGTGGATTTTTCAGATTTGAATTTCGCGCCTTTCGCGATATAGCGTAAATCAACTTTTTTTATTTTTTTATGCGAAAGTTTTTTTGCGTGTTAAATCTATTTTGCCATTACTGCAGTTCTGGAAAAAGTTTCTCGAGTTATTTGACTTCATATACTGCGAAAAGTTAAAGCGGGGAGTTGCTTGTTCTTTCATTAAATTTTTCTTTAAAATGTATATACCTTTCTTGATGTTGTTTCAAAGATAATAAGACGTTTATTAACTTTCAGACATATATTGCATGGTGAGGAGTTGCTGGAAATGAAAGAACGAAAAAATTCCATGAGATGCCGCAAGTGTTGCCAAAAAATTTGTAAGTTGTTCGATTATGAGATATATCATAACATGTGTTTTAGGGGATCTGAACAAAAATATTTGGCCGGTAGTTGGTGATTGCGGCCATTCCGTCTGCTCGCATTGTTACAGCAAAATGTACACGTTAGTTCTTTTTTTTTTCAAAGTGCGACGTATAAATGAAAATTCAATTTTCTCGCGTTTCATAGGTATCAAAAGATGCGTCCCCAACCCTGTAAAAAACTTTCTAAGGGAACGTTTGAGAAAAATCAGCTTTCAAAAGTTAGGATGAATTTTTTAATACCAATTGAAGCTCATTTATTGGTTGCTTTTAATGACTTTAGTTGGTTGAATCTGAAAAAAAAACATCAGTTTTCATCGTTAACAATCTTCCATTATCTTTCGAAAAAATTAAAGTTCAATTATTCTTACTGTAGAGAGGCACGCAATGCTGTAGCTTTTCGAAGAATTCTATCCTCAGACCCCCCTTGAAAGAACTTTCTCCCCACCCTACGGAAGCTGAATATAAACAAAATCCAAAACAAAAGAGCGCGCGCGCGCGCAAAAAAAGAGAAAAAGCGTGCCGCTGGTCTGCCTGACATGTAGGCAGTGTATGAGAAAATGAGAAGGACGTAGATTCCCTAAGTTGAAACTCTACAGATGTGAGTTTTTCTTTACTCTGGAAAAGAAGTTACGATTACGGTAGACCCTAAAGGCCGGAGAAGTCTTTTAAACACGGCCCTTGGCAGTATATCGATTTCTTGTCGTCGATTCTTTTTTCTCTCTCTTTTGGCGGGAGGCTAAAGACGCAGACCGCGTGGCTCTGGCCGTCTGCCAAAGACTCCCGACTAGCGCGCGCAACTTCCATGGCATGGAAACACCGTCAAGTGGACACTTGAGTAGCAGAGAGCACTATTGCTTTGAGGCTGATCGGAAGTTCTCCCATAGAGATTAGAAGTTTAGAACCTAGGGTGGGGCATGCGAGTAGAAAACTCTATAAGAAGAATGACAAGTAAAAACACGAACAAAACATTTTAAAAATGTTTATACTGAAAACAAGGAATCCACAGAAAAGTTTCGAAAAGAGGATTAAAAACTGCTTTGGGTAAACGTTGACTCATATTCGGCTTTGATGCTACTAAAATAAATGTTCAAGAGTTATTCACGAAAAAAGCGAAGGTTATTGAAGCCTACTTTGAGGTCTCTGGATAGTAAACATCGAAATTCTCCAATGATTAAAAAATCATCTTTACACGTCTGGGAGCTTATCTATATGTAATTTAGTCTGAGTGCATGTAGCTGAAATCCAGGATTTGAAAAATTATCAAAATTGTGCGTTGAATACGCGGCTTATCCGGAAATTGTAAGCCTAGATTAGTGATTGAGTTAAAAAAATTTAAAAAAATTGTTAAATATAAGAGGCATGAGAGCGATCCTATATGATCTCACAAACAATGTTCCGGTTTATGTAAGCTTTGTCAGTGGTTTTTTTTCTTGATTCGCGTGAGTTCCATTGACCTAAAAATGGATGTTGCAAAATGTGGAACGACTATCGAAGAACGAAAGTCATTCATCAAGCGCAAGAGATCTCGATTTTTTCTCATCATCGTTAGATGGTTTCGAGATGAAAAGAAAATCCTTGAGATTTTTCGTGAAATTTACAAACTTCAAAAGGCTTCTCTAGCAACGAGCACATGTTTTGTTTTGCCAAGAATAAGTCGAAAAATAAGGTTTTTTATAGCAATTTTTTTAGTTTCATATACTTTTTAGAACCGAAGATCATCGATGTAGCGAGTGTGAGACATTGTCGTTTTTCGGGGCAGTGAAAAATCATTTGGCTTGTGGTTCGTTAAAAAGGAAAATATTGAAAATGTCTTCAAGGGAAAGTTTTCAGAGCTTTTCGCTTCGAAGTTCGATAAACCGAAAAACTTGGAGAATTATGGTGAGTTGGCGAAACTTGTGAAATATCACATAGACTTTCAGTTTTAAAAGTAATTCACATTTTTCAGACGTTTCGCAAGCAACCCATGCCCATTTGCTCAGAGAAAAATCATCAATAAACGTTAATTTTATTGATAAAAATTTTTTTTAATAGAAATGTTTTCAGAATATCATGCCTCTGGCGTTTGACAAATGTAATAACTGTGCCGAGTTTGTACCGCACTCGCAGTTGTTCTTCTGTAGTTTTTCCGAATGCGACGAATTGCTGAGTAACTCGCCGAATGTCTCCGATCCTAAAGTGAGTGAGAAAGAAGAATAAATTAATGAAAAAAAGGTCGAAACGATCGTGGCTTCTGCGCTCTATGGTATATTTTCATGGTTTTATCTTGGAACACCAATTTTCACTTGATGTCGCTGCTATTTCATAGGCGAAGTCAGAAAGGGTGAAAAAACTTCATAGAAATTTTCCTTTTAGGGTAAAAACGGTTCCTTTTTTGATGCATTTTCGTGCCAATTTATCGGCTCTTATGCACCATTTGTGCTGTTTCTCCTTTTTCCACAATTTCTTGAGTCTTTACAGTCCCAGAAAAAATGGTAGGCTCGATAATAGGACTTTTTTTTCTGCCATTTTGCGGCTTTTTTTTTGAGCCTTTCCCTTTTAGTGACCATTATCCACAATTGCCCTAGTTCCTTCCTAATAATTAGCGCATCAATTTTTCACACTTTGCTTCTTCCAGGAACTTTTGAAATTCGCAATTTGTGGAGCTTGCGTCTATTCCCACCATGCAATCCATTCCACATTTGTTCGTGGCGCTCTGCGCGTTTCGGTGAGTTTTGAGTAAAAATAATGCAAAGGACTACAATCATTTAATTTTGTGTCATTAAAGATCGATTTTGCTGCACCAAATCGAGCACAGGAGCTTTTCGAAGAGATCGAAAAGTACCATCGTAAAATGTCAAAGGCTGAGCCGTTGCTATCGGCTTCACAATTGCAAAATCTCAACTTGCCGATGGTTTCTTTTTAAAGTAACGGAGATTAAAATGAAAATATAGGTTAGCGCTGAACAGCTGAGCAAATTCTTGTCATCTTCGACAAATATTGAAGACTTTGAGACCAACAGTAACCGAGTAAGTTCAAACTTTTTTACGGAAAAGTCTTTATTTTTCTAGGTTCGAATTTCCATCGGAAATTCCGAAAAAAGGCTTGATGATTTCATCGCTTCCACTGCTGATTTTGTAAACTCGACAAAGGTTTGAAACTGTGAAATAACGAACATTTAAGGCATAGGGGCAGTAAAAAACGGGGTTTCACGTGAAAGCATTATCTTATATAGTTTTTCTTTGCGAATCGAACGGTGTATTCAGAAAAATTACAGATGTGACTAATTTCAAAGAAAAACGCGATTTTACTTTCCCGCCTTTGATTTTGAAAAATGCTTTGGATCGACGTACGGACAGCTGTTTACAGTAGCTATGCACTCGATGTTGCGGACGTCTAGTTAGACTCGCATTTTGTGAAAAATAACCGGATATCTGCTTCAAATTAAGGGTTTCTTCTCTGAAAAATCATTCAGTGAAACAAAAAACACACCGTTAATGAAGGAAACACAAAATATCGCAATCCTAATCGAAACCTGTGTAAAGTCATCATTTTTCACCAGAGAAGCTTTTTTGCGATTAAAGTTTGCAAACTATACATGAATAGAAAGTTTGACAAAAAGAACTTTGGTGACAACAGAAAAATTGAAATTTGAAAGAAACGAAGAAAAAGCAAAAGTCCGAAAAATGGCGAAGGGTGTTGTCCATAGAGCAACTTTACTGCAAAGTGCCCTTTTCGCGGGAACTCAAGCTTTCCTTTCTCCGACTTTGAACTATTTTTTCTCCAAAACTAGTAAGTTTAGTACATTTCCAAGTCGATTCGATTCGCAATGAAAAGCTCTACAAAATACTGCTTTGTACTGAAACACCGCTTTTTGCTGCCCCTATGCTTTCAAATCAGAGATTTTTTCCGAGGTTTTCTGAAACTGAACTTTCTCTTTTTTTCTGGAAGCTAGAGGAAGGAAATAGTTTTTCAGAAAGATTTCGATAAACTTCTCGACTTTTTCGAGAACGATACAGTCCCCTCGACGTCTCCTCGCTATGTTTCCCGCGATTCAAACACTTCTTCGTAATCTTTGTGCTTTTTTCACTTACTAATCTTTTTTATAAGGACAAAAGAAGGCGACACTAACAAAGTTCACGAGGAAATTGAAGTCACCGGACAGGTGGACTTGTCGCCGAACGAACTGTGGATAAATGAGTTGGTTTCAACTTGATTAGGGGCGCAAAGTTAAGGACGGTCCGTTTTCTTTAGTTTCAGGTCTTGCTACTACAAAACCGGTTCATTTTCTTTTACAACTTTAGTGGTGTCCTAAAGTACCTATATATACCGAATTTAATGAAATTCTCAACCTAGGGACCGCAGACGAATTTTCAAAAAATTTTTTTCAGCATTGAGCTTTGTATGGTTTGATAGCTGTTTTGATTCAAAACTCAGAACCGTTTAGTTTTTCGAAAAAGATTGCGGATGAAAAAAGTTATGACGAAAAATGTGGCGCGCCGCGCACCATTTTTTTAGTACTGAAATTTTGGTATTATCCATTTTTGACATTTTTCTCGATTTTTCTTCTAGAACAAGTTTTGATACTGGACTATTATGATGTAACAAATCATAATAGAGTGCTAAAATGATGCTCATCAGCTAGTTTGCCGAAAAAGTCGGTATTTTCCAGAAAACAAAAAACTGACGCTTGCGGGCATCGAACTCGCAACCTCAAAATGAAAAATCGCAGCGCACGCGCTGCGCCAAGCTGTTAGGTCTAGCGAGGGGAGCTTCCATCCGCCATATCCTTGAGCCGTTTGAATAGCACAGATTGCCTATTTCAAAAATAAAAACTTGAAGTAATTCAGCTATTTTTATCAGAATATGTTCGCAAATCTTTACTCAAACTTTCCGTGAATATTCACTTCGAAAAAACTGTTTTTTTAGTGCTTTTTTCCTCGTTTAACGATCGCTGCCTTAAAACGGCCCCGTAAATTTTTTTGGCAAAGACGAATTTTTTATTTTATTCTTTTAATTGAAAGATTTTTTTCATTAATAAATGTATATTATCGTTTAAAAAAAACGTGCGTTCGACCGCTTTTCTGTATGATAAACGCCGCTAATTTTATTCTCTAGTTTCAAGAGCATTTTTGCGTATTAAACAACTTTTTCAAGCACATATTCTGTGGAGAAATATTTAAGTAAGCCCCTGGTCTAAATTTTGAAAAAAACAAAAACTCGATTATATTCGCATATTAACGATATTTTGAATTACGACTTTCGGCACTCCCTAAAATTTTTGGCAAAGACGAATTTTTTATTTTATTGTTTTAAAATTACCGTTACTTGAATCAAAATCATTATTTAAAAAAAGAAAGAGTGCGTTCGACCTGAAAACACATAAAAAAGCAAAAAATGACAAAAATTTTTAGTTCCATTCACGTTTTTGTACGACATTCCGCGAGAACGCATCAAAAAAGCGTGAAATATTTTTTTAAACGAAAGAGGAAGCTTTTCTGTACATGAGTGTCAAAATTTATTATCCAGTTCCACATATTTTGCAACTACAACAAAATGAAAGTTGAAAACCAAAAAAAAGCCACTTTTTCTATCGCGAAAAGGGGCGTGGCTTTGCGGTCCCTATCTCAACCCAACACCTTTTGCACTCCCCGTGTTAGCTATGGAGCACAAAAATGACTACTTTTCTTGTCTTTTCCAGTTGCAATCTGAAGATGGAAATTCTGACAGCGCGAGATCGCGTGACTCCGCCTGGGTCAGTCGGTTTCGATGCGTTGACGCTGGACCTGACGCTGTTTCTTCGGAGAGTCTACGTCCAACTGAGCAGCATCACGAGCGATTGCGATTACGTCAAAGTCGCCCAGACGGCCTACTTTTTGCGAATGTCGCAGGCCCAACAGAAATGTGTCACTGAAAAGTATAACAAGAATTGGCCTCTGCTGTGGGCCCAATAATTATTCGATCGTGTAATTAATTTTTTTTTCGTTTTCCATATGTTTGTTGAAGTCGTTTTAAGTTTTCTTTTTTTCCAGCACCCTGTATAATATTCTGCTTTCTTATTCGATTTCCTTGCAATCTTGAAAATCTAGTTACAGGATTTTCACGTTACAATACTTGAATTTCTTGTATCTGAGGTATTCATCGATTTTCGAGCGTATCAGAATTCGACTTTAATGATTTTAATTCTCTAATTAACTTCAATAATAAGTATCCTATTGTTTATTGGTCTGATTTTCAGAATTTTCAAGTCCAATATCTTGTATCATAACTTTTAAAATAGACATGTATTAATTCTATCTAACTATCAAGTTTTTTTTTACGAACTTATTTTAACATTTCTCGAAGTTCATAACCAACTTTGAGCTTCACCAACCACTTGTAACATCCCTCTCGATTTATTTTATTCATCTTATTAAGCGAATTTGATATCCTTCTCAAAAAATGTCAGTTTTAACCAATTTCACAGAATTCATGTATTTATTGGCATGAGAATGAAAATTTGAACGTTTTATAGAAACACAGAAGACATCAAGTAATGCCGGTACGACTCCGGTTTTATTTCCTATTTGTGCTTTTCCTGAAAGAATAATGAATCGTTGAAAAAGTCTCGATAGCCTCATGGTTACCTTGTATGGGACAAGCTTACGGATGACGCGATTCAGTCCGGCGGCCAGTCTGAAATTAAATTCATAAAAGAATTATAGGAGAAAGAAGCCAACCTATTTTGGTCATTATGAGGTACGGGAGCTGGCGGTGGTTTGATCGAATTCGCTTTCGGCTTCGGCGGCCGCAGGGCCAAGGGGTTCACGTCATCGCTGTACGACGACATCGAGCTTCTCGACGTGTTCGACTTGACGGCGTTCGTCACGTACGGCAGCTCCACCATGTCTTTCCTTCCGTTGCCTGTAGAGCCAATTTTTTATCGGTAAAGCACGAAGAGTTGACGCAAGTCTGTCGCGGCTTATCGAGAGAAAAGAAAAACCAAATTCATCATCGAAAAATTTAAGTTTCAATTTTAAAAAAAGTGAGCATGCAGGTCGAGACTTGCGGGGAAACAATTTCGGTCCTTTTCCCCCTTAGTTCAGTTTTGAAAGTTTCGACGAGAAAAAAGTTTATTTCATTTAGTGATCAGTCCAGTGATGTCAGATATTATCAATAAAAAAAGTTACTGACTTTCTAACAAGACTCAAAATCACATTTTAACCAGTTCGGAGACCGTGGTAAGGACGAAAGTTGAGGACCATTTTTAATTCAAGTTAATATAATTTAGTTAATGGAAATGATTCCTTTTTAAAACAGACTATGATTTTTTTGAAGTTCAAAAAGTTAGGAGAAAAAAATAGTAACAAAGTATCGTCCAACCTCGTTCAAAAGACGTTTCCCTACCACGGCCTTCCGAATTAACAAAATTCAACATCATATAAATCATCAAGAGAATCGTAAAACGTCTTTAGATCTTTGAGAAGACCTGAACGACGTGAAAACGTTCAGAGACAACTTTTCGGAAAAGACAAACCCATTGAGCAACAAAAGCTTCCCGCGCTGCTGCCCTTTTTCTTTGAGAAATCCTTCTCCGATTTCGTCTTTTTGCCCTTGTAATGTTCTTCGTAGTACCTGAAAATTTTCTTTTTAAGTTTTCTAAATTAAAAACGTCAAACTTGCTGCCCTCTTCAAAGTCCATAATGTCCGACTCGTGAATGTCAAGCCGCAAAAACATCTGAAAAAAAAAAGTTAGAATTCATTTTTGAATAGAAAAAACGTGACACAACAACGAATACACTTCAAAAATAACTTTTCCTAGAGAGCTTTCGAGTTGGTTACTGAAAAATAGAGGACATTAAACAAAAAAAAATTTAAAAAAGGTTCAATTTTTTTCCCAACCTGCCGAAACTTCGACTCGATCAAAGCGTAGTTGGGCTTTGACTTGAACTTGAGAGGCCTGAAAAGAACTTTTTTTCAGAGCGAGATGTGCAAAACTGACACGATGCTAGCGTAGATGGCGACCATCTCCCGAGGACACTTCAGAACGACTTTCTCACTTCCTTCGAGCTTCATCCGCAACACCCATTTGCTCTCTTCTTCGTCGCACCAAGGCAATTGACCCTTAATTTTTTTAATAATTTATCTTATAGTCTGTGTGCCGCGACTTGAAATTTCACGGAACGACATTCCGCTGTTCCGCTGCGTGCGTTCGCGAAGCGTCTTCCGAGTCTAGGTCACGCTTTCAATTGTTTGTTATTACTGTGGGAGCACATGAAAATAGAGCACCATAATAAAAGAAAAAAAAAAAATTAAAAGCGCGCAGCGGCACAGTGGAATGTCGTTCCGTAAAATTTAAAGTCGTGGCACACATACTATAGGAACAATCATCAATTTGATAGCAAACAAATGATGAGACTACAAAAATAAAAATAAAAATGAATTGTTTTTTCCAAAGGCTCTTTTTAGGTCCTTTCTGGACTTTGCCCGTGAGTCGAAAAATTAAAAAAAAAAAAAGCTAAACAGAGTTTTCAAAAGAATATTCCGTTACATCAGTTCAGAGAAAGCTGAATGGGAAAGCCTTACAGAGAAGAATTCGCAAATCATGTAGAGCCACGCCCACATGTCATCGCGTCGACCCTGGTCCACTTCGCGATGGACGAAAACGCTGCAATATCGTTCGGTCCCGGTGAATCCAGGCGATTTGCGCGGTTCCCGATGTTTCAATTCCTTCGTCTCCGGGTCTTCGACCAGCTAAGGAAAATTTTTCTCAAAATTTTTACTGTAAAGCGAGAAAACAAATGCAAAATTAGCTGGCAAAAGTTATTCAAAAATGAACTTGACGACATTTAATCACCGAATGTCTCGATTATAGTCCGTTTAGATTTTGAATGTCAAGTAGAATGACGTCATTCGAAAACTCTCTGTGGATGGCTCGCTTTCTGATTGGTTTATCGCGCTATTAGGGGGCGGAGCTTGAGCGAGAACTTGACATTTGAAATCTGAACAGACTATAACAGTGAAACGATTTTTTCAAACTCATTGTGATTATTTTGTTCTCCCGAACAGGATCAAAACTGACAATCCGTCGACAGAATCCCAAATCCAGCATGATTGCTTTTCGAGTAGCCGGATCCCAAGCGAAGTTGCTAGCCTGATGAATATTGGTCGATTAATAAGATATTCATTTCTCACTTTGACATCACGATGAACCAGACCAACGCTGTGTAAATCCTGGATTGCCTATAAATGACCGCTTTATCACGCTATATCAATACAAAAAAAAACATGAAAACACTGAAGAGCAAGCAAAGCGGCCGTAGATTTGGTAAATTTCTTTTTTGGCATCATTCTACGAAGTCTGTGAAACATTTGAATTAAAAAATTTCTTTTTAAAAAATAAACCTCGAAAGCGGCCGGCCAACAAAGCTCATAAACATCAAATTTACGCGTGAATCCTGATATGGAACCTCAATTTTCCATTGCGCTATTTTCAATAAAACTGATAAATGTTACTTTGCAAGCGAAATATAAACGACAGAAGTGTTCCGACCACTGTAGTAATCGCAATTGTCGAACCTAGGAATTTTCTCTTTTTTTCCAGTTTTCGAGATTTTTAGTAGAAATTATGATCACCTCATTTCCAAGATTCTGCTTCTTTTCTTCACTAAATTCCGATTTCACCGCCGCCACCATCCCATCTTTCATTGCTCTGTAGACGCTGCCATAGCCACCGCTACCAATTTTCTCGGCAAACTTGAAAAAAAAAATGAAAAGATTTACATCAATAGGCCTGTCATCATTTTAAGATTCATACAACTTTAAATATAATGTAAAAAATTTCTATGTCTCTTATATAGTCAATGTTTCCCGAATTTAAGGTTGAGGAAGGCGGAACAGGGGGCAGGACGCGTAGCGTGTGCGTTCGCGGTTCTCAAATTCAACCGCCAGCAAAGCATTCAGAGAGCTTATTTATTTCTCTTTTCGCTCCTTTTTCAATCATTTATTGATTATTTTCATGTGTGCATCAAAAAAATAGTAGAAAATACAGAAAAAGCGGTTGCCGAGCTTTTTAAATAGTCGGCAGCGATTGGATTGAATTGGCGCCAATAACCGCGTACGCACACGCTACGCTTCCCACCCTGCCCCGCCTCCCTCGCCTTTAAATTTGGGGGAACAATGACTATAGATATTATAGAAAAGTGAATATTCTAGTGACGCGTACATAGGACGAAACGAAAACTGTTCCGAAACTCAAAAAATTGTTCCAAAAGGAAACTTGGTGCTTTTTATGAGAAACTTTTGTACGTCGATGAATTTTTTTATGCAAATATTTGTTCGTGTGGAAATCAGATATATTCATTGATATATGAAGTTTTAGACTCACTATCCAGCCGAAAACGACGAGGTTGTGACCAAGGTCAGGCACTTCGTTTGAGGAGGAAGAATCTTCGCTGCTCGTTGTCCTTTCCGTCATCTCGGTTTCACTGTCTGACATCTTTCCAGAAAGTGGGTGGGACTCCTCGACGGTCAACTCGGTTTCGAAAATACTTCAATCAATATTCTGGTCACGTGTCGCTTTTTCACGTCTCATTATTTTCAAAATTATACCAAAAAGTATTTAAAACTTTAGCATCTTCAAAAAATCTCTCCGTGTTGATAAAAAATATGCAAAAATACGTATAACACTAATGGACTTATTTCTACTTACATCGACTCGTAATGGCAGGTTTCTGTTTTTCATCGTTTCTGGATAAGGCTTTTAAATGAACTCTGAAGAATTTTTTATAATATTAAGCGAATAAAGTGTAATATTGAGATGGTGGCAACGTTGAGCTGGCCAAGGGCAAAATTGTCGGTTGCAAATGGCAAGTGATGAAGAAACTTGGCGAAGGCGGCTGTGGAGCCGTCTATTTGGTCAAATCCGTCGATTCTCAGGATACCTATGTTGCTTTTTTTCATTGTTCTTTTAATTTGGAATCAATCGGATTACCTGGAAAATTTCTGTTTTGAACTTTTAAAACGAGAAATTCACTTTAAAAATTTTTAAAACTTTTTGAATGATATGATGATTAAAAAAAGTTCTTTGTCGGCTCCCGATAATAAAAAAACGTCTCGTAGATCATCTTCTTTTTTTCTTGTGAGAGTAGTAGACGAATTTTTGAAAAATTCAGACAAGGTTTGCGTTAGCGAGTTTCGAGTCAAATAATCAATTTTTTTAGGTTTTTTTATTTACAACCAGAAGCGTAAAAAAAATGCGTCAATTTGAATTAGTTTGAAAATAATTCCAGAAGTTTTTATTCAATTTGATACATGTTGATAATTGTTGAATTTAATTTGAAAAATGCAACTTTTCTCTAGGCAGCAATGAAAGCCGAATCAAACAATGCAACTGGTGGATGCGTTTTGAAACTCGAAGTGGCGGTAAAATTTTTTTTCAAATAAAGAAAGCTCTCACAATGAATTATCTGTGAATGAGAAAAGTTTCAATATGAAAAAAAAAAATGGTAAAAATCACGAATTATTGCGCTTTCTTCAGACCGACAAGAGATTTCATTTTTCATATAGAAGTCGGTTTCAGATCCTCCGAAAACTGTCCCGCAAGCCTCACGTCACTCAACTGTTCTGCTCGGCGAGGAACAGTCAGTTTAGCTACATGGTGATGACACTCCTTGGCGATAGTCTCAATAAGATTAGCAGGTTCTTTTTGTTATGATTGTTGCGTTTGGAATGGCTCGATGCGGCCTTTTTTCATGCTTTATCTACCTATTCTTCTCGAAAAAAATGATCTTTTCCACTTCAAGACGCCTCGGCCGGATATTCAGCGTCTCGACGCAAGTTCGCATCGGCGCCAACATTCTATTTTGTTTGAAACAAATTCACGACGTACTATTTCCCTTTCGTTATTTATTAACCAATAGCAAATTTCTAGATTGGTTATATTCATCGAGATCTAAAGCCGGCGAATATTGCGTTGGGATTTGTAAGTCTCGATTTTTTTTTTTGAGAAAAATACCCTTGAGATTCCAAATTTCAGAATATTTTTTGGATTGATGGATAGATGTACTTTTTTCAAGAAAAAAACTATACAAATAAGCTTGGTAATTTCTGAATTGGTCTTAAAATCAACTTATTTACGTCAGGAGCAGATGTTATTTCGTGACTCTGTCACCAAAAACTCCTGAATTTTTTGGTAATTTTGAAAATAATTCTGCCTGAGTGAAATTATACCCAATATACCGATCCTCTTTGAAATAACATTGTTTAACTTATTCAACTTAATATCAAGTTAGAAGTTATGTTTTTTTATCTAGATTCATCATTTGATAGTCTAGAACTAGTAATTTTAATTTTGCGTGAATTGTCAAAAAGAGCGATATTTTCACCGAGATAAAGGTTTTTCTTTCTTTCTGTTAGACTGGCACCGCCGAGTCTCGCTTTTTCCACATTCTGGACTTTGGGCTCGCTCGGCAGTACGCAGTGACTAGCGAAGACGAACCAGAACGCTACAAGTTGCGACGTCCTCGCGAAAGGGCACTGTTCAGGTGTGCGAGCCGCGACGCGACCGCAACGCGTCCTGATCCTTCAGAGGCACCACGAGGTACTGCTCGGTCGGAATGCACGATCGCGCCGAGCAAGGAAGAGTCGACGACCTCTGGAGCATGCTCTACTTGCTCGCCGAGCTCCGCGGACCGCTTCCTTGGTCTTCTTTTGCGTGAGCGACGTCACCTTCTGCTCGACGATGACGTCATGAGTTTAGGGACAAAAAGGTGGTCGGCGAGCAGAAGAGACTATACTCAGATGACGCTCTCCTGCAGAACAGCCCGACGGAAATGCTCGAAATCGCCCAATATTTGAGGTGACCGTGGTCGGCCTCGACGATTCAAACTTTTCGCTGCAGGACGTTAACGTATTACAATCGGCCGGATTACTTGAAGATTTACAATTTGTTTCTGTCTATCATGGACAAGGGAAAGTTCAAGTCAGTTCTAATCTTCTGGACTTGTTGCTCAAACATCTTTTTTTGCAGATGGTCTGATCCTTTCGATTGGGAGCTGCTGTAAGTTCCTAAAGTTAGATATCCCACTTTAATTAATGACATATTGAAGGGATAAGAAAAAAGAGAAGAGGAGCCTTTCAAAGGCCCTCACACCCACGAGAAGCGTCTCCAAAGAGCCACCGTCGAGGTGAAAGATAACCGTGAAGTTATCGATTTTCAGGAATGTTTAGTAATGAAGGATCAGAACCTTTTAAAAGGAATGTTTAAAAAAAGTCAAAGTCAAAAATATTAGTTAGCGGTTACTGAGTTGATGACCTCACTTAATAGGATATTGAAGTATAGTATTCGAAAATCTTTAATCAAAAGACAGTTAAATTGGCGAAGATTCGAGTATACATGCCTGTGACGTCATCGGAGTTTTATTTTGAATTATTATGTCCGTGAAAAGGATGTACTGACTTGACACGGTAAAACCAATGAATTTATCTTCTCCCACTAAGTTTTTGGCGCCTTGAACAAGGACTTTAGCGGTGAGGAGTGAAACGAAAAAAAAAGAGGTAAAATTAGGCTTATGGCGTTGACGTCACGACTATCGTCGCCAATATTTGGCCTCAGAGCGAAGACGCCGACGCGGTCGAAGCCTGTAGCGTCCAAGGAGGCGGAGATGGCCTCGAGAATGGACGACGCCGTCGAGCAGAAAACCGTCGGGACTAAGGAACATGTCGGCAATGACGTGAGCCTTTTTGACGTCATCAGAAGCCGGAAAAAAGGATATTTTCAGACTATCTTGCCTTTCAAAATCGAAGATTTTACGACGAACCCTATCGGATTTTGACCCAAATAATATTTGAATAAAATTGGGAATGATGTTTTTATTTCGATAGAAAATGACTACTTGGAAAGCTTCAAAGACTTGAGAGGTCTCTTTGTTAACGACGATTCCGGCAACATGGGTTAGTGGTCAACAGGTTCGTCTGGTAAACTTATAATGAGGGTTCGGGACCATTCGTTGCGATTTTTTTTTTTTTTGCCAATTCTTTTCCTTCAAATTTGTCAGTTTCCAACGACTTTATTTCGCATTGGAAAAAAAAAAATGAAAAGTGGCTTGATGAACTGTGAAAGCAACACCTGGCGGGGTGGACGAAAGAGATGCCGACGACGGAGAAAATTGGAAACGAATGGAGTCGTCGGCGATTTCCTGCGGCGCGGGATCCGTTGGACGATCTGGCCGCGGCGGCCCGCCTTTTCATCCAAACTTATGAGCCATTTTCATCGGTACGACACTTTTTTTTGTCCGCCATCGACCTAATTTCCAGTTTTCTTCTTAATGACTGCCGCTAGATTTTTGATGAAGCAAACTGTCTTGGGCAAAATTTAAAATGAAGCTATCCCCATTATGTGAAAAATAACTGGATATCTGCTTCAAGTTAAAGGTTTATTTTTTTATTTTTTTGAAAAAAACAGTTAAGTCAAACAAAAAACTCACAGAGATTGTAAAGGAAACATAAAATATTGGTATCCAAGCCGGAAGCTGTATAATTTCATCATTTTTCACCAGAAAAGCATTTTGCAATCAAATTTTGCAAACTGTACATGAATAGAAAGTTTTTGTGACGAAAAGAACTTTTTTGACAACAGAAAAAATTGAAAATTGAAAAAAACGAAGAAAAAAAGCGAAAATCCGAAAAATGGCGAAGCCTGTTGTCCATAGAGCAACTTTACTGCAAAACGCCCTTTTGGCGGAAACTCAAACTTTTTTCGAATAACTTTTTTTCCGAAAATAGGAATCTCTGTACATTTTCGAATATACCGTTCGATTCGCAATGAAAAGCTCTACAAAAAAATGCTTTCACCTGAAATCTCGTTTTTTGCTGCCTTTATAAATCCTTTGAAACGCCAACACCTTTAATTTCAGCGCTCATGTGACTTGATGGTCTTTCATAATTAAACTGGAATGTTTCTAATAAAAGTTAGAAAGTATTAATTTAAAAAAAAAGCTGAAGTTTTATTCTCTTTTATTCAATAAGTGACTGCTATGGGGCCTTCAAAGTTCCCTATAACTTTTTCCAAAGTGCAAGATAAATCGCTTGTAAACCAGAATGCCACACCTCGAAACGTCTAGCCAAGATGATTGATTGAGGTGATTATTAGAGGGGAAAAGCTGATGATCAGAAAAGGTGTGACGTCACGAATATGGAGGCGTGGCCTCGGATCTCAGAGGCGATTTGTCTCAATTTTTCGTCTCGACCGTTTTTTTGACAAATCGCTTCCTTTTCGACTTCTCTCCTCGGTTCGTTCGTCGATCATCTTGCGCGCTTTGGGGGCGGGGTTACTGTAGAGTCTTCACAGGGTCGACTTCCTTATGATCTTTTTTTCAATCGAGTCATTTACCTCGAGATTTTCGAATTTCAGAACTAGTTAGAAGCACTGTTAGATGGTTATGGAATTCGCGATTCACGTTCTTGAAACATTTATAGCATTTTAATCATCTCAGATTAAAAAAAAATTTTTTTTGCCTATTTTTAAACTTTATATCTCATTTGCATTTTCAAAAGATTTAATTCTTACTTCATTGAAATTATTAAGCCGAACCAGTTCACACTTTTTAAAAATTCCAGGCTTCTAAATTAATTTTTACGGACTTCTTTTCGCGCTTTCAGAAATTTCAGTCCTTTTTTGATTTTTTTTCAACTCAAGAATTGTTGGAATAAACTCATACATCTGAAAAAAAAGCATGACTCAGCATATTGAATAAATGTTTGTCCTGGAGGCGTATGGATTACTTCAGAGTTATATAAATAAACTTTTTTTGTAAACTCAAATATTCTGTTTTTTTGTGAATTTTTCAATTTTTTCAGCTAATTGTGCTACTGATATCTTTTTCATTGAACAATCCTTTTCAAAAGAAAACCTCTAGAAATGTGGGAATGGTTTTAAAAAAACGTTTGAAATCTAAAGTTCACTGCTTTTTTCTTTCTCTAGCTACATTTTGATACATCCAATCCATAAAAACCTAGAAAATCGTTTTACACAAAAGGAGAATTTCCTTGATTGATTGAAATTTGAAAATCAGCTTCAAATCAAATTCAGCTGAGTTCTTCCTGACTTTTCTGAGTTCATTTATCATTCAATTCGTAGAAGAATCGCGTTTCGGCTAAAAGTTTCTCATGATCAACGATGATAACCATGGGACCCGCTTGTCACATTCCAGTGATAGCGTATCAGCTGACCGTACAGTCCCATGCATCGATTTTATTTGCCTTGAGCACAATATTCATTTCTTGATCCTGAGGCCAAAGCATTTCTCTGCTTTAAATTAGGAGAATTCTGTGATTTCAGCAAAAACATCCTTTTTTTCGTTTTTGGCACTCTGGGAAAATTTTTAGTGGCTCGCCAAGGACTACTTGGAGAGGACACTAAAGTGGCCCCTAAAATCCTCTACTATTTTCCGTTTTAGTGGCCACTATAGAGGTTCTCCAATTAGTCAGTAGTTTTAAATCCAGTATTCCTTCCAGTAACTCTGATAATTTTAAAACAAACAGATTGGACCAGTTATGTTGATCCATTGACCCCTAAAGTGGCCACTAAAACTTTTAGTGGTCTAGAAGTAGCACTTAGACCTCTATAGTGGTCACTAAAACGTCAAAACCCTATAGAGGACACTAATTTTTAACTGGCCATTTAAAATTTTCCGAGCTTCTTAACAAAATCTGGCTTTGAATACTCTTTCGGAAAAGTCCTAGTGGCCACTTAAGTGGTTCTAAAGGACTAATTGGAGAGGACACTGAAGTGACCGCTTAAATCCCCTCTATAGATAGGGACCCCAAAGCCACGCCCCTTTTCGCGATAGAAAAAGTGGCTTTTTTTTGGTTTTCAACTTTCATTTTGCTGTAGTTGCAAAATATGTGGAACTGGATAATAAATTTTGACACCCATGTACAGAAAAGCTTCCTCTTTCGTTTAAAAAATATTTCACGCTTTTTTGATGCGTTCGCGCGGAATGTCGTACAAAAACTTGAATGGAACTAAAAAAAATTTTTGTCATTTTTTTGCTTTTTTTCATGTGTTTTTCAGGTCGAACGCACTCTTTCTTTTTTAAATAATGATTTTGATTCAAGTAACGGTAATTTTAAAACAATAAAATGAAAAATTCGTCTTTGCCAAAAATTTTAGGAAGTGCCGAAAGTCATAATTCAAAATATCGTTAATAAGCGAATATAATCGAGATTTTGTTTTTTCAAAATTTAGACCATGGGCTTACTTAAATTTCTCTCCACAGCACATGTGCTTGAAAAAGTTGTTTAATACACAAAAATGCTCTTGAAACAAGAGAATAAAATTAGCGGCGTTTATCACACAGAAAGCGGTCGAACGCAGGTTTTTTTCAAACGATTATATACATTTATTAGTAAAAAAATCTTTCAATAAAAAAAGAATAAAAATAAAAAAAATTCGCCTTTCGCCAAAAAAATTTACGGGGCCGTTTTTAATGCAGCGATCGTTAAACGAGGCAAAAAAATCACTAAAAAAACAGTTTTTTTCGAAGTGAATTTTTCACGAAAAGTTTGAGTAAAGATTTGCAAACATATTCTGATAAAAAAATAGCTAAATTACTTCAAATTTTTTTATTTTTTTGAAATAGGCAATCTGTGCTATCCAAACGGCTCAAGGGTATGGCGGATGGAAACTCCCCTCGCTAGACCTAACAGCTTGGCGCAGCGCGTGCGCTGCGATTTTTCATTTTGAGGTCGCGAGTTCGATGCCCGCAAGCGCCAGTTTTTTGTTTTCTGGAAAATACCGACTTTATCGGCAAACTAGCGAATTTTCATCATTCTATTATTCTATTATGAGCACTCTATTATGATTTGTTACGTCATAATAGACCAGTATCAAAACTTGTTCTAGAAGAAAAATTGAGAAAAATGTCAAAAATGGATGATACCAAAATTTCAGTACTAAAAAAATGGTGCGCGGCGCGCCACATTTTTCGTCATAACTTTTTTCATTCTCAATCTTTTTCGAAAAAACTAAACGGTTCTGAGTTTTGAATCGAAACAGCTATCAAACCATACAAAGCTCAATGCTGAAATTTGGAATGTCTCAGCTGTTTGAATTAAGCCCTTTCCCCTTCAGAACTATTTCGACAAAACACTATCTTATTTTTTGTTTTGTTTTAAATTTCAAATTTATTCAGTCTTTGCCTCACACCAAACACCCTTTTTCCGGTTACCATATTCCACAAAAGTGCAAAATCCTATTGGAAAAAAACAAGCGGCGACCTTGGCGGCAACGGCGCCGTTTTTTTGGTGTTATGATCTTGCACCTGGCGCCTTACTGTCGGTGAAAACAAGATATGTCAGTGTCTGCAGAGAAGAAAACTACCGTAATCCAATTTTTACTTCATAACTGAAGATTACTGCCACAACCGGTGCAATAGAAAAGCGAGTTCGGTGGCGGTATATAGAAAATCGCTGTGCCCTCATTTTTTTGACTTCTCTTAAATATAAAAAGAATGGAAAATTCCGGAAATGCGCGAAAAATTCGATATTTCACCAAGGAACGTATACAAAGCATATGTTTATCGCTTATATTTTTTCTATACTATCTAATGTTTTTTTTAATGTCAGTAAATAAACTATTATCATTAAAGCATGGCTTTTGCTAGTTCTTCAATGAACAACCAGTGACCTCGCGTTTTTTGGCTTCTTAGTGCAAGTACAGATTCTCATTTTCGGCTAATACCAGTTCAATATAGAACCTAAAAAACCATAAATTGGATTTGGCGCCACTAAAACTATTCATCCCAAAATATTTGCCCTCTGTTTGATGCATAAATGTAGAATACCATGGTATGAATCGAATTTTCTCGCTTTTTCTGGGTATCACTAGGCAACAACTTCAACGATCTGATGAGAAATACGGAAAAATTTGGTTTTTCGTTTTTGTCTCTGACTGAGAGTCTGACATGGGAGATCATTTTACTTTTTGGTTGGGAATTTTCTGAAAATTGGCCAAAATACCTCTTCTTGTACCAGAAAAAGATCCTGGAACCTGCAGAACTTTCTAGTTTCTAGAAATAAGGGCCTAAAAATAGCCTATTCTAACAGATTTGGATGGTTTCCTTTGGCTTTTAGACGTCTTTTCTAAAAAAACTGACCTCCCTTGTGAGGAACGAGCGGAAAAGGAAATATGGGCGGAGTTTTCGAAAACTGCGACGCTTTTTTGTCTCGAAACTTAAAGTAAATCCATCTTCTCGCCTATTTCGTGCATAATATGCTTCATCTCCAGTTCAAGCACATTTTCTGACGTCAATTGGCGAGCTCAGAGAAAAAAGTGGAGACGGTCGGGCGCAAACAAACAGAAACACAAGACTTTGCTTCCCACCAAATTTTTACCTCCCCTTTCATCGATTTTGTCTCTCATTTCTTTAACTTTATCAAAGGTTAATCAATTGAAAGTTGTTTTTTTTTTTGCAAAACTTATCACTTTAATTCTGCAAGTCCATTTTATGCGGTAACGGCTTAAAGAAATATGGGCAGTAAAGAACGGGGTTTGAGGTGAAAGCAGTATCTCGTATAGTTCTTTGCGAATCCAACGGTGTACCCAAAAAATTACAGATGATACTTTTGCAGAAAAACGCGATTTTACTACCCGCCTTTAATTTTAGGTTTACAAATTTACCATGAATAGAAAGCTTTTGTGACGAAAAGAACTTTGGTGAAAACAGAAAAAATTGAAATTTGAAAGAAACGAAGAAAAAAGCGAATATCCGGAAGATGGCCGTGTTGTCCATAGAGCAACTTTACTGCAAAGCGCTCTTTTGGCGGGAACTCAAGCTTTCCTTTCTCCCACTTTGAATTATTCTTTCTTCAAAACTAGAAACTTCTGTACGTTTCCAAGTTCACTGTTCGATTCGCAATGCAATTCTCTACAAAGTACTGTTTTGAACTGAAACACCGTTTTTACTGCCCCTATGCCTTTAATGGCGTAATGGGTGATCAATCTTGAAGTGGTCATTATTTTAAACGCCTAATATGGCTTTCAAATTTATTCAAAGTTAATTTCTCCCCTCGAAACCTTTTCTTTTTCATGGAACGGTGTAGCTGGCCAACCTGTCGGTTCGAATCTCGCGCCCAATCACTTTTTTCTAATGTCAATAAGCCGAATCGCCCACTTCTGCCCTATTTCTTCTGTATTTCTGTTGCTTCTTTTGGTTTTTTTGTACATTTCCGACCTTTTCTTGTTTTTCATGAGAGGAAAAAAAATGAAAAGTTTTCCAATTAGCTCTGAAAGCCTTCAAAATCTCCGAAAAGAAGACAAAGTTATTGCGTTTTCGCCACATGTCTGGCCATTATTCATTTTCACAACGGCTCTGTCTTGCCAGAACCCTTTTCTTTTGGTTTTTTTTTTTGCTTTTCTCAAGAAAAACTGATCAATGGTGATTTTGGCTGTATCAATCGTTTACTATCTAGATGAATAAAGTTCACCTGAACAGTGAGAGTTTTTTTGAAAATTGAGAGATATATAATCATTACAGATACTTGCCTTGTTCAAAAACCATTTGAATAATCTCTTTTAAGAATTTCTCAATTTTTATTCCGTACCTGACCCATTTCTCAGAATACAAGAATGGAAAACTTTCGAGGAATGCTGTGAAGGAATGATCCGCCTAAAGGCAAATTTTACGCCTCATTTGGCGCGCTGCCAGGGGAAGTAGTGAAGGTGCCTCTCCAACCGACAAATCACTTAATTACCAACCCTATTCACTTTTTTTATTCCCCTTGATTTCGCTTTGATCTTCCGTCAATAGCTAAGAAGTATACGATTTCTATCCGTTCGTTAAATTTCAGTACACGACGATATTTTCTGTCGTGTGCGGTCTAATAAGACACGTCGAGTATGACGTGACATGATTTCGGATGGACTGCGCCTCGGCATCGCTTTTGCGCTCCTCGTCGGCTCTCAAGGTGGGCGCCAGCTTGTGTTTGCATTTTCCAGATTTTCCTGTTGATTATTGCGTTCCGAACCCAAAAAAAAACTGAAAAGTCATAAAAGTCCGTCTTTTTCTGAATTAAAAAAAATTTTCTTTGAAATTCTCAAGCTGAAGAAAGTCTTCTCTACTGACAAAAAAAGAGAACAATTTGCACTGCTTTTTGAAAACGTCTATTTTATATTTTCCTTGTTTAACCGATAGGAATCCTCTTCTCATTCTTTGATAATTTTCCCGTCCTGTTTGTGGTTCACAACTTAGAAAGAACAACAGTCAGCATTTTTCATTTTTATCTGATTGCTTTCTCAAAATTCCCTTTTTTCGTGCTATAAGGAAACTCTGGACGAGAAAATGCTTTAAAACTGTAAAAACGAGAAAAATAAGGTTTTGAATATTTCAAGCCCAATTTGCGGTCTGAAAAATTTTCAAAGTTTTTTCTAATTTTTTTTAGACTAATATTCATTTTTTCAATTCCAACGTTGAGTATGGATTTCGAATTGAGAGTTTCATTTTTCAGGAATCAGCAAAGGCTATTGTCGAGGTGAAGAATGCGCACAGGCCTTTCAAAGAACCAAAGACTACGAATCCCTGCAACCATCCCCCACCGAACGGTATTGTCAGGTTGGCCCAACTTCTCATGCCCAACTCTAAGAAAAGTGTTAGGTTCTGCAAACCTACCTGCACTGTATGAACGAGACATTCCGGTTCTGTCATGGGGATTTGCGTTACCATTCTTCGGAACTGGTCATGCGGCGGCACTGGAGCGATTTCCACTGCCATCGGTTCCAGCTTCCCAAAAATTCAACCAATCGGTGAGACCTATAATCCTGACTTCTGGAATTCTGATAACCTTTACCCTTCCACGGCGTTTTTGTTAATGGAAGAAAAAGCAAAACCAAAAATTAAGGGGCCGTGGTCAAAATCTTCTCATTTTAAAAAACGCGATTTTTCTCTTTTTCTGTTTTAAAGTACATGCCTTGTAGCACATGCCAAAATACAACTGAATTTCAGTTTGCGAAAATAACGTTGAGCGCGGCGTGTGCTAGAGCACCGCCGTGTATGCACACGACACACTACACTTTACAGAAAAAAAATATGAGCAAAAAAAAAACGCCGTGCTTCTTTCTCACAACTTTCTTCTTTTTACATGAAAAATTCCCTTCAAATGTTACTTTTCGTATTAAATACGCTTGAAATAGTTCAACTCTTTATAAAGATTAAAAAATCCTCGAAGGTAAGTCAACGTAAATAATTTCTCTTCATTTTGTCTTTTTTTTGAAATTTTCTCTGGTGCAACCTTGTCAGTACCAAACTAAACCCTTTGCAGGTGCCACTTTCTGCCAGCAACCTCCCATCGAACCACCAAGCTCTGCGCTCTTTTCGGTGACCCTCATCTCCTCCGGTTTGATCGCGTTTTCGAGACTTGTACTGAAGAAGGGGCCAGACCGTTGGTTGATAATAGGTTTTTTTTTCTCAATTCGGTTAGGTTATTTCTTTTTTCCAGGTACTTTCTGGTCCAGGTGACAAATAGCAACGTTCGGGGTGAAGCCTTAACGACGGCTGTGAGCAAGGTGAGAACTGAATTTTCTGTTCTTGAATCTTGAAAGGTTGTTAAAGATATCTGAAATCATCAATTATACTTAGAAGATTTTCGAAAAACAGTTTCAACATTAAAAGCTTTCTGGTTGATTATAAATAATTTATAAATTCGAAAATTTTCGGATCTATTCAAGTTCAAAGCGCAATTTTTGTGCTATAATAATCCTTGTATTTTTTGCCTCTTTTTATCTAAAGTTTTGAAAAGCTTATTATTTTCTCTAAAAGAAATATTCAAGGAAAAGCCTTGAAAGGATTGCAAGGAATCTAAGCCACGTAATCGAGATCACTTCCGCCCAAATTTCCTCAAACCGGTCCATCTTTGACGAACAGTCTCTTAATCATCATCATTCTCATGTTTCAAACCGCCCCCACGTTGTCCTTTTTGAGACATCAAACGAAAAGAAAAATTATCTATTTTTAGAGGGGCTTTTTTTTGCAGGTGACGATTTTGATTAGAAAACACAACTGCACGTCGACGCTACGGTATGAAGCGGCTTCAGATGAGCAAAGTCTTCCCATCAGTTTTGTCGATGGAACGACGGCGCAAAAGGTTGATGGCGACAGGAATTCGGTCGAGGTTCGTCAAAAGGCTTTCTACTTGAAATACCAGAGTTCTTGAATCATCCTGATAGTATGTATCACAGTTCAAGTTATTGACAACCCCTAGAAATCTTTAATCATTTTCTAAATCAGCAAAAGTCTAGAAGCTTCCAAACCCGTTAAAGATTCCGGCCTAAAGTTTTCACAAAACCTTTTAAAAGCTTTCAGGTGCTTTGGCAAGAACCCAATTACGTCGAAATCGCTCTCCACCACGTACACGCCTCGATTCACGTCCGTCGCCAAGGTCCCTACCTCGCCGTCGCCATTCGAGCCCCCAAAAACGTCTTGGAAGTTGGATGATCCGCAAATTTCTCTCTCAAAGTTATCGTTCAGACTGGCACGACAGAATCCAACGAATTGTGCTGGTCCGGCTGCCGGAAGGCGTCTCGAATCTCGCTTCCAAACGCCTTATCTGACCCGAATCTTTTTTCAAGCTGTTATGCCCGTAAACTCCATGTTCCGCTGAAACTTGCCGTCGGTAGGTGTTCGAGAGATTGGAGAGGGAAATGGACGAGGTTCAGATCGGTGCAACGACGTCGGCGTCACCGACGAGTTCTTTGATGCTTGTGTATTCGACTTGATGTTAACTGGTTAGTTGTCAGAAGAAAAAATGAAAGAGCTGTCCGAATCTTTCAATGAATTACCTTCTTTGTCGTGAAACAGTGTTGAAGCATTCTGCAGTAGACCTTCAGTCAGGAGTTGCAAGCTTACTAGGGAATGGTCTCCGATCGCAGTGGGACTTCTGAATTAGACTAGGTTCAATATATGTAGTTTTTCACGCTGATTCCAAATCTGGTCTCCAAAACTGCCCTAGAGACCTGTGAAAAAAGTTAGGGGCTCTCAAAGTCGAAAAATTCGATGTCTCCCATTGAGCTCCTTTTTGGAAGGTATATAGTCCTTGTTCCCCCGGTCACAGAAAACTATTTGATTTCTTTCGAAAAGGTTCTGGAGCACAGATATGATTTTTCAAAGCTCGGCGCGTGATAAGAGCTTTCGACTTTGAGAGCCCCTAACTTTTTACACAGGCCTCGAGGGCAGTTTTTGAGACCAGATTTGGAATCAGCGTGAAAAACTACAACTAGTGAACCTAGTCTCATTCAGAAGTCTCACTGCGAATGGAGACCATTCCCTAGTTAGCTCAGTGATAAAGTTTTTGTACAGGGCTCAAGAAAGATAAGTTCGAGTCTCTGGGATGATTTTGAAACTTCTATTTTCCCATCTCCCCAAAAAGTAAGAAAGGTTCTCAGGCGACGACTACCTCGTCTCTTTGGCTAGCTCGACGCAATCTGACGTCCGACGGATGTCGCACCACCCATTCGCCGGTCGGATCTCCCTGCCGGAAGCCCCGAACGGTCCGACTTTTTCCGGTTGTCTCGCGTCGTCTTATTCCCGACAAAAAACCGATGTCTTTATCTCACTCATTGCCGCGGTCATATCGTTCTTTCTCATGTAGTTATTTTGAAAAAAAATTCCTGGCTTGAAATTTTTCGAAACAAACCGCCTCAACTCATAATTTCCATTTCAGTTCAAGTACACAGAACCACCCTCATTTTTCACTTTTTTTTGATCTCATTTGTTTTTTTTTTTCGTGCTCCAAAATTTCTTCCATTTCTCCTTTCGTTTTCTCACTACGGGTTCTTCTTTCAATTTCTTTTATATCCAAATGAACATTTTGACACCTTCAACGGTAGGTTAATGGATGAATTGAAGGCGATAAAAAGCAACTATAAAGCGAAAACAGGTAGGAAAAAGAAGTATACAATTTCAATCGGAATGGTTTTTTACCCATGATGAAAACAAAAAGAAGAAAAACTGGCTTGAAGATTCAATCGTAATGCGAATTTTGACATAATTTTCCTGGCAAACTTCTGGCAAAGCTTTTTTTTTGAAAGAAAAGTGGGATCAATCGAACTTTTGAGGTTTTTTTGTGAGCCTAGTCGAAAATGATGTCATCAAGAAAAGCTGAGATTAGACGTGTTAAAAAAATTTCATGAGATCATTTTTCCAGCTTTCTATCTCTGCATGGCATAACTTTTCTTCTGAAAATCCTCAAAACTTCGATGACTAATCCATTAAGACACAAATTTTGTAAGAAAAGAGCTATGTAACAATTTTGGCTTGTCGCTGCGTCTGAAGGACCCGCCGGAGAAGCACGACGGTGGCTCCAGTGACGATGGTGAGCAGGAAGAGTGTGAGAGAGAGGAGAAGGCTGGCGCGGCCTTGGCTCATGCACATGACGGCCGTCGTCGTCGTCGACGCGTGAGGTCGCGTCGAGAGCTGCTCCAGCTTCTTCGGAAGGCTTTCCGAGGCGTTGCCTGGAGTCAGAAGCTTTTTCGAGTTCAAGTTGAGAGCTTTGTGTATTTTAGAGGTTAACCGAAACTACAAACACGAGAAAACGTTTTCCCTCTCTGACCATCTAGCTAAAAAGCCTCACCCTGATCCTCATTGTTCTCATCCAACTCGAGAACTGTGATTTTCTGCGCGGCAAGGTCCATAGTGTCGGCCAAATGGACCCAGTTGGCTTCGGTTCTGTTGGAGAGAAGAGGCGCCGACCGAGCCCGACGGAATATTCCACCGGCTGGGCCGCAACGAGGAGGCTGAGAAGTTCACTTGGTAAAGAAAACATGATTGGAAATCAATTTTTTACCGTTTTTCCATCGCACATTCCTTCCGTGTTCATACACGTGCTCAAAGCGCATTGGAAGTATGTTGAAATCTAGAGATTAATTATTAAATTCCATAAAAAATGAATAGTTACCTTATCGGCAAACTTGAAAACGTTAACTTGGGCGTAGGCCAGGTTCTTCTCCTTGTTGTATGTCAAATCCGGCAAGATCAGGGGGTCGATTGCACAGCTGCAAAAAAGGGATGTCATCCGCAGGATTCGAACCTGCGCCCTCCGAAGAGGACTGCGACCTGAACGCAGCGCCTTAGACCACTCGGCCAGAATGACTCTGGCGCTTTGGCCGCCGCTTTCGGCACAAATCCCTTACCCATGCTCGTCCAACAGTGGCTTGCGCTCCTCGCCGTTGCCATCGTCGACGAAGCAGCTGTGCACCAACATCGCGAACATGTCTAAGGTAGTTTTTGAGGCATTCAAGGACATATTTGGAGCTTACCGCTTTCACAATTCCAGACATGGAACACGGATTCTCCAACCTTTGCGAATTGCACCTGAATTTTAATTTTCTTTTTTCTTTTATCTTTAATAAACTTACCACAGGTCCAGTGATTGAATCGCGACGAACTGAATAAGTACAAAGTGGCATACGAGCGGTGTCAATTAGGTCAGTTGTCGGCAGCATACTAAAGAAAAAAATTGGTTAATAAAATTTATTTATTCATCCAAAAAAACCTGACGTCATATCGATTGGTAACGACTTTGTCGGCTTCCATGTAGAAGCAGGTGCATCTAAATTTTTGACTAGTTCAGTTTGAAAAAGAGAAATTATTACAAAAGAATTATTATCAACTCTGAAAATTCTGGTTAAAAAAATAAACCTGTAAGCCCTATCAACTTTGGTGATGAAAGTAGAATGGAAAGAAATGATGACGGTCATCGACATTTCCATTCCTCGCTTATCAGGGCCAACCTAAAAAAAAATTACCGTTAATTTAACCAAATTTTTCATTTTTAAGATGAGTTTAGACTAACCATTCTTTGCCTTCTCATGTTGCAGGCGCCGTTTTGAAGTTCATACAGAATTTCACTGTTTTGATTCGAAAGAAAGTCTCGGACGCAGGATTGCTGTAGAAAGAAGAAAAATTAATTCCAGTAGAAGTTTTGGACATTTCAGTCTTATTATGAAGCAAAATACCTTATCAACCATGCCTTTGACGAAAATTCGCCCATGGAAAGGCCGCAATGTCTTGAACTTCAACTGAACTCGATCTTCCATGCAGTTTACTTCGGGAAGTTCTGAAATTATTCACTTTCAGAAAAACAAAAAACATGGAAAGTTCGAAAATGATAATTTAAAAACAACTTGGAAAAATATTAGAGAACCTAAAAAAATTCAGAAAAAGCAAACAAATTTTTCAGTTTCTCAGTTTTCGGAATGGTTCCAAATGACTTTGAGACGGTAAATCAAGGCTAGATGAGAAAAAGCGTTCCGAAACTGTCAAAAATGACAAGGCGGACACGTTAGCCTTCATATGCCGCGTGAAGGTTACCGGTTGCAAAAAAGCCGACCGGAAAACTCATTCGTGATGGCAAACGTGCTTTTTCAAGATTTATGAGCTCATTTTTTGACGGGCATTCAAAATATTCCAGCTATTGAAATAGAAAAAAATGAGGTTAAGTGAAGAAATTCAAAAAAAGTTAAATCGTATTCGATAAAAAAATCTGCTCAGCATGGTACACCGACGCAAAAGTGCATACGCTCAAATTTCACAATTTCGAACAAATTTTTTTATTTTTGTATTGTGTCTCCCAAATAACTACTGCCGTGCTCAAAGTAATTTCCGTAAAATGCAAAATTCTCTCTGACTCTCCAAAATTAAATTATTTTACTGAGAAAATTTCCCGGCGACTCATCTTTTTCTCAGCCATTCCAGTTGTCACTAAGACACCCTTAAAATTATTCTAAATGCAAAGTGAAATTCCCAGAAGTATAAAAAGCCTAGTTTCAAAGCAAAACCGACCGGCAATACCATTATCAAGAGCTGACGGCTTTTTGAGCCATTCCAAGCGTGGCCAAGACTCTACAAAGCCCATTTTGAACACTCAGAAAGATTATTCAAAAAGACGGCTAGTGAAAGAATTGCGATTGAACAGAAACGAACCAGCAACGCCATTGTCAAGGACCGGCGGTTCATCGGCAGCGGCAAGTTGAGCAACAAGAAGGAGAGCAGTGGGAATCAAGCCGAACCGAAGCATAGCCAACGTAGTCGTCGTCTTCCTCGGCCCAAACCGTCGCTTTATAAAAGGTTGTTCGTCCGGCCGTCGGCGTTGCTCAAACTGTACCTCCGCCTACTTCGTCGCCGCCGCCGTTGCACTCTCGAATCGAGGTCACGCCCACTTTACCTTGAGCTCCTCGTGGCCGGCTCTTTGTTGGGAACTTATGTACTTATTGTTGTCGTCTTTGTGTCTTAAAGAATCGGAACCATTCTTGGGATGAGCCAAGCTCGGACGCAATACTGGGTAGACAGGAATTTCTGACTTTTCTGGTATTGTGTAAATTCTCGGGATGAGCCAAGTTCGGACTCAAGTATTGAAACATTGAACGCTCCAGGAGATTTATGTGGAAGGCGGTTAGATAAACTTTGAAATACTATAGTTATATTGTGAATTTTAACAAATACCGTAAAAATGCAACCGTTTAAAATAATTTAATATTACTTGAAATTAAAGGTCCGGAAAAAGAGGCGATTTTTCATTACTTTCATTTCGTTTCAGATAACCTTTATAGATGTTAAGACAAAATATAGAATCCGCAAATCATGAGGACAGTAAGCCTGTGTACGCACACTTCCAAGCCCAAAATCTTGGAAACCAAATTCTTGGAAAACAAAAGTCATCGTTTTGGCGAATAGATTTCGTTGATTGAAAAAAGAAAATTTAAGAAATAAAAATGCAGTAAATAACTAAAAAGGGAGCTTTTTGCTTTCCAAGATTGTGGTTTGAAAGATTTTGGGCTTTGAGATCTGCGTATACAGTCTTACGGTCCTCAAAATTTACGGACTTGAGATTTTGTCGTACCATTACTTTGCACAGCAAAAAATTCTTGGGAAATAATTATGATTTTTCAATTTTTCGATTTCAACAGCCAATATAGGCAAAATCGGAAGGACCCCATAAAGGCTGCTGGAAGGCTCCATAGAAATGTTCCTTTTAGGGTGATGAAGGCTCCCTTTTTGCGGCTTTTTTTCTCCATTTTCTCAGCCCTTTTGCACCATTTTTGCGGCCACTCCCTCCACCATTTCTCGAGCCTTTAAAATTCCAGAAAAATGGAAGGCTCGATAATGAGACTGTCTTTGCTGCCTTTCTGCGGCTTTTTTTTTTTTGACAAATGGCTTATTCACCTTCCAATCTTTTTTTTTATACAGTGCACCAGAAAATAAATTTTCTCTTCTAAAAACTTCATTGAAATGAAGATTCTCGGAAACTGGGTCTTTTTCCTACAGTAATCAAAAAAGAGACAATATTTCGAAGAAAAAAAAAGGTACTTTAGTTTTACTTTCCCTTCCGTACATGTTGACCCGTTCCCTTTTCACTCCATTCTATTCAGAGTTTTTTTTTTCAAGAAAACTTTTTCCTCGTTTCTAATTCGAAACATTACAGGTCACCAGGTTGTTGCTACATTTCGTTGTTTTCGATGCGACGATTCGCGCGCGAAATCTGGGCCGAGCAAATACCGTACCTACTTAACCGACTACTGAGTTCATGGGCGTTCGGCGAAACTTTTTTTACTTTTTTGGATTTATCCTAGATTGTAGGGGCTCAAAATTCAAGTCTGGCCATGTCCGTGAAACTCATATCAAAAGTTTCAATGTTTTTAGATTTTTTTTTAATAATCTTTTTTAAAGGCATAGGGGCAGCTAAAAAAGATGTTTCACTTCAAAGCAGTACTTTGTAGAGCTTTTCATTGCGAATCGAACGGTGAACTTGGAAATGTACTAAACTTACTAGTTTTGGAGAAAAAATAGTTCAAAGTCGGAGAAATGAAAGCTTGAGTTCCCGCGAAAAGGGCACTTTGCAGTAAAGTTGCTCTATGGACAACACCCTTCGCCATTTTTCGGACTTTCGCTTTTTCTTCGTTTCTTTTAGTTTTCAATTTTTCCTGTTTTCACCAAAGTTCTTTTTGTCACAAAAACTTTCTATTCATGTATAGTTTGCAAACTTTAATCGCAAAAATGCTTCTCTGGTGAAAAATGATGATTTTACGCAGGTTTCGATTGGGATAGCGATATTTTGTGTTTCCTTTATTATCGGTGTGTGTTTTTTGTTTGATTAAATGATTTTTCAGAGAAGAAACCCTTAATTTGAAGCAGATAACCGGTTATTTCTCCCAAAATGGGAGTCTATTGACACGTCCGCAACATAAAAGTAGTCACCTTTGTAAGTTTTTTTGATAGCGCAGTTCGATTCGCAATTAAAAGCTATATAAGATACTGCTTACACCTGAAACCCAGTTTTTTTACTATGCCTTTAAAACAAGCATAAAAGGTTTCAAACCTCTTTTAAAGGCTCGACTTGAATTAAGAAAGGGCATAGTTTAGAAAATTCCAATTTTAAGGAAGTTTTTTAAAGAAAAATAATTTTTATCTAGATCACTGTGAACATAAAAAGTGTAGAAATTGACTTTTTTTCTAAATCAGTAAGAAGGGGCTTGCAGGTAGACGGATGGTTCTTCAAAAATCTGTGAACTCTCTCATCTCCGACATAACTAACCAGGCCTTGAACCTCGATCCGATCCAATTCCAACAGTTCATATTTACTCCTGTACTCTCCAGAGAAGGCCTCTTCCTGCTGAATCAGACTGAAACCTCAGTTCTCCATCTTCAACTTATTCAGAAAAGACGAAACACGGCCGCTCGGTGGCCCTTGATTCGAAGGTCGGACTCGCCGCAAAAGCAAACAAAAATTCCGAAGGCTACTGAAGACGACGACGTTATAGGTATCTACATCTAAATATAATAAGTTATGAAGTGCCTTTGGAGTGGCGTAGCTTTCACGGTCGTTCTGTTCTCTTCTTTTTTTTTCCAAATTTCTTTCAATTGACAAAAACTGGCGAAAGGGACACTTTCTTTGCATTTTCATTGGTAGAAAACGGAGAAAAAAAACAGGAAAAAAAAAATTAAAACGATCACAGTTTCTGAGAGACTCGTCAATATGACGAAAGATTTTTGAGAACTGAGCTGCGGCAAAATTTCATGGAGCTCAAATTTGAGCCGAATCGGAATGAAAAACACGCTTTGATGTTCACTCTAGAGAGAAAATTGTAAGGAGCATATTTTTTAAAATCGAACCTAAACACGTTCCGAAGTGAAATTATAGTACCTAACAAGAAAAGTCGTTTTGCTGAGCGGTTGAAATTTTTTGAAAATTTGCCAGAATACTTCTTGATGTAGATTCCAAAAGGTTCAACATGCACAGCTTTCTAGTTTTTGAGAAAGTTCTCCTCAAAGTCAAAAATCCGTTGAAATACACTATTTTGAAGCTTGGACACCTCAATTCTCGCAAACTAGAAAGATTTGCAGGTTTAAACTTTCAGGGTCTTATTTCTGGTACATGAATACTTTTTTTTTTAATTCCCAACCGCCAAGAAAAATGACCTTCCTTGTAAAACCCTGCCACAGCTCGCTACATTAAAATCGAATCTAGATTAACAATCTAACAAAAAAAAACTATTAGAGAGAAAAAAGAGCCCACAAAAAAGTACGCGTACCATGAATATTTCAAAAAGAAGGCTGGCTAATTAATCTTATCAGTTTTTGTTCTTTAGTTGATTTGGCACAACTAGAGATAAGTAGAAGACCTGGAAAAGTTCATCACAAAAACATCGCTTGATTTCAAGAAGTCAATAGAAGGAATTGGAACCGTTTCGGGAAAAGTCACGAAAATGCGAACAGAACGAGAAGGGGAGAACGACCGGTGGTAGAGAGCAGATAAAATGACTATGATTGAAAGAAAAGAAAAAGGAAATATCAACAGAAAAGTGAAGATCAGCGTTCGAGAAGCTCGATCTGCGACTCGTAGATGACGTCACTCAGTCGCTTCTGAAGACGTAACGCCGCCGACCGCGAATTCTCATCACATAACCTGATGATCCCGAGTTATTTTTGTTTACTTCTTTTCGCTCACCGTTTGAGTTGAGCAGCTACACAGGCGCCGAAAAGATCGAATTCGTCCTGATGGTTGCCGTTCTGCATGGCCATCCTCCGGCTGTAAACCTAGAGAAGAAAATAAATAGTAAACTCCCTGAAACGCTTGGAAGCCTCACTCTCTTTCTCCTAGGCTCATCGTCGTCATCGAGGCCGCTGTTGCCGTTGCTGAGGTTTCCGCCATGTGTACCATTGGTGTACGACGGCTTGGCGCAGATCGTCTCCGAGCACGGCGTCGAGTTCGAGACCGGCGGCAGGGCTGGAGAAGGCGGCGACACGCTCGACGCCGACGGCTTCTCTGGCGGATATGACTGCAACATAAGGTATCCAGGTTTTCAAAATCTTAATGATCAACATCAAATTTTAGTCGAAAATGGAAAAAAAAAAATGGAAATCAACTTTACAGATCACTTAACTAGAAACCTGATTGGAAGACTTTTTGGATTTTTTCAGGTGTTAAGAAAGTCCACTATGAGAGTGTAGGACAAGGGAGCCGATTCCAAGAAAAAACGTCAGTCCGCGATGCGCCGTCGCGTGTATGCAGACGCTTTCTGTTGCGCCAAATCGTTTCGCGCCATTATTTCGAAGTTTTCTTTTTTTTACACATTTTTTCTATCATTGTTCATTGATTGTGTAAAACACATTCATAAACGACTCGAAAACCTGTCAATGCAAATTTTTTTTTCGTGTTGCAGAAAAATCAATATTGATAGAAAATGAGAGGAAAAAAGCAAAAATTTCAAACGGAATCGTTGCAACAGAAAACGGCGTCTGCATACACGCGACGGCGGATTGCGGACTGGCACTCAATTTCAGTTTCAAGAACTCAAGCTCTTGTCCTACACTTCACCATGAAACCGAAACAAAGTAATTTCTGATCACACACGCTTTTTTGAGCTCATTATTCGTTTCCTTTTCCTTTCAATATCCAGACCTGCTGGACGAACATCTGGAGCATTTGCTCCTCACTCGTTGCGCTGTGATTGCTATTGTCGTATTGGTTGAGATGGTGGAGCTCGTTTTTCACTAAGTGAAGCCTAAAAAAAGTCAGTTTGGTAAAAAATGAACAAATTATGTGAAAAACTAACGTATGATCGTTTTCTCTTTGCATCTGTAAATCAAAAGTGGTGTCGGCGCCGCTGGAAACTCTTTTTAGCTCCTTTTCATCAAGAAACGAGAGCATTCGGTAGAACTTCCATGTCGGCTCTTTCAAAGGATCATCCGTGTACCTTAAGAAACATTCACTTAAATTTTCAGAGCTTGATTAAAAAGATAAAAAGCAAAAAATATCATGAAATTTTATTTCAATAACTGACTTTCCCTCGCTGACCCATCGAAGTTTCCGGACAAAGGTATCTTTCAAATTCTTCCACTGCGATCTCACATCTTCGCCTGAGAAATTTTATCATTTTTTCTCTTGTGAGAAAATAACTCACAGCTGAACTTTGTCGTTGACGGAAAAGCCGCGTTCAAATCATCCGTCACTTCTTGAAACGCGACCACCTACAAAGATTTTTTTTGAAAACAGTTTAGAAAATTATTCAAAATCCCTGCTTTCGAAAGTTCTTAAAAGTTAACGTCTTCACTGGTGAAGCAGAAAAACATTTTACAATGAAACGAGACTTCAAAAAAAGTTATATTCACCTTTGCCGCTTTGCACTGCGCATCTGTTGCCATATCTTTGTCCCATAATACCTGGAATCAATACTTATACTTAAACGACGATTATTGTAAAAAATTAATATCGAAGAAAACTTCCCATTTTTGTGGAAGTTTATGAAAAAAAAAATTTGCAAATTTTTTGATGGCGTGGTCATCGGACAAAACGGAAATTGCTTTGAAACGCAAAAAAGTTGCTCCAAAACAAAAATTAGTACTGTTTTGGAGCAAGTTTGGCGCGCCGATGAACACGATTTTTCGTTTTGAAGCATGTTCCGTTTCTCCGATGAACACGCCATGAGGTTTGAAAAAAGTGTCGTGAAATATGATGTTTCTGTGTATGCACCCGGTCAAAAATATTAATTTGAATTTTTATAAACTTTTCAATGCTGTCTTTTCAGTTTTTAATATGTATTTCAGTGAGCCATGTAACTTGAAGACTCTCTTACCAACTTGACAACTTTTGAAATTACAACTATCAAATTATTGAAATTTTTCCGGAAAAAGAAAAAATTCCAACCTTTTTAACTCTGACGGCATGTATTAAAAAAGAACGCGATGGGTCGGTCCATTGAGCCATGAACCTTAAATTTATCAATTTTTCCGATTTTTTCTGAATGGCCTTTAAAAACCGCAACACGAACAAGCCTTGCGATTGATTAATATCAAGCTCTGAGTTGCAAAGAAGAGAGGCTTGAGAAATAGGAAAGACACAAGTTTCTAATCCTTAATTGACAACCTAGCAATAATGAGATGTGAAAATCGCAACGACAAGTCGCCTGTTCTTTTTTTCTCTGCTCATCGCGACTCTCTCTCTCTCTCTCTCTCTCTCCTTCTGTTGGGTCGCTGGTTCAAAACCAGCCAAACATTGTTCATTTCAAACTTTTTTTCCTATTAATTTGAATTAAAAGCAACGAAAAATAATGGAGAATATAATGAGGAAGGATGAACTACAAAAACTTTGAAAAAAAAAGAAAAAAAATTTGAAAAAATAAAAAATTTTCGATAATATATATGATGCATGCAGAGTGTGAATATGATCCACAATGAGTTATTTCAGTTGGAAAATTCATTTTTTTCATTATTTTTCATCTTAATAAACTTATAAATTGAAATAATGGTTTTATGAGACCTTCCTAAATTGGAAGAATGATCTTATGAGTAAAAACATAAATTGGCAAAGAGATTGGGCGCGATTTTTTTGAATAAAAAAATTAGTTATTTCTCTCTAAAGTCGAGCTGTAGAAAGCAATAATCCCTTTTGAGGCTGAGAGTTTTTAAAACTTTGGGTAAAATTTGAATAAAATATTTTTTTGAAAAAAATTTAATGGAAACGGGCTCGTAATTTGAGATTGTTTAGTCACGAAAATAATTACTGAAAAGCAAAAAAAAATTCCATTCAAATAGAAATTAACAAGTACATAGAAAAATTCAAGTTCGCAGTGATAGATATTCAGAAAAACAGCTCCAAATGAAATTTAACACAAATTCAGGGCTTCCAAACATGGAAAGCAACTTTACCTGGAGCGTTTAGGATATTAAAAACCTGGAAAGCTGAAAAGAAGAGGAGCGATGGGCCCTTGAGGGAATGGCGAACCGCGACGCGTCGCCTCTCGCACCGAGTCTTCGCAGCGCGACACGCTGTCTAGCCGTCTCGCAGCCGCCCTCCGCGTGAGTCACACTCTCTCATCGGCCGGTCAGCGACGACCCCATTCGCTTGCCTTGGCGCGTCGCCAGCGAAATGGCCGAGCGGCGGCTGGAGCCGGTTTGCGAGGCGGCACACTGGAGAGGTCACTAGAAAGTATTGCTTCAGTGGGTTATCGAGGTATTTTGAAAGCCATTTAACAATGCTTCTTCAACAAAATAAATATAAGCAGAAACCCATTTATTGTGTGGAACAAGCACATTTGATTGCATCAACATGTTAAAACTAACAATTTTTGGCTTGGCCAAAAGAAAAGGCACGTGGGGATTTTCTTAACTACCGGTTTTATTACGATTCATTCGAACAATTTTCAATTTTGCTTTATTTTCTTTTTTAAAACTTGTGGAAAAAAGCCTGAGTGAGGTCTGAAATGTGCGCTCGACAGATAAGTTATGAAGTGCATCTTTTTTCGAAAGAGTAGGTTAGAAAATTACTTAATTCAAGAGCTTTCTTTTAATTTTCAACTCAAATATACATGAATCTCAAGACAAAAGACTCGGGGAGGCAAAAACTGCGATAAGATTGGGCGGCGACCGAATCGACGGCGACAAAGCGTACGGCGACAGGACGACGGCGGTCAAAGTCGGCGGCGAGAGAATCGAGGGCGACAGCACGAATGGCGACAGAATCACCGGCCCAAGAACGTTGGGGTTGAGGATCGCTGGCGATAACGCGAACGGCGAAAGAATCAGCGGCGTCATCACCTGCAAAAAAAGCATTTTTTTTTTTTTGGATTTGCTGCTAAGATGAAAACTGCCGAAAGCAGCGAAAAGCGCACTAGGGTTCAAATTTAACAATAAGAATCAAGGAAAAAACCTGGGGAGACAATATAAAAGGACAAAGGACGAAAGGCGACAAGACTAGAGGATTGGCCACTCCTGGAGTCAGTACAAGTGGGTCCAAAACCAGCGGAGACAGAATGATTGGAGAGAATAAAGCGGGCGAGATGATGACTGGAGAGAGCAGACGAGGAGAGAGAATCACCGGAACGAACAACTGAAATTCTCATTCAGAATGGATTCCTTCATAGAATGTACCCATGGCGATAAAATAACGGAGCCGAAAATGGCTGGCGATAAAATCAACGACGTGAAAAGCACTGGAGACAGTATCAATCCTTGAGAGACGAACTGCGGCTGATTGATAAAGTTGGTGAATAGAACCTTCAAATTATTTCTATCGGAAATTTACGGGATTCTAAACAAACCGGTGAGAGAACTATGTCCTTTTGCCGCTTACTGTACTTTTCCAGCTCCACTTTCCCCTCAGCCATGCCTCGAATTGTCTGAAATTCCCTTTCTTTAACTATATTTCGATTTGAATCACATCATGAAGAGCTCTTTTGGCTTGAAGGACGGTCAAATTCTCTCCTGCCTTCAGTGCGACTTCATTTTCGAATGGAGCATCCTTTCCATACAATGTGAGCCTTTGCTCGTTGGTCATGACGGCGTACCCCGTTTTATTGAACTGTTTGATCTGTGAAAAAACAACTTTTTTTAAAAATCCAATGAAGAGACGGACACTTTAGGTAAGAGAAAAACATTATATTTTTCCTTCTTGTATGCAAAGCCTGACCTGTTCTGGTGTATACATCCCATGAAGCTTCTCCAAAGCCTTCATTTTCCGATAATTCTCCTCTCCGTAGATTCTGGTGACGTTCTCCTTGGTCATCGGTACTTCCTGACCCTCAGAATTGATCAGAATCCCCTCGGATTCAGTTTTTTGCCGCAGTTTTCTGGCGGCGTCGTCAACGGCGTCGACGACGCCGGTCACTTCGGTCAGCATGTCGATCAAGGCGTTCTGTTCCCCTCCCTGGGGCAAACCCGAAAAAATGGCTTTCATTGATAAATTCCTCTCGTCGTTGGACCCTTCTCCGTGAAGCGAGAAGAGTGATGGCGACAGAAGATTGATCTGTTTTTTTAAATCATATTTTTTGAAGCTTTACTTTGAGACTAACCGTATCGTTTTCAACTCTTTTTGGCTCTGGGACCACTGAAAAGAACCTAGGCGAGGCCACTCGTAGGTTTTTTCTATCAAAATCCGTCACGTTTTGGCCGGAAAGCTGCATTCCAAGCTTTACTCCTACAAATTTTTTTACTTGCTTGTTTTAGTCAAAAATAACGTCTTTTTATGTTTTATTCATTCAGTTTCAACTCTGAAAGCACGAATTTCACGTCTCGCACTCGCGTATTCCTCGAAAAAGGCCTAGCCTGCGATAAAACATGCGAGCGCGCGCAGCTCGGAAACTATCGGGTGCAGCGGGAAGAGGGGTCAGGCGTTTTCGCATCGTCCACAACTCTGGTTCCTTTGCATTTGACCGAGAAAATCTTTCGCCTTTTACTAAAGATTTCCGTGCAAAGGGGCAACTTTATGAGTATTGCCCAATTTTTGGAATCCCCTCGAAAGAGCGGGACAAAATCGAATTAAAAAACATTGATCACTTGATCAAGTGAATGAAGAAATGAATGAAAACTTTATGTCGTGCTCGCAAAGTTTATAAATGTTTATGATTCTCTAAAAATTCTCAATCTCTGGCGGCTATTTTGAAGTTTTAGGCGGATTTTACTTGCGTGTTTGAAATTTTCGTTGAAATATCTTAAATAATATCAAAACTTTGAGTTCGCGCGAAATCAAAAAAATTCCTTTATTGCGATATATCGTTGTAGGACCCATTTCAAAGCGCTCCTATAATTTTAAATTTTGTTTATTTGTCGAAACCGTTCTAAACAAGTAACGCGTCAGTTTTTTTGAATCACTGAAACTTCTTTGAACACGCCACTATTAATTCTGAGGGTAAATTTAGAAAACACAAAAAAAGAAAAAAAGTCAAAGAAAAATGATCAAAGTATGAAAGAAAAAAAGTTTGATTCTCTCTAAAAGATCCTGAGGAATTTTTTATTGAAAGACAAGGAAAACCTTCTCGTATTAGCCGAACCCGCAACATTGCTTCTTTCTGTTCTGAAGTCATGTTAAAATGATTCATCGCCTCAGGCGATAGTAATTTCACGGGATCCTCAAAAATATTTTTAAAACTGATTATAGTAGTCATCTTACTACCTTTTCAAAGTTTTTGGTTATTTCGGAGGCATCGAGTGTCGGTTCAGACACATCATAATCATCTAGGGAGTTCTAAAATAAATGCAACTTTTCAAAGTTTTTTTTATATCAAAAATCAAAAAAACTAACCGCCAGAGGTCTTTTGCCAAGGACTTGGTCTTTTCTTCGGTCTCTATGCAACGAGGAACGAGATTTGAAGCTACTGTGAAGCATTTTCCTCACTTTATTCGTTTTCTCCATCTCTTTGCCTTGCTTTTCAATAGCAACCATGATTTGTTGCCAACTGAAATAGTCTGTGAAATTTTTATCAATTCAAGTTCTTTCCAACCTTCTCGTTTCATTTTTATTCTTCAAAGCTCGAACGGTCTTGGTGATTTGCCGTGCGATGGATGTGAATGGAGAGACATCAACAGAAGATTTTAGGACGATGGTATTTCGGTTATAAATCTACATAAATTTTTTTGGATTGCAAAAATTCCGAAAAACTTCACGCTTCTGACGAACTCGAAAAGCGCCAACCCATTTGGAGTCTAGCGCTTTCAGCGACCTTATCAATCCTGAAAATTTAATTTTTATCTTTTGGTTTCCTCTTACCGTTTCCGATTTAAACTAATGCCGCGTTCGAAATAATCTCGGCAAATTGAAAAATTGATGCCTTATTCAAGGTAATTTCCGCGAAATCAAAAGAGATCTCTGACTCTCCAAAAATTAGATTTTTTTTCATGGCCATTCGGAATTTTGCAGGATCACTTTAAACACGGCATAAGGTTTATATATTTTCAGAAATAAAACCTTTTCTTCGTCTTTTAGTGGCTCTATGGACGTCCAGCAAGTCTACGACACATTTGGCGTGCCCCACGAGCTCGGAAGTCCGTTTTATGCACCGCTCATGGTGTCGCGCTTCGAAACGGGACACATCGTTTATTCTGTCATTTTTACTCGCTTGAAGAGATGATTGAATTGAAAGGTAAGAAACTTTTTTATTACTCAACAAAATTTTTGTTTTTTGCAACCTTACCGAAGGATCTTTTATGTAAATCAAGTTTTCATTCTTTCATTCTGAATTGTTTTTATATAAATCAACCATGTTTGATACATGAAATCTAGTAAAAAATATACAAACCTCTCCTGTGCAACTGTTGACACGAGAGCGGAAAAGGCTTGGTTTACCCAGTGTTGAGACAGCTCGATCGCTGCTTCTGGTGATGTGTTGATCTAGAATCGCATTTTATCCATCGGTCGAAAATGAAGAAGGTGAAAAAAGCGTTACCTGTACCGCATTTCTGCCCAAGGCTTCCCGGAGCTGCTGACGGCTCTTTTTGTGCGGGATTCGGCCTAATGCGGACATCACCAAAAGTAATTGGATCGATATTTTAAGCATTTCTAGAAAAAAAAATTGGTTTAATAGAAAAAATTTCAACTCGATAGTTATGAAGAAACGACACAAAGTTTCGAATTTCAAAAAAAGAAAATTAATAGGAAAAATAATTCAATCGAAAATTATTGAGGAATTACAAGGCGGGTGAATGAAGAAAATTGAAAAGAATAACCTCATCAATCAGTTTTACCCTTGTTTCGCATGCTCGTTAAAGTTTTATGGTGGACTTTTTTTGTAGGGCTGAAGTAGGGAGATGATAAATATTCAAACTACAGAAAATCCCAAAGCTTTTCAAAAACTGATCATCCAACTCCAGTGTAGAGCATATTAGAAAAAAAGAGAAATTCTCTGCCGTCTAGACCACCTTCGTCGTTAAATACGGTGTTTTTTTTTGTGAAATTCAAACCTTTGAAGCGTGAAATCACATTAACCGAAATGTCGCTGACATTTTCCAGACAGAAACTGATATTTAAAGTTGTAAAGGATGATTCCTGTCTTTTGGCTCAGTTTTTTTTGTTCTTTGTTCAAAAGAAAATCCGAAATAGTTCAAAATTCGCTGCTGTTTTTTCAAAAAACCATTTCGATAAACGGTTCCCAAGTTTATTTTCCAGAAAAAGAGACGTTCTCAGAGTTATATGGAATTAAATTCCGTTCACATGTTTTCTTCAGAAATTATTTGATTGATTTTGAACGTGGTTTCTGTGAGAATCTTGAAAAAAGTTCCATGCGTACATTTTCTCTTTTACTTTTGTTCTCCGATGTCGAAGATTTTTGTAGCTCTTAGTCAATTCACAACATCGTTCATCCAAATTGAATTAGATTGTTTGAATGATAACGATTTATCGCAATCAAAACTCCAATGGGTGGATTTCATGTTTTTTAGCACAGGTCATTTCAAAGGGTACAGAAAAAAACTACCCGAAATGACACAAGCGTAGACAATTAGGCCACACGCGGAACGAATTGCGTACCGCAGTACACTTGCTTTTTTCCTGGGTGGTCGAAAGTGATGTTTGTAAAGAGCATATGTTCTGATAAAATGCGAACTTTTTCCGGTATATGAGTCTTTTTGGGTATTTGGTAGCAGTGCTCAACAAGCCTATCAATGGAGATTAGGACCATAGAAAGAAAATGTATGGTTCGATAAAAAATATTTCAAAAAACGTAGAAAAATTGGAGAATTTCTTCGAAAACCTGTATTATTGTATAAATTGTTTGAAGCTTCTTCCCGCTTTAAGCTGAAAGGTTATAAAAAAATTTATTAGATTTTTCTGAAGTTTTTTTCGAAGAACAAAATTATGTTATCTGATATTTACCCGTTACACTATACATTACATGATATAAAGCTACAACAAGAATAGTTAAAAATCCAGACGAGAGACTTTTGGAAAACACGGAAGCTTCATTTTCATCGTTTTGAAAAGAAAATTCCAGTTCCAGAAAGCGAAACATTAAAATGAAAACGACAAATCTTGCAACATGGGGATTGAAAAAAGTTGGAACGTTTTGAAAGGAACAATTAGTTTGAGTGGGAAGTGTCCGATGAATTCGAAAAAAGGCCACGATGCTAGACTCTTTTTTATAAGATCGCTGATTTCGCTTTTATATCATTCATCCATCGCTCGCTATCCTTTTGCAACTTTCGCAGCACAGGTGTAAGTGAGGTGATCAAATCTAGCTTAGCTTTCTTGATGAAGAAAGTGAAGAAACAATTTTTATATAAGTAGAATTAATTATGCCGTGTTCAATTTGATTCCGCGAAATGCAAAATTATCTCTGACTCTCCAAAATTTAGTGATATTTTCCTTTCTCTGACGGGTATTTTGAATTTCGCGGAATCAAATTGAACACGGCATCAGCTGTGAACTTGGTTTTTTTTTTAATTTTGTGCTCACAGAAACGTTAAATCGTTTAAATTGATTAAAAAACTACTTCGCGCTAATTTTAGGATAGAAATGAAACTCAAGCTCACCATGGTCAGTTAAACTGTACAAAAAAACGGAAAATAATCAATAAAAAAGAGCAAAAAGTGTTTCTGCGTTCGGGGGGAATCGAACCCCCGTCGAATGCTTGGAAGGCATCCATGCTGACCATTACACCACGAACGCGACTGCAGGGAGAGAGAAACTTTTCATACTCGACACCGCAGCGTAGTTGCCGTTTTAAAGAAAAACCATACGTTTTTCTGCTTTTTAAAGTCCGCAGTCAGTTACATTCAATTCAAAAGATTGGAAGAACTTCCTCATTTAAATATTATACTGAAATGATTCAACAATTACTGTAATCACAGATCATGAAACATTCCTACAAGGATCACCCAACTTTTTTTTCCCGTGGAAAGGTCTCAATTGGGTACGATAAATCATTTCTTCGCCTGTCTGCTGTGGTCGAACTTGGCGGATTTCTCGGTTTCGAACATCTTCGTCGATTTTGAGTTGATTTCAATCGATAAGCATAAAATATTTTTGAAAACGCTCTACGCGTTGGAAAATGCAACGGAATAGTATCGTATGGGAAGATTGTAAATTTGATTGGTACGACTGTTTCAAGACGTTCTCTACCAGAAAACTTCTGAAAAATAATTTTAAATAACGTTCTGAATATCTCATGTCAAAATCCAGTTACAGGATTTCAATTTCATGTTTTTATTCCGAGATAACTCCATGATTTTGAGCACTTCTATTCGATTTTAAGAAAAATATAGATCCTTGTGGATACGAAAAAGCCTGTAAATAGTTGGAGGTCGAAATCGGACTTCCTGCTCATTGTTCGCATGTCCCAAATTTTCTCCATACTACAATGCAAATAGAAACCTCAGTTTCAAGCAACTTGTTTGATTGAACAACTGCTTGGGAACTATGAATTGATCAAGGTGTTGAATTGGTTCTATTTTCGTTACTTTTTTTTTATTTTGCTTTTTTAAAATTTATTTGAAAAAGTGAAAAGTTCCTGCGTTTTAGCTATCCGTATTTACTACTGACCCAAGAAAAAAAAATTTTATTCTAGTTACTGTAGTATTTCTACCACATTCGCTCCACGGAAAAAACGCAATTTTCCCGAAAAGAATTTCAATTCAATTTTTCTTTTCGTTTTTCCTTTTTTTCTATTTGATCATTATGTTGTGACGTGGGATCATGTAGTTGTGACAAGGAAAAAAACCTGCTTGCCTTGGTGAATTTACGGCCGTGAAAATCGCCCAGGTTCAATTGCCGATTGCGAATTTCAACCTTGAACCTTATTTTCATTTTTTTTTTCAGAGTTTAAAAATGTTTCTGATTAAAATATGTTTCTTTTCTCTCGCAGAAAGGAAGTTTGCCTTCAAGGAATGAAAACAATTTCAACCGGCCTTAAAACAATTTTCCCACATTCTTTCCCAAATAATTTGTTTCTTTTTTATAATTTGAACTTTTTTCCAAGACGATTAAAAATTTTCAGGATGGCTTTCGTGGGTTCATCATGTTGTTTCTTCCTAATTCTCGTGGTTTTAACTGGAAGTTTTGCCGACCGGCCAACGCCTCGAATCATGAGGTTCAAAACAACTACTACGGTTGCTCGAGAAACAACAACTACTACAGGTTTGATGAGAAAATAAAATTGAAAGAAGAGTTCATTTTTATTTCAGCTCCTTCCACCATCCAATCTACAAATGTACCTTGGGAGTGTGGAACCGATGAATTCACGAAAGCCATCAGTGAGGGCGAAATACTCGCCAAATGTCCTGCTTTTGAGAGGTTGTTTTTTTCTTGAAAACTTTATAAACATATTATTTTTTTAATTTTTTTCAGACGTTGTAAACGGATGTTGTTACGTGCACGACGCTTGTTATGACGCGCAAAATGGTCAAAAACTGTGTGATGATAATTTTTGCAACTGTTTAGAGGTTTTCAATATTTTTATTTCGGAAAAAAATTCAATCACTTAAACTTGATACCACTCTCAAAAAAAGCAAATGATCAGTATTTTTCATTAAAAATTTTTATTTTTGTATAGTGTAGAACGGTTTATCTGTCAACTTTCAAAAGAGGCGTTTCTCACAATGTTTTATTATTGAACGTCCGTTTTCTGTTCATTTTTTTTTGTTTCCAGCTGGCTACCAGACCCTCGACGGCTTGTCACAACGAGTCGAGTCCAGTATTTTGCGATCTGGTGCGGACGTTTGGCGATGACGCCTATTTAAACTCTGGTCCTAACGCTACTATCATTGTCGACGAGGTCATAATGATTGTCGCTGATATAATGAATTTAATCATTTCAGGAGAAAAACGATGCAGAGAAGGATTACGACTACGAAACGGCCGTGAAGAAAAACTTGACTCTATTTTAATTGTTGGCGAATTGTTTGCACTAACTGTCGACGTTTATTTGGTTAATACTGGAGCTTCATGTGCCTAATTGATAAAGATTAATATTTGAAGGACGTTTTATTCAGCATACTCCGATGAAACAGAAAGTTTGTATATGCCGTGTTCAAAGTAATTTCTGCGAAATGCGAAATTGTCTCTGACCCTCCGAAATTTAGTTATCTTTCTCTTTCTCTGACGGCTATTTTGAATTTCGCGGAATCACTTTGAACACGGCAATAATCTTTCAAAGTTACCTTGTAAATCGCGTGAAGACAATTGCGCGCCGTCGCACGTTTTGGATATTTACGAAAAATTTGTGGTGGTTTTCTTTTTTTTCAATTTTTTCTCTTTTGAACGACTTTAATGTTTAGAAAAGCTAGAATGTCTTTTTATAAAGATAATTGAGTAGGGCTATTCATAATTCTGCACGTTGCCAATTTTTTTATTCATCAATGCTAGTAAAAATTAATGTTCTAGACATTCTTTTTAAATATTCTAAACATTAATTTTTGTGTTATTTTTATTTTTGTTTGCTTCTGAAAGTAAATTTCAGATATAACATTTTGAATCATGGGTAAACACGAGAAGGGAACGCCGAAAGAGATTGCAAACAGATCCAAGTCGAGAGGGCTTCAGAAACTGCGATGGTAAGATATATTTTTTTAATATTTTTTTCTCAAGTGTTCCAATTGCAAAAAGGGTATTAAAGAATATTCTGCAGGTTCTGTCAAATGTGTCAGAAGCAGTGTCGAGATGAGAACGGTTTCAAATGCCATTTAACTTCTGAATCGCATCAACGGCAACTTTTATTGTTTGCTGAGAATTCCGGAGCTTATTTGAGGCAGTTCAGCAATGATTTCGAGAAGAATTTCATGCAGGTGGGAATTAGATTCCATCAGAAAGTCTTCTGAACTTTTTCTGCGATTAAAAGGAACCTGTTAAACGTTCTTTTTAGCTTCTACGTACTACCTACGGATCCAAACGCGTTCGTGCCAATGAAGTTTACAACGACTATATTAAAGACAAAGTTTAATATCTTTATAAATTACTTTTTCATTTGAAAAACTCAGGGCCACGTTCATATGAACGCGACGGTCTGGCATTCGCTTACCGGATTCGTTCAGTACCTCGGAAACACCGGAAAATGCAAGATTGACCAGGGCGAGAAAGGTTAAAATTTTATTGAAATTTAACCGATTTGTATGTTTTTATCATGAACTTCATTTTGCGTTTCGTCTCGTTTACATTAGCGATGGATTCCTGTTTCACAGAAAATTCAATTTTATTTAATTTTGACAATTTTTTCCAGGATGGTACCTTCAGTACATAGACCAGGAGGCGGTCATCCGGAAAGAAGAAGAATTGCGAAAAGTCAAACAAGAAAAAGACGACGAGGACCGACATATGCAGATGATGGAGGATATGGTCAAAAAGGTGGTTTCTTAAGTTTTTTTCGTGGATCAAATTTTTTAAAAAAATTTTTTTGCGTAGGCTGATATTTTTTTAACTAAACGATATTTCACTATGATACGTTTTTTTCATACGCCATTTTGATATAAATTTGTGAATGGTTTTCATTTTTCTGCAATTTTTCTTTTTATTGAAAACTCTTATAATGAAATCTTGAAGTTTAATAATAGTCATTTATTGATAATAATACTTTTTATAATAATAATAATCAATTTTAATTGTTTTTGTGAGTTTTGGAGTCTATTGAATGTTTTAGGGTAAATCCGTGATCCTCAAACAATCCTTGATCTTTATTGACCTCAGAAACATTTTTCGGAACTTTGAAAATCTTAGAATTCTGTATTGATTGATAGTTGGATGCGTTAGGGGAAAGTGGAACGGATTTTTTTAAATATCGATAAAACAATTTTTCATTCCAGGGGTTTGGCCAGAGACGACGGATCAGATTATCAACCATCGGATTTAATAAGAGGAGACGATAGCGATAAAATCACCTTGAGTTTGCAGTTGAATAAGAAACCGACGCCTGAGGTGAGCATTGGAAATTTTTTATTAAAATCGTTTTTTTCGCCTTCTCGTCATGTGAAAGTTGCACGAGTTCATCTATTAATTTTTATATTTTTTCAAAAAATAGAATTTAAATCATCATGGTCATTTGTAATGTTTTTTTCCCCGATAAAAAGTGACTTTTATAATTTTCAGGAGTTGGCCCGACCTCAGCCCTCTTCCGTTTCAGTTTTCGACAAAGCAAAAAAGACCTCCTCAGCCGTCAAGAAGGAAGAGCCAGAAGAGGAAGATTCTGAAGATGATCGCCGGAGTCATCGGAAAAACGAGCGGAAAAGAAGTCGTAGCCCGCGTGACGACAAAGGAAAAGACCGCGGAAAGCGGAAAAAGTCGGCTCTGGATGAGATCTTGGAGATGGAGGAGCAGAAAAAGGAGCGGAAAAACCGGAAGGACTACTGGCTTCACGAGGGAATCGTGGTCAAGGTTCTTTTTGATTTTAAATCTCGATCGCTTTAAAAAACTTCAGTTTTTATGATTCCTTACTAAAATAATCGTTTTTCTTCATAGATCATGTTTCAACAGCAACGCATTGAGCCATTGAAGTTATAGTCCTTCAAAAAAAAAAAAACATATACTGCTATTTCGAGAAACTCAGATAAATCATCAATAGAATTAAGACGAAAAGACGTTTTTCGGGTTAATTCTGGCTTTGCAAAGCTCCAGTGCCTTGAAAGCATAGAGCTGAAAACTTCAAAAAGGCTAAAAATGGAAAAAAGTTAAGACCTGTTGTGCAAAATTATATTCTCAGGTGATGACCAAATCGTTGGGCTCCGAATACTACAAAACGAAAGGAGTTGTCAAGAAGCTGATAGACGACTACACAGCCAATATCAAACTGGATGATGGTTTGTTGTTTTCCTCCCAAATTGACGTAATCACGGGCAAAGTCCAAAAGGTCTTTAAAGAAGGTTCAAAAAAAAGATGGAAAAAAGGAGGTTCCGAGAAATTTTTTTCACCTTTTAAAGAACTCAAAATAAAGCTTTAGGCTCTGCTTTTTCAGGCCTTTTTGAGGTCGTTTGTACTTTGCCTGTGTTATTGAATAAACGAAAAATCCCTTTTTCTTCTTTGAATACCTTTTTTTGCTTCAAAACTTTTTTCTCCATTCCCTGTCGTCAATATGCGCATTTTTATTTTCCCAGGAACCCTCGTCAAGCTCGACCAGGAGCACGTCGAAACAGTTATTCCTTCAATTGGCCGAAGGATGTTGATTGTCAATGGGGCTTACAGAGACTGTGAAGCGGTGAACTATTTTATTTTGCTTGATGTTTATCCTTAAGAAGTTTTCGTTCACTAGAAGTTCTGAAAATATTCATTTTTCCTTGTTCTAAGTATTTATGAGCAAATCGAAATAATCTCTGAATTTTCTGAAATTTCGTTATCATTTCACTCTTTGATGAGCTTTTCGAGTTCCCCAAAAATTACTTAGAATGCGACTTATATTTTCCCTTAATATAGTACGTTCCGCGCGAGACGGTCACGTTTCATAAATAAACAGGAAAATGAAAGCTACCGTAAATGACAACTTTTGGTATAAAAAACTGCTAAAAAATATAGCAAAAAAAAGTTCTTGAAAAGAAGATGCTCAATTTTGATCTAATTTGATATACGATATTTTTAAAAACGTGTCAAGCTGATGAGAAGTGAGCTATAGGTTTTTTGAAATAAAAAAAAAAACAGCCTCCTCATTAATTTTTGAGTTCTAATTTGATCGCAAACTGTGTCTGTCTCCAAAAATGACTGGTTTTCCTCAAATTTTAGTGGACCCTGAACTTGACGAAAGTCCAATGAGCATTTGAAAATTGCTCTGATTGTGAAACTTGGTACGATCCTTGATCCCAAAAAAGCTGTATTCAACGTCTGGATATAAAAAATTTGAAGATGAACAGTTTATATAAACGTGTACATTTTCAGGACCTCGACGGCATCGACGAGAAAAATTTCTGCCTGAATCTGACCATCGCTTCAGGCATCATGAAAGGCAGGACAGTCAAGTTACCGTATGAAGACGCTTCGAAACTAGCATAGCACTGTATCTTTCGTTTAATAATGTGTAAATATGCATCTTGTAAAGAATGAGATTGCACGAAAAAGTCCTTTTGAAAAGGATGATTTAAACACGAAAAAAACCTTACAAAAAAATTTTTTTATTATAACTCATGTGAAGTTTTTTTAGAGCATACATGGGTAGATCATTTTTGAAGGCCGCCGACGCCTCCCCCAAGTTTTTTTCTAAATTAAAGTTAATACAATCTCCCTGAGGCTAAAACTTTTATCAGTGTGGCCAAAACTACCTCCCGGAGGTTGAAACTTGATTTTATTCCCTAATTTTCCGAAAATTTTGTGAGCCAACCCCTCCTCTCGGGCTGAATGAGTTGTGCATTTTCCCATATATGTTTCCAAGTAACTTGTAGAAATGGGCTTGGCAGTGTGGGGAGTAGACGACAAAGCGATGCTCAGTCCAGTAGAAATTTATTTTTCCTCACGAGGCCAATGGTAATCTTCGAATACTATGGATTTTTTCACGAAGCCAAGAATAAATATTTCATTTCATAATTCAAAAACTCTGATATTGGCAAAAAAAAAGGACAAACATTGAATGCAAAAAATCGAACTTTTTTCTAAAAAATATGCTTTATAGCCCATCCACGGGATAGGTTTAACTAGCGCGGCAATGGTAGATCGTAGAGACTCAACGTGCGCTCCATTTTATGAATTATTCTAGTTTTTATTTAGTATAGTTTTTGTTTACATCTATTCCATTGGTTTTAAGACTTTCTGTAAATCAATAAAAAAAGAAATATGTCATTAAATGGGGCTCTCATGGAAGGCGCATGGGTAGTCGCCGTGATCTACTTTTGTAGCGCAAGTAAAGGCTGTATTTGTATTTTCTTGGGTGATAAATTATAGGTGGCGCCTATTAGGCGCGAAATTGAAAAGAAAAGAGAGAAAAAAATAACAAAAAGCGAAAACGAAATAAATACAAAATTTACAGATTTTTCGAATCTGGAACTCAAAAAACTCAAACTAGTGTAGCTTTGTGAAAAATTTCAGGTGATAGTAAGTTAATATCTATTCATCGATTCTACGGCTCAAAATCCTTTCGAACCAGTAAAAGAAGGAACCAATCTTCAATACGCAAGGCTCGTATAAGATCAGTCGAAGTGATAACAACCAAGGTAATCTTCTAAGTAATCCTCGATATCGAAGGACTCGTCGATATACTTTTCGCCGAGATTCTTGCAAATTTGCTGGACAAGGTCAGCTTTTCGGTCTTCGGGGCTCAGTCGGCGCCATTTCTTTTTGTAGTCGGGGATCAGCAGATCTCGCAACTTTCGGTAGGATATTTCTGTCGCGCGGCAAGAAACTCGTAAATTTCCTGCAAAAGTTTGAATGAAGTTATGAAAAAAGTGCCATTATGAAGTTGAAAAGTGAAATTTTTCATATTTTACAACAGAACATTTTTTTTATTACCCGGGAAGTTTCAAACTAGGAACTAAAATACACAAAAACTCACGAGTTGAAATCATTCCAACATACGGAACATAATATTTTTGCCCTCGCACTTCTCTCACCCACAACTCTTCCACGCCAGTTCTTCGCTTGACCTTCTCCACGATGTCTAATAGCGAGTTGGCTAAAATATCTTGTTGATTACAATCAAAACATTGCTCTTCTGAAAACCAAAGAAGGAAATCGGGAAATTCAAACCATACATAGGATAGTCTCCTGGAAAAGAGGAGGGAAATTTTCAAAAACGAGTGAAGGGGGGTTGGCAAAAATTCAGGGTGCGGGCTGGATAGCGCTAGTCTAATCTTATGAAAAAAATCAAACAATCAAGTACATCAAAAAAATTCATTTTGGAAGCAGGGGGGACTTGGCTTTCGCCAGTCATCACCATGTATGATTAGAACTCGTTGAGCATTTAAAACCGGAATTGAACGCGGCTTTTGGAAAAAAACACAAGGTTCAAGGCAATCATAGATAAAATGTAGAAAAAACTATCCTTGTAAATTTGAAATTATTGAAAAGCTGTCGAAAAAGGTGAATCACGTTTTTTTACAAGCCGGGTATGACTGAATACATCAAAAAGCTTATTTTAAAACGGCAATAAATAATTTTTAAAAAAACGCAAATTCACCCCCATAGTTGATAGTGAAAGATTCTTTGTCTGCCACCGCAAAAACGGGCAAAGAATCGCCGAGGAAAAACCGATGGTTGAAAACCATTTCGTAGTAGGCGTCCACTGCCATCTAAAAGATCAATTGAACAATTTTTTTTTCTTTGACCTTGATTTCAAAACCGTTCGAATGATTTGAAGTCGGTTGAGACGATCGGCGTAAGAAGCCGCCATGGTCTCTGGAATAACTGATTCGGGCGTCTTCAAAACTTCGTGGGTGGCGATAAATTCGAAAAAGTCGACAATAAGTCGAGCCGGCCGCTCCAAATCCGAAGCTTCTTGCTCTTTTCCAAGCTCCAACTGAATCCATCTTATCTAATTTCGAATCGACTCCTACTGAAAACCTTTGGTAGATAATACTTGGCGGCTGGTTCTGGCTTTTTGGTGGCTCCAAAGTGGATCAAAACGTAGCATAAAACGACAGCCGTCTTGACCCCTCCGCCAACTTTCGACGTCCAAGCGAATAAAAGCTCGAAAATTTTGTCGATACCTGCAATCGAGGAAATCTTCCAGATGTCTCTGACAAGGAGCTTCTAGTACCTCTCACACCGCTGATATACTCGGCAATCAAAGGAAGCTTCGACATCTTCGCTATTCTCTCGGCAACCGTAGAAGTCTTTTCGAAATAGGAGTCACACGCCTTCTGAATCGACTCGTGCAGCGGGTTGACGACGTCGGCGGCGGTTCTGACTCCGGCACGTGTTGACGCTTCGTCGTAGGTCTTCAGAAGACGTTGACGACGAATATGGCACAGGACTTCGCAGGGAAGCCAGGCGAACGATAGGCAGCGAAAATCTCTGGACTGCATTGCGTCTTCTGCAAGGAGGACTTCAGCATTGAAGAAATTTGAACAGCCAACTTAGTTCGAGGCTTCTGACCTTAACGCTTCAATACATAGCCAACAAAAGATCCAACCATGATCTTATTTTTCCAAACATTGAAAGAGCTTCTCAGCCTTATTAGAGCTCATCTAAAAGAGTGGAGCAGCTTCCAATAAAATTGATGAGCCCTAATCAGAAGTGCCGCAGCCAGCTGCTATTGAGCCTTGTTACGTTGTAGAAATTTTCACTCGCCATAGCAAACACGGTAATAGGCGATCGCTTTGGCCTGGACCCATTTATCGTCGACTTGGTTGCAATTTCGCGACAACACCGACGGCAAATCGACGTGAGACTCGTCCGTTTCCTCCGACGTCGAAGCTTTGTACCCGCCGAACTCCTTAGAAACATTTTGCGATTGAGAAAAGACAAAGGTCGAGAGTACTTCAAAAAAGGATTTCCGGTATTTCGAGTATAACTGAGCCATTTCCTGTCGTATGATGTGATCCGTGTTGAACATTGAGCGGTCCTCGTTGTCGTTTTGCTGCATTCGATTGGCAATGTCCAACCAACGGGAGGAGAAGATTTCGGCTTCCGTTTTGATTCCGTAGTAGTTCATCAGGTGCTGAAAGAACTTCTGAAGTGATTTTCATAGAAAAATCGCAAAAAGGGCAATAAAAAAAAACAGAAAGTAACGGAAAAATTAGAAGAAAGGAATACGATTGATTTTTTTCTAACTAGGGAACGTTTTTTACCCCCCGGTTGAACTTTTGCTGAAACTTTGCTGAAGGGTACTTTAGGTCCCCCTGATTCCAGAAAAGAAAGAAATTTTCTCGCAACATATCTCGTTTTCGAGTTAGGACCCCTCAAAAGCCCGAAATAGCGCTTTTTTGGCTCAATTAGCTAATTTTGCACGCTTTGAAGCTTTATAACTCGGAAACAAGATCTATTGCGAGAAATTTTTTTTTTGATCTGCAATCAGAGGGCCCTAAAAGTACACTTCAGCAATGTTTCAGCAAAAGTTCAAACGGGATGGGGGAATGTTTCCTGGTAAGTTGAAGATTTTGAAGACTCTCACTTCAATCTTACTTTTACCTAGTCTCAAATCAAGTTCCTATACTCCTTTTTCAAACTCCGACCCTAAGCTGAGCCTCATAAGCCGAATATTCAGTTCTAGCTGTCGTAATATAGTTGCGCCACGCGTCATTGTCGTCCCCAATGATTGTCTTGTCCATTTCAACTGGAAAGAGATCCTTCACCGGATTCTCGACGACAAGTTGCAATTGCTTCATGATTCTAAAACTCCTTTATTTGCTCTTGAACTTTCCCCGTTGCTCACCGAAACACGACCCCGTTCAAACCCATACTTCTATAGATAACCAGGGAATCCGAAGAGGACGGATAGAAGTCCGGGAAGCGTTCCGGTCGCTCCGGCGGTCCTTAATATAATTCTAACTTTATAGGAATTCTGCCTCTGAGCCTGATCTTAAAAATTTGGAAATATAACACAATTTGGAAGCTCATCAGTAAGTTTCAAAGGTTCTATAGTCTGTTCAGATTTTGAATGTCAAGTGCAATGACGTCATTCGAAAACGCTCTGTGGATGGCTCGCTCTCTGATTGGTTTATCGCGCCATTAGGGGGCGGGGCTTCAGCGACGACTTGACATTCAAAATCTGAACAGACTATATCTCTTTTATGATGGATTTTTTTCGAGTCCAAGCTCCTCCAAACTCACTTCCAGCTTCCCATTTCTGCGACGCGTTCTCAGCGGGAATGCCGCTTTTCGGGAAATTGAGCGCCTTCTCAATCTTTTTGGCCAGTTGAACGGCAACCTTCAACGCCATTTTTTTATGATTAGAACTATTTTCCAGACTTTCGAGGTGACGCCGTACTGATCTGATTGATGAAGATGATTCGAAGAGTGAACGCCAACCTTGTCCAAAAGAACATACTCTGTGAAACATTCGAGCATTTTAGCGTCCTAAACTTTTTAAAAATTTTTCTCCTCGTGTTTTCTATCACCAAATCGTTGTGATTGACAGTTTCGAGCTTCTTTTCATTGACGTACTCTTCCGGCTCTTCGTTCCTCTCCAGTAGCAAATCCTGATCCCAAATCACTGAGTATTCGTCTCCGTCGAGGTCAGAGCCTATGAAAACATGGAGGCGTGCTTACAGAAGTTCAGAGATTTTCAGTAAAACAATAAAAAGTCAGAGAAATGAAGATAAAACAAAAGCGGCTCAATTTAATATTTTTCTCGTTCAGTTTAAATGAAGAGCCTTCAAAGCTCAATTTCAAAAGAACTCTATCAACTTTGGATAAAATGGCCCTACCAGCCATTTCATCCGGATGAGGCCTCGAGCCATTCTGCGGGAAAACGACGACGTCAACCAAGTGCCGGAGCTCCGGGATGTCGACGGCCTCGAAGATCCTGACGTCTCCAGCACTGATGCACGGATTCTTCGTGATCAGCACCGTTCCTGAAACATTACGATAAGAAAAGATTGTTTCTTCGCTGAAAACCCGAAACAACAGTGGTTTTGGCGCGTTTCGGCACGATACGGTAGTTGACATCATTGGTGTACTGTACGAACACCTGACCCTGCTGTAGTTTTTTCGTTTCATCGGAAACTCCAAGCATCGAACGGCCCAGATGCGTTGGGATCGAAATTTTGGCCTTTTTCATTAGGCGCCCTGAACGTTGCCGCTTTTGTGATACTCGGTTTTGAAATGATTTTTGAATAGAAATACGCCAATTTTCTAGGATATACGCAACAAGAAAATTTAATAAGATCATCTTTTTGAAGTTTCCATCAATTTTTTAAGTTATATTAAAGGCTGGACCTCCAAAAACTTTTCAGCTTCCGATTTTCAAAGAACTGATGATTTTGAAGATATCGGTGAATAACATCACGACAGACTGACTTAATAAAGATGGGTAAAATAAATCAAAAGGGATATTAACGGAGAATAGGAGCGGCAGAGTACCTTTTGATTTTGAGAACAGACTTGTCAGTGATTTTATGTAAATCGGACTTTTGATTGCATATTTTTTTCTTGATTCAAGAAATCTCGAGTGACCGAGGTGGACAAATTTTAATGCCGTGTTCAATTTGATTCCGCGAAATGCAAAATATTCGTTAGAGAAAGGAAAAGATCACTAAATTTTGGAGAGTCAGAGATCATTTTGCATTTCGCGGGATCAAATTGAACACGGCATAAAAACCCGTGAAAAAAATGCTAAGGCTTTGAACTGAATTAACTATCGCATGATATTTATCATTTTTTTCAAACCAATCGTGACTCTGGCGTCAGCAAGAAGGAGAGATCGGAAAAACGGCTCCTGAATGACTGGAACCTGTGCATCGCGAACACTCGAAAGAGACAAAAGTCGTGGTTGTTCCTTGAAAGTTCACTTTCATTCGAGAGTTATCAAGTCTGCTCAACCGATAAACGATCAAAGGCAACGTCTCCGTCCAATAGAGAACGAGCACACGTTTTCAAGTCGAGGTCCAGCAGCTCCAAAACTCGATTCCAAACTCTTTCGTGGCAGGCCTCCGACTGCATTTCAGAAACCTGAAAAAGGCAAGAATCGTGTGAAAATAGGTCGCGGTGGTACAGTATCGTCAGAAAAAAAAACTTTTACCCGCAGTTTCCTTGTATGGAGCTGAGCTGAATCTTTCTGAAACTCTCTGAGCTGCTTTTTCGCTACTGAGAATTAAAGTTCCACCATAGGGTTTTAATGAAAAATCATCACAGCCACCGAAACTTCTAGAAAAACTTATTTCTCTACTAGAAAGTTAGAAGCGGCATACCTCAGTTGGTAAGACTCATTTCTAACGTGGGTCGTAGGTTCGAGTCCCCCCTCGTTTTAAACCATCAAAAAAAGGGCAAAGGCTTCTTTTTCCCCTATCAAGCGCGGCTTCTTTTTCGAAGCTTGCCAGTTTCCACCCAACCTGATCAAGAAGGTTGATGAAAGGCCGGCAAAGATTGACCTTTGTCGGCGTCGAATACTTGACCACTTCGATGTTTTTCGAGTCCGACTCGAACCTTCAAATGATTAGTGGGTCTGATTTTTTCGGTTAAAATCCTACTTGTTCTGACTCTTGCGAAAAACACAATTAACTTTTTCATCATTTGTGAACAAGCTCATGTCCACTTGCAACGAAAGCATTCCTTTATAGCCGCGGAATCGGATCTGAAAATTGACTTTTCTTTTTTCAAAGTCGCATGTGAAATGGCTCTGAACGCGTCGCGGTTGCGGTGTGGGACATAAGAGTCTCGAAAAAGTTTTTTAAAGGGCGAAACAAATTTTTTTTTCACGCGGCACCTGGAAGCCTGAAGGAGCTCTGTAGTTTTTCGAAGCCCGAAAGAGCTTTTTCATGAGTTCTTGCGCGAAATCTATGCTGATTGCGCCGACGCCATCCGTAAAGTTATATTCCTTCCTTAAAATAATAGTGACGTTGGATATGATTTTGAAGCCAACCCATCAACGACTTTAGTCACGTCTGCGATCTCGATAAAGTTCTCTGGTTTAAGAATTACACCTTCCTGAAAAAAAAATGATGTCATTTTTGAGCTCTCAGAGAGAAAAAAAATCGGGTATAGCTGATTCACGGTTGGCTTGAGTCTTCGAAAAAATGGTCCTGACACGATAATGCACGAGACAGCGCCTGGCTCGTGGAGAGCGCAGACAGTACATGCCTCCCAAGCTGGCCGTGAATCAGCTATAGGAAAAATTTAATATTGAGTGAAACTGGACCCTCGTCTGCGTGAAACACTGTCCAAGGCGAGCCATGACTTGGTTGATATTTTTGCACTTGTCGAATTTTCCCAACTCTTGGCGAACCCTCTGGATCTTCAGACCGTACAATGGCAGGTTCAGGCCTCGTCTTTCATATTCATCTCGTTCTTTTTTCGAGAATTTTTCGTAGAAATAGGCTCCATGATCCCTCATCTGTGACGACGACGCGCCGAGGAACCCGTATTCCTTGTCTGAAAAAACGCAAGACTTAAAAATGTTCTGCGAGGCGAACCTGCGACCCAAAAACCGTGGGCAAAATATTTTTCCAGGGTTGACTTGATGCGGTTTCCACTCAAGTGCGAGTTGGATAACTTCAACATGTCGTCATCACTGAAAAATAGAATTTTGAAAAAAAAAACGAAAATTGAAGAAGTTTTGAGAAAATTTGAGAAACAATAAAATTATTTCATCTATGAAAAAAATACACTTATTGCTTCGAAAATTTCTTTGCCAAGAATAATTTTTAAAATTACATCGGTGCCATTCATCGAACAGATCGACCTTTCTCCTTTTAAAAACATTTTCAAACCGAAAAATGACTCGAACGATGCGAGTCGTGTCCTTTGTATGATTTCGAAGCACTCGGTTGCTGAGAACGCTTTCTGGGACGCAAGGAATAATTCTCGTCGGTGTCAAAATAACCTGAAGAAAGTTTCGAATTTTTTTTTTCGACCTTTAAGTTCAGAAAATTAAACCTACAAGGACAAGTAAAGGAGCCGATAAGTCCGAGAGGAAGAGTTGACTTACAAAAACTTTGAAAAATGAGGAATGAGACCAAATTTTGACTACAGATCGTGTTGGCGAAATTAAAACTCAACCTAAGGGAAATGATTCTAACTTTAATTTGAGTAAACTCAACAAATAACTGTTTATTATGATGATTACTATTCAGAAAAGAATCTAGTTAGAGAAAAACCTGCGGAAACATGAAAAAAAGCCAAAGACCTCTAAAATAAGAGAAGGGATTTGCGCTGAATTATAGCTGATTAACGGCTGGCTTGAGCCATCGAAAAAATGGTCCTGATACGATAATGCACGAGACAGCGCCTGGCTCGTGGAGAGCGCAGACAGGACACGCCGCCTTAGCGTTTTAATCTGGCCGTGAATCAGCTATAAAACGCCCGAGCTTAAATAATTAGATTATTTCATTATTTTTTATTTCACAGCTTTTTTTCCACTCTACTAACCTTCCGTATTTTGATCATGTCGTCCATTCCGGCCTGAGTCGTATATCTCTTCGTTTTTTCCTCTTTCAGGCCTTCCCGACTGAATTTTTCAAATTCACTTCGCAGCGTCGAGCAAATATCCCGTATATTTCGACGTTCGTCAATCATTTTCACCAGAGATTCCATCGTATATTCGCAAGCCTTGAAAATTAATTTCTTTCAAAAACGTTCAAATGAAAACCCGATCATTTTTCTCGAAGAGATTCACGATCAAGCTCAGGAAGTTTATCCACGACGATCGCTCCGTGAGCAGCAAATACTTGATGGAGCCGCTTCTCAAAAAAAACTTTATTAAAACTGTTTTTCATTTTTAACAGCAAGCCAAAATTCTTCCGCGAATAAAATATTGAAAAAATCGAAAGATCGCAAGCTTGAAATAAAACTCTGACGTATACAATATTGGCACTTGAAATTTCACGAAACGACACTCCGCTGCGTGGCCTTGTGGACGTGAAGCGTCATTGCCTTTGCGAATCTCGGTCACGTTCTCCCGTTTTATTATTTACCGTTTTCAAAACATTTTCTTCGATAATTCTTTCGTTTTATGGACTTTTTGACAGTTCAATGGAAGAATAAAGTTTTTTCGCAATGATAAAAGTTCGACGAGAGGAAACAAGCCTTTAAAGATATTTAAAACTAGTCTGTTCTTATTCTATAAAATATTTTTGAATGAAAAAAAAATCCTTGAAAACTCGAACAGAAAAAAAAAGATCAACCTTGATAAAATAGCCTCGATGAGATAAACCACCGAGAACCACTTCTGATGGGCCAAATCGTTGTCCTTCTGGCTGTCTGGATGTTTTTTCCTGGCCGCCGCTTTCAACTAAACCCAAACTTCTTTGGACTTTTTCGAAGTCTCCGTACATTGTTTTGAAACTCGCGAAACTCCTCATTCTCGTACAGCATTTCGGTCACTTTGTTACCGGCTTTAGTTGGAACGCCTGTTGGACGCCACGCGAAATAAAAAGGCTCATTTTTCTTAATGAGCGCATTTTTCTCCTGAACAAATCTTCTTTTTTCGAACGATTGACTTAGGAACTTCAGAGTGGTCCCTATAGAGGCTTTTGGAGGGTCCCCTCTAAGGAGGACTTTACGAACCCTATAGAGGCCATTAGAGCTTGCAGAAGTGGTCCCTATAGGAGTTTTCATTGGTTGCCCCTGCTTGTCAATAATTGATATGAACCCTAAGAGAATTTTCATGGGAAAAACTGAATAAATAAGCGTTTTTGAATGAAATTGAACGATCCCTATAGGATCCACTTCAGCTTTAGGGGCTAAGGGGTCAGACCCTAAACCCCTGTAGGGGCCACTCTGGAACTCCGAAGGATGGACAGAGAATCAACACTTATTACAGAACTGCTTCTAAAAAATGAATAACAACCTCGATAGAGCGAATCTCAAAGTCAACGTCGCACCTAGCACGAATCGTAGAAAGCAAAGAATATTCCTGCGTGCCATCCTAGAATATTACTTTATTGAAATGAAATAAAAAAAGCTGAGCTGGCATTGGTGGGAAAAAAATCCTAGCAAAAACTCGAGTCACCCAAATTTTTTTTAAAATTCATAATATCAAAGAAAAATGCGAATGAAAGATTTTATTCCTAATTCTATCAACATGAGAATTGGTTTATTATTCTTGAAATAAACTGTAAACGGGACCTGAGGTTTTTTTTCCCATTTATAACTCAAAACAAGTGCGGCTTTTATTTCTTAAATCTTCCGTCCTTACCTTTTTCTATTCATGTTAAAACTTTTTGCATATACCCAAAAATCCTCAAAATGAACGGCGAAAACGTGACTGTCAGCAAAGGCGTGCACTGGGGCACCGCCGAGGGCTCCGATTCGCCACATTTGCTTGAACTTCTGCTGGTTCCGTTCTTTCTCACTCTGAAATGAAAAAAGCGCAGTTTCTCTGACCCCTTATCTCTCTGGAAAAGAAAAAAAACCGCAAGAAATGTCTGCTTCCGATTTCCCGTACTCACTTCAGTCTCACTGCGGATAGAGGCCGGGTTGATTAGTTCAAAATAAACAACGTGGCGAATCGGATCAAAAGTCACCCTGCGAATGTTGAAACGTCGAACCTGAACAAGAACCTCATGAAAAATTCCTTCTAATATATACCCGAATATCGAAACTGCGGGTGGCACCGTTGCTCAACCAGTCTGCCCACTTAACAAACATCAAATCTTGGATATCATTGAAAACTTCTGCCGTGGTTCTTTTATGACAGTAATGAATTGAATTGTCTCGAGACTGCAAAAAAAAACCGAGAAAATTGACCATTTTGCTAAGAAAACGAACTCGATAATGACAGTGAAATTCCTTGCCGATAATGTTCCCGAAGCTGAATTTTTTGATTGCAAAACTTGTAGAAGATCTGAAACTTTATTTTAAATACGGTTTCCATAAATTCTTAAATTTTTTGATTTTCGTGTTCTCACCTACCTCCAAGTGGAATAGAACAATTTTTTGTCTCTCAAAACGATGGAGTCCACGAAAGATTGAACACTTTTGAGGATTTGATTCAGTAAATCTAATAACTTTGCATGTTCGAGCTGTTTTGCGTTGAAAGTAACCTGAAAATCAAAAATTTCATTTTCATTTTTCATCAAGTTGAACTTCTTTTCAATACGAACCGTGATATTAATTATTTCCACATTGTTCTGTTCATCGGGATAATTTTCAATGTTCTTCACGGCGAAACCGTAACTGCAGGTTCGGAAAACCTAGAAATGTTCATCAAATTAGAGTTTCACGATATAATAATGATATGAAATAACATAAAAAGTGAAATAAGAACATTTGAATTATAATGGAACTGCCACTTTTCCTGAATCTACTTTATTTATACTTACATCACGAACTGAATCTTTGATAACGTCGGTTACAGAGCCATGTGCGTGCGCCAGCTTCAACAGAAGCGAAGCGCACTCCATTTTCGATTGATATCGATTAAACTGAAAAGATCAATGAAACGTAATTTAACTGAAGTTGCCAGTTATAGAATTGAAATACTAGTGTGATACAAGAAAAAAAAATTCCAAAGCCCGAGAAAAAAAATCCTTCGGAACGACAATTGCCGATGAAACGATGGGAACAGCCAAATATCTGAGACATGCAAAAACAAAAGTCGAAAAACGAGATGGCTGATTGATAAAAAGCGAAAAAGTGCAAAGCGACGGCCGCTGCAATATTTTACGGCGACCGAATCTCAAAACATTACTTTCAACGGGGAAATGTGTATTTTTTTGCAATTTCTTGCTGAGCTGTTCGCAAACAACGTTCCTAGGACGGAGGAGTGTGAGAAAAAATGGACTTGTGCTTCGAAATATTTTTCGTGCTTTTGGAAACTATAACACTAATGGCGTGTTCATCGGAAAAACGAAAACTGCTTCAAAACAAAAATTAGTACTTTTTTGATTAGTTAGTACAGTACAAATTAACACGATTTTTCATTTTGAAGCACGTTCCGTTTCTCCGATGAACACGCCATAATTATAACACTAAAGAACCGCGCTCGCATTTTTCTTGACGCGAATATCTCACGCACTCAAAAAAAAAACTTGAAAAGTTCCAAAATGCTAGATCGTTTGAGGGAAAATACAAGACCGATGTGGTAATAACGCAGCACTTTTTCGAAGTCGTCACTTTATCACCAGTGACCATCTAGTAGTTATTCCCAGTGGATCAGTTTTTGAACAGACTGTAGAAAAAAAGTTTTTTTGCTAAAAAAAGATTGATAGCGCTCGTTCAACTGGCCTAGACTTACTTACTTCATTCATTTATGTGAAATTCCATGCTATTATTTTTTTAAAAAAAGATATTCATAATAAATGAGATTAACTTCAATTAAATAATATAAAAAGTAAATAAAAAAATCACTTTATTAACACCGAGCCAATAAGAAACTCAATAAAAAGGGTAAAAAACAATGTTTTCATAAAGACACTGAAAGGAACATTGAATCTATCGATCGACTTCACCAAAAACGATATCCATCGTACCGATCACAGCGACAATATCAGCAATAAGGGACATGTAGCAAATGTCTTGAATAGCAGCAAGATGAGCGAATCCAGGGGCTCTGATGTAACATCTGAGAAAAAAAAATTTGGTTTTTCAGTAAACTTCAAAAAAATAATAATGCTCACCTGTAAGGCTTGCCGGTTCCATCAGCCACTAAATAAACTCCGAACTCTCCTTTCGGGGCTTCGATCGGCACGTAAGTGGCTCCAGGAGGGACTTGGAACCCTTCGGTGAAGAATTTGAAATGATGAATAAGAGATTCCATGGATTCCTGCAAGGAAAGTCGGAGATTTTAAATTACGGAGGAATAATAAAACCTTCATTTCGGCCCGTTTCGGGGCTACAACCTTGTGATCATCGACGCGGACTTCTCCAGAGGGCATTTTGTTCAAACACTGACGGATAATGTTCAGAGACTGTCGCATTTCTTCAACTCGGCACAAGTATCTGAGAAAACGAACTCAAAACTTTACCGACAACTTTTTTTTTCGTTTAGTCTTCAAATGGCTAAAAAAAAAAGTGAAACCTATCATAACAATCGCCTTTCGTTCCGATCGGAACATCAAACTCCACTTGATCATAGGCATCATAAGGCTGAGTTTTTCGAATATCCTGCTTTATCCCAGATCCGCGGACCATTACGCCAGTGAATCCCCAGTTCAAAGCGTCTTTGGCCGAAACAAGACCTGGAAAAAATCCTTCCTTTTTTTTAAAATAAGCTTTTCAACTTGCATTTTTTGCAGAATTTTCATAATAGTTGCGAAAAAGTGGGAATTTATTTTTCAGGGAAACTTTCCCAAAAAAATCATTTACTACATTTTTTTGAACACAACGCTAGAAGCTCTAAGTTCATAGTCTATACTTTGAAAAAAATCTTTCTCGTTACTGTTTCCTACTGTTGAACTATCTTTGAGCGTTAAAAAACTTCAAAGTTTAAAATGATGAGAGAATGAGTTCTCATAAAAATCTCCACCCCATTGCACTTTAGAGTTTCTCTCATCTTCCGAAAACCTTTACCGTTCTACGCGTCTATGAAAACATTCGCTCCCTGCTCTCTTCTGCCTTCCGCGATGAAGAAATTCAAATTCTCTTTCTTATTAAAGAGAAACTTTTTTGCCTCCTTTTCCCTTTTAAAGCTCACCAATATCAACAGTTCTCGCCTTCCAAATCCGATTCTCCGTCAACATATCTTCGAGTTCATCGATTCTTTCAGGAAACTAGACAACTTTAAACAGTTGAAAAGTACAGAAGGAGACTAAAACCTTGACACACCAGTCATAAACGTCATCCATTAGTCCAATCGGCAGATCCCAGGCGACACCGCCGGGTCTGACATAATTGGCGTGCATTCGAGCTCCGGAAACTCGTTCAGAAAACTCGAAAAGTTTTTCACGTTCTTAACTATTCAAAAAATGAGAAAAAAAAAATGAAAGAAAAAACAACCTTCAAACATCCAGAAAAACGGCGTCATTGCACCAATATCCAACGCATGTGTCGTAATTCCCATGATATGATTTTGAATTCGCGTCAACTCACCGAAGAACGCTATAAACATTTTCCCACACAAGTATTTAAATTTTCTGAATTTGAGTTGTACTTCGAATATATTTGGCCCTTGGTGGAATATCTATTCCCAACAGTTTTTCAACGGCCAGAGACCAGGCTTGCTCGTTGCACATCATTGAAACATAGTCGAGACGGTCGAAGTACGGCAAGGCCTTGAAATAATTCAAACTCTAGGTTTTTCATTAGTTTGCACTTGGGTGTAAGTCTTATGTTCGATGAGCTTCTCCGTGGCTCTATGCAGCAATCCAATGTGTGGAATCGCTTCTAAAATGACCTGAAACTGAAAATCATACGCAAGCTGAAGTTTTTCTTCACTTCTCCTTCCAGTTTCAGAACCAAGCGGAGTACGCCATGTGCTGCTGGATGTTGTGGTCCGAAGTTTAAAATCATGTTTTCCAAACTTTTTTCTCTGGAATTTTTTATATTTAACTTTTCACGTTTCCTCTTTGTACCTTTGTTTTGATCCGTAGCTATCGCTCATTACCGGCTCAGAATAGGCCAATTTTTCCATTTTGGACAGTCCTATTTGCTCGTCGTATTCTGTTGTTCGCTCAGACATCCATAACTTCCCCAGAGTTCCACCGGTCTGTAATTTGAATAGCTTAAAATTTTCGTTACAGATTTTATGAAAACTTTGAACTGGCGCTCAAACTTTGCGTCCGGGTACCAAATTGTGTGAGAACTTCGCTGCATGTGTATATCAGGCGCGAACACTCTGGTCAACTGCCTACCCTTTGGAAGGCACTTTTTGAGAAGCATGGTCGCTTCCTGAAAAATGATTTTTCAATATGCGAAATAACTTTCTATGCTATTGACAGAACAAAAAATACTAAATAATCAAATAATTCTCAAATTATAAAAAATTTCCGTGAAATACGAAATTATCTCTGATTCTCCGAAACTCGGTTACTTTTTATTCTTTGACGGCTAATTTTGATTTCGCGGAATCATTTTGAACACGACATTATTTTAAAAAAAACTAGATAGAGAAATCGTTGATCCAAAATTTTGAAGGCACATGTTATATACACCACCTCTCTTCGCTTTGGGACTCACGCGCGAAGCGGGCGCGTCACGGCTCTTTTAATTAAAATTTTTTTTTAATTTCTTTTTTTTTCGGATTTCGCTGTTGAATTTATAATACCGTGTTCAAAGGGATTCAGTGAAATTCGAAATACAAAGAAAAAGATATGCAATTTTTTGAAAAACAAAGATAATTTTGCATTTCGCGAAAGTTTCTTTGGACCCGACATAAACGCGTTTAAACGTTTAAAGGACAAAATCGTTTTTTATACAGTGTCCAAAGTGATTTCGCGAAATCCAAAATAGCCAGCAGAGAAAGAACAAGATAACTAACTATCGTAGAATCAGAGATTATTCCGCATTGCGCGGAAATTAGTTTGAACGCGGCATCACACAAGAACTTTTTCGGATGGTTCGAATACTTCTTCATATATACCGGTTTATTCCTCTGTCGTGGATTAACGTCACGCATTCTTTTTTTTACATTTTTTTTTATGCGTTATTTTTTGTAGTTTTATTCACAACCAATTACAATAATAGGCTAGGGACGTCATCTAAAAAGATATATACTGGTTCGCCATAAAGAGCGGAAACGGTCCATTACTTGAAGTCTCGTCTGTTTAAATTTTTTTCTGCTCCTTCCTCTGGCTAGCGCGCGTATTTTAAAAGTTCAACACGATGATTCAGAATCTGAGCAGTGCGCCGTCTCCAGTTGTGGGTTTCCATCATTTTTACTTTCTTCTCCGTCGCGACAGTTCCTTTTCTTTTTCTCCGAAAATTTTTTGTTAACGGACTTATTTGATATATATTTTGCTTCATTTATATATTTGAATATTTGAATATTTATTTCACTCTAATACATAAAATGAAATGAGCTACAAAGAAAGAGGCAAAGTTTGAGCGAGAATTGTGTGGGAGTAAAATGAGCATAGGTTTTAATACGCCCTCACGAGCGAATTCACCGGTATAGGGAATAGAACACGTAGAAGGGTTTTTGATCACAGTAGACGTAAGGGAATGTTTGAAAAGAGTTCTTCGTTGCTTAGCGAGTCGAGAAACTTTCTAAAACGGGTGGTAGACGTGTTAGGGTTGAATTTATATGAATTCCTGTAAATATGGTTCAACCGACCACGTTTAAGATTAATTCTCGTAAGTTAAAGTGAACAAAGAAAAGAAAAGAGAAGAGAGGGAGCTCATCATTTTTCCAATGTCATCCGTAACTGCACGATGCGAAAATCCATCTCAAGAAATAATGCATAAATCGTAAAGTCTATCGAAATAAATCGACAAACGAGCAGCAAATAATTTTGTTTAGCCCATATACACACCCATTTTTCAATCCCTAATTTAATTTTTTTAACTTAGTAAAATTAGAACGCTTTTTTTCCGGTTTATTAATCTCGTCAAACAATTTTTGGTATTCTTTTTTTGAAAATATTTATACGAATCCTCCTTTGAACCTTTCTGGGTATAATCCGACGTTACCAACATGTTTGATTTTCAGCATAAAAGTATAATCATTCGATCCGTCTCGTCGAGATACGTACGAATATCATAAAATTATTCGGCGCTGACTACTAAGAAAAATTTTAAGATGAACTTTATTAGTTTTCAATCAGGTAAGTATTCTGAGGAATAGAAGTTTTTGCTTTTTCTTTTAATGAATTACTTAAAAAAATAGGCTTAGTTTTAAGGCTTCACACGGAGGCGGAGCGCGCATAGCGCGAAGCCGACTGTGGCTCGCTTCGAAAAAACTGAGCCACAGCGAACAATTCGTCAAATAAATGAAAAACTTGACATAAAAAGCATGAAGTTTCAAAACGTGGACACTAAAACACTATCAGGTAGCTCTAAACGATTTGCAAACTTGATACGCGTAGCGAAAAAATCTGTAAAATGTATTTCCCAAAAACAAAAGAAAGAAAAAATATTAAAGGAGCATACTGTGCGTAAGCGCGGGCTTCGACGCGGTCGCTTATTTTTACTGTGATTTCTCATCTTTTTTTGCATTGTTTTTTTCGAATAATTTTTCAAATTTTTTTCCTATTTTTAAAAGATTTTTTTCTTCTCATGGCGTAGTAGCGATAGTTGAATTGAATCAGCGTCGAAAAATGCAGCGAAATTTTTGAAATTTTTTTTTGGTTGTTGCACACCATAAAGTTATTTCTTCTTACAAGCGCCGGTAATTATCACCCATTATATGTGAACACTTCGCAATAGGGCGCACTTGGTTTTACGCATATTTCGAGGAAATCCAAATTATTTCTATCTCACCTCGCTTTTTCTGATGCCGTGTTCAAAGTAATTTCCGCGAAATTCAAAATAGCCGTCAGAGAAAGAGAAAGATAACTAAATTTTGGAGGGTCAGAGACCATTTTGCATTTCGCGGAAATTACTTTGAACACGGCATGAGTTTTTCATTTGTTTTTATGATTTATAATTAAATTACAGGAGGGTACGTCCACTTCATGAACTTTGAAATAAAAAAAATATTCTGTGGCACGTGCTAAAGCTCGAAGATGTCGTAGCAAACGAATTTTTGCGGCACCTAGATGATCGAGATCAATTTTGCCACAAGTTTCGAGCAGAGAGAGTCTCAAAATTACTCAAAAAACTGGTGTGTACTTTTACAGGGCTTACACTGAACTTTCACACAAAATTTAGAGTAAACTGGATAACAGTCAAAAAAAAAGCGAGATCCCGTTTTATATGTTTAAAATTAGGTAAACTGTTTGAAAAAAATCGAACGAACATTCTATTGAACGTTAACATTGACGACTATATTCTATATATTTAAGTGATTTTTTTTTTAAACTTGCGATCAAAAATTTTTTGGAACATGTTCTAGTATTTTGTGCCAATAAAGATAACTGCCGAGTCTTGCGCGAGAGAAATTCGCTCTGACGGTACATTTGACGAACTCGCAATGTGCTCAGCCGACCTGGTCGAATTCGATGATCACGGCATAGAACAGAAGCATATTGAGGAAGTATGGTCAGCACTGAGCACATCAGCGAACGTCCATCAAAGTACCAAAGTAAAACGATGTTCTCGCACTCCTCTCGCTTTTATCACGCAATGAAAACTTCCAAAATTCGAGACTCGCGCGGTGACAGAGCGATTTTTGCGAGTTAGTCAATATACCGCCAGCAATATCGTTTTCATTTCGGCAGTTATTAATAACGATGACCAGGCTTGTGCGTCAGGCCGAGCGCCCGGACTTAGGGCCGCATTTTTGACGAAAGGTTTGCGCAGGCTTCTGTTGTAAAAAAGCTTGATATTCGACTTGGAGAAAATTTGAGCCCGTTCTTCTTTATTTGAGACCTCCCTAAGGCCAAACCGTGCTTAGAAAATGGCGAAGGGTCGATAGTCTTACGGGCAGGTTCCCGTATAACCATGATGGTGACTACACGGTCTCATTGAAAATTTTTTCGATTTTGGGAATTTTTTACGCGAACGGTATCTCCTTTCCTTTCATCCCAGTAGGTATTCCGCACCCTGTTATTTAATTATAAATCATAAAAACAAATGAAAAACTCAGAAAAAGCGAGGTGAGATAGAAATAATTTGGAATTCCTCGAAATATGCGTAAAACCAAGTGCGCCCTATTGCGAAGTGTTCACATATAATGGGTGATAATTACCGGCGCTTTTCTTCTTACTAGCGCCAAATAATTTTATGATATTCGTACGTATCTCGACGAGACGGATCGAATGGTTATACTTTTATGCTGAAAATCGAACATGTTGGTAAGGTCGGATTATTCCCCTTTCTGTGTCAAGTGCCGTGTTTAAAGATATTCCGTCAATTTGGTAATAAATGAGAGTAAAAAATATAACTTTTTTTTTTTGAAGAGAGAAATAATTTTGTGTTACGCGAATTTGCTTGAAAATGAAACTATTTTTCACCGTTCAGTTTTTTTTTTTCAATGAAATGATATATGATTTTCAGCAATATATTTTTGCACCATGTAGATGTATTAAGTTGTGCCTGTCTCAAATTGAAAAAAATAAAATTTTGGTTTTTGTCAAAATAGATGAGTTTGCGCAAAAAAATTACTAATATGAGCAATCGTTGCTACGACAACAGCGAACTTTTTCATTTCTGCATTTTTCTAAATACCTACTCTGCTTTTTCAATTTTATTTTTCAATAAATTAGACAGGACAGTCGATGCATTTAAACTGCTTCCTGTCGTTATAATTTGTTTCGATGAAGTTCAAAATTAAAATTTAAAAAAACCAGCTTATCCCGTTTTTTTTTTGTCAAAATGTGTTTTTCGCTGTCTCTTTCGCAGTTTTGGCAGAGCCGGAGGGCAAAAAAAAAATCTGTTTTCACTAGCGCAACGCCCTATGGACTTCAGACTCTTTGAAATGCCTCAGGTCGCGATACCTTTTCACGAATCGCGTCTGTATATAGCTAATATGTTTGTAGTTTAATGCGATCGTTATAAATCCATTTCCCTGAAATTCGAGACGTGGCTATTTTTGGCTTTATAACTCTCAATTTTAAAACTTGAGATGGCTCGTACCCAGAGAAAAGTTCTCCACGTTGAGAAAGACGACTCCGAGCCGAAACCGCGAAAAGTTCAGGAAGTTTTCTCCCAGTCTTTCAAGTTAAGAGCAATTTTTTGAATTTTAGAAGAAAAATAAACGTCCGTTGAAAAGAGATTTGCCTCAAGTCAGTGAGATCAAAGCCTTGGACGAGCAAATCAAGAAAGATGTCATCAGTGATCAAGAGCTGGAAAAAGTTCAAAGCCAAAAAAGTTGAAAATAAAAGTCAGCTTCAGACGGCCAATAAGCGCAACCATAAGAAGACTTTTCCCAGAGATAGTTCACAATGCGCTAGCGAGCAAATAAAGAAGGACGTTGATTTGCTCGTGAAGAAGTCCGACAAGGAACGGAAAGTGAGTGTTTAAAAGAAACATTTAAAAATTTTTTTTGAATTTTAGAAACGAAAAAAAAAGAGTTTGGCGAGTGATGCAAAAGAAGTTGAAAAACTTATTGATGTTTCGAAACAAGAAGACCACGATGTATGAAAAATGAACGAAAAAAATTATTACTTCATGTTCAGATGCCTAAAACGAAGCAGCAACAATTGAAAAGAGCTAGGGCAAAAAGTCAGACGATTTTAAGCGAAAAATTGAAATGCGTGCCAGCTGCCCATAAGCAGGAGAAGAACGTTCGTTACTTCGTCTGATAAAAAAAAGAATACTGAACGAATTCAGACTACTCAGAAGATTAGCCCACAACAAAAAGAAGTCCCAAAAGCTGCTTTGAAAGGTTTAAATGGCCAGGCGAAGAACAATAAGACAAATATTAAATCTAAATCACAAACGGTTTGTTTCCATGCAAAAAATCTTATTAATTAAATTTTTAAGGTTCCCAAAACGAAATCTAAGATCTTTTTAGAGTTAAATAAAAGATCGAAGATCGAGGAAAAAATTCGAAATTATCCAAAAGTTATCGCACAGGAATTGGAAGAAGATGTTAATGTTAGTTTGAATTTGACTATTCCAAAAAATATTGTAAATTTTTTCAAGGTGAGTAACCGTATCCTCGACAAAGTTGGCTCATTCCGTCTTGTAACGAGAAGAATCGACGCGGTGAGGGGAGTTCTGTTGATCATGACCCCGACGGCCAAAAATCTCTGTTGTAGTTCATTTGGCAGCATAACTAAAGGTTGAAAAGGTGGAAACAAAAGCCTCATTCGAAAATTATGTTCAGGAATGCATATGATTCTGTCAAGAAGTTCGGACAACGGCGTAGGTACTTCAGTTGTCGTCATTGAAGTCGATAAACTCAAGCTTTTGGTACGAATTTAGAATCTTTCATTCTTTACTTGGAGAGATAATCTGCATTTTAGTCGTTTTTTGGAGCTTTTCTGACTGAAAAAGAATTTGGTTTTTTGAGGTCGTTCTGAATATCAAAGGGATGAAAGCGCAGACGAATCTCATCGTCACACACGAGAACTATTTCCTTCGCTGCGATCCGGTCGACAAGCTGATTGATTATTACAGTACTGAAGTTGTTTTGAATGAAAATGAACTCCTTCAAGTGTCGAAAAACCTTGATCAGAGCGGAATGATCACAGAAATCGAAGGTTTCAGATGAAACTTCGAAAGCTGAGAAATAATGAGATTTTTCAAGGGAAGAAGACGGCCGCTCCAGTGAAGGTAGACACGGTGGAAGACCTGTTGGAGAAGTTCAATGCTATTCGGATTTCAGGTCATTCTTTTTTTTCTTAAATGAAAAAGTAACGAAAAAGTTTATTTAGAAACTTTTTGGCTCTAGACAATCTTTAAAAAAAACATAAAGTCAGAGTTGGCTCTTTTTCAAATACTTGAAACGTATCTTTTGAAGTTAAAAGAAAACTGAGAGATTAGTTGAGAAAGTTAAAATATCCTAAAAAGAAGAAAAAAGTTCTATTTTTCAACTGGACTCACTAGGAAACGCTTTTTACCTTTTTTTACGGGGGTAAAACGTTTCCTGGTCAAGTTTCTGAAAAAAATCAGTTTGAAAAAATGTTTGCATCTTCAGCTTATAGTCAAAAGTTCAACTTGGAAATTAACTATTTCGAGTTTCAGACGCTGATCCAAGAATCCCTGAGATTGTTGGGTCCGGTTTGAACGGGAAACAGCTCAAAGCCGTGGAAATGGCGATGAATCCGAAGAGAAGATTCACGTGTATCCAGGCACTAAAATTATTCATCTCTTCCCATTATCAAAGTTTTCAGGGACCACCAGGAACTGGAAAGACCCGAACTTTGGCCGAGTTGATCTCAGTGCTTTACAGGCGGAAAGAAAAGGTTTGAGAACAACAAAATATATTTAAAAGGTCATTTTCAGGTTCTCGTTTGCGCGCCATCAAACGTAGCCGTTGATAATATCTTTCAAGCCACGAAAAAAAGATTCGATGAGCTGGGAATCGGATACAACAAATCGGTTCTAGGTAAAAAAAAAATGAGAAAAAAAAAATTATATATTACAATAGAACTTCTGAAACCTTTCAAATCGGTCTAGCTTTTTTTTTCAAGATTCTTCAAACATCTTCTCGATCTTTCTTGGCTCTGAAAATAGCTTCAATATTTTTCTAGCATCCTCAAATTTGAGAATTTTCCTTTGACAGAACAAGACGATTCTATTCTTTCAGACATTGGAAATGCGGACTCATTGGAAGAGGAAATCAAGAAACATCCCGAATTCAGATATGTTTTGGATATGGTAATCACAATTTATTTTTTTCTCGTGAAATATAACTTTACCCCTCAGAGAGCCCAGCAAAGATGCCTTCCTTCGCGGGAAAGAAGAAGTTACGATACCCTGGAGAAGAATTGTCGCGCCATTTATAATAAATTGCAAACGGTTAGGTTTTTCAAGAGAAAAAAAAACGTCAAAATTGAAGCGTTTAATCAAAGTTTTGTTGGGAAAAAATTCATTCTTATCTTAGTTTTCTGGAGTTTTGTTTTTTTCTAAAACTTAAAAAAATTTTTTTTGCGAACTTTCACAGCTACAGCAAATTGATAGAATAATTTTTTGAACGAATTTATTTTTTTCATGCACTTCACACATAACTTTGTACTAATCGGTTTTGTTTTTTTCAAATTTCTATCATTTAAGCTATTTTTTTTCAACTAACACCTTTTTTCCAGAGATTTGCCAGTGAAATCAAGGTCTTTTTCTCAACACTCGGCTCCAGTTTGATTAAGAAGCTCATCGAGCTCAGTCAGTTCAGTCCGGAGTTGATCATTATTGGTTCGATGTTCCGAATTAGGAAAATGTGAAGCTCGAAAGTACTTTAGATGAAGCTTCGCAAACGACTGAAGCCTCGGTTTGGCCTGTCTTGCATTTTGGTAAACGTTGTGTACTGGCCGGTGATCATAAGCAACTTCCAGCGGTTATTCGAACCGAAATGTGAGAGAATTTTATATTGCAGACTGTTTAAAAGTTTAATTTTGATTTCTTGAGAGTTTTTTGGATATTTTCTACGAGTAGAGAATCTTGTTTTTTTTTTCCCTGTAAAAAGGTCAACTCGAAGTTTTAGTGGAATTCGGACTCGGTAGATTGTGTCATTTTTTCTTTTTCAGTGTCACTTTTCACGTCTTTTCTGTCTTAATTCTGCCTTTTTTTCTCGTTTCGAACTTTCCAGTTTGATATCAACTTCTTCACTGCTGAAAAAAAAACTTGAAATTTATGCGTCTCCTTAATTTTTTTGGAATCGTATAATTTAAACTTTAAACTATGATTTTCAAGTGCCGAAAAAGAGCAGTTCAACATTTCGTTGATGGAAAGGCTGCTGAAGGAAGGCGTCAGCGATCATCACATTCTTTTGGAAGTTCAGCACCGGATGAACGCCTCGATCATGCTCTGGTCGTCGCAGATCTTCTACCAATCTCAACTCGTCGCTCACGAATCTGTCAGAGGCCGCAGCTTGAAGTCCGTCTTGGTCAAAAGATGAAAAAAAAATTATGAAAATTCCAGAAGTATTCTGAAGTCTGAGCACCATACCAACAAGCTTTTCCACCCGATAATTCTCCTTGATACGGAGCTCTCCGAAGCGCGGTCATATAGAGAGAACTTTGGCGATTCTTCAAGCTTCAATAGAGGCATTTGCAAAAAAAAAATTGAAAAAATTCGGATTATTTTCCAGGCGAAATTGTTCTTGTCAAAAAGTATGTACAAAAATTGATGGTTGCGGGTGTTGAGAATGAGAAAATTGCCATCATTACCCCTTATAATGGCCAGGTAAGCTTGAAAAGCGGTTTTTTTTAACAGATATGTCGAGAAAATTGAAAAGATGGCTTTTTTTTTGAGTTTTTTGTTGATTATGTTCTCTCAGTCCCATCATGTACGTTCAAGTTCAGAAACGCGAGCTGGCCATCGCACTGAAAAGAGCGAATATTGAGATTGGCGTTTTCACCGTGGACGAGTTCCAAGGTCAAGAACGAGAAGTTGTTGTCTTCTCATTCGTCAAGAACAACCGTATCAAAAAAAAAATGTTATTGTCTATTTTGATGTTTTCCAGCCAAATCAATCGGATTTCTGAAAGAAACGCGTCGTGGGAATGTTGCCGTTACCCGCGCAAAGCTTCAATTCGCTTTGGTTGCCTCTTCTCGGATGCTTTTGAAGCACAAGCATTTCAAAGCCCTCTATAAGTTCGTTTTTTGTAAAAAATGTTTCAAAATAGTCGATCATTGAAAGTTATTTTGCAGCACGATCAAAAATCAGGACGGAGTTTTGAATCCGGACGACCACTTGAAATGAATTTCTTATTGAAAATATTTGACGTATATGTTTATTTTGCACATTTTCCACTCACTTCTTTCTGACTGTCATCCCGATCTCTCATTGATATATTTTTCAGACTTTTTTCATACTGATTGATCGTGTTTTTAACCAAAATGCTAGTTTACTCAACTTTTTTTGTACAAAAAAACTTGTCACATTATTCAGATATTTTGATCATATTTTTTTATTGAATTGAAGGAAGAAAAAAATATTTTTTTGATTAGCAAAGCTTTTTTTAATTTTTCTCAAAATTACATTACAATTTTTTTGCTGGGAAGAATCGGGTGGTATGAAGAAAGGCAGCTATTTTTCAAACGGCGATTTTCGGTGGTATGAAAAAAAAGACTGCGAAATTTCAAACGGCGACTTTTCCGATTTTTTCGTAACGCTAGGGAACTTTCCGACGGCCACCTTTCCGACGGATCCCTTTCCGACTTTTTTCCTTTATATTTTTCGGTTTATAAGACATCTATTTACTCCCTATGTCTTTGTGTTGTAATCATGAACCAACTACCTACTTTATATAGGAAGATTTAAAACGAAGATTTTTATCGAGAAAAAAAGTCGCAAAAAGATTCGTCGGAAAGGTGGCCGTCGGAAAGTTCCCTAGCGATATGAAAAAATCGGAAAAGTCGCCGTTTGAATTTTAGCTGGTCTTTTTTTCATACCACCCGATTTTCCCGATTTTTTTCATATCGCTAGCGAACTTTCCGACGGTGAAAATTCCGAAGAACCCCTTTCCGACTTTTTTCTCTCATTTTTGGCGGTTTATAAACATCTATTAACACTTTTTTCCTATTTATCTGTGTTTCATTCATAAATCAACCACCTACTTTATATAGGAATGTTCAAAACGAAAAGTTTATTGAGAAGAAAATTCGGAAAAAGTCGGAAAGTTTCCTAGCGATATGAAAGAATTTGGAAAAGTCGCCGTTCGAAATTTCGCTGGTCTGTTTTTCATACCACCAAAAATTGTCGAGTTGATTTCCTTTCAGTACCTGGGATATTTCGACTTTTCTCTCTGCGGTAAGATCTTCGGCTTTTAGTTCTATCCAAGGAAGATTCTCAAAATCTTATGGCATATCCACGCCTGTTTAAGGCGGCGGTCGTATCATGGTAGTTTTAAAATGAATTTTCGTATTTTTTGAGACGTGACTTATCTTGTTTCCTCTAGAGATTAGTTCTAAACAAATTGCAATGAAGGGAAAAAGATTGAAAAGTTTCTCAGCTCCAAAACAGACGGCGCAATTTTGATCGTCCTTTTCAGCCTCAGCACTATCTCAAAAATGGTATGTCCAAAACGGAGAAATCAGAATGCACGATTAGAAATCAAGTTTTCCCGGTAAGCCTTTGAATTTGATACCAATTTTTTTTTTCGTTTGCAGGGTGCAGCTAACCACTTTCTACACGTTCCATCTCTAAAGCTGATTTTTCTCGTCTGCACATTGCACTTTACACTTGTGGGTTTTTTTTTCCTGCTCTCATTGAACGGGAATTTTCCCATGTTCCAGGACCTTCCTGTTTGATTTTTTGTGTTCTCTATTACTATTGTAGCTTATTACAGCTATTTTCCCTCCATCGAAGGAATAGACAAAGTTTTCCAGGCGGTTGGCTGGATCCCTCAGCCTTTTGTGCGCTAGAAAAATTTTCAAAAATGTACTGAAAAAGGCCGAAATTTGTCTACCCACGGGTGAGATCCAGACGGCCCAAAGGCTTTTAAGATAACATTCCGACGGACCTCTCACCGTCACGATCATCACCCGATCGCGACGCCAAGAGCTGTGGAGGCGTCGGCCCGAACCCTTCCAAAAGATAACGATCTCTCACCCTGAGCCCACGCTCTTTCGAATGCCAATTTTTTCTTTGAAGCTTTCAGGGGTGGCGGTCCCCCACTTCTTCCTTTTGGTTTGACATCTATTTCCACCTTGAACTTTTCCGATTAATGAAAATCTTATTGCGAAGATCAATCAATATTTATTGGTTGTTTTAGTCAGATGGAATCGACTAGGCGGTGAAAAAATTGCTCTTTTAAGCGGCACTAACACCGCCTTTGGCGAAAAAGAAGTCAAAACGTGTAGTCGATTGAATGGAAAGCATGGTCTTACGGTCCTTCGCCTCGCTCTTCCACAAGTAGATCCCTCAGTTTCGCGGGTACGGGCACAGCGATGATGGTGGGGCTCGGGCACGGACACCGTGTACACTCTAGGGTAGCCTCGGCCGATTGAGAGAGCTACCACTTCGAGTGAAGAAAATACACGGAAAAGATGAGAAGAAAGTTTATTTAACTATGGTTTTAAAAAAAATCTGAAGATTGACTTACAAATTGCAACTCTGGAAGTTTGATATGAACTCAATTCCTTTTGCTGTTGCTCAGTTTCAACTATATTAGTCACCTATTTTCCACGTTCGACGAATGATAAGAGTGAGAAGACAGTTTTTGACGTTTCTCGTCGATCAACTGTATAAAATACTGACTCCAGACTTTGTTCTTGATAACATTTCAGCTCCTTTTGTGACTTTTTTTCTGTTTCTCAATTCCATCAACTTTTTGAGAGGCTTAGGTCTCTTGGAAAATGTTTTGATTGAAGAAATTAATGTTTCAGATAGAATATAAATTTATTTTTTTAAGCAAGTTCAAACATGTTGCCCCGTGAAGACGAGGAACTGGATGAAGAAACGCAGAAACGTGTCGAGAAATATCCAAGTATAATACGGAAAGAAGTCAAAGAGGACGTGAGGGTGAGTTTCAAGGAGAAAGAATGAATAAGATTTGATGTTTGAAAAAATTTCGAATTATTTTATTGTGAGCTTCTTTGTATCTTTTCCTCGATTGACAACATAATTTTTGGCATCTTTTTTTTAAAACAATATGTGGTGTCATTGATACTACCTCTCTGTTTTGAAAAATAATTTGCTAGTTTGATTGATAACGTTTCGTTGAAGCCTATTGGTCTTGATAATGTGAGAAAAAGCAGTATTCTTGGACTGTTCTTTGCTCTTGCGTAGTTTCTTGAAAAAGAACTGAAAAAAGTCAAAATTTTCATTTTGAATTTTTCCAAAGGAGTAGAAGACTTGCTAACTTGAAACAACACGGAAAACGGTTATTCTACAACAAGTTTTTCTCGAAAATCTCATCGAAAAACTTGATTTTAGGTGTATGATGTGGTTCTGCGGCAACTTGGCGCCGTCAAAATTGTTTCCAACCAAGTTCACGCAACTTATGGAGTTCGATTGACCGTCGGGCCGACCCATCCCAACAAAAATGTCACCATTTTCAGCAAGATATCGAAAGGTTGATAATTTTGACAACAAAACATTAATGGATATCAATTTTGCCATCACATAGATGAGTCTTGTCGACTCTACCAGAAAAATTAAAAGGGAAAACTTTCAAGGTTCACATGTGACATTGTCGAGAAGCCCGATAAAGTCCTACGGAGTTCCTTTGCTCGTCCAAGAGGTCAACCCTGTCGATTTCATGGTTTTCAAAAAGTTCTTACTTGTAAATCATCGAATGGGGTGTTTTTTTAGTTGGTATTGCAAGTCAAGAAGATCTGCGACCAACTCCGCGAGTATGACAAGACCATGATCTACTACCTTCACGCCGATGCGCATGATAATCTTTCTGAATATTACTTGTGAGTATCACAGCTTGGAAGAAAGAATGGATGCTCAACATTTCAATAATGACTATATTTTTGTAAACTTTATCATTTTAGGAGGGATGAACCTAGCCGCAATGAACTTTTAAAAGCAACGCATAACAAGAAGAAAAAGAAGAAGAAGCTTTCCGCCAGGGGTTTCCATAGTACATTGACTTTGACTCGAAACAGTCTAATTCATCCGCGCCCTCTCCTTGTCACCTGCTGTTTAATATTTGTATGACCTCGTCGGTGAGGGCAAAAAAAGAAGGCGGTCAGACTGTTTCTAGTCCTGTCACATGTTTTATGAATATCCTTTTCATTTTGGTTATCTATAGAGAAGAAGATACGATACATGGCCGAATGTGAGGACGGCATGGGAAAGTTGATCGAGCGGTTCAACCACCTTACCTTGACAAGTTTTGGAATGACCCGATAGTTAGATCGAAAAAACTCTTGTTCAGAGGACCCAAAAGTTGCAGAGCTACCTAAGTCCGGCCTGAATCAAGAACAAAAAAACGCCGTTCGTATGGCTTTGAACCCAGATCGGAGGATCGTCTGCATCCAGGTTCTGGGGAAAAAATGAAAAAAACATTCTTTTTGATTTTTTACAAAACTCCATCAAAAAAGGGGATCATTTCACTATGAAATGGTGATTTTTTGAAAGAAAAATGTCAGAAAAATCCTCCCTTCAGTATAATAACACATAAAATATATTATTTTCAACGGGTCTTAAAAAGTCGAAACAGCACAGGGGCGATTTTTTTTCGTCTGAATTCAAGATATTGAGATGTTATGGAATAATCTATGTTTTCAAAATTTAAAAACTTCAAAAATTTGAGAAAAAAATTATGATCCTTATTGTGATTTTTTGATTTCTAGGGACCACCAGGAACGGGAAAAACGCGAACATTGGCGGAACTGATTTCCGTTGCCTACAGGGACGGCAAGAAGGTTAGAGAATAAAAAAAACCCCCTCAAAAGTTGTTGAAAAATCAAGGTGTTGGTCTGCGCTCCATCGCACGTCGCTGTGAAGAACGTTCGAAGCGCTACAATAAACCGATTTGAAGAACTCGGATTCAAATATAACAAAGCATTTCTTCGTTAGTTCTCCATCCGCTCCAAACGAAGTTTTTTTCTTTTCAATTCAGAAATCGGCGACTACAACGATTTGGAAGAAATGGTCGAGAAGCATCCCTCTTACGAGAAAATATTGGAAATGGTGCAGTTAAATTGACTTTCCGATTAATTTGTGTTGAAACTTCAGCGCGATCGTCAAAAGGAAGCTTCGAAGAGGTCGCAAATTTTCAAAATAGAGCGTGATATCCGCAAACTTCATAACAGGATACAGATGGTGATGATCATAATAAAAAAATATTTCGAAAACGTCAACAATTTATCCAACTTTTATGAAATTCCCGTTAGTGGACATGAAAAATTCAATCGTGAGTCTTGAACTTCAACAAAACTTACTCTGATCATGAGTATCGTTTTCTGCTGAAAAAAATTTCTTGAAACCTCCATTAGCTATATAGTCTGTGTACCACGACTTGAAATTTCACCGAACGACGTTCCGCTGTTCCGCCGCGTGCGTTCGCGAAGCGTCTTTCGAATCTAGGACACGCTTTCAATTGATTGTTATTGCTGTGGGAGCACATAAAAGAAGAGTACTTTGATAGAAGAAAAAAAAATTAAAAGCGCGAACAAGGATCGCAAAGGCGCGCAGCGGCACAGCGGAATGTCGTTTGGCGAAATTCCAAGTCGTAGTACACATGCTATACCCAGATTTGAATTGTTTATCATTGAAATGTTTCAGCAATTGGCGCCTGAACTTCGAGTCTTTTTCTCCACTCTTGGAGCCGGATTCATCATGAGGTTGAAGGACATTTGGAGCCCAGATATTATAATATTAGGTGAGATCAAGGTGAAAATCAATAACCGAAAGTTTGGCCAACAGATGAAGCTTCGCAGACGACTGAAGCCTCGGTTTGGCCTGTCTTGCACTGCGGGAAACGTTGTGTACTGGCTGGCGACCATAAACAACTCCCAGCTGTTGTACGCACCAAACAGTGCGGAAATTGTATTTTAAAAAGGGAAAAATAACTTGGAATCGAAAATTTATTCCCCTCCATTGCAAAGCTTTTATTTTTAGAGCTATCCTGGAAAAGTTCAACGTTTCCCTGATGGAAAGACTCATGGAGGAGAACGAAGGCAATAATTTCATACTGCTAAAAACGCAATATCGCATGAACTCGTCGATCATGGCCTGGTCGTCCAAGATCTTCTATAATGAACAGCTCGTCGCCCACGAATCCGTCGAGAATCGATCTTTGAGGTCAATCGGTTAAAAAAGTCAAAAATATACTTTTTTTTCTCTTCAGAGATGTTCTTGACAAAAAATATCACAGCGACCGAACTTTTGGCCAAGTTGTCATGTTCAATACCGACCTGGATAAGGAAGTGAGCTTCGAAGAAACTAGAGAGACTTCTTGTAGCAATCCAAGTGAGTTTGGAAAATTACTGTTGGGTAAAGGAAACTAAATCGCCGTTTTTTTCGTACCTAAATTTATTTTTTTCCTATGGCAATGTTGAAAAAGTCTTTGTTTTTTTATATATAAATAGAAAATAAACAAATAGGCGAAGCGTATCTGGTCGCACTTCACGCCTGGAGATTGATTCAGTGCGGATTGAATAGTGCCATAATCGCTATAATTACTCCATACCGAGGACAGGTTCGACGGATCTTGGAAATAGTAGAAGAAAGGATCATTTTTCAGAAGTTCACAATTGCTGGAATTTTGGCCACCTTCAAGTTAAATGTCGGCGTTTTTACGATTGACGAATTCCAAGGGCAAGAACGTGATGTGATCGTCTTCTCGTTCGTAAGGAATAATCGTGCGTTCATTGCATTTGAAAATACATTTAAAAAGCTGTGAGAGCGAGATTGATTAGTGATTTCATTTTTTAAGCTTCGAATTTAAGTTCAGGGAAAATTTGAAGCTTTAATAATTGATAGAAATAGATGAAATTCCCATTCAGCCCGTGGTTTGGCACACTGTAGGTTTAAATTGTGCATACACCGATCGCGTTTTTTTGGCGATATCTACATTAATAACGATTTTTTTTTACGAAAAAATAGTATGAAATCGAAGAAAAACACAATCAAGATATTCAGTGATACAAATTCAGTTCTAACGATCAAGTTTTTGCAAGCGCCAGTAAGTCTTAAAAACTGGCCTAATTCGAGAAATCCGTTTTTTACAAGTAAACAAAAAAGAATACTATTTTCTGTTATTTTTGATCTTTTTATGTCGAAAATAGTCGTGTTTGTTTTATGAAATAGAAAAAAGGTCAGAAATGGTCTAGTAAGGCCAGCGGTGACGGCGCAGTGCACCCCGGATGGGTCCCTGTAGGTCTAAACGGATGTTAATTGGATTCCAGTCAAGACCATCGGCTTTTTGAACGATACGCGCCGTGGAAATGTGGCAATGACCCGGGCGAAACTGCAGCTTTGCCTTGTTGCCAGCGGAAGAATGTTGGAAATGCACGAACATTATCAAGAACTTTTCAAGTGAGCAGAAATAATGCAATGAGGAATATGAAATTTTCCAGAGGATTGAAACAGGGCGGGGGAGTTTTGAATCCCAACATCTATTTCAAATTGCTCCCCGACAGAGGAGTACTATCGAAAAATGTAAGTTTCCCAATTCTCAAACAAATAATAGACTAGACCTTCAGGTTGTCAGCAAAAAGAACCATTGAAAACATCGAGTACACAGATTTTATCCCTTACATGTAACCTTTTTCGCAATTTTTAGCTTTTTGTACGTATTCTCGATCCTTGTAATCCTTCACTCTATCTGAAATTTTGATTTATCATCGTAAAATTTTTGGAGGAACAACCCGCAGCTTGATTCTTCGTTTGTTCGATGCGCTCCTTCCGCCTTTCTTCTTTTGCTGCTTCTGTTGATGTTCCTTTAAATCGGTTATTCATTGTAATAATGAATAGTTTTGATTTTTGCGCGGTTTTTCAACTATTAAACTAACCGTTGCCCGTGGCGGCTCAGTTTTTTCGTTAACCGAGATGGGAGAAACGATTGCAACTGGCGAAGTCTTCCGTTCAAGAAGACTTCCTTCTGGCACAGGTTTGACGGAGAGCAACTGGCTCGAGTTGGTTGAGGAATTTCTGAATGGAAAAACCTCGATGAAAAGCCAGAATAATAAAAATTAGGAAAAAAATAACTTCCAAGCCGGGAACTTACTTGGGCGTCGTTCTCAAAGTCTTAGTGGAGCTATTGGATACATTTACTCCCTCTGAAAAAAAAAATGCTTAATTAAATATTTTTTTTAATAATCCAATTATTTACGTTTAAGCTTGAAAAATGTTTGGCTTGGGGAAACCAGAGAAACGAGCCAGTAAATCGTCGACCAGATTTTCGCCATCAGGCGTTGAAACCACTGAAAAAATAATAGCCTGTGTTGTTTTTTCAATTTGCGTATGGGATTTTCTCGAAAATTGGCCGAAATACTCTCTGTTGTACGAGAAAAGGATCCTGAAAGTTCACGGCGTTCCCAAACGGGGTGGGGAGACGTCAAAAAAAATTTTGGCGCGAAATTTGAAATCTCAAGTACGCAGCCAAATGTATTTTTCATGCCGTTGAATACTCAAATTAATTTGCAACGATAGGTAGCTGTGACGTCACAGTCCTTTCATCCAAAGCGCGCACTTACTTTTTTTTTGTAAATTTAGAAAATTGACGCCTCGCTCACCTTCCCTCACCCCATTAGGAATTCATCATCAAAATGTTTTATTTCTCACACACAAGTACTAAATTTCACGAAATAGATGTAGGGAGAATTTGGGAACATATGTGTCGGAACTTGTGGTGATGGAGGGAAGAGGACTCGCGGTCGTGTTAACCCCCCACTTGAGTAAATTGGAATAACCTTGAAGTTATTCTTTTAAATGTCGATTATGTAGCTTTCATATTTTTTTGTTGGATCAAGAGTGTTTAGTTCTGTAATGTTGTTTTCAAACCATTTCTCAAGTTTAGATCTGAACTTATTTTTTTCATACTCAAATACTATGTTTCTATCCATATGATTCCAATGATTGAATACTCTTTGATTCCGTGAATTTTTTGGGATTTTCTTGAATATTGGCCAAAATACTCCTTGTCGTACCAGAAAAGCATCACGGAAGATTCAACCTGCACGACTTCCATTTTTTTGAGAAATAAGACCTCCAAGCCCCAAAAGGGCTTATTTTTAGAGTTCTTTTCGACGTTTTTTTGGACTTCCTCGAAAGTTGTTCAGGCTAAAAATTCCAGGATCTGTTTCAGATACATCAAAAAGCATCCTGACCAGTTTTCAAGAACTTCCCACAAAATGACCTTCCATTTTAGTACTAACATTTAGCCGTAAAGCGTTTTTCAAGGCTCTCCGAACACTTCTTTTCATTTCCTCAATGTCTCGGCTTGCCTCCGTCTGATGATCGTCAACTTCGATCATTTTTTCACGAATTAAAGAATGAAACTGAAAAAAAGTGTATCTCGTTTTTTGAAATTGCAATGCGAACTTTTTGGTTTGTGATTTGGAACCCATCGAGCCGGGAGGTTATGGCTGCCAGGCGTTGGGACAGGTGCTGGAACGGATCCGTCACCATGCCATTTGTACGCTCAAAATTAAAAGTCTAATTATTTTATTCCCACACTTATTTTAAACTTTGCGTTAAATCGCAAACCGTTACTCCCCGAAATGACGTCATTTTTTTGACTTGGCCACTAAGAATAACTGACGAGATAAACGCGAGGTCGGTGGCGGTACATTGACGAGCTCGCAAACATCTCGCTTTTTTCTAGGCGCGCTCTCGCATTTCTCTCTGCGCGAGTTCGCGTTTTTCTTGGCGCCATCTCGCATTTATCTCGCATTTCGAAAATTTTCAAATTGCGAGAGAAATGCGAGCTCGCGCCTAGAAAAATGCGAGCTCGCGCCCAGAAAAATGCGAGACCGGCGCGAGAAAAAAAGCGAGATGTTTGCGAGCTCGTCAATGTACCGCCAGTGTCTCGTGTTTATCTCGGCAGTTATTCTTAGTGGCGATAGGCAAAAAAAAAACTGCATAGGCTATATATTTTCAGTGGTTTCAACGCCTGTTGGCCATATTTTTTTGATTTGTTTTTTTCACGTTTTTAAATTTATAAAATTAGATTCGACGTGAAAAAAATTTTTTTCAGTCACATGAGAAACAGAAAGATATCACATCTAAAAAAATCCCAATATGATTGGAAACTTTTTTTATTCTCCTATTTTTCTAGAAACTTTTGAAAGGTTTTTTTATAATTTTTCAACTGGGGGCGCAAAATTCAAAACGTTAACAAACGCAATCCGGGCGCAGTTTTTTTATGCAAAGGCGCAATTCAGGCTCTTTTTCATTCTTTAATTTTTTTCACGTAAATAAAATAAATATATAGCCAAATATTTCGACTACGCTTATAGTCTGTTCAGATTTTTAATGTCAAGTGTAATGACGTCATTCAAAAAAACACTCTGTGGATGGCTCGCTCTCTGATTGGTTTATCGCGCCATTAGGGGCGGAGCTTGAGCGACGACTTGACATTCAAAATCTGAATACACTATATTTCCTGTGTCCCGAATGATGTCATAAAGTGACGTCAGGGAGTAGCGGTTTACGATTTAACGAAAACTCTTACTGTAACGCTTTTGCTGAGTCGTTCCACGGCTACTGTTAGTTTGACCCTCAGCTCGGCTCGTTGCAATGCTTTCGATTCCCTGTCCGCTAATAATCTGAGAAAAATAATTATTTTTAATTGAATCAGTGGAAGACTTTTTGATTTCTTTCCATTTCCTGTCAGTTTCATTGACATCCCTGACCTTTTTGCGAACTTTCTCGCTGCCACTTTCTGTTGCTAAAACAAAAAACTTTTTAAAATTATAAAAGACAGAAGATTATTTAAAAAATCACAAGCAGCGTGAGGTGTCAACGTCACAGGTGTCGACGAGACGCTCATCCTTAGAAATGGCGATTCGTTCTCCCTTCACCAACAATTAACGTGAAATTTTATCGTGAAAAACTCCCGGTATGCTTTGAATGAAGCGTATATAAATTTTTGAAAAAAATTCAACGAACAAATTTTTAAATAATCAATGTTTGTTGCGTACCGGGTTCTGATTTTGGTCGTAATTTGATTATTCGTCATTTTCGTAAATCACGTCAATGTTTTTTTTCATTCGCTATTCTTCCTTCGACACATGCCAGGGATTACATTACGACATCAACCTCATCATTTTATAAGGTTTGAATTTCTTCGATGAAGATGTTTTTTCTGAATTTTGAAACATTGAGATTTGTTCTAAGTACGTACGAATCCAAAAATTTATGTGGATTTATTATTTCTTTTTTTAGAAGGATCCCGGGAATCAATCTGGATATGGAGATAGCGGAATCAAGTACAACTTTGTCGGCGCCAGTTCCCTCAGGTTTATTCATGATTATTGTTTTTTTAAAACCAATTGGACTCGTATTTAACTCGATCGAAAAAATGATACTTGATTTGGAAAAAAATTAAAAAAATCTTTTTTTATGACTTCAAAACTTTTGTTTAAAGAATAATTTGAACAATCCTTTCATTCTCCACCAAAAAAACTTTATGGGAATCATTTATTTTTTTGAAAATGCTATACAACGAGTCTAAAAAAATTGAAGAGAAGAAAAAGAGAAATTTTTTTGAGGGCCTCCTTGATCCCACAAGGTGGTGCGGGCAAGCTCCAAAACATGTGGGCGTCGGAGTCTCGTTGAGAAAAAAAGGCGAAAAAAAAACGGGGATGATAACGAGTGAAATTGAAAGAAGTTTGTAGTAAGAAGAAGAAAAAAAAGAAACGCGTAGATTTCTGATCAATTTAAAATTGAGCGAAGTTGAAAAACAAAAAAAAGGCAGAGAACAAAAAGAACGGCTAGAAGGTGGTGGAAATGTGGGACGGTGAATTACAAGGGCGTTTTTCAATATTTAATGGGGAACCGGACGCTTAGAAGTCGCTGGCGCGAGCACGCGACGGCGATCGGACGACGGCGGCAGACGCAGAAGTCTGAAGTCCCGGGGGCGACCGAGGCCGACGATCGCGACTTGGCGCGCATCTTGGAGAGCGAGTTCTCGGCCTGGTCGGCACGCTCCTCGGCGTCTTCCAGCTGGTGCGTCAGCTGCTTGTACTTTTGCAGGTTGATGTTGGCCAGTTCTTCCTGCAATTCAGCGAGTTTTCCTTCTGCGGACGGTTCGGGTTTTAGAGGAACTACTATTGTTGCAAGGCTTCTTGATTCTACATTTCTTCGCTAAGAAACCCCTACAATCTTGCAACGAAGCCTCTTTCTGACTCCTGATTTCTCGGAATATCTACTACCATTTTTTGGCATCTTGTATTTTTTTAACGGTCTTGAAAGTTCTAGTAGCACTCACCGCCTCTTCGACTTGCTTCTTCTGGGTCTTGAGCTTCTGCTGGAGCTTGTCGATCAGGTCCTGGAGACGTTCGAAGTTCTTCTTATCCTCGTCGACCTGGAACTGGAGCTCGCGGACGCGACGGTCGGCCTTTCCGAGGTTCTTGTTGGCCTCCTGGAAGCGGCGCTGCTCACCGTCGAGCTCAGACTCGAGCTCGCGGACGCGCTGCTCAAGCTTGGCGATGACCTGAAATCGGATTATGAAGGTCCATTTCAATATTGAGACAAGAAGCCTATGAAAACAGTCAAGAAGGAGAACCAACCTTCTTGCCTCCCTTGAGAGCGGCGGCTTCAGCCTCATCGAGTCGGACTTGGATCTCCTTGAGCTGCTGCTCGAGTCCCTTGCGAAGTCTGTCGACGTGCTGCGAGTGCTCCTGTTCCTGGCGGAGCTCCTCGGCGAGTCTCGTGGCGTCGGCGATGGCCTTCTTGCTGCGTTCCTCAGCGGCCTTGTACTCGTTGAGCGTCTCGTCGAGGTCGGCCTGTAGATGAACAATACTTTTTACGATTTTGTGGACTTTAAGCCTTCAATTTGAAAAGAGTTTTTTGTCTGTGTTGGAAAGACTATTACAACTACTTCATACTATATTGCTTTTTTGCTTGATTATTACATTTTTCTGATTAATTGTATGAAAAGAAGGTTGAACTCACGTGGATGGCTTGGATCTCTCCCTCGAGCTTCCTCTTGGCGGCGCTCAAGGTGCTGACCTGGGCGTTGGCCTCGTTGGCCTGGTCCCTGGCGTCAGCGGCCTCGTACTCGGCCTGCTTGCGAGCGCGCTCAGCGGCCTGAAGTTCGTATTTTTGTATTATTGAACGAAAAAATTGTGCTTTTTTTCTCACTACGAGTTGATATGTAATAATGATACCTCGTTGGAGACGAGAAGTTCCTCCTTTTCGGACTGAAGAAGCGTGGCACGCTTCTCGGCGTTGAAGAACTGCTCGCGGACGTCGGAAGCGTTGCGTTGTTCCTCTTCGACCTGAATTACTCTATCCTACACAAAGTCTCCCATTTTCGAGATACCTGGAGCTGAAGCTCGCGGATCTGTTCCTGGTACTTCTTCAAGTTCTTCTGGGCATCGGCGTTAGCCTTGTTGGCGTGGTCCAGGGCAATCTCGAGCTCGTTGATGTCGGCCTCGAGCTTCTTCTTGACGCGGAGAAGTTCGGCCTTACCCTTGGCTTCGGTTTCGAGGGAAGCCTGAATATTCATTGGATAATTAGTGTATCAATATTTGATTAAAGTTACCTGCATCGATTCGAGGGCACGCTGGTGGTTCTTGCGAGTGTTCTCGAACTCTTCCTCCTTCTCCTGGATGCGCTTCTCGATTTCGGAGCGAATCTGGGAGACTTCGACCTGAGCGCGGAGAACCTTGCTCTCTTCGGCTTCCAACGCGGCTTCAGCCTCGTCAAGAGCGTGCTGGAGCTCCTCCTTCTCGATTTCGAGGCGGCGGATGATCTTCTGCATCTCGTGAACCGAGCGGCCTCCTTCTCCGAGTTGGTCGGTCAGGTCCTTGATCTCTTGGGACAGGCTCTTGTTCTCGCGACGGAGTCCTTCAACGACCTCGCCGAGTTCTTCCTGGGCGTTCTTGGCCTTGAACAAGTCGGTAGAGGTGTTGCGGAGGTCACGCTGGACGGCGTCAAGCTCGGCGGAGAGGTCGTCGGTCTTCTTTCTCCATTCGTCGATGACCTTGTCGAAGCCCTTCTGCTTCTTCTCAAGGGTGGCGGCAACGCCGTTGGCGCGCTCAACATCGACCTGAGCGTCGTCGAGGTCTCCGACAAGACGGCTCTTGGTCTTTTCCAAAGAGGCAATCTTGGAGTTGGCGGCATCGAGGGCCTCCTGCAGCTCGTTGATCTTCTGAGCCTGGCGACGGCGAGCGTCTTCAAGTTCGTCAGCCTTGATGAGGCCTTCTCCCTCGAAGCGAGCCTTCCATTGCTGGACTTCGGCGTTGGACTTGCTGAGCTGGCGAAGGATTTCGTTCTTACCCTCGATCTCCTCCTCGAGGCTCTCCTGGAGCTGTTCGACCTCGTGCTGGTAGTTCTTGGATTGAGCAGCAATGGTCTGACGCTCACGGGCTTCTTCGTCGGCGGTGCGGCGGGCCTCTTCCAACTGGCTGGTAAGCTGCGACTTCAGACGCGTCAGCTGGTTGACCTGGGACTCAGCGTCTTCAAGCTGGCGGACGAGGTCTCCGTTCTCAGAGTGCATGCGTCCCTTCAACGAGGTGAAGTCCTGGAGTTGACGCGATTGCTCGTCGCACTTGGACTGAAGCTCGGTAAGCTGGAGCTCGAACTGCTTGGCAAGCTTTTCGTTGTTGAGCTTGGCCGAGGTTTCAGCATCAAGCTGAGCGGCAAGGTCTTCGGCTTCGTGGACAGCCTGAGCCTTGTCCTTCTCAACCTTGGCCTTGGCCTTCTGCAGCTGATCAAGCTGGTCGGTGAGCTCAGCGACGGCGTCGGTGTGCTTCTTGCGGAGTCCACCGAGCTGGTTCTCGTGGTTCATGTTGGCCTCCTCGAGGTCACGGCGGAGCTTGGCGAGTTCGGCTTCACGCTTCTTGTTGACCTCAACCTGGGCGGCAGTGGCACCTCCTTGCTCATCCAGGCGTTCGCCAAGTTCTTCCAACTCACGCTGGAGGTCAGCCTTGGCACGGTCGGCCTTGGAGCGCGACTGGCGTTCGTTTTCGAGCTCCTCTTCAAGCTCAGAAACACGGCTTTGTCCATCCTTAATCTGGCGCTGAAGCTTGCTGACGAGGGCTTGTTCATCCTCAAGACGGCTGCTGACGGAGTGGAGTTCAGACTCCTTCTTCTTGAGGTTGTTCTCGAGGTCGTGGCGTTGACGGCCAGACTCGTCGATGTTTTCCTGGGCAATCTTCAGCTCGCCCTCGACCTTTCTCTTTTGCTTGTCGAGGTCAGCCCGAGAGCGCTTCTCACGCTCAAGCGAATCCTCAAGGTCGTCGAGCGTCTGCTCAAGCTTGGCCTTGACTTTGTTGGCGTGGTTGCCCTTGTCTTCTTCAGACTGGAGATCCTCCATCAACTTGCGGTTGATCTCCTCCTGGTGCTTCTTCTCTTTGTTGAGCTTGGCGATGGCTTCATCCTGCTGCTGCATTTCGTCTTGGAGCGAGCGGATCTGGTGATCCTTGGATTGCTTCTCAGATTCAGCCTTGCGAAGGCTCATTTCGAGGTCCTGGATCTGCTTCTTCAAAGCCTCTACCTCAGCCTCGACCTTCTTTTTGGCGCGAGTGATGTCAGCCGTGCGGTCTTCGTTGTCAGCCAGCTGCTCGTTGAGCTCTTGGAGCTGCTTGTCGGCGTCTCCCTTGAGCGAGGTGAGCTTCTGGAGTCTTTCCTCGGCTTCGGAAAGCTGGGTCTTGGTGCTTTCGAGGTTGGTGAAGAGAGAAGTCTTCTCCTCGACAAGCTTGGCGGAGCTCTCTTCGAGTTCCTTGCGGAGTTTCTCCTCCTTGGCGAGGCTCTCTTCGAGGGCCTTGACCTTGTCGTTGATCTTCTCCAGCTCCTCGGCTTCCTTGCCGGCCTTGAGCATGGGCTTGACCTTTCCGTAGAGCTTGAACCATTCCCAGGTGCGGAGAGTGCACCACGAGCGGACGTTGCGCTGAACGATGAGAAGTCCAGCGCGCTGTTCCATGCGGCGCTTGCGTTCGGTGAGACCCAAGTACCAACGGATCTGAGCCTGGAATCCGGCCATGATCTGGGAGAGCTTCTCGTCACGGATGTCTTCAAGGTGAGCGAGGACTCCGGCCTTGAAGAAGACCTTGGTGAGACCGATACGGAACATCTCCTCGCTGAGAGCGCCGTCGTTGACAAGCTTGGACATGATGGCTTCGGCGCACTTCTTCTTGTCTTCATCGGACTTGGCTTCCTTGGCTGCCAAGATGGCGTAACGGTGGACGAAGTCAGGGTGGAGGGTTCTGTTGGGGAAACCTTTACGGCAAATACGGATGCCTTCAAGCACACCGTTACAGGTGAGCTGGTTGAGAACCAAGGAGGCGTCGATCATTCCAGACTGCTTCTTCTCGTTGGGGATGATGCAACGGATGAAGTGAGGATGAGTCTTGTGGAGCATGTTCATGAGGTTGTTGAGCGACTCACGGTAGAGCATAGAGACAGTCATGAAAGATCCAGACTTTCCCTTCTTCTTACCGCCACCACCTTCTGCAAAGAAAATGTTTAAAATCCAGTAAGGCTTCTGGTCAGAACTAACCCTTGGCCTTGACGGCAGCCTCTTCCTGAGTGGTGTAGTCTTGCCAGATCTCGACGAGGAGGTCGTTGCCAGTGGAGGCCTTCATGGCCGACACAACGGTGTCGTTGAGAGGGTCCTTGTTCTTCTCCAACCAGTTCAAGACGTTGTATCGGACAGTTCCGGCGTAGTGCCGCATGGCGAAGTGAGCTTCTCCTTGCTTGCCCTTTGGTGGCTTGGGCTTCTCGAAGTTGGGGTGCTTGCCAAGATGCTGGTCAACAAGCTTCTGGGCGAGCGTCAAGTCAGTAGCCTTGGGGACGATGCATTCTTCATCGAGCATGGAGATGATACCGAGCGGCTGAAAAATATATGGTCAAAGTTGTGATAAAAAAAACTTGTTGAATAACCCAGCGTAAATTGATCTTTTCATCTTTTCGCTAGAGCTTTCAATGTCAGAACTTTTGAAATATGAGATTTGAAAGTCCGAAAACTGCAAAATTTTCAACTTGTTCTTTCGGGTTTTTTTTAGTGGAAAGCGAAGATTCGCTAGAAAAATCTAACATCTTATTCAATTTTTCAAGATTTTTACGCCTTCAAAGTATTATTTTTTTACAACAGGTTTCAAATTTTTTTTTTGGAACTCATGTAGGGGGCAGTATACAAATTCTTGCTAGAAAATTCAAGAATATGTAAAATACTGATACGAAAAATATACGAAAAATTTTTTGGCAGGGTTCAATAAAAACAAGAAAAAACTGCTATACTTTGATGGAAATGGATGTTAGATCATAACTGATTTTGCAGTTTTAGAATTTATCTGAAATTTTCAAAATTTCATGAACTGAAAACTAAAATTTTTTATACGGCTATCTTTTTCGGAGTAAATATAAATCTAAAAAGCTGCTTCTGAATCAAAGGCTCAAAGTTTGTCCAAATATAATTGAAAAGAGTTGTGATCGAGCATTCAAAAAGTCATGATACTGCATATCGTCAAATTGTGAGTTCACCTTCTCAATAAGCTCGATACAAGCTTGGAGATCGAGACCGAAATCGATGAAGGTCCATTGGATGCCTTCTCTGGCGTATTCTTCCTGCTCGAGGACGAACATGTGGTGGTTGAAGAATTGCTGGAGCTTCTCGTTTACGAAGTTGATCCACAACTGCTCGAAGGAGTTGAACTGAAACAAATTCCTAATTTCTGTGAAGGGAATTGGTTAGCTTACGTCGAAGATTTCGAAACCGGCGATGTCGAGCACACCGATGAAGTAGTCACGGTCGATACCCTTCTGATCAAGAGTCAAGTTACACTTCTTGACCAGCCAGTTGAACACACGCGAGTAGAGACCCTTGGCCATGGCACCGACGGCCCAGTTGACTTGCTCGACGTTCTGTCCCTTGGACACCCATTCGGTTCCGACCTTGACACGAGGCTTGGTCAGGGCCTTGAGGAAAGCCTCAGAGTCGAGGCCGTACATCTTGGAGGCCTTCTCGGCGTCGTCGGTACCGTCAGGCTCGGCCTGCTCTTCACGTGGGCGTTGCTTGAACTTCATGTTACCCATGTGCATGAGAGCAGCCATGAGGCGGTAGCAGTCCATCTTCTCGGTGGCAGAGAAGTTGAGGATGTCGAAGGCTTCGTCGGTGAGCTGGAACTCCTCGGTATCGTTGATACCGTCGATGGAGAGCTCGGCCTGGGCGACGAACCAGTAGTCCTTCAGCGGCTTGTCAAGAAGGAGCTCAGTCTTGAGCTGAGGCTTGAAGTCGGAGAAGATCTGGTAGAAGATGTGGTAGCAACGCTCTCCTGGAGCCTGACGGATGACACGAGACTTCTCGAGAAGGTAGTGCTCAATGTCGCAAGACGCAAGACGTCCGTGACGACTGAAGTGGATACGGATGAACTTTCCGAATCGGGAAGAGTTGTTGTTTCTGACAGTCTTGGCGTTACCGAAGGCCTCCAAGACAGGGTTGGTCTGGACGATCTGGTCCTCAAGGGTGACCTTCTTCTCTTCGGACTTGCCACCAGCGGCTTCTTGCTGCGACGCACCGACGGATGCGAAGTAGGCAATAACCTTCTTGGTGTTTTCGGTCTTTCCGGCACCAGACTCGCCGGTAATGAGCATGGACTGGTTCTCGTGGTCTTGGAGCATGTTTCTGTAGGCCTGATCAGAGACGGCGAACAAGTGAGGCGGCATCTCGGTCTTTCTCTTGCCCATGAACATGCGAGCGACAGAGTCGGTGTAGATCGGCAGACGTTTGTAGGGGTTGATTACGACGCAGAACAAGCCGGAGTAGGTCTGAAATACAGTGAAAGATAGTCTTTTTTCATTCCATATTCGAGATTTTTTATTTTTGTGGCCTTTTTTTCTTTTCGCCGATAACGCGGCTGTCTTTTTCGCTTTGCCGACGGCGGCGCAAAAATTGTTAAACGATGCAAGCCTTTTGGTTTGGCACATTCCCGTCGGAGGAGCAAAAAAAAGCGAAAAAGACAGATGCCAAGGCCTTGTGCCGAGAATTTGTGTTGTAATAGTTTTTGGCTGGGAGCAAAGCGTCGTGTTTTAATCGTCAGTTATCCAAGCCCTTAGGCGACCGTTTTTGAAGGGAATATTGATTTTATTGGGAAGGAATCGGAAGATTGGAGTGGAACCAAAGAAATTTGAGGGCTATGAAGTTTTTGGTTCGCTTTTTTAACCTTGGAATGTGTTATTTTTGAAGCGTTTAGAAAGGGCCTGGATAACTGTAGATAAAAAATTTGTGAAGATTTAGTCGCTCCCACTAGTTCTTCAGTTTTTGTGATTCATTCCAAAACTTACGTAGATGAGCATGGCGGCGTAACGCGACCGCAAGTTGTGCAGGACGGAGGCGTCGTTGAGGAAGGTCAAGTTGGACATGTCCTCGGTCTTCTCGAATTTGGGCGGGTTCATCTCCTGGACGAGCTCCTTCTTGAGGGTGACCTGTAAAAGATTGGAGTTTGATTCAAGTTCTGGAAAGTTTTGGTTCTTGTTCCTTTTTCAACAGTTTGAATGGGTTTTTTTTTGGCTTTCACTTTTTTGGAGATTCGAACAGAATTCTTTTGATCATGTATCATTGAAAAAAAGTAGCTCTGAATGTAACTTGATAAAAAAAAGTTTGAAGAGCGAGAAAGAGGATAAAAGGATAAAAAAGAGCTAATTTTTGTCGACATGCTCTGAATTAACATCATATTCTTTTTACTTCTGTCTTCTCCCTTTTGGTTTTTGAATTCGCTTGCCAATTCGAAGATTTTTGTTGCGGTTAAACGACGAAAACCACATGCTCCACCGGCTTCTTTGACCGGCAGATCTCATGGAAACTTAATATTCTTCTTCTTCTTCTGCTGCTCCGGCTTGACAGCCCCCACACATTTTCAATTTTCTCTCTCCCTCTTCCTTTGAGTGAGTGAGGGATTGTGTTGTGAGCTGCGGTAGTTTTGTGTAGGTAGAGCTTGAGCTGGAGCAGCAAACGAGAGAAGCGAGAAGCATTACAACCGACAGTTGTAAAGATTTTGCCGCCGCCGCCGCTGACGCCCTCTGATTTTGCTTGGCACTCGGGGGGTTGAAAGGCAAAAAAAAGAGAAGAAAAAAGAATATTGTGTTGGAATCGAAGGAAATTTATTCGACTATGCCTTTTTGAAAATTTTAGTTAAAGTCTGGTCGATTTAGAAAAAAAAAATCTTTTCAAACGCAAACTTTTTGCAAAAGGAAAAAGATTAAATAATTCTCATGGCCACGAACGATTTTGTTTCTACAAGATTAGTTGAACTGAAATTAAGCTCTAATTGAATAATGGATTTTTGAGTCAGAAAATGGACCGCAAAGTCACGAAATGCGAACTTTAATTATAGAAAAAACAATTTTTTTGAAGTTTCGAGAAAGAAAATTTGATCGAAATGGAAAAACTGTGCGAGAAGAAGCTTAATAAATTAATCCAAAAACCTATGAAAAGGAAAAATCTCGAAGTTTTTCACTGTAGGTTTTCTATTATAATACATCATTGAGTAGAAAAAAAGTAACTTTTGAATGTAAAATGAAAAATTTTTTTGAGATATGAAGTTTTTAAAGTGTCTTATCGTCGTTTAGAGCTCAGAATCATTATCTACTGGAAAGAAGAATTCAGAATGTTGGGAATTATTCGAGGATTCAAGAAAAAATACATAGGAATTAAACCAAAAAGTAAAAAAAAAAGTCATAAATTCAGAAAGCGAAGCCAAAAAACCATTCAAACTTGAGAAAAAAAGGTAGTTAAGTAGAAAAAAACTGGAATTACCTCATTTCCGCGAGCGGAGACGACGGTGACCTGATCACCCTTGGTGGAGGTGATCTCTCCGGCGAGGTAACCCTCTTCGGCGTCCGGAATCCAGCAGTTCTTCTTGGAATCGTAGGGCTTGGACTGGTCCTGAAAGCAGTTCAAATTAGACTCATTCGAAGGAAAGTTGTTGAAGAACCTCCATCATTTGCTCGCGAGAGCGACGGAGGTACTGCCATCCTGGATCCTTCTCGTGCTCCATTGTTGCCGGTTTCGATTCGAAGTCGTCGAGGTTGAGTCGAGGTGACTTCGAGGTGCCCGCACCGATGCAATGGCTTGGCTCAGGCCCGCTGCGGCTTCCTCAGCTGGCTCCGCCTCCTCCGTCTTCTCCACCTCCGAAAAACCTCGCCACGACTCTCCTCACGCCTACGGTACCCTCTGCTCTCTCTCCCTGAATCCCACTGGCATCTCTTGCCCGACTCTAAGAATAGAGGGTGGTACGCCTCCGCAGTATCAAGCGGTCCACTTTGGGACTGTTCGGACTGTAGTTGTGCCTGAAACTGGTAGAAAATGACGTGACTTTGTGGTGAACCCAGAGGAGATTAAGCTGCTTTGAAAACACAGAAACCGTAGTTTTCAAAGTTCCCATTGTTGGGAGTGTTCAGAGACTTGAAGCTTCTCATTTCGGAAATTTTTCGTGAAGAATAAGATCGAGATCTCGAAGAGTTTTCTTGCGATCGTTCTAGTCGTACAAAAGGAATCGGCATTGACTCAAAATACCGCTGAAAAAAACTTTTTTTCAATATTTTCACGAATTTCGCTTTCATAGACCTCCACACTCTTGTTAAAAGCAACATTCGACGTTTGAAAAATAAAGTTTGGTTGTGTATTTCATCTATATAAGGTTTCAAAGATTGATAAAAAAAGGGAAAGTTTGGATTTTCACAAATTTCAAAACTTTTTCGGCTAAATATTGAGTGATATTTTTCAAGGCTTCAAATCATTCAAAGCTTATTTTTTTATTCGCTTATAAATAATGAAAAGAGCGTGAGAAGGGGAAAAAAAACGTGACTCTTTATTTTATCACCTTCGAGAAGCCAGTTGAAGTTGAACCACATCCTTGAAAAATAAAATCTTTCAAAATATTTTTCTTTTTTGTTAAATGGGTTCTAGCTGTTAAATTGAATGACATCCTGAATTAGTATAATTAAAGAAAGTTTCAAATTATTTATTCAGTGTGAGAAAAAAATTTTTCGTTTCCAGGATTTTTATTTTAAAAAAACTCCAGACTTTCAACTTTTTTTCTCGGTAAAAAGTGATATTTGAAGTGTTTTTTTGAGTATGATTCGAATTTAGAAATAAAATAAAACGTGATGGAATTGACAGTTGCTCCATTTTTTTCGCGTTTTTTTGAAGATTTGTTAATACTTATTGAAACTTACGACATAAAAAACAAGATTCAACTTGAAAATTTGTTACTTATTTAATACTTTCTGAGTTTTTTTAGGAGATAAATGATGAATTTATTATATAATATTTTATATCAAAGTCCTTGGCTGGGCCTTTTTTTCTCTTTAAAACTCGTAATTCCACCTCAAGAAGTGGTTTTGATAGACTTTTTACTGTTCTAAGAAATACTTTTCAAAAATTCCTTTCCATTTTTGAGTTAGGGCTTTATTTCTGAGCCTGAGTGATTTTTTTGAGTTTGTAAAAGTATTGTGTAATGATAATGTCAAAAAAAGCAACATATTTCTCCCGTCTTTTCCAGCATTCCACAATATTTTCAATTTTTTTTTACTTTTACAACACCCGAACGAGCAGTTGGCCGCTCTGTTGTTGGATGTTGGATCCAGTTGTCCGGATCTCTCTCTTTTTTTCCTGTTCCTTGTTAATTACTTGAGTTACACAAACAAACTCCAGTATATCATGTTCACTTTTGATTCGTTTCAAAAGCAATTTTGAACAAAGAAAAAAAAATTTCTATAGCCGGGAGTAGGAGTAAATCGGCTATTTGAGAATGGTACACTTACAAGGGATTTTATTTAAATTGGCGGTTGGGATTTCCCTGAAAATCGGCCAGGATGCTCCTTGATGTACCAGATGACGATTCTGAAAGTCTCAACCTGCACAGCTTCCTCGATTTTGAGAAAAAAAAGTCTCTACGTCAAAGAGAACGCTCAAAATTCATTAAAATAGGCTATTTTGAGGCTTTAGGCCTTTATTTCTCGGAAACTAGGAAGATGTCCAGGTTGAGAATTTCCGGATCTTCATCTGGTACATCAAGAAGCGTTCTGGCAATTTTTAAAAAATTCCAAGCCTTCCCCTGTTAGAAAAAGATGAACGCGAAGAAAAAAAAGTTAACAAAATCACCATAAAATTCAATCCAACTTTTCTTTTCAGTTATCAATCAAATTTTTTTTCTGCCACTTGTCAAAAAAATCCGGAAGAGCCGAAACTTTACACAGGGCTTTCACATTTTTTTCGAAATAAGTAGATCAGGCGATTCATGTATTTTTGAAATTTGAGAGCTAATTTGATATTTTTTTTAGGATGGAATATTTTTGAGCCTTTTGCAGTGGAACAAATACACCGTAAGCAGAATTTATGGCATTTTTCATACTAAAAAACTATCCAATGTTTTTTAATACCATTTTATTTCGAGGGATAGACATGTTCAAATGATTCAAAAAAATTGAATCGGATTTTTTTAAGCAGACCTCTTTATAGCATTTTTTTAGAAATAACAGTAGCCTCAATTTTTAAAATTGTAGCTATCTCTAAAGGAACGTTTAGTACTAGTTTAGTTATCACTTGATCGATTTGGGATTCTCTCTAATTATGAAAATTTACACTGAACTGGAAATTTTGAAAAAAATTCCGCTGAAAATTTTGGAGGGCGTCAGTATTTGTGAAGCGAAAAACTTGAGATTCCTGAAAAGTGGCTAGTTTCCCAAAATTTCTGATTTCGAGTTACAGAAGTGTTTCACACTTGAACGATATTATTTTTTTAATTATTGAGGACTTTGAATATTGCAAACTAGACGGCTTCATGGATAAACTATGATAAGGAATTACGAAATATCTGTTAATCTTCCATTCATAAAGGTTTTCCCATATTCTTGGAGATATCCTGACTCGACCGATCCATTTTTCATTGCGAACATTCCATCGCGAAAGAGAAAAAAGTCAATCTTCCATGAACCCGAGGTGTATTCCGGATGCTCGTCTGCGGCCTCTCGGTACGAAGTCAAGTTGTGTAAGAAGCATGTCCGCCGCTTCCTCACTCCCTTTTTCTTTTTCTTTTTCCCCTTCTCCTTCGACCGGTGACAACTGTTGAGCCAGGCAAAAATGAGAAAAAAAAAGTTCAATCGTTGCTCTTTCTGCCTCTTGGAGCACAGGGATTTTTTGTACACTTTTTTCAATTTTTTGAAAGATTTTGGGGATTACTATCGGATAATTTCAGACCTTGTCGCAGTAAGCAAATTGTATTTTTAATAGCAAACCGGATATTTTTGGATTATTCCGAACTTTTTTTTTAGTTATTTCAGAAAGGTTTTGAGTTTTTCAGTCTGCTAGCATTTCAACGGAAAATCAGATACAAATTTGGAACTTCAGAGTGGTCCCTATAGGGGTGACCTTAGAGGCCCATAGAAAGTCCTCTAAAGGGAGCACTTTACCACCTTTTAATGAACTCTATGCGGAGATGCATTTCCATGCAAAAAAAAAACTAAAATTAACGACAGACCCCCAGAGGGACCACTTAAGCTTTTGGGCTAGGGTACAGGCCATTATAGGGGTCACCTTTTTTCATTTTACTACTATAAGGACCACTTTTTTGGCCCCTTGAGAGGCTGTTTTCCCTCTTAGCCCTATAGGGACCACTCTAAAATCCTTCATTACATTCGCGCTCTATGGAAAATCGGAGAGCTCATTGGATAACTTCTTAATTTTAAAGTTGCATTTGGGAAGAACCTTTTAGCTTTCTTTATAAAAAGAAGTAGCTGGCGATAAAAAGGTCTTGTACGCTTTATAAGTGATGAAAATATCACAAAAGAGACTTTAAAATTTGTTTTTCTTAATATAATCAGTTTTAAAAAATTATTTCTTTTGCTCGGAATGTTAAGCAAGGTCTAAAGTTTCGGTTCCAACATAGCTTTTGCAAAAAAAATATTCTTCTGTCAAGACTAGAATTTTCATAATTTTATTCGACATTTTTTGAATGGTGCAGCGGGTGGAGAGGCTCATTGGATTCAAGGTACACGTACAGATCCTTCTGAATTTTTTCTTAACCTTACTCTCGAAGTTTCTCTTGAAATTTTTGCCTCTTTTACAGAAGAAGTACCTAACCTAACTTCCTTCCTAATTTGAGTCACATAAGAAGTTGAGGCTGAGCAAAGCTACAATTCAACGACTGAGCTGTTGAAGGCCGCGTCGTCTAGGAGATAACATCCAAAGTCTCATCCTCAATCTTTGAGTTGAGATCGACAGTGTGTACCAGGAGCATCCAAGAGGTCAAAAAAAAAGAGACAGAAGAAAAGTTTCCGAGAGCAACCTCGACATGAAAAGTGGCGAGAGTTGTTGCCAGCCTCAAAAGTTGTAACTGGCCCGACTTTACGCTGCCCCGCGCCATTCGCGCTCCAATGATAAATTGACCAGCTCTCTGTGTTGTTGTTCGTCAATGTGTGTCTTCTTCCGGCTTTCCTAGGAGAAGGAAAACTGGACCGATTGATAGTGATATTGATCATCTTCCAGCTTGTATTCGTTTTGAGTAACTTTCGTTGCCGTTTTGAACTTTAATTATCGAATAAAGGAGGATCATGTGTCTTTCTGTGGAGCCTGTACATTGCAAATAGTTCAGCTTGACCGGCTTTTTTTTCCTTTTCAAAAAAGTACTGGCTAAACTCTTTTAAAATTTGTGTTTTTTCAATAAGATGTCGATTTTTTGAAAAAGAAGCTCACAAGGGAGGTCATTTCCCTGTGCGGTTGGGTTGGGAATTATTGAAATTCGGTCAGAACACCACTAGGTGTACCCAACGAAGATTCTGAAAGCCGTAATTTGCACAACTTCTCAGTTTTGGAGAAATTTGGGCTCAGAGACCTAAAATAGCCTATTCTAACGGATTTGGCGTCCTTAGTCAAAAATAGGAAGTTGTGCAGTTTGAGACTTTCGGAATCTCCTTACATTGAAAAGCGTTCGGACCAAATTTCAGAAAAAATCCAACCATAAAGTAAAATTACCTTCCTTGTCAATGCCAAAATTTTAGAGGTCCAATCTTAGGCGGAAAAACAACTGAAAAAATCGGTTTGCAAGAGAAAAAAAATAACTAAGAAAGATTACCTGGATTTTCTTCAATTTTTGACGTTTTCCTAAAAGACCAAACGTATTTGAAATCGGATATGACCCGCGACGACGACACTTTCTCTTGAGAGTGTGTTCATTCTGTTTTTGTGAGCGTAAGAGGTATGTGCATGTGCGTGTGCGTGTGTGTGAGCCGTTTCTTTGGAACTCCCATAGCCACGGGGGTGCTAAAACTGTGTAATAAAGGCTTGGAAATCCTTCTTCACGGAACTTTTCAAAGAAAAGCTTCGGTGGTTCGAGGGATCGTTCGATGTTTTATTGGTTGAATTTCACAAGATTTTCAGTGATCTCTGTTGATTTCATTGTGAAATTTTGAGCTGCTTGAACTTCTGGGGCTTTTTTTTCTGAAAAAGAGGGAATTTTTTAAGGTTATTGTAATGAGATACTGGGCATGACAGTTTGGAAGAGGTTCAATTCTGAATTTTCGAGATGGGAATATTTCGAGTCTGTACAGTCTTGAAGCCCATGAAGGCTGAAATGTGAAGAAAATGGTCAATTTAAAGTTTACCAAGCTTTTTGAGGTTTTTGTCTTTTCCAGAGCTTAAAAAAAGATACATATCAAAAATAGGAATATAATAGACAAAAGCTCTAGCACACTAGAAGCTTCAATTATATATAAACTTCACTAAAAGCATTTCCAAAGCTCAAAAAACGAGCCAAAGAACCCGCTGTCTAGTGAATTTTAACGTTTCCGCCGAGTGCGACGTAGCATGTTTGCTATCACACAAAAATTCGCCTCGGCCCGGCAGAAGGGCAAGCGGGCCAAAAGTGAAGAAAAAAACGATGAAGCGGAGATTTCCCCGTGTGCACAAATGATCTCTCTTCCGGCTACTTGAGAGTTTGCGAAGGCCAAAAAATTTGTCTTTTTTTGAGAACAATAAAAAGTTAGAATTTAGATTTTCTAATTTCGAAATAGTTTGAGCTTTTGGGGGGTAATTGAAATAATTTTAGGTTTTAGTCTGTTGAAGAAAAAATGACCTTTCCTATTTTTTTCTTTCAAAATTGTCTTCAGAAGTTTCTCTAACCGTCTGCGTATCCACTCTTAACACACCCACACAGACACTGTTTGTTCTGAAACCTTCAAAATTATTTACAATTTATGCGAAAAACGGCAGAAATCACACATATGAATGTCTTAACAAAGAAAGCATTTATTGTTTGTGGCTTGATTTGTTTTTTCCAGTTGCTGGTACCGATTTGAAAAGAGAAAGGACTAGACGAAAACAATACTTTTAAAAAAAATTGAGCTAAAAATCAACTAAGTAAAAAGAAAGAAAAAATTGTCGATCGATTTCAAATCGGTGGGCGAAGGCCGAAAGAACCAAGACGTCGTCACAGTGGAGCGGCTGGTCGGACGTCGAGGACTTTGGCTAACACAATACTATTTTCTCATAATTGCCTACGGGGCCAACTAAGGGATTTAAAAAAAGAAAAACAATTTTTTTATTATTAAACTAAGAGAAGTTGTGTAATTGTGCGACGCGTCGAAATTGCACTCAAATGGATCGATGGAAGGACAACAAACCGGATGATGATGAAGAAGTGGAGCAAGAAGTTTTGCTTCAGAAGAAGAAGACGTACGGGGAGAGGGGGGAGTGGGGGGAATTTACTTGGTGGCAGAGGTGCGGACCTGGCCACGCATGCGCACCAGTGAATTTTCGGCGACTTCGGCTCGTTCTTCGGCATTCTCGAGAGCGAGTTGGATCTGTCGGAATTTGGACAGATTCTGTGTCGCGACTTCTTCCTGCAAGTGTTCCGCTCGAGTTTATGCAAAGTTAAGAGATGTTTGAGAATTTTTATAGGTTCGACTTTTTGGTGGACTTTCAGTAGGTCTGAAATATTGGAAGCCTTAAACTTGCAGTTTTTTTTGAGATTTTTCTGCTGGACTTTCAAGGACGAAATTAGGAAACTCCACGTAAGGGAAAAAGGGAGGATCAAAACAGAGCGAAGAAACTCACGGCTTCTTCAATCTGTCGCTTCTGGACGCGGATCTTCTGCTGGAGCTTCTCGACCATCTCTTGCAGACGATCGAACGCCTTCTTGTCCTCTTCCACCTGTCAATTCACTCTCTCCTCCGAAGTGAATACCAAAGAAAGGTACCTGGAATTGGAGTTCGCGTGACCGGCGTTCCTGCTTGGTGTAGCCCTTGACGGACTCCTGGTGACGTCGTTGCTCGCTGTGGAATTCGGCTTCGAGTTGTCGGATTCTGTCTTCGACCTTGGCCAGGGCTTTGGCGCCGACTGAAATTCGGAATAGTTTCAAAAATAGACCAAGCTTTATACATTGGAGCATGGCGCGTTCGGCGTCGTCGATCTTGGCTTGAAGTTCCTTGGACGTGAGTTCGAGGGCCTTGCGTTGACGGTCGACGTGGACGGCGTGCTCCTGCTCCTGGCGGACTTCCTCGGCGAGTCTATCAGCGTCGGCGGCAGCCTGGAATATAATGGTTTTGGATGATACTTAGTAAAGACTCTCAAGTGCGCAGCATCTTCTACTACAAACTTTTTAGAATGGTGGACAGTTAGTCTCTGTATTTAGTTAAGCTTTGGACTTTGTCCAACTTCATCAGAATCACCTTGGTCGGTAGATCATTGAAACTCAACTTTTTGGCAAGCCTACCTTTACAACGTCAAAATTTCTTATATACTATTCTATATTTCAATCTATGATCTTTTCCCCTTCTTCCCAAAGCGCTTCGAAATCTGCGTCACAAAGTGAAAAGGATAGGATTTATCTGTTGACATACCTTGCGGGCGCGCTCCTCGGAGACTTTGAGTTCGTTCAAGCACTCGTCCAACTCGTTCTGAAACATTTTTGAAGTAGGTCAATTTGTAAAATGATCAAAGTACCCTGGCAATCTGGACGTCGTTCTCGACCTTGCGCTTCATGGCGGACAAGGCAGCGTTGTTTCCGATGAGCTCGGTGTTGGCGGATTTCAGCTCAGCCTGCTCCAACTCCAGCTGCTTCTTGCTCTGAAAATCATTTTTTTTTGTGAAAAATCCGAGGAGTTTCAACCTTGTCAGAAGCATCGATGCGGTGAGCAAGGTCTTCGCTCTCGGCCAAAGCAACGGCAAGACGTTTCTCAGCGGCGAGGTAGTTCTCGCGAATCTCCTCGCGGCGTCGTTGTTCATCGTCGACCTGTCCTTGGAGCTCTTTCACCTGGTCGAAAAGCTTCTTGAGGTTCTTCTGAGCGTCAACGTTAGCCTTGTTGGCGTGGTCCAAGGCGATCTCCAGCTGGTTGATGTCGCTTTCGAGCTTCTTCTTGGCACGCGCCAATTCGGCCTTGCTCTTGGACTCTGTTTCCAGAGACGCTTGGATGGACTCCAAGGCACGCTGGTGGTTCTTGCGAGTGTTCTCGAACTCTTCCTCCTTCTCCTGGATGCGCTTCTCGATTTCAGAACGGATCTGCTGAACTTCAATCTGGAGTCTGAGAACCTTGCTCTCTTCGGCTTCCAACGCGGCTTCAGCCTCGTCCAAGGCGTGTTGCAGCTCGTCCTTCTCCTGCTCAAGACGGCGAACAAGTTTCTGGATGTCCTGGTAGCTGCGGCCACCCTGGCTGATCTGCTCGTTGAGATCACGGATTTCCTGAGCGTAGCCCTTGTTTTCGCGGCGGAGCGTTTCAATTTGCTCTGACAGGTTGTCCATGGATGAGCGGAGCTTGAACACTTCGGTGGAAGTATTGCGAGAATCACGGGTGGTGGCGTCGATCTCCTTCTGGATGTCGTCGACCTTGCGTTTCCAGTCTTCGACGATCTTGTCGAAAGCACGTTGTTTCTTCTCAAGAGAGGCGATGACGGTCAGATGTCTGTCGACGTCGGATCTGGCGTCTTCGGTTTCGGCAAGAAGTTTGCCCTTGGCCTTCTCCAAGGAAATAACCTTGTTCTGAGCGGCGGACAAAGCTTCCTGCAAGTCCATCATACGGTTCATCTGCTTTCTCTTGAGCTCTTCCAGCTCTTCAGAGCCGACAAGACCTTCTCCTTCGTAACGAGCCTTCCATTGAGAGATTTCTGAGTTGATGCGGCTCAGCTGACGCTGAATGTCGTCTTTGCCGTTGATCTGCTCTTCGAGAAGCTCGTGGCACTGGTCAAGTTCGTGTTCGAGGTTCTTGCACGTGGCGTGGAACTCTTGACGCTCGTGGAGCTCATCCTCGGCGGCCTTCTTGGCCTCAACAAGTTGAGAAGAGAAGGCAGTCTTGGCGCGGTTGATGGTGGCCAACTGGATCTCCAGTTCTTCTACTTGACGAACGAGGTCGTTGTTGTCGTTGGCAAGACGGACCTTGGTGCTGGAGTAGTCAGCGATCTGGCGCGACTGCTCGTCCACCTTCTGCTGCAACTCAGCAACTTGGATCTCGTACTGCTTGGCAAGGCGCTCCTGTTCGACACGGGCCTTGGTTTCCTGGTCAACCTGAGAGTTGATGTCGTCCAGTTCTTTTTGGAGGACACCCTTCTCCTTGTCGATTCGTGCTTTGGTCTTTTGGAGCGCATCCAAAGTGTTAGTCAAGTCAGAGATTTGGTCGTTGTTCTTGCGACGGATGCTGTTCATCTGGTCCTCGTTACCCATGTTCTTCTCGTCAAGGTCACGTCGCGACTTGATGATTTCAGCGTCCTTGCGCTTGTTGTTTTCTAGCTGCTGCTCCATCTGCTTGCTTTGCTCATCGAGGCGATCGTTGAGTTCATCCAGCTCGCGTTGGAGCTCAGCACGTGCACGGTCGGCTTTGGAGCGAGACTGACGCTCGTGCTCCAGTTCGTCTTCGATCTCAATGATTCGCTGAGCATTTTCCTTGGACTGACGCGTAAGTCGCGTGGCGACGGCCTGCTCATCTTCGATTCGGACACCGAGGGCGTGCAGGTCGGCTTCCTTCTTCTTCAAGGAAGAGTCAGCTTCTTGCTTCGTCGCCGTCATTTCGTCGATGGTCTCCTGAGCTGATTTCAGCTCACTCTCCACCTTCCTCTTCGACTTTTCAGTTTCAGAGCGAATGCGCTTCTCGCGTTCGACGGCTTCTTCCATTTCGTCGAGGGTCTGCTCAAGCTTGGCGCGCAGGCGGTTAGCCTGAGCTTGCTTGGCCTCCTCGGCTTGCAAGTCGTCGATGAGCTGACGGTTGACTTCCTCCATGTGCTTCTTCTCCTTGTTGACCTTGGCGATGGTTTCGTCCTGGGAGTTCATTTCGTCTTGCAGAGAACGGATCTGGTTCTCCTTGGCCGCCTTCTCTTCAAGAGATTTGTTCAGGTTGGCGTCAACGGCTTCGATCGACTTCTTCATGTTCTCAACCTCCTGAAGCGCCTTGCGACGGATCTTTTCCAGTTCTGCGTTCTTCTCCTCGTGTTCGGAAAGTTTGTCGTTAGTTTCGTTGAGGCTCTTCTCAACTTCTTGACGGCCATGGTTCAACCGCGTGAGTTTTTCCTCGATGGCAGCGGAACCTCCTTGACTCATTTCGAGCTGCTCCAACAACTTGTTGCGGTCAGCGTTGAGCTTGTTGTACTTCTCCTCCTGGGCCAATCGTTCAGCTTCCAATTTCTTGGCTTCAGCCTCCAGGATCTTCTGCTCTTCGGCCATCTTGATCATCTCCTCAGCCATTTTTCCACACTTGAGTTGCGGGCGAAGACGTCCGAACAGCAAGAACCAGTCCCAGGTACGTAGCACGCACCAAGAGCGGATGTTGCGCTGGAGCACAATGTAGGCGTTGAGCTGCTTGCGACGAGCTCCAGCCTCTTCCAAGGCGTGGTAGTGACGAATGGCACACTGGAAACCGGTGATGATGTTGTTGAGCTTCTCGTCACGCAAGTCTTCGATGTGGGCGACGACTCCGGCCTTGAAGAAGACTTTCGTGTGACCGATACGGAACTGCTCCTCGCCGAGCTTCTTTTCGTTGACCAAAGCTTGGAGAATGGCGCCGGCGTTGATCTTGGGGTCGCTGGTTCCCTTGGCTTCCTTAGCGGCCAAGATGGCGTACCGTTGGACGAAGTCAGGGTGGAGGGTTCTGTTGGGGAAACCTTTACGGCAAATACGGATGCCTTCAAGCACACCGTTACAGGTGAGCTGGTTGAGGACCAAGGAGGCGTCGATCATGCCAGACTTCTTCTTTTCGTTGGGGATGATGCAACGGATGAAGTGAGGATGAGTCTTGTGGAGCATAGTCATGAGCTTGTTGAGCGATTCGCGATACATCATGGAGACGGTCATGAAAGATCCAGACTTTCCTCCCTTGCGAGCTCCGCCTTCTGTAATTTCAAAGTTTTCCAAGATATACTGAAAAAGAAGGAAACTCACGCTTAGCGGCAGCGGCGGCCTCTTCCTGGGTGGTGTAGTCTTGCCAGATCTCGACCAAAAGGTCGTTCTTCTTCGACGCCTTCATGACGGTGACGACGGTGTCGTTGAGAGGGTCCTTGTTCTTCTCCAGCCAGTTCAAGACGTTGTATCGGACAGTTCCGGCGTAGTGCCGCATGGCGAAGTGAGCTTCTCCTTGCTTGCCCTTTGGTGGCTTGGGCTTCTCGAAGTTGGGGTGCTTGCCAAGATGCTGGTCGATCAACTTCTGAGCGTAGGTCAGATCCGTAGCCTTGGGGACGATGCATTCTTCATCAAGCATGGAGATGATACCGAGCGGCTGAAAAAAAAAGAGAATTATTCATACAAATTTTCAATTTACCTTTTCGATGAGCTCGATACAAGCTTGGAGATCGAGACCGAAATCGATGAAGGTCCATTGGATTCCTTCTCTGGCGTATTCTTCCTGCTCGAGGACGAACATGTGGTGGTTGAAGAATTGCTGGAGCTTCTCGTTTACGAAGTTGATCCACAACTGCTCGAAGGAGTTGAACTGAAACAAATTCCTAATTTCTGTGGAGGAAATTGGTTAGCTTACGTCGAAGATTTCGAAACCGGCGATGTCGAGCACACCGATGAAGTAGTCACGGTCGATACCCTTCTGATCAAGAGTCAAGTTACACTTCTTGACCAGCCAGTGGAAGACGCGGGCGTACATTCCCTTGGCCATGGCTCCAATAGCCCAGTTGACTTGGTCAACGTTCTGTCCCTTGGAAACCCATTCGGTTCCGACCTTGACACGAGGAGACACAAGAGCCTTGAGGAACTGGTCGACGTCAATTCCGAACATGGCGGCGGCTTTCTTGGCTTCATCTTCACCATCAGGCTCGGCTTGTTCTTCACGTGGACGTTGCTTGAATTTCATGTTACCCATGTGCATGTGTCCAGACATGAGACGGTAGCAGTCCATCTTTTCAGTCTCTGAGAATTTCAGGATATCGAAGGCTTCGTCCGTAAGTTGGAACTCCTCGACGTCATCGATACCGTCAATGGCCAGTTCAGCCTGAGCGACAAACCAGTAGTCCTTGAGTGGCAGGTCCAAAAGGAGTTGCTTCTTGAGCTCTGGCTTGTAGTCGGAGAAGATCTGGTAGAAGATGTGGTAGCAACGCTCTCCTGGAGCCTGACGGATGACACGAGACTTCTCGAGGAGGTAGTGCTCAATGTCGCAAGAGGCGAGGGTTCCATGTCGGTTGAAGTGAATTCGGATGAACTTTCCGAATCGGGAAGAGTTGTTGTTTCTGACAGTCTTGGCGTTACCGAAAGCCTCCAAGACGGGGTTGGTCTGGACGATCTGGTCTTCAAGGGTGACGACCTTCTCTTCAGTCGCGGCCTTGGCCTTCTGACTGGCACCGACCGTGGCGAAGTAGGAGATAACTTTCTTCGTGTTTTCGGTTTTTCCAGCACCAGACTCTCCGGTGATGAGCATGGACTGATTTTCGTGATCTTGAAGCATGTTTCGGTAGGCTTCGTCGGAGACGGCGAACAAGTGAGGCGGCATCTCGGTTCTTCGCTTGCCCATGAACATTCGGGCGACCGAGTCGGTGTAGATCGGCAGACGCTTGTAGGGGTTGATCACCACGCAGAACAAGCCGGAGTAGGTCTGAAATTTGATCTCGATTAGCGGGAATCCTTCTTCATGATTTGTTGAGCTCAGAGATCCGATTTTTTTTTCTCGACTTTCTTCTTTTCGAGACCAATTTTTGTGCTTTCTTGTGTTTTTTTGGTGCTTCTTGCTTCTTCTCAACTTTGGTTTTTTCCACACGTTTCTTTGTCGGGTGATAAATCATTGGACGCTTGCCGCCTAGATCCCACCAAAGCGTGGGGAGGTGGATATGAAGAACAAATATACAGGGCGCCGCGTCCAAGAAGAAGAAGAAAAAAAGTGAAGATATAACTGGAATCGGCCCCCATTTCGCCCCGTGTGTGTTTATGTGTGGTGGTGGTGGATGGCATCGGAAAAGAGTTTGTGTGTGGGGCGATATAACCGTGAGCATGTTTGCGCAATCATCGACTGGCAGCTCCTCGAGAGCCCGAGTTCAAGATGAGCCGCGCAGCCGCCGTCTAGCCAATTACGCAAATCTTATCAGTTTTTTTTGGACTATAAACAGTTTAGTTGATAAATTGATCAAAATTGATGAGACTCCAAATGAAATAAGCTTCAACAGTTCTACCAGACTTTTTTTCAAACTGAAAAAGATTTTTTTAGGATTTGAAACCGTGTAGCTAACGAAATGTTCAAAGATCTAAAAAAATTATTAATAAAAAAATTGGTAGGTGCTCTTTTTAAATATCGTTTAGAAAGAAAAAAATCAACTTGGAAGGTTAAATTGAGTAAATTTGACAAAATGGAAGCTTTTATGAACACTGAAATATTGAATTTTTGAAACTTTTTAATCGAGAGAAAATGGGAAAAAAATTTTTTTGTAGAATTTTTTTCTTGAATATGAACAAGCAATAAAAAAATTAGCTTGTAGTAGTTTGAAACTTCGAAATTTAGAGATTTTTAGGCTTTCAAATTAAAAAAATTCAACGACGTTTACACGTAATAAAAAAAAACAGAATCAGAATTTAATTTATTCATAGAAAAAAATTTCAGATTTTTTTCTTTAGTCCCATCAAAAAAATTTCTGATCGATCATAAAACTTAGGAACTGTTTGAAATGATCAAAGTTTGATTTTTTTCAATTTTTTTGAAGTATATAACAGAAAAATTCAATTTTTATACAATAAAAAAAGATAACACTACTTAACGCCTTCGAAGGATAATAAACTAAGAATCAAGAATTTTGAAAACTCACCTACTTTGAAAAGAAGTACAAAATGAAAATTTATCTCAAATAAACTTTTTAGAGAAAAACGTTAAAAATCAGAAAAAAAAAATGTTTACGTACTTAAAAAAATAAAATAAACCCAAAATAGAAAGGAAAAAACTCACGTAGATGAGCATGGCAGCATATCGAGCTCGCAAGTTGGCAAGAACGGAGGCGTCGTTGAGGAAAGTCAGGTTGGACATGTCCTCGGTCTTCTCGAACTTTGGAGGGTTCATCTCCTGGACGAGATCCTTCTTCAGCGTCACCTGCAACGACAACGTCATCGTCGAGATTCAGAAGATGCTCCTCCACGGACATCTTTCTCGCCGACGGTGACGATGACCGTGTCGGCCTTCGGTCCTGGGCCTTTGATCTCACCGGCCAGGTAGCCCTCTTCTGCGTCCGGCACCCAAACGTTCTTCTTCGAGTCGTAGGGTCGCGATTGGTCCTGAAGTCGGGTTAGTTGGATTGGAACGGTAATAGAGAGGAGGCTGTATGGTAGTCATGATCTGTGTCACATTTGGATAGGTTACGGTGGAATTTTTTTCTGGAATTTTTTAGATCTATAGTAAGTCCGAAGCTAGCTAAAGAGTTGAAGATCGTAGTTTATGACCATTTTGAAATGAGCAGAATGCGTAGTACTTCCACGGAGCTTTTTTATACCTTTTTTTCATTTGGAAGAAGCGTCATGAGAAAAATAAAAAATTAGTTGTAATTTTGAGCTCCTTTAACTGGGAAAAAGAAGTTAAGGTCAATAGTAACTTTAACCATTTCCAACTGACCACGTGAGACGAATTTTTTGAAAGGATTGAAGAATTTCAAATGTTCTATCATAGGCAAAGCTTCTTGAAAAATGGTTAGATGAATAGATTTTCAAATGAAATGATTAAAACTTTTTTCTTTGAATACCCATATAAGTTATTGTACTTGTTGAAGCTTTCAATACAACTAAAGCAAGTTAAATTACAACTTTATATCCCATATTTCAACTAGTTAGTCCTTATTGTAAAGGTAGGATCATTCGTGAAGAGAAACTTTATTTTGTAAGTGTTTTTTTCTCAATTGAAATAAAAAAACTAAACTAGTTTTTGATTATTTTTGAATGTTAAGAAACAATTTGATGTAGAAAACTCAAATATTTCTTCTGTCTAATTTTTTTCTAAAAGCGGAAATTGTTGGAATTAGAAAAAGGTCAACTGGGCGTTCCACTATAGTTCTCTTGGCTGAAAAAAGTGAGAAAAATCGTAATAAGATTTCTTAAAAAAATAAAAAAATTCGGCTATAAAAAAAATTTAGACCAGTTTTTTTACAAGATCAAATACGTCAGGAAAAAAATTCTTTCGAAGGACTATTGTAATTCAGATAAGGTTAGGGATTTCTATTATTCAAAATCAAGCTAGAAAAGGCTGGCGAATACTCATAAGTATTTGAAATAGATCTTGCAGTTTTGTTTAAATAAGTTCAATGGAGCGAATAAGCTTGACTTCAGAGATTTTTCAATAAATGTCTTCAGAGTATCATGATATTTTTTGAAAGTTTCTATCCAAGTTTAGAGTTTCGAATGAAAATATTGAGATCATATTGTTGGACTATTAGATTAAATATTCAATAATATTATTATGAAGATAATTATACTCTAAGATAATCGGAAGGTATCCAAACCGGTTCAAATTAAAGAGAAAATGTGCCACCGAAAAATGAATACATGATATAACTGCCAGGAAAGTAAGTAAGATGGTCGAGAAATAATTAGAGAACCTCGAGCATCTGCTCGCGAGACCGACGCAGGTACTGCCATCCGGGATCCTTCTCGTGCTCCAACGACATGGTCCCAGCAATAAGCTATAATAAAAGAATGAAAAGGATGGGAAGGCGCGGAAGCTGGGAGAAGGGGGCGGCGATTACTCGAGGCGAGCCTGTGCTCCACCGACAACACAGTGTGTCTTCTCGAGGGCGTGGAGGCGGAGGTCGCCAAAAATCCTACCTCGGAAAGGGCGGAGATCCCCTCTCTGCGCGCCTCCGAACTGTTAGCTTTTTTGTGCCGATTCTCTCTCTCTGTCTCTTTTTTTCAAGAGAGAAAGAAGTTCGCACCCTCTTGACGTACGGCAACGGGCTGTATGGAGGGAGGAAAAATCGATTCTTGATAAATCGTTCGAAATTAATTCTTAGAAGTACCGTGGTGAAATAGAACTTGCCAGCACAACTGGTTGAATCCTAAATTTTAGATTAAAAGCTGAGACTTCACTTGATTTTTTTCACTGGGTTTCCAGGAATTCCCTGATTCAAAACGGGAGAGTTTCAAGCTTTTTATATTAGAAATTAGGTTGATTGAAGCGATACAACAGCTTAAGGAGAAGGATAAGTTATTGGTTTCATTTTTATTCTTTGATTCTCGGTCGGAACTGTTTTAAATAAAGTTTTTGAGGCTTTATTTAAAAGCTAGGATTAAAAAGTATACCTTTAAGCTTCTCGATAAGTAATGAAAGGAAAGAAAGACGTTAAAAAAAAAGAAAAATTATTTATATTTCACCGACAACAGTGCCCTTCTTCTAGAACCGATCTCAAAATAAGTTGGCTACCCAAAAAGATTTAAAAGTCAATTTTTTCATCGACTCAGGCAAATTTGCAAAATTTGATTTTTTCTCCTCGAAAGAAAAAATAAAACCCTGTTGATCGAAAAGATGGCCCTATAAAATTTTTCAATTTGCTTTTTGGTAAGCTTCTAGACTATTTTCATATCGCTCGTACCCTTTTTCAAAATAAGTAAGAAAAAAACCAAAATAAATTGAACTATGAAAGTTTCATTTTCACGTTAGATAACCCTTTCTGTACATGTTGAACTTTTTTTCAAAGTTTATTTTTTTGTAAAAAAATTTGATATTTTTTTCACTTGGAGGCTGGATTTGAAGATCATAGAGAAAAAGCAATTTTTTTCATTTCCACTTTTTACTTGAGCACCTTGAGATACTAACGTCTAGATTTTATTTTTTGAGTTCGAATTCTTAAAAACGGTAATCATTTCCAAAGAAAAAATCATCTTTGTAGTGAACCCAAGTTCACACTGAAGCTTCCTTTTTTGCCCACTTTTTTTAAAAGTTCCAGCAAACGTTCAGAACTTGATCTTGTAGTGACCTAGAATATTATTCCTCGATTTCGCTTCAGTTTCCGTCATCGTGAACCAGTTTCTGTACTTCTTGTGAAAAAAAAGTACTGTTGCCAAACGGTAAGATAAGTGATAAGAAGAAAGAGCTTTTCGTCGTCGTCGACGTCGTTTTTTTTTCCTCCTCTTTTTTTTGCCCCAAGGAGAAACTCATCAGAGCCTAAGATTAGTGCAAATAGTGGCGTGCTCGAAGCCGCCGAAGTCCCCGACTTCCATGTGGTTTTACCTGTGCAAACTCATTTTTCGAAGTGAGGGGCCTTCCCGGAATCCTTGCCTTCTCTTTGACGTCATCGACTTGTATTTAACACAGTTTTTTTTTTTCAATTTATAAAAAATTCGAGTAACCGTGCTGAAAAAAAGCTGATAAATATACAGGCTCTAAGGATATTTTTCATTAATACCAGAAATGCCATTATTATTAGGGAATCCTTTTAGCTCCCGGTTGAACTATTGATGGAACTTTTGGACTCCGGATTTCAGAACAAAAAGTAATTCTCGAAATATATCTTGTTTTATCACTGCCAAAGTCGAAAGTGCGGAAAATGGGCGCAAAAAGGAAGGATGGCAAAATGGCCGCTAAAAGGGTTCCGTTTTACGGCCTTTATTGAGCCTTTCATTCTTGGTGGGCTAAAAAGCATCAAAAAAAGGATGAAAAAAAAATGATAGCTGAAAAAATTTTTTTCTAACAAATTGAACAGAGCTGTACAACCGAACAAAAAAAAATAAAAGTCTATTCCGAAATTAATCATTTTTTTCAGAATACTGTATCCTGTTCGGTCGTGAACACCGCGTCATTGCGGACTGCACATTTTATTAACCGCGCTGCTCCTGTGGAATTACAGAAACATTTTTTTCATATAATCTATTTTTATTTTTAATAAGTGTATAGATATTTTTTTGAATTTTTTTGCTGTATTGAGTATGTTTTGGCTCTGTTCGCCGAAAGTTTTTCCACTTCCCGTTAAATCGCAAACCGCTACTCCCTGACGTCATCCCTATGACATCATCTTCATTTGCAAAATTCGCACACGCAGCCATATCATTTTATTCATTTTTTACGTTCCAATTTATAAAATTAGATTCGACGTGAAATCTTTTCCGGTCACATGAGAAACAGAAAGATATCACACTTGAAAATCCGCTTTTGATTGAAAACTTTTTTTTATTCTTCTATTTTTCTTACTTTTTTTAGAAAACTTTTAAAGGTTTGGAATAATCCGAGGCGTCGAGGCCCACGCTTACGCACAGTATGCTCCTTTAATTTTTTTTTTTTTGGGAAATACATTTCACAGATTTTTTCGCTACGCGTATCAAGTTTGCAAATCGTTTAGAGCTACCTGATAGTGTTATTAGTGTCCACGTTTTTGATACTAAATGCCTTTTCATGTCAGGTATTTCATTTATTTGACGAATTTTTTTCACTGTGGCTCAGTTTTTTTCGAAGCGAGTCACAGTCGGCTTCGCGCTATGCGCGCTCCGCCTCCGTTTGAAGCCTTAAAAACTAAGCCTATTTTTCTTAAGTAATGCATGAACCTGTAGGCGCAGTTTTAATGCAAAGGCGCAATTCAGGCTCTTCCCATTCTTCAATTTTTTCAATTTCAATTTCAATTCAATTCAATTTATTCAGTCTTCAGAGCAAGATGAAGAAAATCTCTGCTGAATCATCGTATAATCGAAGAGTTAGTCGTCGGCGCGGGTTACGGTCCACAATCGTTGTCCAATACGTCCCGGAGTGACAGCTAGCGTTGGGAAACAATGTGGGACCGCGGGTAGTACCAGCGAATGAACTGCTTCACCATAATGGAACAGTACGGAGCCCAGCTTGTCCAGGGCTGATGGGCGTCGGAATATTATCCCATGCGAGAGCGGCAAAGAGACCGACCAGTCGACGGGATGAAATGAGATAATAATAATCTGCTGAATCATGTTCACGTAAATAAAATGAATATATAGCCAAAATATATATTCGATTACGCTTATTTCTTGTGTTACGAATGATGTCATGAAATGATGTCAGGGAGTAGCGGTTTGCGATTTAACGAAACCAATATTCATGAATTGAATTATATTATCAAACTAATGCGGAATGGAGTTTTCAAATTTTTTTGTAATTTTCATTGATAAGTTCTTTTTTTCAACATGCAGTTTTTGGTAAAGATTCTAAATATTGAGCAAGCAAAATGAGTTTATGATAAATTTCGAATTTATTATAACCCGAAAAACGGAACAGGTTTTTTTTGAAATATTTTTTCTTTTTTCTATAAATTTGATTAGTTTAGCTGTTTGGTTACTTTTTTCTTGATTATGTTTTAATTACTTTGTACTTTATGGTAATAGAACGCGAAAGCAGTCTGGCGAACTTTTACAAGAATATCGAGTCTGATCGACCTTTATTATTATTTTTTTCAAAGATAGTGTTTAAAACCATTTCCGAGAAGTTCAGAAAGTTTTGCGATGCTGAATCACACATTTTAAGTAGATATTCGATCGAAAATAATTGCAAATATCGAGTCTGATCAGGGCGAAATTTTTTGACCCCACGTCATACGGTCATTGGGTCAAAGGCGCCGAAGAAATCTCTGAAGTGGCGCCAAACTCTGGCGGTGAAAAATAACGCCGCAAACGTCATTTTTTTCATTATTCCTCCGTTATGGTTGGTTCGTTGCCGCTCCTCGAGGACGTTTTTCATTTCAATTCTCTTTATTTTCACTTCCCGTTAAATCGCAAACCGCTACTCCCTGACGTCATCCCTATGACATCATCTTCATTTGCAAAACTTGCGCACGCAGCCATATCATTTTATTCATTTTTTACGTTCAAATTCATAAAATTAGATTCGACGTGAAAATCTTTTTCCGGTCACATGAGAAACAGAAAGATAAACACTTGAAAATCCCGCTTTTGATTGGAAAACTTTTTTTATTCTTCTATTTTTCTTACTTTTTTTAGAAAACCTTTTAAAGGTTTGGAATAATCCGAGGCGTCGAGGCCCACGCCTACGCACAGTGTGCTCCTTTAATTTTTTTCTGGGAAATACATTTCGCAGATTTTTTTCGCTACGCGTATCAAGTTTGCAAATCGTTTAGAGCGACCTGATAGTGTTATTAGTGTCCACTTTTTTTGAAACTAAATGCCTTTTTATGTCAAGTATTTCATTTATTTGACGAATTTTTTTACTGTGGCTCAGTTTTTTTCGAAGCGAGCCACAGTCGGCTTCGCGCTATGCGCGCTCCGCCTCCGTGTGAAGCCTTAAAAACTAAGCCTATTTTTCTTAAGTAATGCATGAACCTGTAGGCGCAGTTTTAATGCAAAGTCGCAATTCAGGCTCCTCCCATTCTTCAATTTTTTCAATCTCAATTTCAATTCATATCAATTTATTCAGTATTCAGAGTAAGTTGAAGAAAATCTCTGCTGAATCATGGTATAATCGAAGAGTTAGTCGTCGGCGCGGGTGACGGTCCACAATAGTTGTCCAATAAGTCCCGGCGTGACAACTAGCGGGAAATAATGTTGGCCCGTTGGTAGTACCAGCTAATAAACTGCTTCACCATGTCGGAACAGTACAGCGCCCAGCTTGTCCAGGGCTGACGGGCGTCGGAATATTATCCCATGAGAGAGCGGCAAAGAGACCGACCAGTCGACGTGATGAAATGAGATAATAATAATCTGCTGAATCATGTTCACGTGAATAAAATAAATATTTCGATTACGCTTCTTTCTTGTGTTACGAATGGTGTCATGAAATGACGTCAGGGAGTAGCGGTTTGCGATTTAACGAAAACTTTTATTTTTCGTTTTTTTAATCATATTTTTTTCAGAGTTTCGTTAGTATTATGTAATGTTATCGTCAAGGAATTCACTTTTTGGACGAGAGTCTCTTGAAATTCACTATTTTTGCAGCAAAATTTCTGTTTGATTCCATTTTGCTGTTATATTTGTTCCAGTTTTAAATGCAGCGCTTTCTCAGGCGAAAACAAAATTATCAAACTTTTTTGAAATTGAATTTGAAAGTTTTCTCGATTTCAGTTTGTACAGTTTCTAAAGAATATTTTATTTTTATTCAAAACGTGGCCTCATCATGTTCTCATTCTCATTAGTTATCGCGTCGATCTTTATTCAATTTGTGGCAATCGACTTTTATTATTTATATTCATTTTCAGAGCCAAGATGACGTGTGGAAGGAGTGACGATGGCGAAGGCTGCAGGACTTGCCAGAATTTTTTTAAAAAAATTTAAGTTTTGAATTATTCTCTTTTCTTTGAAATTTATTATCATCATTAAAACTTTTTTTGCAGAGTCGAATAAACGAAGTCATCAACGGGGCCAACTTCCAGTCATTTTTACCGAGATTTTACGTCAGGAATTCAAATTTAAGTATTTTTTTCTTCCTTGTGTAATTGAATTTATTCTTCATTGATTGATTCTTTTCAGAAAATCCACAACGAAAAAAACGAAAAAAAGCGGCCGATTTGACAACTACACGGCTTCATGGACGGCGTAAATGGGTAGCTTTGAAGTTACTTTTTTTCTTTCGGAGTTCCTTCCCTTCTGTGACTGGAATACTCCAAAACTGGGGCGGCTGGACTTCTTTTCACAGGAAAATTCTCGAAAAAAACTGCCACGAAGTTTTTAAAAAAAAACTCAACTTTTTTTTCTTTATATTCAATTTTTCAAGTGATTATCTTTCTCGTATGAAGACAAAGTTTGAAATGGGATACTAAAAAAAATCTAACTTTTTAAAAACTTTTTTTCCGCGAGAAGAATTTCCTTTATATTTACTCTCACTTATTTTCTGTATTTTCAGGGAGTTTTCTTTTCAGATTTTTTATTTTAACATTATTCCAGTGAAAAGATACGAGAAGACATAACAGTAACGCTCGAACAAATTCAGAAAATTTTTCGCCCAATTTTTCTTAATCACTTTTCAAAACTCACATTTCGCGCCCTATTTTTCAATTTCAGAAATTCAAAAGTCAATAAGTTTTTTCATTCAGGGCTCAAAGACCATTGAAAACTTGAATTTTATCTGCGGGAACTTTTTTTATTTTAATTTTTGAATTGCTTTTTGATGCTTTTTTAGCTTTATCACTTGTTCGAACTTTGTCTTCATACGATTATTCTCTCACACGGGAAGTGCGAAAGGTCGAGGTATTGGAATTTGATGAAACTTGATATATAGGTACTACCGAACACCCTGAATCCAAAAAAGGTGAAAAAAAGTGCGCCTTTTTGGTTTTAGTCGAGTGAGGGCGCCTCAAAGTTTGCACGCAAAAAATGCATTGGAAGGGAGGAGGGAATGTGTTGCGGCGGCTAACTCTCGCTGCCAGCAGGCGGCGTGGTGTAGTGGCTAGAGGCCTTGCGCTGTGAAACCTATGATGCAGGTTCGGTCCTATTTTGGTGAAATTTTTTTTTGCCAATTTTTTTTTATTTGAAAAGTGAGGAAGTTTTGATGATGGAGTGAAAGAACAGCTCAAAATTTTGAAATTCACCATTTTATGCCCATCTGAGAAAGAATTTCGACAAAATATTTTTTCGCTCCATTTTCCTTTCCTAACCATAAGGCTTATATGGTCGACCCATTCCTTCAAAAAAATTTCTGATGAACCAATAAAATCAAAGTTTTATGAGATTAATTCTTCTTTCCTTCGTTTATGACGTTATGTGTGTAAAAATGTGTATCAAAGTCTAGCTTCTCTTTATTTTCACAATCGAGATGATATGGCGATGCTGCAGGGAATGAAAAAAAGACAAGGAAAAGGGTTAACTAACCGCCACCTTTGAAGAAAAAAATCGTTAGATGAATAAGAATAGAAGCATAGAACTACAATAAGCTGTTATTTATGACATAAAACTATGAACTCTCACAAGAATAATCACGACGCCCAAATTTCCTGCACAGAGCAGGACAAAAAACGACTAAAAAAATTTTTTGTTGAAAGTCTTTCTCAAAACGACATAAAATAGTGAATTTTAACACTTTGAACGGTATTTTTCGTTTCATCTTCAAAAATTCATCAATTTTTTCGAAAAACTTCATGGCAAAAAAAGATTTCACCAAAATAGGACCGAACCTGCATCATAGGTTTCACAGCGCAAGGCCTCTAGCCACTACACCACGCCGCCTGCTGGCAGCGAGTGTTAGCCGCCGCAACACATTTCCTTCTCCCTTCCAATGCATTTTTTGCGTGCAAACTTAGAGGCGCCCTAACTCGACTAGAACCAAAAAGGCGCACTTTTTTTCAACTGCTTTGGATTCAGGGTGTTCGGAAGTACCTATATACAAAGTTTCATTAAATTCCAATACCTCGACCTTTCGCACTTCCCGTGTCAGTTAAAATTAATTGTTTTTAGGAAGTTCGAGAATTTTCCTGGGAACAAATGACCCGGGGTCAGCCTCTTTTTTGCAGGTCTTGGGTGGAAGGTCGACTAACGGGTCCAAGTCTTTCATCGATCGATCTATTTCATTTCGATTTCGAAAAAAAAGAATTCAAGTTTTGATATGAATGAACCTTTAAACGTTTTGAAAAAAATATTTGTTGCTGATTCAAATTTTTGAGGCCTTTTTCTAGCAGTCCTATCGCAATGAACCAAATTTTTTAATAATGCGCATAGCTTTTTATCTTTTCAAATTTTTTTCTAATTCTAACATCTAATTAGAGGCATTGAATTTTTTTGTATCGATTTTTTTCAAAATTTAAGATAAATCTTACCATTTAGAACGAATTTTTTTATCATTTTTTTAGAGTGCCATAGAAAGGAAATTCCTTTATTTAAAATGAAAGTTAGTACTTTCATGATCAATTTTTTTGTTGATATATCATCTTAGGATCTTGGTGCGATGGGATTGAACTTTCACAAAGCTGTAGATTATTCGAAATCAGCTTTTTAATAAATTTTCGTGAACCTTTTCACAAAACGCTTGCCAACTTTTTCGATTGCGAGTTGCATTTTTTCAAGTCGAAACCTCATTAAATCCAACGCTTTTCATCCTTTTTTTCAAAGCTTCGCTATGGAAAAGTTCGGAGATTCTCTCTTGGTTTTATAATTTTTTTTTCCGTATATCTTATACAAGTGAATGCAAGTTCATTGATTCTCGATTTTATCCATGAAAACCCTTTTTCACTGTAAGATCTTTCAAGTTGAAAAAATTTGTATCTGCAACACCGTCCTTCTTCAAAAAATTTATTGATTCGCGATCGATTAATGAATTACTTGGATCCGTTAGTCTGGCTGAAATTTTTTGAATAGGAGGTCAATTTTTGCTGATTTTCACGAAAAGTCAAGTGAAGCTCTCTGGAAAAAGACAATTTCCATTGAGATCCTCTGGAAGAGAGAAGATCGTCAAGTGATTCTTTGACTTGCTGAATCGCAAAGAGGCTTTATGACTTTTTGACAAAATTTCAGGTTCTTTGGATTTTTGAAGTTTTGTTGGTTAAGAATTGCAAGGGTCTGATGAATTTAGTTGGTTTAGACTGAGATACTTTTTTTTAAATTTGGATTTCATTTTTATTTTTTAGCAATCACTCAGATTCTTTTTTTTCATTGTTTCAAGTGGTAATTCGCAGCTTTGAAAAAAGTATCTTTTTGGAAAAGCTCCAAAAAACCAGCTCTTTTTGGAGACTGCTTTACTTCTCACAGTTGTTCAAAAACTAGTGCCCATTACTCAAAGTTGCTATTTTTTTTTAAACTGAGAAAACTTCACTTCTAACACTTCGCACTTAGTGTGAGGATTCAAGTTACCTTCAGCTTTCAAGTTTTTTAAAAAAACTTTATCAAAAAAACTTATAAGAAAAAAAATAGCGTAGCTGATCTTTTCATCGAGCTTGAAGACTTAGTCAATGTAAGACAAATTGAAAAAAACTACAAAATAATGACTTTAAATATTTATTCATCAGAAACTTGCAAATCAAAACATCAAAACTTCACTGATCAGAGGGGACTTGGACTTTTGTCTGGACATCTCCAAAAAACCTTTACCTTTCATTAAGTCCTTGGATCATTTGGCAATCTTCCCTTTTTCAGAGGGTCTTGATGGACTTTGTCATTTTTCGCAGAGCTCTTGGCCTTTTGTGAGACTTTGCAAAAATTGATTCTTTATTCAGAAGTTTTCAGTCAAAAAAGCATTCCACTCAGGTCAATGCAAGGAAAGAGGGTCGGCTCTGGGTCATTTGGAGAAAACGTCCATGACGCCCCAGGGTTGGAGGGTTCCAAGACCAAAGGGAGGGAAATCAAGGGGGCTAATGGGGAGGTTTTCAGGTCGAGCGATGTGACGGGATGGACGCCGGACGACGTCGTACTCCGAGGGCGGCATCGAACCGGACACTCTGAACCATGATTTTGAATAAAGAATTCTCCTCCCCCTTTTGTACTTGGTTTTGTCCGGCAGGGTCAGGGCCGCTGCCGAACTTTCTTTTGGGGCGTTTGTTGACGGTCGGGAGCTCCGCAGCCTGCCTCTGTAGTCTGAGGCGAAGTCCCCAGCCCGGGCCTTAAGGGTCCAAGCCGGAGACCTCGGCCTCACACTCCACAGGCTAGCTGTGAAGCCCGAGACGGAGGCCTCGACCTCAGTCACCAGAGTGCAGTGGAGCCTGAGGCCGACTCTTTGGTAGGTGGCTTGAGGCCTGGTGAGAGTCCTGTCCAGCGAGGCTACTTTCACCGCCAAGCTCGTCAATACACACTGTCTTGCAAGGTCGTTCAGGTCTTTTTTGTTCACTCACAATCTCTGAGCTTCATCCTTAGCCAAGTGAGCATGAATTTCTTCAGCTTGATCCCAAGGTCATCTGAAACGACATGCTGAACTTGCTCTATGTTGAAAGGCTTGGATTTTTTTTGTCATGAAATGTTTACTGTGAAAATATTTCATTTCCAATTAATTTCAAGATTCAACTGCAAGGCTTTTGATATTTTGATCTACCTAAAAACTTATTGAATTTCGAAACCTTCTACACTTTAGCAATGACTCATCATTTTTTGAACTAAATAAAGCAATGAGCCATAAAAAATGAGAGCTTCAAAGATCTTTGTCAGAAGAAGTTACATGTTTTTGCCGTTTGCTAATAGTTGGGGACTATGGAGAACTGGAGAATCTTGAAAACCGTCCCAAGAAACTAAAAACCCTAATATTTTGAAGTTAAATCTACTAAAAGAAATTTTTCATCTATTCAATATTGCCCAGCTGAACACAGTCGATCACATTAAAAAGTTGCAAATAAAACGGGTCACAAAAAGTTTAAAATTCAAAAGAACTTAAAGCTATAAGGTAATTTTTATAAAAAAATTTCTTTAAAAAAACTTCGAGTTTCGATCAAAGAATTTTTTTCAAGCTACTCAATTTTTTTGTCTCAACTTGTTAACGACTGACTGTGATGAGCTTGGAAAGATCTAAACTAAAATGAAAATATTAAAAAAAGGCTTGCAGATGAAATTTGAAAAATGAATCGGAAATTTTTTCGATAAGAGCAATCTTTCAACAAAGTACACGTCCAGCATGTTCGTTTCAAATGGTCTTACGATCAAGTTGAAGGAGTTCGATTTCACTTAGCTCAAGATGGAGCTCAGAGAGTGTGAGAGAACAAAAAGACATGAATTCCCTTGCAAGACACTGTCCGGTGGGGCTCGAAATCAAGCAGAGATAATCAATGTACTGGTTGGTTCAGTTTGGATGGTTTTAATTCGCATAACTCAAAGAAAAAAAATACTAAAGAGATGAATAAAAATTTGAAAACTGTTCGAAAGATTTCTAGAGCTGAAAACTATAGAAAAAGGTTCGAAATAACTATGACTAATGACGGAATGAATAAGTCGATTCCATATGACTAAAACAACCAATAAATATTGACCGAACTATGAAAACTTTAATTTTTTGGGCTCTTTGAAAAAAAAAATCTGAAGTCGTTGCATAAAAAAAAGATTTTCAGGAAAGCTCAGCCGCGCTACTATTGACTGCGTTTGTAGTGTTGGCCCGAAAAAATTAGAAAGCTTTTGAATGATTAATCGAGAAGTTAGAAATAATTTGAAATATCTCCTTTTTGATGCGAGTTCTACTTCTTGAAGTTTTTTTTACAAAGCCAAAAAAATTATCAACGAGCTCATGAGCTCTCTCTGCAAAATTTTTTTCAATTTTTTTTCTTCGAACATCTGTTTTTAAAGTTGAAAAAGTTTTTAATCGAAAAAGTGAGTTGAAAAGGACACTTTGAAAAATTCCTTCACAGAGCTGATGAGTAAGAAACTCATTAGCCCACTGAGGCTAGTTATTTCCTAAAAAAATAAGTTTTTCTACGGTAGACTAAGGTTTCAATAAAGGAAACAGCGAAAAACTTTTGTTTGAACATTGGAAAATGGAAAAAATTGATTAATTTTCAGCGTTTTTGAGAGAGTTAAAATCTGTCGGAGCTAAACGAAGAAAAAGTATGACTCTAGAAAAGATTTGAACCTTCGGGTCAAGTTTCTCAAATAATCGTTTTACCATTATACCAACCAGAAAATCTTGAGTATCTTCGCATGATTTTAGAAATCATATCAGGTTCTGTAAAAGTAAATTTCACTTTATAAAAACAAAAAAAAACCACGAGTTGAGAATATTTCCCTTGAAACTGCAGCCGAACGTATGAAGGTACAAAACTTGAAAATGAGTTCCCAGATTTCAATTTTCTTTTTTTTTACGTACGCGTGAAATTTTGAGAATTTAATGCGAAGAAGACATTATTTTGAAAAAAAGTATATGAAAGTTTAGAGACCTATCTGCAAATCTCACACTTCATAAATTTGAGCTCTGAACTAGACTATTGAGTTAATAAAGAAAAACTTTGCTGATAAAATGATTAATACTGAAAGAATTGCAGAAAAAAAAGGCCGCACATCCTTATCATGACTCTTCAAAAACTAAAAAAATCAATCGTGAATTACAATTGAAGCAGTTTCAAAATTTCTTTGCGAAAAGCCGTTAACACGCTGTCTCTGTAACTGTCAAAAACAACGGGTACAATAAAAAAAAAATATTTTTTGATTCTTATGAAACTTCATCCAGTGTGATAACCCATCATCAGAAATGCGGACCCAACTTTTTGAGCCATTTCCTCCTACTGTAGCCGGGTTACGGTAGGCAGGTGGGCACCTCCGTATCTAAGTATTGAAAAGTTTTTACTAGGCAAGTGATATATCAATCGATAGGTAATCCAATTTTAGGAACTTTTACAGTAAACACCAACTGGGGTTACTGTAAGCATTTTCGAGTTACGGCAATTTTTGTGTTTGGAAAGTCGGTTTTTCGATCACCCTGGCCGTCGGCATAGAATCGCATCGTGATTGCTGCCATGGAATATGCCCTCCAGTATGCTTTACACGATGCCACAAAAAAAAGTTAGAATTTCTAAACCTAACATCTCGAGATTTCACTCCGAACGCGCGCAACTTGGCACTTGGTGGCCAGGGTTGGTCGGGGTTGACGATTTTTCACATTTTTCTTTTGTTAGATGTTGGTGTGAAAGCTTTTTAGAATGTTACTCAAGTGTGTTGTGTATTATTTAAAAGGATTTAGAGAGACTTTTATGCTATATGTTCAGCCGAAATTTCGCTTTGAACTCAATTTTTGCTTGGAAAAGCGCAATTCCCTTCGAAAAGTCGAATTTTTTCTCTTTCCAACTGTCCCCCTGTTTTCAAAGCTATCAAATATGAAACTAGCATCTTCAAGGTAACAATTCATGAGACTTTTCTTGACTTCCACCAAACCTGTCCTGCCGAAACTCCGTTTTGAACTTACTAATGGCTTGAAAAAGAAATTTTTGCTTTGAAAAACAGATTTTTAAAAATTCCCAACTGTACCGCAGTTTCCAAAGCTATCAAATGTGTGACTGACATCTTCAAGGTTATCATTCATAAGACTTTGCTCAACTTTCACCGAACCTGTCTAGCCAAAAACTCCTTTTGAACCCTTTTTTTGGCTTCGTTGGTAAGTTTGAAGTTTGACTTTTTGTTCCTAATATCACAAGCTTTTTTGAGAATATTTTATTTTTTTTTTTCAAATTGAACGATTGCAAAGATAGTTGTTCAATTAGAGATAAATTTTTCGAAAAAAATGTACAATAATTAAAAAAAAAGTTTTTTATTTAGAAAGCTAAGAAAAAAATCGTAATTTGAAGCTTTTTATTGGACCTTTCTTTGAAGTTTTTTTCTTTAATCCTTGAATTATGATTCTTTCGGCTACTTAACAGATGAAAAAGTTTTTTTCATGAATTTTTTTCATTGTTCCGGTATAAAAAAATGCTCAATTCACTTGAAAAATCCTGCAGTCGTTAGAAACATCAAACAAAAAACAGAATTAGAATCGGAAACAACACTAAAACAAATATAAATATTGAATTTAGTCAAAAATAATTCAAATTCGGCCTCTCGTGAGTTATCGGTGGAGCGCAAAGGTGCCTTAATTTTCTGCCAACGATGGCGAAATTTTCGTATCTCGCTTTTCTGCATCGTTTTTTTTTCTCATAAAAACGTTACTTCTTACGATTTTCGGATAAGAACGAAGCAACAAGGCTCAAAAGTCAAAATTCAAACTTACCAACGAAGCCAAAAAGGGTTCAAAAGGAGTTTTTGGATAGACAGGTTCGGTGAAAGTTGAGCAAAGTCTTATAAATGATAACCTTGAAGATGTCAGTCACACATTTGATAGCTTTGGAAACTGCGGTACAGTTGGAAAGTAGAAAAAAGTTCGACTTTCCGAAGGGAATCGCGCTTTTTCAAGCCAAAGTTGAGTTCAAAACGAAGTTTCAGCTGAATATGTAGCATAAAAGTCTCTCAAAACTCCTTTGAATGTTACACAACACACTGTAGTTACAATCAAAAAAAGTTTTACACCAATATCTAACAAAAGAAAAATGTGAAAAATCGTCAACCCCGACCAACCCTGGCCGCCAAGAGCCGAGTTGCGCGCGTTCGGAGTGAAATCTCGAGATGTTAGGTTTAGAAATTCTAACTTTTTTTTGTGGCATCGTGTAAAGCATACTAGAGGGCATATTCCATGGCAGCAATCACGATGCGATTCTATGCCGACGACCAGGGTGACCGAAAAACCGACTTTCCAAACACAAAAATTACCGTAATTCGAAAATGCTTACAGTAACCCCAGTTGGGGTGTACTGTAAAAGTTCCTAAAATTGGATTACCTATCGATTGATATATCACTTGCCTAGTAAAAACCTCTCAATACTTAGATACGCAGGTGCCCACCTGCCTACCGTAACCCGGCTACAGTAGGAGGAAATGGCTCAAAAAGTTGGATCCGCATTTCTGATGATGGGTTATCACACTGGATGAAGTTTCATGAGAATCAAAAAATATTTTTTTTTTATTGTACCCGTTGCTTTTGAGACTTTTTGAAAATTACAGAGACAGCGTGTTAAAAGGCCATTTTTTAAAAAGTATAATGTTGACTGCCCGTTTCATAAAAAAAATAGACGTAAATGTAAGAACGTTTTATGAATAAGACTGTTCTCCAACTGCTTCAATTCCAATGTCCAAAAAATTGGCCCAACTATTCTAATAAGAAAATCAACAATCTAATCGACTTCGCTACCGAGACTAAATATTCTAATGAAATTTATTCATACACAACCCAATATACTAAACGCCACCTTCAATTTGACGAGCTCGGAGGGAAAAAAGAGCCTCGCCCCACAGTGCTCCCACTCAACAGAGGAAAAGGCGCATGTGTGCTCGGCTGAAGCCGGCGAGAAAGCGGATTTTGGGGGAGGGCAGACTACAGCTCTCTAGTTTTCCTGTACTCTCTCTGACCAGACAGAAGCCGAGAGACACAATCGTCTTTTTCTCTGCGCCGCCACCGACCAAAGGCCCGAAGCCGGCAACATTCACCCCTAAAGAACACGACATGCACAAAAAAAAATAATGAAAAATAGTTTTCTTCTCAAAAATCTCCTAGATTTTCAATTTTTAGTTCAACTTGGTCATATCGCATGAAACTACCGGTCTAAATTCCCTTATGATTGACTTATCACTAACTAAATAACATTGAAAAATCAAAAATGCACTTTTGAAACATACTGAGACTAAAAAAAAATGTGAAAGCTTTTTTAAATGAAAGGAAGTCCAGAAAATTTGAATTCTTGAAGCTAGAGTTGTGCAAAAAGGGTGCAAAGTGGTCGGTTAGTTATAAATAAATTAAAAACCTCCAATTTTTTTTTGTTTTGGAACCTCATGTCCAATTCGTCAAGCCGCAAGCTGAAAACCGGTCAGCTATTCGAATTTTACGATTTTTTTGACGGTATACAATATAAATTAATGATTGAATCATAAATGTTTCCTGTGAAGCCTCGGGTTTCGAAACGAAAGAAGAGAACTGTTGCGCGCGACTTGACAAGTTGGCCAGGATTGGACTGAACTCTATCGAAAAAAATCCTGAAAAATTAAGTAGATATTTGAATAGAAAAAAATCAATAAGTCTCGACCTCTTCACAACCCGAAATTTTTCAAGCTAAAATATGAATGATCAACTTACAATTACTGGAAACAGTGAGTAAAAAAATAGCTTTATTTTGGAATCTAAAAAGGAAAAATTTGTTAAAAAAATTCAACGCTTAAATCTGTCGGCAGGAAAAAAAGACCGAGTGGCTTTTTTTAAAAATAATTTTTCGAATACTTACTAGAAAAAAAAGACGTTGGTTTCATGCGATAGAATCTATGATTAATTAAAACATGATCTGGAAAAAAAGCTTTTTATTTAATTAAAATTTTCGAGAAGAAAAATTATTTTCAAATACTTTTTGCGCTGAAAAAAACGAAACTTCTGAAGAAAAAAACCAAAAAGGAACTGATTTTTGAGATTGATTTATAAATTTTACTTTTTGATTAAAAAAAGTTTCTCAACGCATAAAGTCACAACGAAACATTCGAAATGTATACCAATCAAGCTTGTCCGTCCGGTCCCGCCCATCTTCGGAGAAACGCCGCTTTTCGTTCCTTGAGGACGGTCGTTATCCGGATGTCGATCCTCAAAAAAACATATGAATTTGGAGTAAACAAAGAAATAACATATCTTTAAAAGAGGAAATCATAAAAGTTGTTAGACGTTCCCGAAACAGATGACGTTCCTTCGAGCGGCCTCTAAATAGACACAATGTTACAAAATCCAACATAGATCGATCAAAAAAAAAACGAAAGCATAAACTAGTAATTTTTTTATTCTCGACCAAAATTCGGGAAGAGTCAAAAAAATTTCAAAATAACAACATAACTGTATGTTATCGGACGATTTTCATCTTTAAAAACAATTTAAATACACGAGCAGCAATGAAACATCGTCCAGAACGGAGTAAAAAGGAAAAAATGACGTTTGGTTATTCGCCGCGCGGCGTCCTCCTGCGGCGGGTTTGGCGCCATTCTGGAGAGTTCTCTGCCGGTTTGACCCAATGATCGTATGACTCGGGGTCAAAACATTTCGGCCAGATCAGACTCGAAATTTTTTTAGAAATTTCTATCTAATTTCCACGTAAAAAAATATCATTCAGCATCGTTACACTTTTTTTGAATTTAATCAAAATAGGTTCAGGAAAACAAATTGAGGACCAAAAAAACATTTTTTTATGAGAATATTAGCTTTTTTTGAGGCATTCTTTCAAATAATAAAAGTATAATATCCGCTTTGAACTAATCTGTACAGGAGGTTGCTCTTACAAACTCGAGACATCCAGAAAAAAACATTTTAAACTTCGGCTTCTAGCCACTTTGAAAATTTTCTCTCTTGCCTCAAAAAGTGTTTCAATGAAAATACTACAAATATTACAAAATTGTTACAGCAAAAGTGAATCAAAACTAAAATTTATGGCAAATATGATGAATATTGGGAGATTTTCGTCGAAAAAGTCAAATTTACAACACTTCATACTAAATTTAAGCTGAAAAGTATGTTTTAACGTCTATAATGTAAATTAAAAAGGAAAATGTAACGAGCGGCAGCGACACACCGTCCAGAACGAAGTAAAAAAGGAAAAATGACGTTTGGAGCCGTTGTTTTTCACCGCGCGAGATTTGGCGCCACTCTGTAGATTTCCTTGGCGCCTTTGACCCAATGGCCGTATGACGTGGGGTCAAAACTTTTCGGCCAGATCAGACTCGATCTTTTTGATGATTTGTCTTTCAAGTTTTTAACTGCAGATTGCTTTTTAAATTTTAAATGTGCATCAATTTCAGAAATTTGAAAGAAAAATAGGTGAAGCCGTTAATTATTAAAAAGACTGCAAAACCTCAATTTAAAACTCAGACATCCTTCCTAAGAAGATTTTCAATTTACAAATCCGTTCTTTTGTCCCCGATTCAAATTTTTAACAAGTATAGTCTGTTCAGATTTTGAATGTCAAGTGCAATGACGTCATTCGAAAACACTCTGTGGATGGCTCGCTCTCTGATTGGTTTATCGCACCATTAGGGGCGGAGCTTGAGCGACGACTTGACATTCAAAATCTGAAAAGACTATACTATTGACAAAAAATTTTTGGTCGCAAAATTGAGAAAAAAAAATGCATATACATATAAATATTGTTTCCTTCCACATTCCCAGAAAACAGCAACTATAATCATAAAAGTTCAAAAGCATAGATTAACGATTTGAATTATGGTCTTGATCTTTGAAAAAACGAACATTCAAGAAAAAAGTGAGCTGCTGATATCCGCATGATAAAAATTTTGTAAAACTATAAAAAATGCGCGTAGTTCATCAGCGCATTTTCCGCGATGACGTGGTGCTCACGGCCAATTGTGATACAGTACTCGCAAGGGGGCGGCATAGCTCAGCTGGCATAACTCATTTCTAACGTCCGCAAGGTCGTAGGTTCGAGTCCCCCCGAGGTCGACCAAGCCTTTCATCCCTCCGGGGTAGATAAAATTGGAAGCTGCATGCAGCGAAAAGGCTCAATCTCTGCCATCGGCCTTTGGAAAGCCGGCACCGTACTTCTTCCTACGACCTCTCTTGTACCTGATGTTCTACGAGCGAAATTCACAACTTCTCTGCCTAAGCCACAGCTCCTGCCGTCGTTTAAACACAGTTAAATCAATGAAAGTCGATTGCACATGTATTCTTACATTGAAGATGCAATAAACAGTAAACAGTAAAAACTCGCAAAAAAAAAATATATAAAATACTCATCCTTCTTCAAGGTTTAGGTTTTGACGTCAATAATTAAGGCCAGAAGCCCGCCTTTCAAAGGATCTTGCACACAAAAATTGACAGAGAAAAAATTTAATTTCATCGAGAAAAAGACCACAATCAATAAATGCCTTTGTTTTGAGTTTTCGTAAAGCGTGAAGTTTGCACAGAGGCCAGGAGGCAGCAACCGGTAGAGAAATACACTGGGTAAATTTAGCTACAGTATGCCTAATGGAAAGGGAAAAACAACAACGTGGAGGGAAGATGGGGTGAACGACACGTGAAGTGAAAAAAATGCCCTCAAAAATTGAACCAAAAGTCTTGAACAGTGTTAAAGCGTTTTTCAAATACAGTCTAAAATTCAAGAATAAAATTCCTAAAGGGAGGAAGATGGGCGGAAAAAGGATCAAGAAGAACTTTGACGCTTTTTGTCGAGTAGCGGTGGCAGTGGGAAGGCCGTCTTTCTCACGGACGGCGAATGTTCAAGGAGATTCTCCTGGAATTATCCTTTTTCGAAACTACAGAAGATCGAAAAGCTGAAGAAAGTCAACTTCTTCCACGGCGTTTTTTCGGCGGAGCCCCATCCAATTTTTCCGTAAAGTGTAGTGTTTCTTGTGCATGCACCTCGGCGCTCTCGCACATGCCACGTTCAAAATATTTCTTGCAGAATTTTGAATTTCATCTCAATTTCTGAGATTCAGTTATATTTTTCACTCTCTGGTGGCTATTTCGAAAATCGCGGAATTACTTTCAACACGGCAAATGAAACAGAAAAATCGCGTTTTTCAAAGGAAAAATAGATTCGTCTCGTGACCCGATTATGCGCCTTTAATACTTCCTGTTGTTAACGCGTTCTTCCCATGACGTCACATGGGATCGGCGGAGGTTTTGATCACGCCCCTTAATTTTTGGTTTTGCATTTTCTTCCACTAACAAGAACGCCGTGGTTCTGAAGCTAGAGAATGTCCAAAAAAAAATCTACCGAGGTGTTTCGATTCATGAGATTTTTCAAGGCAGGCGGAGTCCGCGGAAGGCTTGGGGCTTGTCGTCGCTCCGAAGCTTTTCTCAGGTGGTGCGTGATGGTGCCGAGGGCTTGGATAGCCTGAATGAGTCTATGGGAACTACTGAGATCCCTCCTTCAAACCGTCTCTGTTTCTTTCGGGATGGTTTTTTGTAGGTTGAGAAACGATTCAGAAGTGATGGTTTTCTGGTTTTCTTCCTCGGTGAGGTCGCCAGACGAGGGTCGGTACAGCCGAACCATGTTCTTGTCGGCAAGCTCCAGGTACATGACACCTTTCTGGAATGGAAAGTGGTCTATGCTTTCAATAATTATTCCTGAATCACAGTTTCCTTTTAGAAAGTCCCCAAGTGATCCGTCTTTTGAAAGACCTCACAAATTCTCTGAGAAAGTGGAGGAACTGCAGTGAAGCGTTGGTAAATGAAATTCAAGTTTCGTTTTGAGAGTTGAAATTATTTTCACAGTTACTAGACATTCTGTGTAAACTTTTAGACTAGTTACTGTGAAGCTCCGCCCCTTGGGTTACTGTAGGGCTTTAAGTGAAAAAATCTAACTATTTTCTAGTACCCCTCAACAAATTTGAAGACAGATGTTTGAGCAACTCCTATGAATTGTATTTCCTTCACAATAGACGATTTTTTTGAATATTTTTTTTTAGAAAAAAACGTTCCAATACCTATCTAGAGCCTTTTATAGTTTCTTTGCCCTTTAAAAAATCTCACCTTGGTGGTCGGCGAGCTGAGATCACTCTGACTCGTATCTTCCTCCTCCTCGTTCTGAATCAAAACTTTGTGCTTTCATTGAAACTATGAGCTTTCAATAATTAGTTAAAAAAGTTTCGAATGGTTTTTGGAATCTTCAAGAATAATCAAATCAATAAAAACCTGTTCATCACAGGCCATTTCGAGGATCTTGTCCAAATGGCGGAGGACGTCTCGCAAGCGTTCGGGTGGGCACTGGAAAATTTATTTTGACTATTTTTCGAAAAACCTTTGGGCCTTTGGAGAACTGCTCAAGGCGAAACGGTCGTAAAAAAATAATCAAAAAATTTTATGAATTTTGCTCTCTCATGGCTAACAGAAGCTTACAGTCCTCTTGCTTTTAAACATACTGGCATGAAAAAAATCCCAATTTTTCCTGAAACCCTCAAATATTCCGAGAGAATGGGAGGATTGCTACCAAGATACTTTTAAAATATATTTAACAAAAAAATTACTTGGAACTGTTCTGCGACCATAACCACAAGATCTTCAACAGTCAGCTTCTGACCATGAAACCAAACTTCGACTTTTGAGCTGTCCGAAAAGTCTCTAAATGAAAAATTGAATATTTAAAGAAACAAATATTGTAACTCACCTTCCAATATTGTGCATCCAGGTGAGCCAAATCGACGCTCTAGCAATCAGCGTCGACAAAATGACGATACCTGAAAACAGAATTATCAAAAAATAGCATATTTAACCAAAACCTATGAGCACGTAGACGAAAATGACTATAAGATGCCATACAGTATCAGGTGTTGGATGGAGATCACCGTATCCAATCGTCGAGATGGTAATAAAGCTGAAATCGTAAAAATGCAAAAGAGAATTGCATCGGCCGGGAATCGAACCCGGGCCGCCCGCGTGGCAGGCGAGCATTCTACCACTGAACCACCGATGCTACGCCAATTCGTGTGAGAGATTCGGGCTATCCAGCCTGTTCTGGCGCCGCCTAATGCATAGAAGCAAGTCTAACCTGAAGTAGACACCTTCAAAAAAAGGCATTTTATCGATCCACTGGAATATGAGGCCACCAATCAGACAATGAATAGTCAGAAGAGCTATCGAAACGGATGCTGGCAGGACTTTGACCGATTTCGCCTTGAAATTGATTTTTTTGAGGTATATCTTTAAAAATCTCATTTTACTAGAAAAAAACGAACTTCAGGCCAAATCGACTTGAGGACGACGTTGTAAAGGAAAACGATGATTTTTCCGTCATTTGAAACGATCAGAAAAAGGAGCGGAATCCCAAAAAAACTGTATCCGATGCAGACGGCTTTGCCCCAAAAACTTATAGGAACAATATCTCCGTAGCCTTAAAATTTATTATTTTTTGTGAATTTTCAAATATCTAAGACCTATGGTTGAAATGGTGGTGAATGAGAAAAGGATGCGTTGAGCCCACGTTAACTTATATAAATTGTCGTCAACTAGGCTGAAGACGATCGAACCGATCAGTATGTACAAAATGAGCACGATGTTGAGCAGCACGTGTGGAATCGCAGCCGTCCAGAACTGAAAAATTAATTGCAAAAAAGCCTCGACAGATCTAAACTTCAGATCTAAACTTGAGAAATGGTTTGAAAACAACATTACAGCACTAAACACTCTTGATCCAACAAAAATATGAAAGCTACATAATCGACATCTAAAAGAATAACTTCATGGTTATTTCAATTTACTCAAGTGGGGGGTTAACACGACCGCGAGTCCTCTTCCCTCCATCACCACAAGTTCCGACACATATGTTCCCAAACTCTCCCTACATCTATTCCGTGAAATTTAGTACTTGTGTGTGAGAAATAAAACATTTTGATTGATTGATTTGACACCGTGGGAGTCGAACCCTGGTCTTGTGCATGACACTCTAACACTTTGCCACTGTACCATTCAGGCTAAAGCGTTCAGTCGTGGTCTTTGGCTACCTAATCCTATATCATTCAACGCTATATCATTCTTATCAATCCTGGTACATGGTAGCGACCAATAAATTGTCGTGAGCGGACGCGAATAGAACAGTTATTCATCAACGGCTTCCGCCATTTTTCTCTGATTTCTCTCAAAACTAGGTGACATCATTTTTTTTTCTTCTTGATAATGCGAACAGTTTTTCTTTCGACTATCGGAGATGATCGATTGTGTCAGTTGGAAGAAGACAAACCGGTCAAACTAGAGAAAAAAAAGTCTTCAAGGAATGACACTTTTTTGCTCCAAGGAGAAGAAGGAATCAGTCAAAGTCTGGGAAAGTCTGGCTTCTCTCTCTCTGATCCTTATTTTCGTTACAATAACCTATCCGGTGAGGGAAATTTTTTTTCGAGACGTGGTCATTTTTTTCGTTGACTGATTTTCGAAGGAGACAACACTATTAACGTTATTTTTCTGGACTGAGAAAATGAAAGAAACCTCTCTCTGGACGTCTCCTTTGCGGCAACAACGATCCTCGCGGAATTCCTCACGCCAGACATAATACGGACGGCAAAGTTTCATTGCGATAGATGTTTCCTAGAAAAATAATAAACGATATATTTCCAGATTCAGAAGGCGACCGGACCGCGTTGAGCGATTTCAAATGCGACCATGGTTTAATATTCGAAGGTATCTGGGTTGAAAAAAAAAACGAAAATTATTCCAAATTCTATAGTCGGAGAACGGCTGAGCCGCAGAAAAAAAAAGCAAAAAGGATAGAAATATTTTTGGCAAGTCTTAAAAAAATAACAAATAAACAAACTTAAAAATTTAATGAAATTGAAAACTCTGAATCAAATCATAGTGAAAAATTATGATCCAAGGATGCTTCCTTGGAAAAAAAATGGCGAGAATCACTCGGGTTGGTGTCAAAACCTGCGCCACAAATAAGCGAGGCGAAAACTGTCACCTCGAATCATTGTCAAATTTTTCGAGAAAAGTTTTGATTTGACCATTTGCGCTTTTTTAGGACCTTTTTCTGTAGAGACCGACGCGTGATCCATCATTTTTGCAATTCCCCAGTGATATTTGGATCATCATTTCAACAAACAACAAACTTGGTTATGGTGAGAAATTCTCAAAATTTCTTCTAAAGACTACTATCCGTGTTGGAATGAGTTCAAAAAAGATGAAATGAAGAAAATATTTGAAAGAATGTTTAGAAAACCTGATTTTATGGAAAGAGAAAAAAATGCAAAATGATTTCTCTCCGGCCGGGAATTGAACCCGGGTCTCGCATGTGACAGACGCGGATACTCACCACTATACTACCGAAGACACGGCAGTGGGAAGCCACTTTCCGCAGGATAACCCTTCTCTCAAGATGAGCCGCAGGTATGTGTCGTATATCATTTTGAAGAGGAAAGTTGCGCGCAACAAGACGTACCTTTTTCTTGACGATCTTTGCGGAAGAATTGTTGAGGATGAGCTCCGTCACCCTCGCCTTGTGCTCCCCCATTTTCGGACGAGCTCTGAAAGTATTGAGATGAAAAATGGAACAGAAAACTTGGGGAGAATATGTTCAAATAGAGATTTTATAGGAGAAAGCGTGAGAAAACTATCAGCGAACAGGGAAAATTCAAAATTTCGATTAAAAAACGGGAGAACGTCAATTATAGAAAACCATTGGTTCCCAGAAACCTTTTTTTTTTTTGAAAAAAATCGAATTCATAAATCGTCTTTGAGATCTTGACTGAAATTCAGGAAATGCAAGGAAAAATACAACGAAGATTATTTCGACTTATTTTAGTTCGACCTTATTTCGAAAAAGAAATACTAAAAAAAGACCAAAAATCTCAAAGAACGATCATTTCTCTTTTTTGAAGACTACTCCTGTCAAAGCAAAAAAAAGAGACAGACATTTTTCGGGAACGCGGATGAGTCATTGGGAACGGTTGGAAAAATGATGAGTGGAATTTTTGAGCGAAAAATTTTTTTATTTCATTATTTTTCAAATTAATTATTTATTTAAATTTGCGTTGATGAGCTTTTTAAATTTATTAATTTTTGTTTAAAAAAATCCATTATCTTTATTTTTTTGACTTTAGTTATGAAGGAAAAAAAGTTTCGATCAAAACATATATTCTGCAGTTTCTCGTGAGCCAGCTTATATATTTTTTTTAAATTTAAATTATTTTTCCTAACAGATGAAGCAAACTACAAAGAGCGCACTTTTTCAAATTTGAAAAAATAATAAATCCAACAAAAAACAGTACACTGCCAAATACTTTTTCAAATGAAATTGAAACTGAAAAACGATCGATATTTCGAGAATCGCCTCATCAACAGATCCAGTCAATGTCGACAATCACGGAGACGTTATTTATAGCCGATGAATCGGATGGTTTTAAAAGGGCGCCGGCGGGCTGAAAATAGAAGCTACCGTTTGAATTTTCAAAATAGTTTCGTAATGAAGTCATTTTGAGGTATAAAGAAAATTTCGTTTTTCAAGACGGTTATGTAAGAGCTTCTTGCTTTACAGAAAAATTGATTTTTTTTTTTGCAGTATGATGACGTCATTTAAAGCCAATTAAAGAGGTCAGAGCAGTTGATTTTCCTTCATGACGTCATAAATTAAGACACGAGACTCTCCAAAAATAAGCGATTGTAATTTTTTGACTTTTGAGGATCCTTAACTTTCACAGATTTGGGGGATATTTTGAGTCCAAACTTCAAATCAGCGTGAAAAAAAATTACCTAATGAACCTAGTCTCAATCGAACTTTGAGCAGAGATCCCCCAATTTTTTTAACTTATGGGATCATTGTACATGCGAAAAAGGCTTTCAAAGTTCGAATAACTTGAAAAAAATAAAAAAAATTTTTCTTTTTTTCAAAAAAATAGCATTTCGGCATAGTGGTTTTTAGGTCTCAAAAAGTGATATAACTTTGTTGAACTTTCGAACTTTTTCGAAAAAAAAACTCTATTTTTGAATTCAGTGAGAAATTCTGAACAAGAAACTGCTGTACCAAGTTTGAAAAAAATACAAAAAGTTTCTCTTTTTTCGAAAAAAAAGGCTTTTTGGAGTAGTCCAACTATTGGTCTGTAAAATGATCTGATTCCGCTGGTTTTTTTGATTCTTGAGTCGAATTTTTAATTTTGGTGATAGGAAAACTCCAAAATGGACAACGCTTTATTAACAGTAAAAAAAGAACAAAAAAAAAATTTTTGAAGTTTTTTTCAGGAAGGAGACTATTCCAAGCGCTGGCACGAAAAATTAGCGGTTTTTCCTATTTCTGTGAAAGAAGTGTATTACCGTATCGTATATAAAATGACTTCATAAGCTAGAAAAAAATTATAAAAAAACTCGGGAAAAGTTAAAGTTGAGAATTCGAAATTTTTCGCAGGGAGTTTCTGATCGACTTTTCAATGAAACAAGGTCCACTAGAGGTAGTTTTTTACACTGATTTCAAATCTGGGTTGAAAAAAGCCGCAAATGTCGTTGAGAAGAGTCAGAGAAACTTTCAAGTCGAAAAAATTGATTAAAGGGATCTTTTTCGGAGGACATTGATCAGGTTGTTATACAAGTTTAGTTGACCGTTTCCGATTGTTTTTCAATTACAGTTTAAAAGCTCTTATGACGTCATTTGTTATTCTGAACTTGAAAGCATACTTTGATACGCTCAAAGTGCTTTCGAAGAATTCTGGAAAAAGCACTTTCGGATGGTGTTTACCCGGAAGGTTTTCAAAAACCACTTTGTTCTTTTAGCGATCGTCTTGAATGAAAAAATGGAAAAAAAAACGGTGGCGGCGATTTTCAAAGAGAAACGTGTTCCGGTGATCTTTTGGGGGAATAAAAGAAAAAGAGTATAGTCGGACTGTTGAATGGGGGTCGTTAATTTATATGTTCCAAATGAGGAAACCGCCAGTTTTCCTTTTCATACAGTTTCAAAAGGAAACAAAACCTGTTTTTCGTTATTTTTAAACGGAAGGAACTGCCTCAAGAAAGTTGCTAAAAAAGTTCTGATTTATGAAAAAAAAAGTCAATTTTTGTTGAGTGTAGAAAAACGGCCAAGGCTTCAGGTTTCGCAGCAAAAAAGGCGCTTTTCAAAATTCTTTTTTTTTTATTCCGATATGCTTTTTTTGTCGAGCGCAGACATCGGCTATTTAAAAAAATCTCCCAAAACGACGAAATTTCGGGTAAAGCTTTGGTGAACTTGAAAAATTCATAATAATTTCTAGAACGTTGAAAATTCCTCAGACTTGGAAAAATTCCGAAAACCTAACAAGTGTTATGAAGTTCTTCCAGTTTTCTGCCTTTTGATACGAAAAATAAAAAAAAAACCAAGTCACTGTTTTATAGAGGAACCGAAAGAAGAAACATTTTATGATTTTAAATAATATCTTGGTTTCAAAAAGGTCCCCGAAATTCCCTTTCAACAGAAGGTACTGTAGATGAACTGAAACTTCTAGCAAAAAATTCAAAACTTCCAAACTAGATAATCCAAAAATGCGCTGATGAATCATACGTTCAAACTCAAACAAAAAAAAACCAAAAAAACAATTCAAAAAGAGAAAGACTATCGCTGGTCTCCCAGGATAAAAAGACGCCGTCGACGGTGTGAAACATCAGAAAGAGAGCCACTTTGTGTGCTGTCCGGCGCCACTTTTTGATGTGAGAAAAATCGGCCTCGAAAACCATTCCATGCCACGCGCAGAAAACATTTTAAATGGATAAACGAGCGATAAAATAAAAAGTCGTGAGAGCATTTTGTCTTGCAAGAAGAGGCTGATGACATTCTTTCAAACTGTTACGATTTCTAGAAAAGAACTTTTTTGATTGAACTTTGAAAATTTTATCCAAAAGAAAATAATTGAACCACACCAACCCAAAAAGAACTGGAAAAACTTTGAAGAATCACGGCAATTTTCGACTTTTTTTTTGTTTTTTCATGGCATTCCCAGAACCAAACCGGTCCTCAGATGATTTTCAGAACTGAAACTATTTGATTTTTGGCTTGAATTTAGAATGAAATATTCAAAAATCGGAAAAAGTTGCAAGAGAGAATGTTTGGTCAAGCATAAAGGAGGTACAATACCATTCGAAATGGCAACAGAAAAACGGAAAAAAGTTGAAAGGAGGAAGAAAAGCGAGACGCAGACGGCCCGAGGTTTGAATGGAAAGAGTATGAAGATCTAAGATGGCCTGAAAGGAATTTGAATATCCCTGCGGATCAAAGGAAGATTTGAAAACTGGTACATTTTTCTTGGCGTAATCTAACAAAGGAACGTTTGTAGCCCTGAACTTTTGATGAAAGTTTACTAGAGTGTACTTTAGAGCTATATGATCCCAGAGCAAGAAAAAAATTTTTGCTATAGATCACGGTTCAAATTTGAAATAGAGAAGAAATCATATTGCGAGAAGTTTTTTTTTTCTTGGTCGAATTAGAAGGTCCTAAAGTTTATTTGAGCCAAGTTTCATCAAATTGTCAACCGGGGGGATCATGAAATTGTCATCCAAATAAAGCTCTTTTTTTTTGTCATATGGGGGTAAAAACGTTTCCAGAACTGATAACGATGATGGAGCAGGTTAGTTAACAACATAAAATTTAGAGAAAATTTGAATTTTCCGCTACAGAAAGACTGAAAATTTCACGTCGGTTAACACCTCGCTGAATTTTAATGCCGTCATAGAATATGAGACCCGCTTCGCCGAAAAGGTACTAATTTTTTTTCGTGGGTTTGTGACACCTTTAATGATGTTATAAACGAGGTTGTGAAGAGGGTCCAGAGAGCTCGAATAAAACGACCTTTCTTGTAATTTAATGACAGTAATAAAAATTTCAACGAGGTGATGAAGAGGTCCTAGAGAAAAGCTTGAACATTCTTCTTTGCCACAAAAGACAATTTTTTCAGAGTGATAGAGGAGAGTATTTGATAAAGAGATATTTGATTCGGACGCTGCTTACAAACTCCAGTAACTGTTTGAAAGCTTCAGGCGCTGTTAGAAAAATCAAGGAGCTGCTCGTGGACTGCCCAGAAGTGCATATGGGCAGGCGAGATATAAAAATAACTTGTAATTCCAGATAGATAGTATTGCCTTCAACTTTGATAGACTCGGGAGGAGGAATTGGAAGCCACAAAAATTTTTTGTTAATGGATCTTCTAGAGTAGAAAATTGCTGTCATGGAGGTACTGTTCGGTTGCTGCTACAGATATTTGGGAGCTGCCGATAAACGTTAGGAACCGTTTGAAAGCTTCAGACTCTGCTACAGATATTTGGGAGCTGCCTATAAAAGTTAGGAAGTGCTTGACAGCTCCAGGTGGTGACAAGTCTTCGTTTAAAATACCAATGAACTGTTTATGAACTTTGAGAACTGCTTATAAATCCCAAAATTAAATGACGACAGCCAGATTGCGCAGGTTCAGATAAATATGTCTACACAGAAATTCTTTTAAAAATTTAACAAGAGAACTGAACTTTCTAGTTTTTCCATTTTCAGTCCGTATTTCTTAACACTGATCAAATTATTTCCGGTTTTCCAAATCCGATTACTTCCTTAATTGTTTCTGCTTCATTTGAAATAGAAAGAACAACATTTTCAAAAACAAAAAAAGAAATTCCATTTATTTGTTTTCAACATCAATTTTTGTCGGTGTTCCCGCCGTATGAGGCTCGAAAGACTGAATTTTCGAGTGTTTTAATAGGAAAAAAAATTGTATTCAAAAAGGAGTTAATCAATCAAAATCTCACCGCAAATGTCGGCGTCGGATATTTATTTTTTTGGTCCTCCTCCTTCCCGATACACCATTTGCACACAAACATAATGCACCTGAAAAGATGTTCCTTTGAAAATTCGGGAAAAATTGAAAAAAACACTACTTGATACTTGGAGGTATTCTAAATTTCAATTAAAACATAATCCGAGAAGTTTTATCATAGAAAAATCAGCAAAAATCAACTCTATCACATAGAATTGAATGTTTTAGTATAGCCTGTGTACCGCGACTTGGAATTTCACCAAACGACATTCCGCTGTGCGCTTTTGCGAACCTTGGTCGCGCTTAAAATTTTTTTTTTCTTTTATCAAGGTACTCTATTTTCCTGTGCTCTCACAGCAATAAAAATCAATTGAAATCGTTTCCTAGATTCGAAAGACGCTTCGCGAACGAACGCAGCGGAACAGCGGAATGTCGTTCAGTGAAATTTCAAGTCGTGGCACAACGACTACCGAACTTGCTTATCTAGTAAAAGTGCGTAAACCGGAAGAAGTCGGTAAAAATCAAAAAAACGGACCAACAAGCCCCGACCATGCAGCAGAACAAGATCATGAACATGACAATGATGATGTAGGTCACTGAAAGTGGGAAAAAATTCAAGAGCACTTCTCGAAAATGAGCTCCAAGGGTAATTTTTTTCAATTTTCTTAAAAGAAGGCAGCTTTAAGGAAACGCTCACGTGCTAGTAATTCGCTTCAAATTTTGAAAATTCGATAGTCAAGTTCAAATAATCACAAGATCACACGAATATTTTCGATTTAGCGACTCCAATAAAAAAAAAGATAGGTATAGTCTGTGTGTCACGATTTGAAATTTCAAGGAACGACATTACGCTGTTCCGCTGCGTGCGTTCGCGAAGCGTCTTTCGAATCTAGGTCACGCTTTCAATTGATTTTTATTGCTGTGGGAGCACATGAAAGTAGAGTTCCTTGAAAAAAAAATTAAAAGCGCAACCAAGATTCGCAAAGGCGCGCAGCGGCACAGCGGAATGTCGTTCCGTGAAATTCCAAGTCGCGGTACACAGGCTATAAGTCCAGAGACCTTTTTACGGAGCTTCCTGGGCCAAACTCACAAATGTCATGCAGTCCACTCTCCCGGAAATCAATCTCCGACGGTCGAACTCCCGCCTTGTGGAAATCGCTTTCCAAGTCGTCCGTCTTCAGTCGCGGATTCTCATCGACCAGCACTTTTACCCGAGAATATGGCGAGTCGACCAGCTCTCTGAGAAAAAAAGACGGTTACCGTAATTTTTGATATAAAAGATATAATTTTTGAATAATTTGTCTATAACTGCATTTATTGTTCTGAAAAAAATTGAAGAAAACTCACAATTTCGGAAATCGCAGATTTTTCAGAAAAGAGTTTTTCGCGATTTCGATCGCGGGGCCTGAAAAAATGTTTTTGGAATTTTTTTTTCTCCGTTTCAGTGACGTCATCAAACGAACAAGATGACGTCATCTTTTCAATCTATGAAATCATGGATTTTGTCACTAATTTTGTTTTTGGGTGGAGAAGTAATGGAAGAATCTTTAGCTAAAAATTTAAAAAAAAAATCATGAAAACATTTAAAAAAAAACAGAAAAACTATCAGTCAACTACCTAAAAAAATAATCTAGAAGGCCGATAAAATCAATAAAAACACGAGTGACGTCATTAAATGACTATGAATGACGTCACGACTAACGTTGCATCCTGTTATGAATCTTGCGAAGATTGTCGAAAGTCAAGCTGTTTATATGACCGATTTCCTTGATTATCAATCTGGAAAGTTTCAAAATAAACCAATTATTGAGAACGATAATTACCGGCCATGGATCTCCTCAATGGCGGCGACGGCGCTCCACCAAGTGGGGACGGCTGGAAAAAGAAAAAATGGCAAAAACGTCGAGTGGAATCGAACCTGAGCTAACTTTTGACTATATTGTAGTTAATCCCGTGTTTCAAATTTTAACGAAAACAAATACTATCCCAAAAAAATCTAAAAAGTTTTTGGGTCGAAAACCCGAGATTTAAATAGATTTTTTTGCACCCGACTCTTCACGGGTTTCGCTTCGAACCAAAAATTATTTAATTACCAGTCCAACCAACAATCTTCAGGGTTCCGGTGATGATGCGACAATCTCCACGTTGTAGATAGTCGCGGAAATATTGCTCATCAACCAGGCCGCCGGGGCAAATTTGTTCTGAAGATAATTTTTTTGAAGTCATTTAGTGATTCATGCTAGGATTTTTTTTACCAAAAACAGGCATGCTGGAAAAGGTCGGTCGGTCGATTTGGAAAACTAGGCCACGCCGTAAATCTGCTCCATGGATCCATGGAAAATCGGATTTCAGACTCAGACCTTGGTAACGCGAACGGGACGCAAATCGGACGTGTCGGGGCATTTCTAGTGACCACTTTAGTAGCCTCACTACTCTAAAGGGACCCCTAGAATCGCCCAGAAACGTCTGGAGCACGTCCGTTTCGCGTTACCAATGTCCGAGGACTTTTTTCCCTGTTTCTATATTTTTCCTTCCTTTTTATCAGTTTTCTAGGATATGGGACACATGCTCCTCACTTCAAACTGAATTCTTCCTTATTTATCATTGTTTCCCTAGGTAATTTTTTACCTTTTGTCGGAGGTAACCTTGTTTCTTGCCTTTTTTATGTGTATTTTACACATTATCTCATTTTCCAATTTTTTATAATTTTTTATTTCACTCATTTGGTTATATGAAGTTATTTTGGATCCAGAAAAATTGATAAGAATTTTCAAAAATTGAATCAGTTTATAATTTTGAATTCAGTAACCATCGTATTTTTCTCGCAAGAACGATACATTTGAATGAAAATAAGCGAAAACTTTCTCAGTAAAATTTTAAAAAAAAAGAAGAAAAATTCAGAAAAGAAAAAGAGAGATTGAAATTCTAAGTGTTCCATAGAGCAATGTTGCGGCGTGGCCTAGTTTCCCAAACTGACCGACCGACTTCTCCAGCATGTCCCAAAAACACCATTTGCTTGAAAATTCACATTTTCACGTTCTAATTTCTCTCACAACCCTAATTCTTTTTAAAACTCGATGCACAAGTAAAAATCACCACAGGAGCCGGTTTCGATGTCGATTTTGATATTCCGGAATTCAGACTGAATTTTCGATTTAATCGAAGAAGACGAGCACAAATTTGAATTTTTGCGGATTTCTGAAAAAAAGAAAATTTAAATTGTTTATTTGTGACTTAAATGAAAAAAAAAGGAAATTTGAATTGTTTATTCGTGAACTAAAAGACTTCCCTTTTTCTGAAAACTTACAAAAGTAGATCGAGAAAAAAATTTTTAATTGTTGACAGAGGAAACACAATGCAAGAAAAATGTAGCTGATTCACGGCCTAAGCCATCCAAAAATAGGTCCTGACCCGATTTAAAAAAAAAGAGATAGCGTCTGTTTGGTAGAGACAGGCCACGCCCCCTTATCGTCCCAAGCTAGCCGTGAATGGGCTATACTCGTGAAAATTAATCTCTAAAATGTTTCCTTTCTGAACTAAATGACGTTATTGCCACGCGCTGCGGTCGCGTCGCGGCGTCTCACCATGTTGGCATTGTTTCAGGCGTTGGTTGCACCTCGTTTGAATCAAAAAATCGATGTTCTTCAGATTGTCCGAGTTCGTGATCTTCAAGCAACCGTTGATCTCCCTGAAATGAAATCATCAAAACTTTTAACATGTATTTTCCTGACCGAAGTCGGTAATCTGGATCGATTTGATCAATAACAGTGTTATTATCGATGAGAAGGTCGTTGATGACGTCGCATTTGAGAATATCAGACAGGTTTCGTAGTGGTCCGATTATCACACATTCTATGAAAATTCATCACTTTTCAAAAAGAAAGGAGTAGATCGAGACTTGAGACTTACAGCATTGAAAAAAAAATATTTAAAAAAAAGAAAGTTACTGCGTGGTCCCACAAAGCGTATATACGGTCGAGGTGCTCGTGTCGTAGAAGTTTTTCCTTTTTCGTTACTGTAAAATGTTTTTTTGAGAGAAATTAAAATTTGCTTGGGATAGTTTCGGTGGGACCCGAAAAAGGGGAGGGGACTTGGCAAAGAACTTGAAGGGGGGATTTTGAAACGACCGTAAAAAATTTTTCAGGATGCGCCCTGGACTAGCGCCTAGTACGATCTCATGAAAAAATCAAACATTCTTTTTTCTACGAGCATGGAGGGGGTTTTTTATTTTTTTTTAAGCTCAAAAGTCACCTTTCGGTAGTGGAGTAGTTATAGCGCTTGTGAGGTTAGTAGATGCAATTGGCACTGAATTTTTATTTATTTTTCAACCTTAACCCTCAAGTTTTCAATTTACCTTTCGTAGTATTAAGCGTTAGGTCAGCCACTGGATAGCTTGTTGTATTTTGTGCTGAAATCTCATTTATTTACTATCTAATGATTTTTTTAATACCTAAGGTTTGCAGCGTTGTGTTAGTGTTTGGAACAAGCGTTTCTGAAAGAAAAAAACATGAAAATTAAATTTTTCGACTTTTTTTAATAAAAAGTGTGAAAGTTTTTTTCGCGGTATCTTTATTTTTTTAACGAATTTTTTTACTAGAAGAAAATAAATTTGGAAAAAAAGTACCGTTTCCGAAATTTGCCAGGATTTCAACAAACACAATTGTGAGCGGTAACAGCCACGAAACAAGTTGAGCCATCGGATGTTAGTAGAAATGAATGAGGTTGCTCGTTTTTACGTTGTGTATTGATAGTACTATTTTTATTTCCAAATAGACTAGAAAACGATAAAAAAATATCAGAGTAGTCATATTTGGAAAATCTCAGTCTGTGTGCCACGACTTGAAATTTCACGGAACGACATTCCGCTGTTCCGCTGCGTGCGTTCGCGAAGCGTCTTTTGAATCTAGGTCACGCTTTCAATTGATTGTTATTGCTGTGGGAGCACATGAAAGTAGAGTACCTTAATAAAAAAATTAAAAGCGCGGCCAAGGTTCGCAAAGGCGCGCAGCGGCACAGCGGAATGTCGTTCCGTGAAATTTCAAGTCGTGGCACACAGCCTATACGGCGGACATGATGAAAAAGGCTCTAACGAAAAATCAAAGCCCTGTTCAGACACCTCAGGCGATGGTTCTGAACACACGCGAATCGAGAGGGTACCATAATGTGTCCACAAAGGTACCTATCAAAATGGATTGTGAAGACCTCAAAATGTGCCCATCGTGAGACCTCCAGCATACCTTTTAGCTATATTTGAGCCACCTAGAAGGTAATTTAGAGTCTCCCTCAAGTTCCTCTCATCTTGCTCAAAAGCGTCAGAGGTATACTCGAGGTACCATCGTTAGACTTCAGACCCTGCAATATACCTCATAGGGTCTCGCGATAACCATTCTAGATTCGCCTATGCTCATCATTTTATAAGGTTTTGCCTTTCTCTCTCTTAGATGATGAAGAATTTTCTTCTGACTTTCAAAAATTCTGTTTCTCGAATCGCCTATGAACGTTAGGAACTGCTTGAAGATTCCGAGCGCTGTTCAGAAAATTCAGGCGATGCTACATTCCGTTTGAAACTTCGATGTACTTATATTTCACTCGTATAAAAAGTACACCTCTCTTTTCAATCTTTTCTGAAACATGCTTTTTTCTGGACAAAGCTGACACATAGAGTTTTCACCGAGTTCATAAAATTTCATTTGAAAAATCAAAAATATTCATGCAAAAAAACTTATTTTTACCTGTTTCTGTTCAAAAGCGAAAATTTCAACGTACAAGCAGAAAGCACCAAATGACACATTTAAAATGAAAAAATTCAAAAATTTTCAAACGAAAAAAGTTTTACATTGCGTTGCGTTTGTCGCGGTTAAATCGAGAGAGACGTCGCAACTGGTTTCGGTTGGGATGAAAATTCGAAAGATGGATGAAATTTGGTCAGGATCTTCTTGAGAAAACGGACAAACGGCGATTCGATGAGGAAAGCGGCGTTGCGAGTTTCAACCTGCAAATATAGTGATTGGTTCTGACATTAAATAAATAAATAAATGAACCAAAAATTTCGTCTATAGAATTTTTTTAACGCTCAATAAACTTTTCAAGTACTGTTGGTACATTACGCTCTAATGTACCAACAGTAATCTTGCTTACAAAAAATAAAATAATGAAAAATTTAAAATTAAGCGGACGATTACAAGGGGGCGGCATAGCTCAGCTGGTAAAACTCATTTCTAACGTCCGCAAGGTCGTAGGTTCGAGTCCCCCCGAGGTCGACCAAGCCTTTCATCCCTCCGGGGTAGATAAAATTGGGAGCTGCATGCAGCGAAAAGGCTCAATCTCTGCCATCGGCCTTTGGAAAGCCGGCACCGTATTTCTTCCTACGACCTCTCTTGTACCTGATGTTCTACGAGCGAATTTCACAACTTCTCTGCCTAAGCCACAGCTCCTGCCGCCGTTTACACACAGATATAATCAATGAAAGTCGATTGCACATGTATTCTTTCATTGAAGATGCAATAAACAGTTTTAAACAGTTTTTTAAACAGGACGATTTCGCATCTTTCATCGGCATTCCCTAATTTTTTTTCAGGATTCGAAGCTTAGGACTGACCTTGAGAACGGTGGGATTTTTTGGATCTCCACTTGGAATAAATTCCTCGAACTGGAAAGTTTTGACTTTCCTTGTTTGTGTTGAAATGATGTGCAAGCCGTTGTCATTGACCCCGACATGAGATTCGTCTCCGTTTTTGCCTGCTCTCGCCTTAAAATTGATTCGATTTCATGGATTTTTATTATTTTGTAGTAGTGTTTTTCCTCAACATTCACTATTTCGTTTTTTTGAAACTTTGTAAATTGTTTTTCAAATCAATGAAAAAAAGCTCTCATTCCTCATTAAAATACTCTAAAACAGCTAACCAAGGAACGTATTTTACCCCCCGCGCGGTTAAACCTTTGGTGAAACTTTGCTGAAGTGTACTTTAGGACCCCCTGATTGCAGTTCAAGAAAAAAATATCTCGCAATAGATCTTGTTTCCGAGTTATGGAGCTTCAAAGTGTGCAAAATACGCAAATTAGGCCAAAAAAGGGCTTTTGAAGTGTCCTAACTCGAAAACGAGATCTATTGCGAGAAATTTTCTTCTTGTTCTGGAATCAGGAGGTCCTAAAGTACACTTCAGCAAAGTTTCAGCAGAAGTTCAACCGGGGGGTTCCCTAATAAGTAAGAAAAGAAGCTTTTGCCAAAACAAAATGAGGCAAAACATGGAGGAACGATGCGTAATAGCCGTGATTTACACATAGTACTTGAGCCCCGCCGTATGACCCTGAAACATATGGTTCGCAGGAAGGTTCTTAGGATGTTAGGAAAAGAGTAGGAGCCTTCCATCTCGTGCTCAACAGGTGGGATGTCGGAGTATTGCTATAATTGGAGAAGGAAAGTCTAACAGCTGGCCTAAGTTTCATTTCCTGTTTCAGCTCACTCCCACTATAAAACAATCAAAATCGATGTAATTGCTCTTTTGAATTTTTTAACATCTTCAAATATAGCTGATTCACGGCCAGCGTGTCCTGTCTGTGCTCTCCACAAGCCAGGCGCTATCTCGTGCATTATCGTGTCGGGACCCATTTTTCGATGGCTCAAAACAGCCGTGAATCGAGTTTATAGTAAATTTTCCCAGAATGTAAAGGCGAGAATTACGGTTTAATGAAGAATATGAAAACCTTTAAAAAACATAATATTAGTCCTACAAAGTTACTTTCTTAAGGCCTTTCCAATCGATTCTACTATCTACAAAAACGAAGTAATCATTTCAGTGGAGAAACTGTGCGCCATTAAAAACTCATTTCCGTTAATTAGAGTTTACGTGGACCTCCAACAGGTGGGTCGACTTTCTTTTCGCCGGCTCAGGTGTCAATTGGCGGCTTCGATCCGTGAAAGGAGCCTATTGACGGCTCAAGTGTCTTTTTACGGCTTTTATGCTCTTTTTGTGGACTTTTTAGATTTATAGCTATTTCATTAGTGGGTCGCAAACGAGCTTTAAATCCGCCAAAATGCAGTTTTTTTTTATCTTCAGATATTTTTATCATTGAAGCACATATTAGATTTGAAAACAGCCACTATTTTATTTACTTATTTCACTCAAACACGAAAAATACAGAGTATTTGAAAAGGAAGAATATGAGTGAAGGGGAACCAAAGCTTCTTTTCAAAAATTAAAAAAGTTATAATTAACTTCAAATGTCAGATTTCGAAAAACTGCGGAGTTTCATTCTTGGAGCGAACTTTCAAGTGAGGCCATTTTTTCCGTGAAAAAAAGCATTTTTTTGATAACTTCACATTATACCTCTAATATTGGCAAAGAAGCTCGAAAATGCAAATATAATTAACCGGGCACTTGAAGAGCCGTCAAGGCGGTTCATATTTCCATTGAATTCATTTCCAAGCTTCTGCCAATGGCAGATATTATTATATTTTTTCCAGATATCTGTACAAATATGTGTGAAAAATGCTTTTGTCATGTTTTCCAAGCACATCGGGCGACGAAAATTGCATTTTCAACTTTTTTTCCAACTGAATTTTTTCCCCTAACCCTCGAATCTGATTCGTTTCTAATCATTCAGATCAACTGATTTTCAACTTTAAAAGTTGTGCTCTTCCGGCTCAAAAAATAGATAATCGAAATTTGCGCCCGACCTTAACCAGTTTGACGTTGACGAGAAAAAACCAGGCGCCGTACGTGATGACATTTCGGGCCATTTTGACAAACTCGAGCTCCAGATCATCATCTTGTTTGTCCTGAAAATCTCATTTCTATGAGGTCGCATTTGGTATGGCTTTTGCTGAACTATGAAAGGTCTTTTCTCATTTTTTGAGAGCCCAACTTTTGGATAAATTTTATACCTGTTGCTCTAGAATGCCCCCTAGTGTAGGAAACAGCCCCTCACAAGCCCGTCCGAACGAGAACGGCTCAAAAAATAATTATCAAGTCAAAATATGTGTTACCCTGTTTGAATCGTATCATTACGAAACATTTTCTAGTCAATAAAAAAACAATGTACCGACCTCCAACAATTTCATGGCTTTTCCCAGTCGATTGGCCAACTTGTCCCGATCTTTCCGCAACATGTAATCCGGGTACATTTTTGTCACGTTTTCAGGCCTGAAAATGTTGAAAATAAATAAAGACAATTTTGCGCGTCGTGGCGCAACAGGTTGTGTGCCTGTCTACGGTCCGCAGGGTCACAAGTTCGGTCCCCGACCCAACCAACAGGTTTAAAAAATGTCGGTAGGGGGAAACCCCGACTTCGAAAATGCACAGCCGTCACACACAATGGCGGAAATGTCCCTAGAGCCAGTCCTTTGATATCAGGATAGGACCTGGGGTGCCGACGCCGCTCGAGGGGTACAAAGACATTAGAAGAAGAAAAAGAAATGAAGATTATTTTACTGTTTCTGATAGATTATTGGTCCCAATATTGATGATCGATCTCGATGATGGATTCACAATTCTTCAAATTTTCACTCCAGGAAAAATATCAAAAATAACTGTTTTCTATCTTTTCTTTGTTTCATATGTTTCCCCTGATTCACAAAATAAACGCCGACACTTTTCGCTACATTTCGCTTCTAATCCTCTCAGACAGGCCGATGCCAAACATAACATAACACATAAATGAAGTGCCAATTCGTTTTGGGTCTTTCGCCCGAAAATCCCATTTTGCGTCCGCCCAAATATGGCGCGTCCATCTCGAGTTTCAGAAAAACCCGCCACTTCATTTCTCGCTTATTTTTCGTTTTTCCGAACTTGTAGGCTCAAAGTTTGGAAGTTAAGCCTTCATCGGTATTTTCGAGACACTTGGGTTTGGAGTATTAGGTCGAACTTACATTAGAGGCCATTTTAGCGTTGGGTTCAGAATTTTTTACAAATTCGCTCAAACAATCTTTGATGGACTAAGAATCGATCCCGCATAGTCGCTATCTGCGCAAACTTTTTGTTTTAGAAATATGATTTTTCAAACTTTTTATCCTTAACCACGTGAATATTCGGAAGGAATGTGTCCGCAGCACGAATCAGTGCATGGCAGCTAGTAGCGTGGTGCAGTGGCTAGCGCGTTAGCCTGCAGAGCCTATGATGAAGGTTCGAATCCTTTTGCCGCAAATGTTTTTTGCCATTATTTTTTTCAATAATTCTGATGAGAATATTGGAATTTTATAAGGGGTACTTCTTCAAGTAAGTTCTATAGTCATTTTCTTTCTAAGATGGCTTTTTTCAGACTTTACATCATCAGAGAACTTTTCCCAGAAATTTTTTGCTTAAAATCTTTATGGATTTTAGCAACTTTCAGACAGAAATTGAGAAAATGACCATCAGAATAAGATTATCAAAAAAATGAGGCTATTAGAGGCCTTTTTTTATTCATGAATTTTTATAAGAATAAAATTTACTGAAAGTTAAAAATTTGCTTTAAAACAAGCGACTTTGAGGTGCAAGTTCTTTCTTTTTATCACTAGGAATACAAAATTTCCTCGTTTCCATAGCAGCCAAGTGGCAATTAGTGAATAAATTACAAAAACGCCCTTTTAAAGGAAAAACCCGTTTGCACTGGGATTTTCAATTAGAGCATCGCCTCAAGCGCTCTTTTCTCGACCATTATTGCTTTTTTGCAACATTTTTGTTCTCAGAATCAATAAAAGTAGATGAACCCTTTTAGGAACTCTGAACGTTTACAAAATGGTCCGCATTTAATCCCTTTGACGGCCATTAAGGGCTTCTTCCACTTGACGAGGTCTTCACGCTCCAGAGCTTCCACCTCAACTGGTCCCTCCATTCCGGATTGTGCAATCGCGCAACATTGTTCCAAAAATTAGGTTCCTTGAAAACCCCTTTTTTGTATTGTGCGGTAAAATAGTTTTTAATTATACGTCCTTGTGTAAAACCATCAAAGTTATCACATGGACAGTCTGAACTGAGATAGAACCAAGATCTGAGAAACCACTTAAGTGAATTTTTTTCAAAGTTCAACTTACTGAACGCCCGCTTAATTTAGACCTCAGACAGGCGAGTACCAGGTTAAGCCCAGAAGCTGAGGGATCCCTCAAGGGGACCTCTTAACGGGTTGAGCCTAAGTCGAGTTTTAAAGCTGAGACTATACAGCTGAAATTTTTTCTGCAAATGAAAAACAGTTTTCAAAAATAATGCCTAGCCCCTTCCCCCTATTCTAACCTAAGGATCCACTAATTGATTGACCCACTTTTATCCTTTCTATTTAAGAGTTCATTTTTATTAAATAAGTTTAAAAACCCATTCAAAACCAAAATACCTTCTTTAAAAGAAAGCTCCAAGTAAACCCATACATCCAATCTCCCGCTCATTTTCAATTTTTCTTGCTCCATTTTTTTTCTCAAAAAATAACCTCTTTTCTGGGTTTGAAGCCATTTTTCTTCGGCCCACAACATTCATCAAAGCGGTCCGAGGGCCTCATCAAAGGGGACAAAATAAGCGGCCCAATGGAAAAAACGCGGCACAATGGTTCCGATTCGCGTTTATCACGTGTCAACCTCTATTTGGCCGCCTCTTCACCCTATTTACTCGGCAAAGAGGCTCTATTAAAGGAACCTTTTCAGGCTATTTTATTATAACTATACGGGAATAAAGGCTCTGGGGCGTTGCGGTCGCGTCGCGGCTGGTCTCAAAGTTAAATATTGAAAAAAATAAAAATTTCGGATTGCACCTTATTACATAAACTTGGAAAAAAAGCCTTCAAAAAACCAGTTTCCAAAGCTGCTAGCCTTCCGTCTGTTTTCTGATGTTTTTCAAGCCTCTCTCCTTGGAGCACACTTACTGGTGTGAAAAAAGCCCTGCCCTATCAACAAGGCATCTTTCAGCAGCCAACTTGTAACATTATTCCAAATTTGAGGTCCGTGAGCAGAGTGCATCAATCTTGGGGGTCTCTCTTCGCCCATTTTTTTTCGGCGCTTTCCTCTTCAAAAACCCATGCAAATTTATGCACGCACTTGTGTCTGTGTGGTGTGGATCCCACGCACCTGGATTATAAATCCGCCTGGGATTATCTTGTTTATATCAGTGCCTGCCCAAATTCGAGGCTTTCTCCAAGCTTTTAGACTAATTGGCGACGAAAAATGTGGATAAGTGCAAATATTTTTTGAAATCTGAACGTCTTCATTTTTCGATTTATAATGTTTAGCGAATAAATAGTTATTTTTTCCCTGATTTTGTACTGAGCAAAAAGAAACTAGAAAAATTTCAGCTTAAGATCTCAACATTTATTTTTCTTAATATTATAACTTTAGTTAAATTCTACAACGCACCCGACTCGCAACGGCTTTCGCCAACTCACATCTTACATTTCCCAATTATTTCTACTATTCCATTGTAAAATTTCACTCAAACTCCTTTAACCTTGAAAAAAAAAGTAAAAAAAATTTTCTTCGTAACATGAAATTTACAGAGCTGAGAAATTTTCGCCTTCTCTTCTTTTTTTTTCTCTCCAAATAAATATTTTCCGGCTTCCCAGTTGTTTTCCTCCACGAAACGAGTACAAATTGCACCCGTTGCCAAGGATGGGAACTCACATAAAACTTTTTTCTTTTTTTCATGTTGATTCAAGTTTTTTCCTTGCTCATATGAAAAGTGAGATTTTTCTGAGTCAAAATTAGGGGTATAAATTATTCGTTTCTCTGTCAATGTATATTAATACGGGTGGGGGGTAGTTCTAATGGATATTTATGCTATCTCCTTGAATATTAGTTACTGACCAGTACTAGTCAAGCCCTCTAGTAAGTTCAAGTACTCCTTGAAACATGAATGTCATCCTCTAAAAGCTCCATTATGCGGCTGTTTGTCCTCGTGTTTTCGTCATACGTGTGGCGGATTAAGGCGAAAGAAGATTTGGATGAGAAAAGGCGAGAAGATTAACCAGGACGTCCAAAAAAGGAAAAAGAAGAAAAAAAGCCCAACTATGCCTCAAGATGCTCGCGATTAGTGGCTGATTTTTGGACTTTTCGTGATTAATTTTCGGAACTTGTTAGCGTCATTCCCCGCCCCCCTCTACCGTTTGAACGTGCAAAATCTACTTTTATTGCATGGTTGAAAAGGAAAAATCGAAAAATTCAAGTAGAATGGAATAATTTTTGAATTTTTTCGGATCACACCAGCTTCATTAATGTATTCCTTCCAAACAAGGTGAGCAAAAATTGTCGAAAGTACAAAAACACGTCGCAAAAATCAACTTTTCCAACGTGGAACTGCCCACGTTCTCTTTCAAAACCCAAAAAGGACAATCTGAGCCTGAAACAAAAAAAAAAGCCGGAAAGAAAAGGAGAAAAGAATGGGGAAGCAACGAAATTGGATACGCATTATGCGCAATTTCGTTGTTGCCAAAAAACTTTCCTTTCCTCGGTGGAGCGACCCATTTTCTCCCATTCGAACCCAAAAAATAAGTTTTTCTATGAGTTCTTTTGGTTTTTCGTAATTTGTGAAGAAGAAGAAATCTTGAAAATCCAAAATTTATGGAGAGAAAAAAACACGGAGTCATCATCTTTCAAGCTGAAAAAAACATAAAAAATAAATCTTCTTTTTTTTAATTTCCCCTTCTAACAGCCACAAGCCCGCAACACACCCTCTTCCATACCTTTTTTCACCAAATTCCCAAAAACCCATTTCAAATCATCACAGCTTTCGCCAATTAACCCAATATTGTTTGGATGTGCTCCATCTCTGTTGCTTTTGCAACATTTCGAGCCGTTCATTTCAATTCATTCAACCTCCACCCTCACCGCCCTGGTAATTACCAATCAAAACGTCGTCGGCCCCGCCCATTTTTGCGCGCTAATTCCATTTCCGTCGCTCTCCTGTCCTTTTTAGGAGCGATAGAGGAGGAGGAGGAGCTCACTTCCCTCTCTCTAACCCAATTGCTCTTTTCGTTCCTCCGTTTATCCGGACCTCCGGTGAAACTTCTTAAGCAAATTGGAAAAATGCCTCGGAAATGTTTTTGGACTTTTTGGAGGCTCTTTCAAACTAGGAAAGTTTGCTCTGATGATACATTTTCTCTTTATTATCATTTGCGCTTTCAAACTTGGAACTTATTTGAAGGTTATGTGAACTGTGAAAATGTTGATTTTCTTTCAATTTGATTTTTTGCTGCAATCAAAGAATAGAAACTTCTGAAGGCTCTATAGACTTTCTTAAAAGAAAATTCTACTCTTTACTTCGTCTTACAGTTTCTGAGAAACTTTAATTTTACAGAACGTCTATCTCAGTGCTCTGGTTCTTTTTTTCGAGTGATTTAATTCTTTTTCAAGCATCAAGGCAATTTAAAGCAATTAGAGCTGGATGAGCTGGCTTGGCTCTTAATTTGATCATTTTTTCCGCTTCCAAGCTTTAAAAAAAAACTCTAAAAAGTTATGAAAAACTTGCTCTTTTGATAATAATATTGTAAACTATCAATTTTATAATACATCAAAATTTTAAAGCTGCAATAACTTTGCAAATTTGCTCACCTACTAATTTACTATTTCGTCTAATCCTTCAGATTTTCATCGGCCTCTTTTTTTTAATATACAAGGCCATCATTTGACCAAACAACGTTGAAAAAAAGTAGAAAAAAAATTGTCGAAAAAATTTTTCAGTCGAAAGTTTTTCCAATGCTAATCTGACTATCCTGGCAAAATATTTCGACTAAAAACTTTTCAAAATTTCAAACTCTTCTCCCAGGAACGTTTCTAACCGATTCTCAAGTTGTTTCAGTTCCAACAAAGGAAAGTCCTTCAGTTTCGAACTCGGCCGAATTTCCCACCGTCATTAATAAGCTTAATGAGGGTATTTTCCCATTCGTACATACATAATACTCGAGTGTATCTGTACACATTTCAAGACGAAGAAGCGACGAGAGGTTCATGAAAAATTCGCGTTTTAATTAACTTATGGAGGAGGCTCTGCGCGACGTTTCGAGTGGGGATGCCGGAGCACTTTTCGCGGCGGCGGAGACGGCTGTTTGGCGCCTTTTCCAGAAGTTATCATTCCATAATTCTAAGCTTCAAAGTTCGCTTTTTGGCTTGAGGGAGGAATTTTTCGAATATTTTGATTTCCAATGTGTTTCGAGGCCTCATAACTCGACCAAAACTTTGCAGGCAGTTTTTTTTTGACTTTTTTTGAAATAGAGGGGCCTAGTTCAATCAAACTTGTACACTTTTTGCGATTTTCTGGCCGCATTTGGAATGGCTCAAGTAAGCCTCTGTACAGACCCGACACTTCGAAAAGCTCTTTTGAAGATCATACATGGGCAGACCACTTTTAAGGTTTTCCTGAATTAAAGTTGATACTACCCCCTGAGGCTAAAACTTGTATTATTGCGGCCAAAAAAATAACTCCCTGAGGTTGAAACTTGATTTAATTTTTTTAATTTTTTTCAAAAATTTTTTTAAGCTAATGAGTACTGAACTTGCTCATCTATGTTGAAGATGAACAATATAGCGGATAAAAAAGAAAAAAAAATCGACTTTTTCATCTTTCTTTTCACTACAATCTACTGTCAATATGCTATTATGGACTGAAAAAATGTGAAAATGAATGAAAAAAACAAACTTTGGCTTGAAAGTGCGTCCGTAGAGCTTCCTGGCGAGGATCGCCGCAAAAGCCGCCGTGTCTTTTTTGTTGTCCGTCAACAGAACTCCTTTCTTGTACGCGTTCATCGCCTCTTCGAAAAGTGTCGCTAGCGCGAACTTGTTCTGATCCACACACTGAAAAGAGAAAACTGAATTTTTCAAAATTTTTCTCTTTTTTCAGTCCTTTTCTCATTGAATACTGTGTTTTTGATTTTTTTGAAAAATTCCAATATTTTTTTCTGATTTTTGCAATTTTTTTCAACGCCTTTCTTCGTTTAAAATTTTCAACTTTTTAATATATTGTTTCAAATTTCAGCCTTCTCGGACACAGAAAAAAAGAAAAATATTGGATTGAATTTCGAAAATTAAAAGTTTCAGAATTTTTCGTTCTTTTTCAGTCATCTTCTCATTGTGGACTGTGGATTGATATTTTTTTGAAATTTCAATATTTTTTTCCTGATTTTTCTCAATCTTTTTAACGCCTTTTTTTCGTTTACAGCTCTAAACTTAATAATTTGTTAATTTCAGCCTGCTTGGACACACAAAAAAAGGAGATGGATCAGCTACGATTATTACTCCTATTTTTCTTCTCCATCATCTCGACAGGTTTTTTTTTCTGATCTCAAGTTTTGCCAGTATCCAAAACTATCGAGTCGAGATTCCTAGGGAATTTGAAAACATTCATGAAAATTTCTCAAGAAAAATTCAAGCTCCCCCGTAAAAACGATTCACCATCCCATTTAAAAACGAAAAACGGCCCAGCTGCGCAGTTCAAAGCTTGCAGGTGTCCACGAGTACAAGCATAAAAACGGACCGAAGAAAAAAAAACTTTTATTCCTTCGCGCAAAATTTTCCAAGACGCCAGCTGTTCTTTTTATCTCCCAAATTGATGAATGCCTTTTTTTCATATTTTTCGGCTGTCACGGACGGTACATCGTAAAACAAAAATAAGTGTCGATGGGGCGCAAATGACGACGGAAATGGCTCGTTATTTCGTGGTGGCTGTCACCTTTTCAATGGAGGTCTATTAAGTTTGAAGTGAAGTCAAGTGGTCATTTGGGGAAATCGTATAGGAAATTTGAGTGAAAAGATGTTCATTTTTCGAGTTTTTTTTCCATATAAAAAAATAGAATAATAAAAATTTCCAGGAACGGCTCTAATGTGCATTCAGTGCGGGAACAACGAAGCTTGGTATTCTGAGGAAGAACATGAAAGGTTGACTTTATCAATAAAATCAAGAGAAACATCAATCAAACTTCAGAAGGATCGAAGCCTGTCGACATGGCCTGATCGCCCCTACAAGATGCAAAAACACGACGCTCACGCATTGTATCGTTAGTTGGTACCGGACAGGAGGATCTAACGGTGAGCTTATATTTTTCAATTTCTTTAGATGAATTTCGTAAAAAATTTTCGGCCTTGAACAAAAATAAATGTGCGCTCTTTGGATAACGTGATGTAGTCCGTTTCAGATTTTAAATGTCTAGAATGACGTCATTCGAAAACGCTCTGTGAATGGCTCGCTCTCTGATTGGTCTACCGCGTCATTAGGGGGCGGAGCTTGATCGAGGACTTGACATTTAAAAACTGAACGGACTATAACGTGACTTCAGAATCAAAGCCTTTTTCGAAAATGAACTGTCGAGTCAATTTCAGTCGATTATTCATTGAGAATTTTAAAGAAAAGACTAAAATGTTTTGTAGTTTCAAAGTTTCATGTAGTCAGAAAGTCAGCTGAACTTTGAATTATATTCATTTTTTTCTTATTGATTTTTTTTTGACACAAGCGAAGTCCAAACGACCAAAGGTCTTAAAAAAAGAAGAGCCTACAGTTCCTTTTTGAGTTTCTGAAAATGTGTCCTTTTTTTCATCATTTTTTTATTCATCCTCAAAAGGTCCTTTTTCAAAGAAAGTCGGGAAAAAAATGTGCCTTCGATTTCTTTTTAAAGGCCTTTTTTTCAAAAAGTCCTTTAGGACTTTGCCCGTGGACGCTCATTTCGAAAAAAATTTATAGTTAATTTCATAAAATTCAACTTCTAAACATCATTCAAGTCGGGCTCTTTCGCATATTTTTCGAAACCTTCATGTTTTGACGCCAATTTTTCTGGCTCAACGTCCAAAAACCTCTCGAAAGCCAAGATCAAAATGTTCCAATACACCTAAGTTGTGGAGGCGAGAAGCGCTTCTGGCGGCATTCCCACGGGAACCTAAAAGGGGTTCGTGGAGAATTCATAAGCGGAAAGCCGCCATTATTCGGCCCTTTTGCCGACGACGTCAGCGGCTTTTCTTCTTCTTCTTCGTCTTCCGAAATGACGGGTTCCAATGTTTCGGGGTTCGCGGCACAACACAAAACTCGATAAGTGCTTAGCCAACTGCTTCTGACTTTTTTTCCGGCTTTGCCAGGATTTAGATTTGGAAGGAAAGATAAAAGGGGCGAAAATTTTTTTGATGGAAGTCATTGAAAAAGGCCTTTTTTTAAGACATAATAAAAGAGACAAAATAGAGGAGTTTGAATCCAGAAAGCAGACGAGAGAAAATGACCCCGAAGCTCAATTAAATGTGGACTTCATCATGTGAAGTGAAACTTTCAATATTTTTGGCTAGCTTGAAACATTTTGGAACTGCCTGCTTAAAATTATGAACACTACCTGTCACTACTGGGAAAAGTTTTAGTGGCCACTATAAAGGCTCGCCAAGGACTACTTGGAGAGGACGTTAAATCCACCTCTATAGTGGCCACTAACTCCCATTTAAGCGGTCACTATAGAGTTTCTCTATTTAGTGGCCACTTCAGTAGTTTTTCATCCAGTATTCCTTCCCGTAACTCTGACAATTTTCAAAACAAAAAGATTGGACCATTGACCCCTAAAGTGGCCACTAAAATTTATAGTGGTCTAGTAGTAGGACTTAGACCTTTATAGTTGCAACTAAGTTTTTGTCCCTTAGGTGGCCGCTAATTTGACTACTATAGTGGCCATTAAACCATTAAAACCCTATAGTGGCCACTAAAACGTTGAAACCCTACAGTGGCCACTAAGAATTTTCCCAAAATGTGGCAAACATGAAAACACTCTTTGCTGCAGTACTTGAGCACTGCCTAGGATTTTTGCATTAAAAAATAGATTTTCAAAAAAAACAGTTAATCTAAATTTTAGACTCCAAAACGAACATTTCACTTTTTCTAGGCCTAAATTTTTTTCTTTTTTCAAGGGTCCTCACAAAATGTGTACCTCAACTTAAACCAATTAAACTTGGGAGTGCGAGAATAACGCCGATACTCTTCAAAAAGATTGCAAATTGGATCTCAATTGTGTTGGCGGACGGTGGCTCTTATAATAAGCACGGCCTGACCTATTGTTCTCATGTTAATTGGGTTGGCCTCGGAACTTTCCGAGAATGAACTATAAAGAAGAATACATGAATTGCAGAAAAAATGGTGACGGAACGGAGGTGCGGGACAAGCGAGGACGATACTGGATGTACACTGTACAATTCGAAAATTAGCCGGAAGGTGAAAAATATTCAAAAAAATTCATTTATTTAAGCCGTTTAATATCTTCACTTTTTCCCTCAAACTTTCCAAATTATCAAAAAAAAATTTCTAAATTGGCATAGAAATTAGTCAAGGTCTGATTGAACCAAAGCAAAAAAATTAGAAAACATTTTTCAGGTACGACATCTTCTGAACAGTGACAGTTCTTCGTCCTCACAGCGCAAGGAAACCGCCACAACATTTGTTGAAGTAATATAATCTATAGAATCAAAATAGCAAAACAAAAACGTTGGAAAATCAGAAAATTGAGTGCATCTTCTAGATTTGAAACTATAACCTGGATGGTACGACAAAATATCAAGTCCGCAAATCTTGAGGACCGTAATCTTGTGTACGCAGATCTAAAGTGCCATAATCTTGGAAACCAAAATCTTGGAAACCACAATCTTGGAAAGCAAAAATCACCGCTTTTGCGAATAGATTTTATCAGAAACTGTATTCGGTGATCCAAACAAGAGAATATGAGTATATAAAGTGCAATAAATAAGACTAAAAAGAGATATTTTGGCTTTCCAAGATTGTGGTTTCCAAGATTATGGGACTTTAGATCTGCGTACACAAAGATTACGGTCCTCAAGATTTGCGAACTTGAGGTTTTGTCGTACCATCATAACCTGTGTACCACGACTTGGAATTTCACGGAACGACATTCCGCTGTGCCGCTGCGCGCCTTTGCGATCCTTGTTCGCGCTTTTAATTTTTTTTTCTTTCATCAAGATACTCTACTTTCATGTGCTCCCACAGCAATAAAAATTAATTGAAACCGTGACCTAGATTCAAAAAACGCTTCGCGAACGCACGCAGCGGAACAGCGGAATGTCGTTCGGTGAAATTTCAAGTCGTGGCACACAGACTATACTCAATCCTACCAAACTTTCAAGAAACCGAAACTAATTTATATTTTACAGGTATGCAGCCAATCGTGCCCATTTGGCGAGTGTGTGAACACATCAACGACCAATTCCATCCTTTCTTCACTAATTTCCATGGTCTTTTTGACATTGTTCCTCTAACTTTTATTCTTTTGATTTCTTCTCAACTTCTTAAGTCTTTCCATTATTGCCGAACCAAAATACTATCATAACAATAACTTCCGTTGACTCAAAAAAATACGGTGTCACAAAGAATCCCGGTCCTGTGAATCATGTAAATTTATATTTCGTTTTTGGAAGAACTATCTTCAAACTTGTTTGTACTTCTGGTAAAGTTATCCATAAAAATGTATTTTTCTGATTTTAAAACAACATAAATTTTTTCTGTACACAAAATCTTGTTTCATTCAAAAGAAGGAATGAAAATGGAGGTAAACGTCATGAAAATTTTGGGCGCTGTTTAAACTTTTTAGGCGGTGCTTAAAAGACTTGCTATGCCTGAGAGGCGCTGCTTAGAATCTTAGGGGTGGGTGATTTTAATTTTGATTTTTTTCTTGATAGAAAAAAATTCAGTAGATTATTTCTCAGCAGTATCATATTTTAATACATTCATCGTCTTTCATCACATTAATACCCTGGGAAAACTTTTAGTGGCCACTATAGAGAACTACTTGGAGAGGACACTAAAGTGGCCACTATTTGCCTTTTTAGTGGCCACTTCAGTAGTTTTTCATCCAGTATTTCTTCCAGTAACTTTGATGATTTTTTAAACAAACAGGTTGGACCAGTTATGTTGATCCATTGACCCCTAAAGTGGCCACTAAAATTTTTAGTGGTCTAGTAGTAGGACTTAGACCTCTATAGTGGCCACTAACTTTTAACCCCTCAATTGGCCACTAATTTGACTACTATAGTGGCCACTAAAACATAAAAACCCTATAGTGGCCACTAAAAATCTCCCCAGTACCTTCTAAAAAAGGTCCCCCTAGAACTTACCGCATCCAATTCATTGCTCACTGTAGCATGAGCATTTCGCCGAAATTTCAACCTAGGCTGTTCTTCTTTCGCTTGACCACAGAACTGAAAAAAAATTTGCAAATGTATCGCTCTTGAAACGAGGAACTCACTTTTCTCAGATTACTGTGCCACTTTTGCAAATTCAAACAGTCGTTCAAAACGGCATCTTTTGGCAGTTGCAATTCTAAAATAAGATCTCAGCGAGGTAATTATTAAAACCTGGATTTGAAAAAAAAAACCAACCCAATGACTCGGAGTAGACGTACAGGGCAAAGCAGTCCATTTGCTTGAAACTCAGACGAATTTCCCTAGCTAACTCTTTCATAATTTGAACTGCAGTGGCTTGCTTTGGATTGGTTGAGGTTTTTACAGAAAACGGGCCAATATCTGTTTCCACCTAAAATTTCAAACTAAATTATTCGATTAAAAACTGTCTATCACAATTATTTTTGACTTATAAATGCCGTTGAGTAGAAATTGCTTGATTGTGTTGTCATTGCAGTAATCGATTGGTTTCATTCCGCTGTTGTCGACAATATTCTGCAGTTTATCAATATAATTCGAATGCAAAATTTTCTTAGAACTTTTGCTCAGGTTATGTCTCAAAAATCACTGAACTATGGCATCTGAAAAATTTTATGGTTTCATAAAAAATATTTTCCAAAAACCCAACTCTAGTTTTTTTTTAAACCCCATCAAGACAAGGTCTAATCTTTTGAATATACTTCTATAAATAACTATGGGCGTCGCCAAGCTGATCAAAGAGAAGGTTTCAATCGCCAAAAAATTCCTCTTATCATTTTAGTCTCGTAATCTTTGTACATTTGGTTGATAAAGAAATTTTCTCAGAGTGTTCAGTAACTCTCTGGAAAAAAACATGAAAATTTCGCTGCAAAACTTATCGTGTCATAAAAGGCGCTTATCGCTTGATACGCCTAAAGTCGTGGAAGAAAAGGCGTCAACCTTTTTTTTTTGCAATTGGAAAAAAAGAGAACTAATCATGTAAAAAAAAAATTTGTTTTGTTTTCAAAAATCATTTTGTGGGCGCTACTTAAAAAATTGTAAGCGCTGCTTTAAAAAACTGCCCAAAAATTAGTGGTATGAAAAAAAGACTAGCGAAAATGCGAACGGCGACTTTTCCGATTTTTTCGTATCGCTAGGGAACTTTCCGACGGCCACCTTTCCGCCGACTTTTTTTCTTTATATTTTTTTCGGTTTATAAAACATCTATTAACATTTTTTTCATTTCTTTGAGTTTCAAACATGAATAACTTGCCTACCTTACATAGGAAGAATTTAAAACGAAGAGTTTATTGAGAATAAAAGTCGGAAAAAATTTCGTCGGAAAGGTGGCCGTCGGAAAGTTTTCTGGAGATATGAAAAAATCGGAAAAGTCACCGTTTGAATTTTCGCTGGACTTTTTTTCATACCACCCAAAAACTGTGGGCGCTGCACGCATGTTTGAGACAGTACTACGGCGGCCGGTCGCCGGTCAATATTGCGCCGTCAGTTTCGGAGCCAGGAAACTTTTTTTAAATTTTCTTTCTTTTTTGCAATTTGTTAAGGACCAATTCTCGAGATTACAAGGTAAGTTACGTCACAAAAAATAAACTAGATTTCATTTTATTATTGAAAAACCTATCCAAACTACCGTAAGACGACCGGCCACCTTAAACAGGCGTGGCTGCTTAAAACATTTTAGGCGCTGCTTAAAAAATTGTGGACGCTGCTTGAAAAATTTTAGGCGCTGCTAAAAGTTTGCAGAAATTGCTCGAATCTACGTTTCAAATCATAAATCAACTGACGACGTCAATAGAAGCATGAGAAGTGAGGAATTCGATGATGTGAACGTTCCCATGGATGACAGCGTAATGCAGCGGGGTGGCGCCGCCGTTGTTCTGGGCGTTGACCATGGTGAACAGCGGCGACTTGACGAGCATGTTGATGGCTTCCTGACGTCCATGGAAGCACGCGTGGTGCAACGGCGTCCAGTTCTGGTCGTCGCGCTCGTTCGGATCGTAGCCGTCGTGAAGGAGTTGTCTGAGAGTGAAATATCCTTTTTTTCTCTTTCCGATTCCACTAACTGCATTTTGAGAATATCATCGTCTTCGGCCGCTTTGTGGAGAGGAAATCTCGGTGTCATGTTGACAGAAGAAGATCCGGCGCTCATTCCGCGGCCTTTCGTCTCAACTCGCTTCATTCCTTTGTAGAAATATAATCGACTCTGAAAAAACATGATTTTTCCGGCTAATGAAATAAAAAAAACTGTATCGTCTTCGATATCGACTTGATTATACGACGGATTCATCACTGACAGAAAGAATTTCTCATATCGAAGCACCATGAGCCACATGAAGTTTCGCTTGTGCACCTAGGAAAAGAAAAATAATGTTTTTTAAAAAAATCATTAAAATTGAAAAAGTTCGAACTTTTTTTCTTCAAGATCAGCCGACTCGGAAGAAAGGTTGCTCCTCACACTCAAGGAGACATTTCTGTAAGTTTTTCAAGTTCATTAATTCCTCTTGAAATTCAGCCAAAAAAAATCAATTTTTTACCGATAACATTGAGATTCCTGCTGGAAATAGGCGGGATTGTGAGCACAAAGTAAGATTCTTCCCCTGGCCGGCGGTCGATGGAAAAGCATTGGAATAAAGTTTTTATTTTTCATCCCAGCCACCAGCCAACTGAAAGTCATTTAGATTATAGGCAAAGTCGGAAAAGGCGAAAAACGGCTCCATAGAAATGTTCCTTTTTTGCTGCCTTTTTGGGCCATTTTATCGGCTCTTTTGCACCCTTTTTGCTGCCTCTTCCCTTTTCTACCATTCCTGGAGCCTTTCAAATATAATAAAAACGGAAGGCTGATGAAAAGACCCTTTTTGCTGCCTTTCTGCGGCCTTTTTTTGACCCTCTTTGAGCGGCCATCATCCACCCTTCTTTGGACCTTTTTGAGCCGAAAATCTTTGACTAGCTTTTAAAAAAATAATCTATAGCTATAGTTATTTTTTTAATCCAAATCTTAATACAAACTTTTGAAGAATCCACAGAAATTGGATCGTGTTCGGGTCGATCGTTTCCGACTCACGTTCACTTTTCTGAATCAGCCTTTGAAGGCTTTCGAAACGTGATATTTCGCCATCGACTGCATCTGAATTTCTTTTTTTATTAACTGAGTTGGACCTACTTCGATCGAGGTTGCACATGAAATTAGACTTATAAATACTCATTCCGTTTCGAGAATGATTCAAAATATTTCCAAAAAAATTAATCAATTTTCAAAACAGATCCGAGAAAATGAAATAACAAGTTATAGCTGATTCACGGCTGGCTTGAGCCATCGAAAAACGGGACCTGACACGATAAAAAGGAGACAGTGCCTGGATGATGGAAATCTCAGACAGGCCACGCCTTTTTGCGTCCCAAGCTAGCCGTGGATCAGCTAATAACCATGCTGCAGGGTCGGAACGCAGACCAGAGCCATTCCCATCAAGGATTTCGAAGAGCTCGGCGCGTTATTGTCCAACGTCTCTGTTGGGACAACTATCGCCCTTCGGATTTGCTTTCTGAAAAGTTCTCGATTCACATCTCTGATTCTGGAATGTCTTGTTGCCAAGCCATTCCGAAGAGCGCACCCCTTGCGAATGTGGAAGTAGTTGTGGACGAGTTCCTCGACGCGGACACCCTGCGACTGCACTCGCTGCCTGAACCGCGTGAGAACCGCAACGCGTCAACCATTCCCTTACCCGAGGCGTCTCGTCGTCGAATCCTCCACCAACGAGGGATCGAATGACGTGATTGGCAACGTTATGACGTCATCTTTCACCCCGTGGCCTCCGACGGTCGTCCGTTTCACGATGTTGTAGTCCTGAAAGGCTGCGTCAGCCGGAACAGGTCGGTCCATACCTGCTGAGGACCGTCGAAATTTTTCGCAGCTTTTGGCCGTTTTTCGACGCGCACCTCGAAATCGCTCATGGTTGGTCCTATTCGGCTGAAAACAGCCAAATTTTTTTTATCAACATTTAAAGACTGATACTGAAATAAAATGTTTGGACTTGATGTATTGATTTTGGAGAAGTAAAAAACGGCCTTTTTTTCAATGAATTTTTCATTTCCCTCTCGCTAAATGCAGATGAATCAAACTAAAATCTTAAAAACAAAAAAAAACGAAGCAAAAAATAAATAAAACGTTACTAAATATTTCCCTCTCCTAATTTCTAAAGATACTTCATAACTCGGCCAGCACTAAGACTTTTTTCAAGCTCATCTTCGAAAATTTAAAAAGCTCTTTTTTTCAAACCTATGCGATATTTCTGCTGCCATCCTCAACTCCACGATGCAAACATCCATCCCTCGGTTTCTGAAAACCTTGAAAATCGAAAAATCCATTGAAATTAATCAAAGTAACGAACAAGTAATCTTTCTTCGCTCATATATCACACCACTCTTCATCATTTTTCACCTTTTGAAACTTGATAAAGGAAATCAAAATGAAAACGCCTTTTCCGCTTTGTTAGTCACGTCAAAAATATTGCACTTGTATTTCGAAAAGTTTTGTGAAAACTCCTTTTTGAACCATTTTGGACTTGATGCCATGTTCAAAGTGATTCCGCGGAAGTCAAAATAGCCGTCAGAAAGTGAGAACGATAATTTTTCTTTGGGGAGGTTTTTGAACTACGCGAAAATCATTTTGAACATGGCATTTCACAGTGCGATCCTCACATCAATAAACCAGCACTCGAATTAGAAAACATTGAAAACTTAAAATGCAGAAGGATTATACTAATAATTCGATTCTTATCGTTTAAGCTGAGAATTTGACGCATTAAAAACTTGTGACTAGGAGCGTCTTTCAACATGGTAAAAAATAATACAGTTTTGAAACAATAGAAGTTTTAAAAAAAGTACTACGCACAAAATTGGCTTGCTTTGCTCGAAAAGAAGTTTTTGAAGAAATCCGACTCAAATTATACATAAATCAAGATCCATACTAGTAACGTATACTTTTACAAGTTTTTAATTAAGTTTGGAATAAATATAACAATGATTTATCAAACATCAAAACACAAAAAAAAGAGAAAAGCATGCGACAGTTCAATCGATGAAGCTGTTATCAGTTTGTGCTCGCAAACACAGCGGGAAACGCCCTTCTCAAACAGTAATTTGACATAAGTGCACTTGAAGAGGGATTTCTTCAGTCTTTCTTTAAGATAAAACAACAGTTAGTTCAGAATATTTGTCTCGACCAAACCGGACTTATTTTATTCGCAATAGCAGCAAAAATGCTTTTTTTATTATTCGAGTCCGATCTTATAGAATGAAGTTTAGTCTGAAATTACTTTGAACCTAAAAAAACTACACTCCAAAGCGCCGAACTTTCTTTGAGGCCCTGCAACAAGGCCTTGATCAACGAAAAAAAACGGAACCTTTTCCAAAACAAAAAAAAATTTTTTTTTTGAGCGTATCTTTGAAACCAATAATCTTTTTTTGTTTTGATACATTATCTTTTTTCTCCGTTGAACAAGACATTCTTTTTTTTTCTCATTCGAACCGGTCGGCCGAGTCCGAAATACCCATAGGGTCTATAGAGCGAGAGATGCAATTGCGCTCCACAGCGATGAGCCAGACCCCTTGAGCAGAAATAGTTCCGCGCTCGTTTTCGCTTCTTTTTTTTTCGAATTTCCTATTTCTTATTCTCTGAATTGGAGCGCCAAATGGGCGCCACAACTCTTTCTCTGACACACACTATTTCGTCGTTATCTAGCTGCGAGAAAACGACGAAATAGTGTATGTCAGTGAAAGAGTTGTGGCGCCCATTTGGCGCTCCAATTCAGAGTTCATGGCGTGTTCATCGGAGAAACGGAACATGCTTCAAAACAAAAAATCGTGTTCATCGGCGCGTCAAAGTTGCTCCAAAACAGCACTAATATTCGCTTTGGAGCAATTTTCTTGCGTTTCGAAGCAATTTTCTTTTTGTCCGATGAACACGCCATCATCCTTTTTTAAGTTTTTTCATCTCAAGAAATGTCGCGTGGTTCAAACACGGGTGAGAGAAGTCCTGAAGGTCCAGCGAGCCCTAGTCCCGAGCCGGAATACGAGGCTTTGTTCGGCGTGGTTTTTCCGATCTAATTTTTAGGATAACTGGTCATTTTAGGAATCAGCGAATGATCCTGAATTTGAGGAGCTTATGCGTCGGCGTGCTCTGCTTTTACAGGAACTTGGAGAGTGTGGTATTTTCTTCATTTTTCTTTAATCTTAGATGAAATTGTTTCAAGAAGACTCTGACTCGGAAGTTCTTGAAACGCCTTGCAAAATGCAACGGCTCGACGATTCCTATGATGCTATGGAAAAAATATTCGAGATAGAAGGTTTATTGGTCGAATGATCGAAACAAGATTAATTTCTAGAGACAAATGGTGCCGAAACTTCGTACTTTGACGATTACAAAGAGGAAACTATGACGCCAAGGTTGGTTCTTTGCCTTGCTTTCAATTTAATTGATTTTCAGAAGATCCGAGTCGCAATCCAGTATGGAATTCGAAGATGAGGAGGAATATGAAGAGTTCCACGAAGAAGTTGAAACCAATGGAAAATGCCCATTTTCCAACGGAGCGGTAGAAAATGAGGGAAAAACTTGGAACTGATGGAGAGAGTTTAGAAAAGTCCGGTTATTGATACGGAGACATTGGACGAATGGCTGCAGCAGCCTTTGGAAGAGAATAATGGCCAGAGCAATGGAAATTTGACCGTGTAAGTACATTGGGGACGTTTTTCGAGGCTTTTTTGTCGTGACTTGAAAGTTCTGGGTTCTGTTTCACTTATCCTATTTTTTTAGATTTTTAGTTTTCATGAATTATTCGCCAATTTTCATGGATTATTTCATCCATGTTTAGTTGTAATTAGAAAAAAACGTGAGAGTTTTTTCGGGTTTGAAAAAATTTTACAGTAAACTAAAATCAAGCTTTTTGGTGTAGACTTTAAAAATAATTTTTTTGAGGTGGAAAAATGTGCTGGATCGCATGGACAACGACTGCTTCTACCCGATGCCCTAGTGATTGGATGCGCGTGACGCATAATAGCGGGATGCCTGTTTATATGGTGATTTTTGGGTTAAAAATAATTTTTTTTTTCAATTTTTCAAAGCAATTTTCGTTCTTTTTTTATAAAGCTTTCTCCTTTCACCATGTCGTTTGGGAATTTCTTGAAAATTGGTCAGAACTCTTCTCAATTTATTAATATTCTGAAAGTCTCCAACTCTACAACTTCCTAGTTTTGGAGTAAGGACGCCTCAAAGTTCGTTAAAAATACGCTGTTTTAGGTCTCTAAGCCCAAGTTTCTCGAAAAACTGGGAAGTTGTGCAGATCACGGCTTCCAGGATATTCATTAGGTACACCTAGGAGTAATCTGGCCAAATTTCATTGATATCCCAACCACAAAGTGAATCTATCTTCCTAATGAGAGCTTTATAAATTCCGATTGCATCTAGAAGTTCATTTTAATTTATTTAGGCTTCACAGAAAAAAAGAAGAAATATTTTATATTCAGCACAAGTTCACGAGATCGGTGACTCTGTCGCGGCCGTATTTTCTAGGCGAAGGATCGCTCCGTTCGCATCGAATCCCGCTGTCGGCAATTCCTTGCCTCCATCGGAAACGTGTTGATGAACAGGTCACAGTTTGGACCTTTCCAAAGGCCCGGCCGAACAAGCGTTTTCTAACAAAATATAAGGATTAAAAAAAAATCTTTGGCTTTAGACGAGTGAATATTTTTTACGTTAAGAATTGTTTTTTCAACCTAAGTTTGCTCCTCGCAAAGAACTATCACAGTTTCCTAAATTATTCGTTCCAGGAAGCCAAGAAAAAGGAAGAACGAGAAATCGCAGAGGCTACCTCGACCACTGATAATCCTAAACTTCTGCAACTGCAAAATATTCCGACGCTAACTCTTCAGGTTCACTTTCCTTAGCGATATTAGAGTAGCATAGTATTCCTATTCGAAAGACGACGGCCGAGAAACGCGGTAGGCGTTTCTGGATTTCGCGAACATTTCACGCGACGAGAACGCAGGCTACCGTGCTGTTCTCGGCCCGCTCTTTTTTTCTTCAATTTTTTTTTTGTTGTGGTGTTTTTTTATATGGCAAACGAGCTGTAGAGTTGCCATGTGGTGCTTTCTACAAAAAAAATTTTCTATCATGAAATAATTTTATTCTGGAAGAACAGAGTTTTTTTCTATTCAGAGAGGTTGCCGAAGACAAGAATAAAAAAAGGACCTTTTTCTGTTATAAAGTTAATTTGATTCTCAAAAAAAGACGGATTTTTTTCCGATTCAGGGATCCTACCGAAAACAAAAAAATAAAAAGAAAAAAACACCTTTTTTGTTATAAAAATTAATTTTATTCTCAAAGAAGACGGATTTTTCTCTTCTCAGAGGCCTTGCCTAGAATAAAGATTGAAAAACCATTCCTATTATGAAATTAAATTTAATCTCAAAAAAAGACTGATTTTTTTACTATTCAGAGATCCTACCGAAAAAGAAAAAAATTGAAAGAGAAACACCTTTTTTTGTCGTAAAATCTATTTTTTTCTCAAAGAACACAGATTTCTCCTATTAATAGATCCTGTAGAAAGAAAAATAAAAATCTTAGGAAATCATTTTGAAAAAATTTTTGGTCGCTCGATTTTCCTTTTTATTTTATTTTTTTTTTGAAGAGCCTCTTTTGTTTGTAGCTCGTTTTGTCATTTTCCCGTAAATTAGGCTGTTTCGATTGAATTTTTTGAATGGTGAAAAAAAAAACTTTTGAAATTTGATTTTTCTCAAAGGAAGGAAATTTTTTCATTAAATAGAGTTTCTAAAGAAAAAGAAGCATCTTGATCGTCTAGGTGAATATATCATATTTCAGTTTCAATTTTCGAAAATTGTGTTTATTTCAAAAAGAATGATTCCTACACGAGTTCTAAGCGCTCTGCTTCAGAACCTATGAAACTTTCCTATTTCATTATTCCCCGAATTTTACTTCAGAAACAAGAAGACCATTCGCTGAGCAACGATCAGGTCATCGAATACTGCTCCAGCCTTTTCAAGTTCAGGAAAATACTCGTAGGATATTGATTATCATCATTTATGTACTTTGTATCCTCAGGTGAAAAAGTACAAGCACGTCTCGGAAAAGTTCAAAGCCAGAAATCAGCGGAAAATCAACGCCGCCTTGGCTAGAGCTGGTGCAGATCCATCTATTGATTAATCGATTATCGATTAACTTGAAAGGAATCAAGGCGCCGCTGGAAGACGTCTTGTCGAAAGGAATGGACGAGGAAGTCGCGAGAAAGAGAGGGGTTCGTTTTGGAAGTGAAAATTAGAAGATATTTCAGATTTTTGCTTTCAAAGGGACCGTGCGCCTTTAATAAGAGTCAAAAATGGAAGATTAAGCAGGTCATTCGAGTCTTGAAATTGGCCAAATCTAAGCACTTTTATCAAAATGAAAAATGAGTATCGAAAGGAAAATAAGAAAGTGTCTCAGATTTTTCTTCAAAAGAGACCCTGCGTTTTTAATAAGAGCCTGAAATGAGAGATTAAGCTGATCATTAAAGTCTCGAAATTGGCTAAATTTAAGCACTTTTTACATTTTTTTATCGAAATGAAAAAAATAAGTATCAAAAAGGAAAATTAGAAAAATGTCTCAGATTTTTTTTAAATAGGCATTGCGCCTTTAATAAGAGCCTGGAATGAATGATTAATCAAAAAAAAAAAGGAGAAAAATTTGGAATTATGTCAGATTTATTTTTTTTTTCAAAGAGGCCTTGCGCCTTTAATAAGAGCCTAAAATGAAAAATATTTTGATAAAGTCAAGTTTCGAAGGTCAAAGAAGTCATTTTTGGACTCTCTATGCGCCTTTAATAAGACCCGTTTTTATAGCTTCTGATGCTGGCCATGCCGCTCGCCGAAGGTCGATTCAACAAAAAGATGTTCTTGATGAACCCCGTGGTTCGTTTCCCTTAAGTGACCCCTTAAAGAGGCGCCAACTTTCAGGGCAAATCTTCGGTGATGGTCCTGAACGAGTTCGCTCAGCGGGCCATGAAGGCCAGGATCGAGTACGTCATTGACAACACCAGGTAAAATTAGGGTACCTGACGATATTTCAAAGCCCTTTTCAAGGAACGTCTCCTGCCCTTATCGAGCCTCGGCGACTCTGATTATCCGCAGAGCGATTCGAATCGAAATGTCGGGGTCGATTCGCGAAAAACTCGCTCTACTGCACGAAAAACAGGAGCTCTCCGAAGCCCCAACGTCCTCTGATGACGTCAAGTTATTTGGCGTTGAGCCCGAAGGTGCATAGAAAAATTGGTCAATAGAAGTTTTGAATTGAAGACTTTTTGTGCTGAATTATCCTTTTCATAACTCTTCTCTATCCTAGGAACTCCTCAGTGGTTAGGGGCCGAAAAAGTGGTCCCTTCAGGGGTAATTCAAATTGGTCCCTATAGGAGTTAAATTGAGGTGGTCTCTATAAGAGTTTAGGGTATGACCCCTCAGCCCTTAAAGTTTAAGTGGGCCCTATAGGGGTCTTAAAAAATATCGACTAGCATGTACCCTGAGGGGCCACTAACTAAAACCGAGGGGCCACTAACTAAAACCTCTATAGGGATCACTTTTGCTAGCTTTAGTGGACCCTTAGGGGTAGGTAAAGTGATCCAAAGAGGGGACCTTCCAATTTCCCCTAAAATTGCCCCTATAGGGACCACTCTGGAGTTCTTAGTTCTTTTTTTCCGCTTTCTCGTTTAAACAATAGTCAGGGAAAAGAAGGCCTTATTGCTTCAATAGCCTATCTTTATTAAATACTTAAATTTCAAGAAAAATTCGTCCTCGGTTATGGTCAAGGGGCCAGCAAGAAGAACGCCCGCCTTGCCGCCGCAAAAGATGCTTTGAAGGTTTTTATTTAGCGATTTCCGTTATTTAACCAGTTTTTCCAGAACCTCGTCCCATCCGTGAATATCAACGACGACTTCATGGTGGAGGTGAACGACAAGAAGGACAACGGCGATACGAACGGGACAAATTACGAAGAACAGACGATGGAACTCTTCGACACCATCAAGGTTTCGGAAAAAAAGAGAGAGTAGATTTCTTCAAGGATAAGATTGTAAAATTTTATATTCCCTTAGAAGACGTGCAGAAGACGTGAAACAAACGACCCTTTTTTAAGCTCGCAATTTTTTCAGATCGATGACAATCGTGTGACGGATCTCTGCACAAAAACTGGCCATCCGAAGCCGTTGGCTCTATTGAAAGTGGGTTTTTTTCATAGGTTCTAGGAACTGGAGCTTTTCTCTTTCTTGACAGGACCTGTTTTTGAAAAAAATTAGAAAGAGAGATAATTTTTTGAAATCCATTATTAGACTTTTTGTAGCCGAATCAAAGAAGTTTTGCTCGAAATTTCCAGGAAGCCATTGCGAAATCGATAAAATGGAATGGTTTATGTCTGGACCGACAAAATGAGCAGGTCGGACCCCAGAAAACTCGCGTCACACTGAAACTCGACAAATTAGAAGCTCAGGTTGGTTTTGAAAACCTAGATTCATCAAACACTTTTAGAAATCCAGAAAATAGTGAAAAAAACTAGTTTCTTAAAGTTCAAGAGTGTTAGAGAGTATTGGCAAAAATAGAAAAAAAGCTTGAGAATGTCTAGATCGGAAATATGGAAAGGCTAGCCAAAAATAAAACTTAGAGAATGGGAAAAATTAGGTGTTTCAGGCATCATTTTTAGCAGATGCATAAGAAGTTTGGAGATGAATATAACAGAAAAAAAAATTACGAAACCTGTAAAAATACTAAAGTGACTGGTATTTGAGAAAATGGGGCCATAACGAGTGTTAAAGACATATAAAATCTAGCGAGTGTGAAAAAGAAGTTTGACAGTCACCAGTTTGACCTGGAGAGTCAGGTGAACTTTCAAAAATCATTTGAAGAGATGGTTAGAAAATCTGGGGACTGTGCGAAATAGTTGGGTCCTGAAAGTTCGAGCTAAAAAAAGTATAAAAAAAAAGAGAACCAATTTTTTTCCATGTGAGCGCAGACCGTCATTTTGAACTTCTCAATGAAATTCTTTTTGAGTTTTTCCTTCTGATATATCCAATATTTGAAACGATAAACTTGGGTGAAAAAAATTTTTCACTTTTGTTGTACTTCTTTCACTTGGAATGGTTCAATGACTTTTTCACTACAATCTGAGCCAACTTGAAATTTCCACAGGCCGAAGCGGTTGGCGGAAAAGCGGCCTCGCAACAAGCCGCCCAGATAATGCTTCAATTAATGCATCCCGAGGTTTTTCAGATTTTTGTAGATTACTGTAAAAATTTTTGTAGTTTGAACACTACGGAACGCTGCTGCGACTCTATGCAAGTGTCGAGGAAAAATCGGAACGGAAATTGGCCCGAAAGCAGCACGATCAGGTTACTTTCTGAAGAGATGTAAAAAAAAAATTCGTTGAATTTAGGTGGTTCGATTGCAAAATAAGGGAAGTATGCTGCTGCCAAACATGGCGGTTCTCGGAAAACTGAAAGAAGAAATGTTAAAGGTAAGCATGGAACCTTTGAGGGATTACTTGGAAAGCTTCAAGTGGTCATTGAAGGGTTTTTGACGGCAAATTTTGAAGTTTTTCATTGATTTTTTTCGTTGATTCGCCACTTAGCTGTACATTAAGGATTCCCTTAAAACGCCCCGATTTTGAGGCTAGCTGTAGAAAAAATTGGGAAAAGCTCAATAAATAGTAAAATCTAGTCGGGGCACTCATACAGTTGACTCGAAAATAAAAAAATGAAAAAAATCGAATTTCCAAAAATAGACGTCAAGTTCGATGTTTGCGTACCTGACGTTAAATTAAACGACAGTTTTTAAAAAAAGATTAGAAAAAAATCTCAGAAAAGTAGGAAAAATCCAGTCCGAGCACGCAAGCAGAATAATTGTCAGGAAGATGCAAAAAAATTGAAAAAAAAATTTTTTTACAAAATAGGCGTCAAGTTCAAAGGTTGCGTACCTGAAGTTAAACTACACGACAGTTTTTTTTTTCACAACCCTCAATTATTTGATTTTATTCAGGTTGGCCGCGGCCAAACAGTCAGGCCTCCACTTGCGTATTCTCGTCCGGCCCTTGAAGAGGGCGATTCGGATTAAACTATAATATAATTACTGATATCTTAATTTTTTTAGTAGTTATTCTGATAACTTAATTTATTGCTTGTTTGGAACCTTGCTCAAAATGGATTTTTCGATTCGCTCAGTATCTCGCATCAACTCACTTGTTCTGAATAGCTTTAATCTCATACTCACCTTAATTGTACGCTTGCCCAATTCGTGTTGTTTCCTGTTGATGAATGTTGTTAAATTGATTTTTAAGTGAAGTTAGAAAGGTCACGAAAAGTAGGATTTTTATCACATTCTCCACAGGTTTTTGGCGGTTCTTCTATAGAAGTTAGTGGAGAAAGGAGTACTATATATTAGAAGGAAGTGGTGTTGGCACGACTCGAGTGCTTGTCCATCAGTCCAGAACTGTTTGCTTAACCCCTCCACCGCGGGCTTATGTCCAAACCGCTCGAACGGCAGCCATTCCTTCGCTACTTCTTTCTTTTTCCTCTTCTCTAGTGGTTTTCGATCAAGATCTTGTGAGTAATTAATGAGATAACTTTGAAAATAGTTAGATAGGAAGAAATAGCCGCGGTTTGGTTGAGCTTTCGCGCTCCATTGAACTTTCTAAAATATTCTTTCTGAGCAGTTCTAGAGATCACTTAAGAGCGCTAACGCTACTGAAGTGGTCACTGGAAATGCTCAGAAACGTCCGGTTTTCGTTACCGAGCTCGAGTTCACTCGGACCTTGGTTGAGCGAATCGAACGTGTCCGGGCGTTTCTAGTGATCACTTTAGGAGTCTCAGCACTCTTAAATGATCCCTAGAATGGCTCAGAAACGTCCGGAGCACGTCCGTTTCGCGTTACCAATGTCCGCGGCATGATTTATCTAAAAATTTTTTCATCAGAGCAACTATTCTCTTCAAAAATCGCCTCTCTTTCTCTCTTCCAAGCAGTAAAACCCCTGAAACTTCTCGACTCACTTCCTCTCGGTACTCTACCAAATACGGGACCATATTTGCATGAAAGCGGAGCCATACAGAAGAAAGTGGGCAAGGATGGCGCAATAATCGCCTTGCCTTGGCTTGCGTGAGATGTCGGTCTCGGGGAAGGAGACGCAGACGTCGCGCGTGGGTTACGCGCAATCACCTACAGATCATTTGGACCCGCAAAGGTCACAACCACTGTCCGTTATGGACTTGCTGGTCAACAGTCCCCACTTGCTTCGGACTGTTTTTTGTCATCAGAGCGACTTTTCCTCTCAATAATGGCTGCTCAAAAATAATTTGAACCGTAGAGTTGCTGTACAACACTTCCTACTTACTTTGATTTTTTTTCTCATCAGAGCGACTTTTCTCCTTAATAATGGCGTCTCAAAAATTATTTTCGATTGTAGACTTGCTGGTCAATAGCTCCTTCTTGCTTCGGATTGTTTTTTTCTCATCAGAGCGACTTTTCCTGTCAATAATGGCTCCTCAGGAGTTATTTCGGATTTTTGCCTTGTTGATCAGCACTCCCCACTTGCTTCAGACTGTTTTTTGTCATCAGAGCGACTTTTCCTCTCAATAATGGCTCCTTCAAAACTATTTCGGATTTTAGACTTGCTGGTCAACAGTTCCTTCTTGCTTCGGACTATTTTTTGTCATCAGAGCGACTTTTCCTCTCAAAAATGGCTGCTCAAAAATAATTAGAATCGTAGAGTTGCTGTACAACACTTCCTACTTACTTTGATTTTTTTTTTCTCATCAGAGCGACTTTTCTCCTTAATAATGGCTTTTCAGATTTTCACCTTTTAGACTTGCTGGAATCCAAAACTTTTTTTTATTAATCTCCATAAGGTCTAGTGGACCAGCTGGTTAACTATTTCTGCTATTTTCCAAGTTAGTCGCCACGAAACTCATATGTTATCATTAGAGCAGCTTTTCGCTTTTAATAATCGCCCCTTAAGAGCCGTTTTTTTCCATTGCCTTTTTATTTTTTGAGATAGGGATTCACTATTGATTTTTTTTTTGGCTTTATATCTACTTGGAATTCGAATCTTCTCATCAGAGCAACCTTTTTAACCCAAAATAGCCTCTTTTAGATTTTTTTTCGTTCATATGAATTTATTAAATCAAATAAAAGTTAATAGTAATCAAGGGAAGCGTTTCTTTCTACACAGATTCATTACTTTTCGTCTAATTTTTGTTGATTCTCTGATTTTTCGTTTTTTAATGTCATGCTTGCTAAAAAAGGAACTTTATTTTATCAGTGGAGCAACTTTGAGCGGATAAAATGCCCTCTTAATCACTTTCTAGTGCTTCACTTCACCTCACAAGTGTCCGATAATCCATAATTTCACTCGGATCAAGGCCCGAAATGTCTCTCCAAATGTACACATGTGTAGGCGATAACATCAGGCCGCAATCCGTACAGTCATCTCAGTGGAGACTGATGATATTTGCGCCGTTTTGCCAACTCAACGGCGTCTCGACACGTCATATGCATAATTTTTACGTTCTTCTGAAGTTTTGGAAGCCTTGGAAAAACGCAAAACTTCGTTGAAGTCGGTAGGAGTCGATCCAGTGACCTTTCTGACGCTATAAGTGAATTTTAGCCATTCTGCTACACCTTCTTTCTAGTTTTAAGCTCTTGCGAAGTACAAATAATCCTTATCTATATTTTTTTAATATTTTTCAAAGAGTTACAAATAGTTTCCAGTACAGGGAAAAGCAAAAAAAGCTTGTTCGCCCTATGTGGGGGTCGAACCCGTGACCTCTGGAGCGCTAGAAATGAGTCTTCGCAATTCTGCTACACCTTCTTTTTAGTTTTCAGCTCATATATTCTGCTGATACTTTTTAAAAAGTGTCAAATGTTTTGAAGTACACAGAAAAACAACAAAAGCTTGTTCGCCCTATGTGAGACTCGAACCTGTGACCCTTGGGACGCTAGAAATGAATCTTAGCCACTGAGCTATCCGCAAAAAGCTGGAAATGCACTATCTATGTGTACAACATGTGTAGCAAGACTAGAATGACTTGATATATTTCTGAAAAGAGAAAGTTTTGATAAAAAAAAGACGGATGGACGGGCCGAGGCGTGAGTCATTTCTCGAGGCGTCCATTTTGTTGAACTTTACAATTTTTATTCATTTCTGACTGGTTCAATTTTGGTTTTGAAAGTACGATTCAGTTCAATATCAATCTTGAATATTATATTCGAAGTGAACTTTAAAAACAATTTCAAATCAAAATCTTAAAAAAGAACTTGTCAGTGAAACGCACATGTTAGAATGGCTACATTCGATTTTTGAAGACCCGAAAAAATCCCAAAGTATCAATAGAGCACACATTCCCTGACCCTCCTCGGCTATTTCTTCCACGAGACACTGCCAAAACATTCTTGACCCGTTCTCCCCATTCATCATCGCCTCTTATCATTTTATCAAAAGGACACCGCTAGTCTATCGTTTTTACCATCGTTATCAGGCTTTTTCGCGGTTTGTTTAGTATTTCATTTTTTTGAAAAATGTGGAAACACATCACTTAGGAACTCCAGAGTGGTCCCTATAGAAGCCCTTGGAAAGTCCTCTATAGGGACCACTTTACCATTCCCTGTAGGGATCAATAGAGCTTGCAGAAGTGGTCCCTCTAGGGTAGATGCTGGTCGATAACTTTTATGAACTTTAGGCGCATTTATGTGCGAAAAACTAAAAAAAATGACTTCTTTTGAACAAAATTGCACGGTCCCTATAATGACCACTTAAGCTTCAGGGGCCAGACTCTAGACTTCTAAACCCCTATAGGGACCACTTTAACTTTTCTCCTAACCCCTATAGGGACCACTTTAATTTAGCCACTAACCCCTATAGGCACCACTTTAACTTTATTCTAAGCCCTATAGGGACCACCTTAATCTTACCCCTAACCACTATAGGGACCACTCGAAATATCCGACGTTAATACGCTCGCAATATTATTCACGGAAAGCTGTAGGCTTCTAAGAAATGGTTGAAACGTATCCTATCAGGGCTTTGATTTAATTGAACTTTTCAAAAACGTTTTTCAAACATTTTTCTTGGTCGCACGTGGAATGGCTCAACGTGTCGCAATCCGCTTTTCTGAAATTCAAACGATAATATTTGCAGGGATGCGAGAAGTACTGCTTGCGGTACTTTTAGCAACCTCCAGTGCCTTCGACTACGATGACCAGTTCCAGGAGTTCATCACAACCGAGACAGGTTTGATTTATCGAAAATTGTAGAATTATTTTGGATATATTTAGATAATCATCTCGTTTTTTTTTTTCTGAATAGCTTCTGTAAATAACCCGCAAGAAAAAAATAGCCGCCGAATTTCGGAGCACTTGCGCTCCATAGATAATTAGTGAAAACTTACTTTATTAACGTCCGATTTATTTTTTTCAAGAGAATGAAACGCTCAAACGTTCGCGCCCTATAGCTAATTATAAGTGTATTTTTTGCCTTTTCGAGAATTTTCGGACTTTTTTGGATGCTGGAATTTCTCATTACCGTAAAAAAAAGCATAATGAATTCATATTTTCCTCTCACTCAGTACAATCTGACTATTATGAACCGTTTCAGGACGTCTCTATAAAGACATGAAAAGCCAATTATTCGGCCCATGTCAAGAATATTCAGGTTTTGTTGCTACTAACAGAGAAAGAGTGTAGAAATCCCACTAATCGATAACTTTTTCTGTAAAAAGTAGAAGAGTCCTCCTGTTTCTGTCTTTTCCCACTCAAATTCTGAATTCCTGCCCCCAATCAATGAATTTGGTTCAGAACGAGGTCTGTTCCCGAATATTTTCAACTTGGCCACAAATTCACTGATCAACTCCACGGCCACCTGTGGACAGTACAGTCGGGAGGAGTACTGTAAGCTGGTGGAGCACGTTTTGTTGCGAGCAACTACCAATACTCAGTTGGTTAATTTCGATTTCATATTTCAGGAGGGTGAATTTATTTGTACACTGGGATTCTCTGAAAGATGGGGAAAATTCCCCCCGTCCGAACAAGCCCCTCCCCACCCAACAAGGCAAATTTCGACTTTCGGATACAGCCCCCTCCACGTCCGAACAAGCCCCCCATTAAGGCAAATTTCGACTGGGCGGGGGGAGGGGGAGCTATATTCTATACTGAAATCGCGCCCCCCCATACAACAAATAAAACCAACGGATCAACGAAAATCTAAAAAAATACGGCTTTCCTTCAAATCGTTTCGAGACCCGTTAAAAAAATAATTTCACCTACTGGAGGGGGGAGGGGGCTGATTATGAACCCGTACTTCTCGAAAAAAATAAAAAAAGTTTTTGAAGGTTGTGTGCACCAGAGTGAGCAGGGGGGCTATTCCCTAGACCAGTTAGGGGGGGCGGGGGCTTTCCGGAATGATCCCGAAAAATAGGCCAGGATACTGATAATTATACTAATTGAAAGGATAAACCCGTAAATCTTCTTCTTAATTTTCATAAACGGACGCCTAAAAGTAGGGACCGCAAGCCATTTCTTCAGAACGATTCAAAAAATATGTTTTTCACATTGTTCGATAGAGGAGACTGTCCATTTTCATAATCCGTTCAGTTTTTGAAAAAAGCTCCACTAAGAAAAAAGTTATGGCCAAAAAACGAGCGCGCGCGGCGTTCAACTGGAGGCGAAATCTCACGGTTTACCCGCTGCCGCACGCTTTCTTTTTAAATGTTTTTGCGCGTTTCTGGACCGTTTTTAAATCGGTTTTCTGTTCTGAGAGGTTGTCCGAACTGAGCCTCATGTTTTGGTATTAATCTTTTGTACAATCCTCATAAGAATTTTTTTGATAAAATATCAAAAAAACTACCTAGAAAAAAAGGTCAAAGGGATTTTTTTAGCTTATTTTTTTCTTTTTTTCTACTCAGAAAAAAATTATTATCATTCGATTTGGAAAAAAGAAAAAATGAAAATAAATGTTATTTCGAAATAAAACAGGAAAAAAAGTGCAATTTGACTTCGAAAAAAACGGCTCCTGCGACATTTAAAAGGGCGCATCGGTGTGTTTGACGCAAACACTGCTACGGACACTTGCACGGAATCTTCCAAAATTTCAAAAAAAAATTGCCATTTTTTCGAGGTTTTCAAAGCCGTTATTTTTTTCGCGTCGATCGATTTTTTTCATAATTTTTTCATTGATAGAGTTTCGAACGCTTAATAACATAATCAAAAGTATAGACGCGATCCTATTCTCTCATGCGTCAACGAGGCAGGCGAAAAAAAGGAGGTTTTGGTAAAATTCAAATATAATTTTGATTCGCTGTCCCAATAATTATTTTTCATTTTTGAATTTTTTTGTTTGTGAGCACATTGTGAGTTTTTAAATCAAATAAAAAAAGTATACCATGTCGCTGAAATTTTTTTCGCATTTCAGCTTCAAAGTTTGGTGCCACTTTACAAGCTTTAATATTTTTTTCGCGTCGGTAGATTTTTTTCATTTTTCACTCAAAAAAATAAAGAAAGTGTTAATGTATAACATACTTAAAATTTAGAAGCGTTCCTCACTTGGTTTTTCTGAAAACGCGACAATTTTTGTGAAACTTGTCAGTTTTTTTCGTGTTAAATCTTACTTTTTTTCGCTTATTTTTGAAAAATACATAGTTTTAAAAATATTCAGTCTTGTAGAGCATTGTCGATTACATAGATTGAGAGAAACAGTTGATTTTCAAAGTGGGACTTTAGCTAGTATAAACGCCTCAAAACCGTTTTTGCAACAAAAAAATCGTCATTTTGGTGGCGTGAACGGGCGGGGCTTTGCGCCCCCTACCTAAAAGTCGGAGAAAATGTCTGATTTTGAGCCCTCCCTTCTCGAAAAATGGAATCTTTTGAAGGTTTCATGCACCCTTTCACGATCCCATTCTCTAAAAGTACTAGAACCATCATCATTTCCAGATCGCCCCAATGCGACATTTGCGACGTCAACGACGTCCACAAAAGGCACCCCATTGAATATGCGATCGATGGAACCAGAAGGTACTTTTTCATATATTTACAATCAATCAATGAATCTTAAGATGGTGGCAATCGCCATCTTTGGCCAACGGACTAAAAATTCGAGAAAGTCAACATCACGATTGATTTGCGACAGGTTTGAAGCTAACAGTTGTGGAGGGGGGGGGGCTGGTTTTGTCTCGTTTTTCAACGCTCTTTACTTTCGGAAACTCTTCCTCGTATTTTTTCAAGATTTTCAGCCTAGCATCGGTTGGATGAAGCTGATAATGAGTCAAAACTATTACGGGAAACAAAATATTGGGAACTCTAAATTTAAAATTGTCCTTCAGCTTCCAAAAGCGAGGTTCCTGCTATTACAGACATATTTTCTTGGTTTCCTTTCAAAAATTTGTATCATTTTTTTTATTTTATGCTCAAATTAGCAGTGAATCAACTAAAAATTCCCCTTCCAGGAATACCAAGTAGCCTACGTTATCGTCAAGATGGGAAACGCGCCACGGCCGGGCACCTGGGTCTTGGAAAAGTCGCTCGACGGCGAAAACTACGAACCTTGGCAGTTTTTCGCCATGCAAGACGCCGAGTGCATGCGCCAGTTTGGAATGCCCGCCACGACTGGAGTGCCCCGATTCCAGAGGGATGATGAGGTGAAAAAAAAACCCGAAATGAATGGATCATTTTTTTCCGTTAATACTGTCAGTAGAAAACACTATTAGGTGCTTTTAAAATTTTCTATAACGTCAAATTTAGTGGAAACCAAAAGAAAAGACTCAAACGTCATGGAGCAAAACGAAAAAAAATTGAGATTAGCTTACTGTATTCGGAAAAGGCCGCAGAGCGTGTATGCACTGAAGGCGTTTTATCTCACGCGCACGCCTGCTTTTTAGAAGCAATTTTTTCTTTTTTCTTTCGGTTCTACAGTTTTTCATGAATAGAATTATCATTTTGCCTATTTAAAAATCTGTGAAGGCTATTTCAAATTTGCTATCGTGGTTTCCTGGAGCCTCGAAAGTTTATTGAAGGCTATATTAGTTTTTTTTTTCGGTTTTTCCCACTTTTTGTTCAAAACTGCGCTTATTAGTTTTCGTTCAACTGTAAATCGTCATATAAAAAAATATATGTTTTATCATACGAATACGCCTTTTTTTCTATTATGCCAATAGACTTGAATCGCAATTTTCAGGTCCATTGCACAAGTGAATTCTCAAAGTTGACTCCTCTGGAAAATGGTGAAGTCCACGTTTCCCTTGTCAATGGCCGTCCGGGAGTGGAGAAGCCGTCGGCAGAGCTTCAGGTGACGTCACGATGACATAATTAATGACGTCATTCCGTATTCAGAAGTTCACGCGAGCCCGTTACGTCAGACTTCGATTGATCTCGCCGAGAACTTTGAATGCTGATCTCATGATTATTAATAGACAAAGTCATCAGATTGATAAATCTGTCACGATGAGGTAAGATTTTTGGAAAAAAAATCCTTGGAGTTCCATAGATTTGTCATAGATTGTTTATTCAGAAAACTCTCAAAAATTTTTCCAAGTAGTTCAAAAAATTTTTTTTTGGCATTTAATAGTAGAATATTTCTTATTGAGGCACACATTTTGCAAAACTATTTTCAAACAATTTTTTCAATTTTTCAGATATTTCTACTCGATCTCCGACATTTCTATCGGCGGCCAGTGTATTTGTTACGGACACGCCGAAAGTTGCCCTAGTGATCCGGTCACTGGAGTGAGTTTATCTATCCCTGAATGGAACCAGAGGGTCACTTAAGTAAAATTATGGGATCTGATTCGATTTTAAGCCATAAATAAGGTTTATAAATGCCAGGAATTTCAGAATTTTATTTGAAAAAACTGATAGAAAACCGGCAAAAATCCTCTCGGCGAGGACTTGACTCGATCCTAGGACCTTCCGACTCATAGACCGCCCTTCTAACCACTCGACCATTCAGCAATTCAAATGCGAATGCCGTCACAACACCTGCGGCGAGTCGTGCAACCGCTGCTGTCCGCTCTTCAATCAACTGCCCTGGAAACAAGGAACCAACTCGCAGCCCAACATTTGCCAACGTGAGACAGCCTGAGCTAGTCTGAGCAACAAATTGTAACTCTCAGAGTGCCAATGCTTCAACCACGCGGAGAGCTGTGTCTACGACGAGGAACTCGACCGGAATAAATGGTCGATCACGCCGGAGGGCGTCTACGAAGGCGGCGGTCGGTGTGTGGATTGCAAGGTGGGAATAACCTGCACATCTAAGCGGATTACTGTCGTTTCAGCACAATACGGAGGGTTTCAACTGCGAGAGGTGCTCGGATGGGTTCTACAGGCCTTCGGGAATGTCTCACTATCGGGAGGACGCATGTCGGACTTGCGATTGTGACCCTGTGGGGAGTCTGTCCGACGTCTGCATCCGCGACGATCAGAGCGCTCAGAATGGACAGGTTGGTTGGATTACAGTATTCAGGGGGTTACTGTAGTCGAGGTTTTTTGAGATTCAGGGGTTGCTGTGTGTATTGTAAACTTGTCTAATCTTTCAGGTTTTTAAAGCTCGAAATTTGAGAATAGTTGAGAGCGAGCATGGGTTACGGTATCGACAGGGTTACTGTAGTCGAGATTCTTTGAGACTCAAGGCTTGCTGTGCGAAATGTGGACTTTTCGAAAAATGTTTTATGTTTTTAAACCTCGAATTTTAAAAATAGTTCAGAGTTAGCAAGGGTTACGGTATCGAGAGGTTTACTGTAGGCCCCAAGAGAATTTCCTTTTTCTTTGAGACTCAAGGATTGCTGTGCGAATTGAGGACTTTTCTAATCTTTTATGTTTTTGAAGTTTAAATTTTAAATATAGGTCAGAGTAAGCAAGGGTTACGGTATCGAGAGGGTTACTGTAGGCTCCAAGAAATTTTTCGATATTTAAAAAGCTTGAGGGCTGCTATGTGAATCCTATAGTTTTCTAATCTTTCATGTTTTTAAGCTCGAATTTCAAGAATAGTTCAGATTGAGCATGAGCTACGGTATCGAGAGGATTACTGTAGTCGAGATTCTTTGAGACTCAAGGGCTGCTCTGCGAATTGTGGACTTTTCGAAAACTGTTTTATGTTTTTAAACCTCGAATTTGAATAATAGTTCAGAGATAGCAAGGGTTACGGTATCTAGAAGATTACTGTACACTTCTGGTCACTTTTTAGGCATGTTTGAAAGTTAGGAATGCGGTTTTAAACTATTTTAAAGTGAACGTCTAAATGAGCGACCAGAGAGGTCATATGTTACGGTAGAAAATTTTTTTGAATAATTTTCTTCGATGTCAAATTAGCGATTGGAAAGATATACGGTACGAAATTAAGAGGCTACTGTAGATTTTTTTTTTCCCGAGCTTTTTCTAAAATATTATAATTTTAAAAATTCAAGCTTTTCCTTCAAGATTCGATTTATGTTGTTCTTTTTCCAAGTTTTCATGGTTACTGTAGCTCTACCGTACCCCTTTACAGCAACCAGGCGACTGTGTCTGCAAGCCAGGCTTCGGCGGACGTCGCTGTGAGAGATGTGCTCGCGGCTACCGTAACTATCCGACTTGCGAACCGTGTCCCTGCAACCAAGCCGGATCCATCAATTTCGACACCTGCGAGGAGGCCAGGTAAACCTACAGTAAGCTGGAGCTCGAATAACCGGATTAGTGTAGCTGCCAATGCAAGGCCAACGTCGAGGGAGTTTACTGTGACCGTTGCAAAGAGGGAACGATCCATCTGAACGCGAACAATCCCCTGGGATGCCAGGCCTGCTTCTGTTTCGGACTGTCGACGAATTGCTCGCAGGCCGAGTGGAACACGGCTCAGGTAAGGTTTTACAGGATGAAAATAGGGAAAACGAAAGTTTCATGAGGTTAGAAGGGACTGGAACTTGGTAGTAATCCCGAATTTCCAGTTGAAAACCCCTGATTTTATGAGGTTTTTTGAACAAATATTTTGATAGCTTTATTTCGAAAAATGATCGAATTTTGGTGTAAGGAGCGTCCTTAGAAAATTGGCAAAAATTCAATTTCCTTGGCAGGATTTGAACCTGAGACTTGTTGGATGATGGACAGGCTTCTTAGCCACTTGGCCATCCTTATTTGGTCTTTTTTTTTCTCTTAAAATCACTGTTACATTCGAAAAAACGCCAGTTTTCCATTTTTCTATTTTTCTATTTTTATTAATGGCAAAAGGCTTCATAGGACTTGAACTTGGTACCTTCTTGGTGCTAGATTGAAGCTTCAGCCACTTGACTATGCTTTGACGGAATTTTAGAAAGAGCTAGTTTATTTCTTGACCTATTTTTTTCAATTTGACAGCTTGATTTTGAAAAATGATCGAATTTCGGTGTAAAGAGGGTTCTTAGAAAATTGGCAAAAATTCAATTTTCTTGGCAGGATTCGAACCTGAGACTCGTTGGATGATGGACAGGCTTCTTAACCACTTAGCAATTCTCATTTGGTCTTTTTAGCTCTTTCAAAAGCACTGTTATTTTCGAAAAAGCGCTATTTTTAGATTTATCAATTTGAATAAATGGCAAAAAAAAGCTCCATAGGATCCGAACCTGAGACTTGTTGAATGATGGGCAGGCTACTAAACCACTTAGCCATCCTTATTTGATCTTTTTTTGCTCTTTTCAGGTCATTGTTATTTTCGAAAAAGCGCTTTTTTTGATTATCAATTTGAATTAATGACAAAAAAGCTCCATAGGACTCGAACCTGTGACCCTGCAACTTGAAAATATTAAGATTTCCAACAACGTCGGCTGGAATTTGACGGATTTGACCGGAGGAAAAGACATTCGACCCGAAACTGAAAATGGCGAGGTTCAGTTTTTTTTTTCTTTTCGAATATTTGATAACTGATTTTTCAGGTCTTGATGTTCAACGCAAATCAAAACCAGGATCGTTCTTTGTATTTCTGGAAGGCGCCCGAGGCTTTCAAGGGCAATATGGTGAGGAACTAATGGTTAACATGAGCAATACTGAGAAAATCCGATCTAGCTGAACAGCTACGGCGGCTATCTGCATTACTACGTCTACTACGTGCCGACGGACCAAGGCGCTACCGTACCCATCGCCGATCTTCTCATTGAGGTATACTGTAGGGATGTCTACCGTACCTACCTGTTTTTTGTTTTGGAACATAGAGAAGCGTTAAAAATCGATAAAAAGTTTTTTTTTCTGAGCTTTAAGTTACGGAATTTTTGTCTCTGAAAAATATTTTTTTCGATTTTTTTTTTCACTCATTCTCAGAAGTGATAGGAAATAACTTAAAATGGATAGATTGAAAAAAAAAATTTCAGGGAAACGGGATAAAAATTGAATATTATTCGAGAATCGAATTCCTACCCCGGGAGAACATGACCGTCGCCATCCCGATTCGGTAAATTCTTTTTGAATTTCTTCAGATTTTTTTTCTGGTTGTAGTTGAATTTAATGGAAAAAAGCTGGACCAAAAAATGAACTTTTCATTTTTCAGAGAAGGATCCGGCTGGTACAACGCGGCCACACGGATGCCAGTCGATAAGGCGGATCTGATGAGAGCTTTGGCCAGAGTCGAGAAATTCCTCGTCAGAGCCATGTACCAGCAGCTCCAGCTTCAGAGCAGGTCTGTTTCTGACGAAATTTCCTGCGACCGACCCCGCGCGGCTTGCGCAAACTTGTATTTGAAGGTAGATTAGGGCGATTTGAAACAGGACAAAGTTCAGACAAAATTTATTTTTTGAAAAATCAACTGGAAAATTTGAGTCAAATGGGCTAGCTTATTACATATTTCGCTCAGTTTTTTTATTGGAGAATATTTTAATTTAAGATTTTTCACGTTCTGCAAGATTTTTCACGATAGATTAAAAATTAAAATTAATATCCGCGTGTATTATTTAAAAAAAATATCTGTTGATTATAATTGTTGAAAAAAAACTTCTCTAGAAATGTTTGAGTTATGAATCAAACTATAAACTATTAACGACATGAATTGCTTCAAAATGACACATATTTTATTTTTATATAGGACTTAGGATCTAGAAAAATTCAGCTGTAAACGATGTTTTCATTTTTTTTTTCTTCAACATATACATTCCATTTCCAATAAATCAATCAGTCAATCATTTTTTTCATGAATTTGATCGGTTAGGCGGAGATCAAGCAAATTTGTAGCCGTATTGGCCTTTGGGGAATTAGAAGTCTAAACGTGTAGCTGATCAAGTGGAAAGCAGAGTCATAACGCCCGTTCTTCTGCGCGTAGTACCTTAAGTTACCTCTTAAAGAGTTCAGAATATAGCTGGTGCCCGAAGACCTTGCCCTGGGAACCCTATAAGGACCACTTCAAGTGAAGACTTAGTTTAAAAAAAATCATTTTTCTTGTCAGCATCTTTGGCCTCTCGTTGGACAGCGCCGTGCCGGCCCCCGCCGTCATCACCACTTCTGATGACGTCTTCCAGCCGACCGCCGCCGACACCCTCATGAGAGGCGTCGAAGTCTGCACTTGCCCCGAAAATCTCGCCGGAAACAGTTGCGAGGTCCGAGAAGTCTTGTGTCAGAATTGGTGGTAAACGGCGTTTTTGCAATGCGAATAAAAAAGGGCGGAGTCTAAACCTCCGCCGTTCCCACGTGACGTCATGGGAACGGCAGAGATTTCGGCTCAAGGATATATTAAAGACGCAGGCGGCCACATTGCCAGAGGTCTTTGAGACGAATCGAATTCTCGCTACATAAACGCAAATTTTTCTGCGCGAACTCTACGAAGCGTGCACGGTGCGAGCACTGATTTTGCACTTTTTTGCTGCACGGTGCATGTTGTCGTTTTGCTACTCGATTTAGGCCTTTTCTTTCTCCATAATCCGACTTTTCTAACGAAAAAAAGCATTACTAAAACGAAAAAAAAAATATAAATAACATGTAGAACTGAGAGAAATGGACTGAATTGACAGGATTTCGAATACCCAATTTTCTGATTCGGAGTGTCAGCACCGTGCGGTGTTGCACCTCATGCGCACTGAAAAAGACTCAAAGCTGCGAGGTGCAAAACGACAACATGAACCGTGCAACAAAAAAAGTGCGAAATCAGTGCTCGCACCGTGCACGCTTCTTGTAGAGGACGTCGTAGTGCTTGCCCACGATACACCACATCTTACGGAGAGAAAAACGCCGAGAAAAAACAACTAAAATAAAACCAATAAAAAATTCGTGTAGGTTAAATTAGTCTTCTTCGATCTTTTTAAACCTTTTTTTTGGGTTCTTCATAGCTAGTACTGTTGCTTCAGTATGTCTAGACCTAAAATTCTTGCAAAAATTGAAAAAACGAATCAGAAGGACTCCGTATTAAAACGACTGTAAATTTTTTTGAACATTTTTCTACCAATGTTGAATTGGTAGAAACACTTGAAATGAAATGAAATGAAAATTGGCTGGTGACTTCAAGAAAATGATGATATTTTTGAAGTTTCAATGGAGTATTTACCGTTATAAAGCCCTCAAAAAAGCGAATTTTGTCTGGAATAACTCTAGAAACGAAAAAAAAAAATCGATACAAATCTCTAAACCTTATGGATCGTCTCTGAATGCTGTATAAACTTAAAAACTTGATGAAAAAAAGGAAAATATTTAGAGTTGCGTGAAAGGCTACCGACGAGTCAACGACCAGCTGTACGGTGGAAGATGTGAAAAGTGCAACTGCCAGGGTCATTCGGAAGAATGCGACCCTTTCACTGGCGAGTGTCTCAATTGCCAGGTATCCTTTAGATTCTTACAAAAAGTCGATATTTCCATTGAAAAAAGCTCTGTTTTTGCTTCTAGAAGCTTTTGGATTCACAAAAAGGGGCATGTTTTATAGGAATTTTGAGAATTTGAAATTTGGAACTTGGTTCTTTTTGTTGGCGAGTGTCTCAATTGCCAGGTATCCTTCAGACTTTCCAAAAAATCAATGTTTTCATTGAAAAGAGCTCAATTTTAGCTTCTAGAAGCCAAAAAAGGGGCATGTTTCAAGCTAGTTTTGAAAATTAAAAGTTAAAAAAATTGTTCCCTTCACTGGCCAATATCTAAATTTTCAGGTCCCATAATGATTCATTAGCAAAAAAATTTTTTTCAATTTCCTAAAAACTCAAGAAAAAAAGCCGATTTTTCCAGCACAACACGACCGGAGGAAGGTGCGAACTTTGCTCGCCTGGACACTACGGTAACCCGAGCTTGGGCGGCGAGTTGGGCGCCTGTTTCCCCTGCGAATGTCCTCTGCTGCACAATTCCCATTCCAAGCAGTGCATGATGACCGAGGTTTGATCTTTTCCTATATAGTCTATATTCCACGACTTGAAATTTCACGGAACGACATTCCACATTCCGCTGTTCCGCTGCGTGCGTTCGCGAAGCGTCTTTCGAATCTAGGTCACACTATCAATTGATTGATATTGCTGTGGGAGCACATGAAAGTAGAAAAAAAAAAAACGCGACCGAGGTTCGCAAAGGCGCGCAGCGGATTGTCGTTCCGTGAAATTCCAAGTCGTGGTACACAGACTATACCTCGATAAGGCAAACCGGACGCGCTCCGAACGTTTCTGAGCGTGTGTAGTGACCACTTAAGAGGGCTGACACCGTTAAAGTGGTCACTAGAAATTCTCCGTTCCAAGGTCCCAGTAATTTTTTCTAACTTTCCTCTTTTTCTGAAAAATGAAAATAGTTGACTTTTTGTGGCGTTCTCACACATCTTTCAAAGTTTTAGTTTTCAATAAAATAATTCAAAGTTGAATGAGTAAACCTTAAAATTTTGATCTGAGTGATTTGAGGAGCTATTTTATTCTTCCGACTCGAAAATCTCTGTTCAAATCGATTTTTCCTCTTTAAATGGTCATTTTCGCTAGAGCGTACTTCGCAAATGGCTATTTTTCCCATGAAGTATTCTTTTCCCAAAGAATAACCGAAAAAAATTCCAGTTGATCGTTTCCGGAGCCGCGGCGGCGAATGAAGACGACTACGTCTGCACGGCCTGCGATCGTGGCTACGAGGGGAATAAATGCGAAGTGTTCGTTTTTATTGATTTTTGACTTGCCAAACATGGAAAATTGAAAACTGAAGTAGCGGCAGAAATTTTGAGAATATAAGGAAATAATTTCATCTTCCCAAAGATGCAGTGTCGTTTGAGATCGAGACGAGAAAAAATCCCAGAAATTTTCACTTTCCAGGTGCTCCGACGGATTTTTCGGCAATCCTATCGATGAAAATGGCAACGGAAGCTGTGTCGAGTGCAATTGTAATGGTAATTTTGGAAGATTTTCTGATAAATTGGTCACATTTGGAATGGATTGAAGTATTTTTCGAGAGTTTGGAGCAAATTCAAAAAAAAAATCTTGTGGATTGAGCCATTCCAAATGCGACCCTGAAGCTCAATGAAGTTTTTCTGATTTTTTAGCGGGTCTGCCGCGCTTGGAATGGCTCATTGCACTTTAGTTGGCGCTGCGCATGCGAAAACCACGTCTAGTCGGGCGCAACATGAGCCATTCCAAACGCGATCGTTCATCATGCCGTCAAAAAACTGGAATGTATACTCATACTTCTGAAGTCGTTTTTGGAAATTTGAAATGAGTTTCGACAAGATTATTGTGCCTTGAGCCATTCCAAATGCGACCCTGAAGCTCAATGAAGTAATTCTGACTTTTTTCCGGGTCGGCCGCACTTGGTATGGCTCATTGCATTTTTGCATTTTTTGTGGATGCGAAAACCACGTCTAGTCGGGCGCAACATGAGCCATTCCAAAAGCGACCGTTTATCATTCCGACGAAAAACTGGAATGTATACTCATACTTCTGAAGTCGTTTTTGGAAATTTGAAATGAGTTTCGGCAAGATTATTGTGGATTGAGCCATTCCAAATGCGGCCCTGAAGTTCAATAAAGTAATTCTGACTTTTTGACGGGTTCGCCGCGCGTTGAATGGCTCATTGCACTCTACTTTGCGATGCGCTTGCGAAAATCACTTCTAGTCGGGCGCAACATGAGCCATTCCAAATGCGACCGTTTATCAAGCCGACAAGAGAATTTTTTTCAGGAAACATTGACCCGATGGAAATCGGAAATTGTGACACGAAAACGGGAGTTTGTTTGAAATGCACGGGGCATACCTCTGGCGATCATTGCGAGGTTCATATTTTCGTATTTATCCCATTTCTGGAAGTTTATTTTGAAACTGGAGGAAGTTATAGTGATTTTGAGCATTTCGTGTCAAAAAAGCTATGGGAAAATCTTTGAAAAACATTTTTTAACTCAAGTTTTTATTTTTCTAGGGTACTCAAACTTGAAAATGTGAAATAAGGGCTTTTTATAAACTCTGAGGGATCAGAAAACGTTCCTAGCCTCATAGCCTATTGGCTAAGCGTTCTAGTTACGAAGTTGGAGACGCTGGTTCAATCCCCTTCGCGTCAAACCTTTTTTGCAGAATTGAAATTTTCCAGATCTGCAAGGAGAATCACTACGGATCCGCCCAACAACACACTTGTAAGCCCTGCGGATGTCATCATCAAGGTTCATTTTTGATAAACTTAAGAGGACGTTTTTAAAATGCGGACGCTTTTTGAATTTAATAGTCTAGGCTTTCAGCAAATTAAAAATTTCAATTTATTCAAATAGTTATTGATAAGGTTTGTTATAGATTCAAAAAGATTTCTTGGTTTGAATTTTTTTAAAAAAAGGTCAGGTTAAGTAGTTATTTTTTTAATAAAACGAAAGTTTCACTATTCAATATTCCGATTATAAACTCCTAATAGGCTCGACGAAACAGCAATGTGATGAGTTCGAAGGCGACTGTGAGTGCAAGGAAAACTACGTCGGCAAGCAGTGCGATCGCTGCAAGGTTTGTATGTTTTTCTCAGGATTTGAGAATAAATTAATCATCCAAGCGCGAGAAACTGCGCTCCAACGAACAATGGTTTTGTTTGGCTGGGCACGCCTCTTTTGAGACTTTTTGAAGAGCGTAGAATTTTTTTGAGGCTACAAAACGAAACCAGGGATCGCTTTAAAAAATTCGGGAAAATGGAAAAATATAGATTCTATTAGAAATATTTTTTTCAAGCCAATCTGAATCGAAAAAATAGCATTTAGAGACTAATAACAGCTCTTAAAAGGAAGAAAAAGCTAGAGAACAATGGTCGCTTGAAGAGACGCCAGAGAAACGAGAGTCCTTTCTATCTCTGCCTTTTGTCTCTTTTTTGGACTCCCCCAAATTTCGCTCCCAGGACGGACATGGAGACGTCGAGAATGGCTGCCCCTCCTGCGAATGTGACGTCATCGGAAGCCTCGGCGAGGAGTGCGACCAGGTCAGCGGGCAGTGCAACTGCAAGCAGGGCGTCTTCGGAAAGGTTCGTTTCGAGACTCGATTCGTCAATCATAGTCGTGCGCCTTTAATAAGAAGCTTTAAAAATTGCTCTTTTCTCAGAACTTGACAATCTTGATGTTATATAAGCCAGAATAACGTTTCAGTCATTTTTTTCAGCGCTGCGATCAATGTCGACCCTCGTATTTCAATTTCACGGAAGCTGGCTGCCAATTCTGCCATTGTAACATCTATGGAAGTATCGAGGATGGAAAGGTTTCATAGTCCATCCATACCGGGCTTGGGACAAAAAATATAGATTCTCTATGTTCTTCTATACTCAAGCTGTATACAGATAAAGAAGTTACTTTGTCCCAAGCCGCGACGCGTCGTCTCAAGCGTTGCGGTTCCCATGACGTCATTTTGTTCCAGTGCGACAATGTGACGGGAAAATGCGAGTGCCGCGAGAACGTCGAAGGAACGATGTGCGAGAAGTGCGCCGAGGGATTCTTCAACATTTCCAGCGGCGATGGATGTCAGGTATGTGGAATGGCTATCTGCACCCGACTTCGAATGGGTTTCGCCAATCGGCATCCAGGACGGAAGCAGTCTAATATGATCAATTCATTGTTACGTTTTGAGGAATGCGGCTGTGACGTCACCGGGTCGGAAGGCGTCTCCTGCCACCTCGTTACCGGTCAGTGTGTCTGCAAACCTGGAGTGACTGGCCAGAAGTGCGACCAGTGTCTGCCCAATTACTACGGATTGGATGCCGAAGGGTGTACTCGTAAGTTTTCTGGACCGACTTGTGACGGTCGGACGCCGTTTCACATCCTTTGATCCACTTATTTTGAATCCTTTTTTTGCAGAATGCGAGCCTTGTCCAGCTCCTGGCCAAGTCTGCGACCCCGTCGACGGTAGCTGCGTCTGCCCGCCCAACACTGTCGGTGAAATGTGCGAGAACTGTACGGACAACGCCTGGGACTACCATCCCCTGAAGGGCTGTCGTCTCTGCGAATGTTCTGAAGTCGGAAGTGCCGGTGGGAAGTGCGACACGAGGACGGGACAGGTGAGAAATTGAGCTTCAGGTGGTTCAGGTTGAGAAGACTTTGAATAGGGTGATTAGAAGCTTTTGAAATAAAACAATTAAGTTTTCTGGTTCTCCAGTAATCTCCTACAGAGGCAAAGTCGGAAAGGGTGGAAAAGGTTCCATAAAAATGTTCATTTTAGGGTGATAAAGGCTCCTTTTCTGATGCCTTTTTGCGCCATTTTCTCGGCCTTTATGCACCATTTTTGCTGCCTTTTTTTTACCATTTCTCGCGCCTTTAAAATCTCAGAAAATTGGAAGGCTCGGTTAAAAGAATTCTTTTTGCGGCCTTTCTGAGGCCTTTCTGCGGCATTTTTTGAGCCTCTCCTAAGCCATCATCCACCGTTCCGACTTTGCCCGAGTAGAGAAGTTGGTGAAGGTTTCGTACTACGTCGTAAATCCTTTTTACTACTTGAATAATTAGAGAAACTTCAAAAATAAAATTAATAATAATAGGTAATAATAGGGACTTTGTGAGCCTTAAAAAAAGTGGTCGCATTGTATAATGCGTCCGCCGCGAATTGTATTTTTTGGCGTGTCCATGTTCCCTCACCGGCGAGGTCAGAGAATTATGGAAATAGCACGTAAACATGAGAGGGACGTCGAGAGATAAGAAGGGCGCAGAGAAGTCCTGTTTCTTTCCAGTCGCTAAAAATGGAGTACATAAAAGTTCGGAGTTTTCAAGGGCAGTTTTAGTCTGCGAAGCATGATTTTTCCACTCGAAACACTTTTCAGAGCCATCCAGAAGTCATGAAACTCAAAGAGAAATCAGAAGATTAATTGGAAAATTTCAGTGCAAGTGCAAAAACGAGTACGTCGGCCTGAAATGCGACCGCTGCACCCACGGCTTCTTCAACTTCCCGACCTGTGAGCCGTGCGGCTGCGACTCGCGTGGAACGGATCCGCTTCAGTGCAAAGATGGCCTTTGTCTGTGTGATGACAAGGGAACTTGTCCTTGTAAGGTATGTATACAATTGTTCGAGATTTTTGTTCCAACTTCTAGTCACGGTTTTTTTACTGGTTGAGTAACATGAGGAACTAAAAACACGGTTGGCTCCCTCGTGACGTCATAGGAAAGACAGAGATTCCAGCTTTAAAAGCGTAAAAACAAGGCATATTAAAGGCGCAGGCCTCTTGAAATATTAAAGGCGCAGTTAACATTTAAAGGCGCATGCCGCATTATCAGAGGTATTTGAGAAGAATTTCTACATAAACCCAAATTTTTCTGCGCGAAAGCGACGCAGTGTATGCACACGACACACCATACTTTACGGAGAATCGTCGGAAAAAACACTTCAGTCAATCTTTATATCAATTTTTTGTCTACGGTTTCCCACATTATATCCAGCAAAAATTATATTTATTTTTGTTGTTTAAAGAATACTTCATGACGACTTTCTATCGTCTTCAAATGATCGGACTTTCCAGAAAAACGTGAAAGGAGAAAAATGCGACGAGTGCGCCGAAGGGACCTTCAGCCTCGACGGAAACAATCTCAAGGGCTGCACCGAGTGTTTTTTTGCTTCAATCGGTTCGTTTTGAATAGGTTCAAAAAAATTTTTGGAATTTTTTTGAAGATTTTTTTATACAACTTCGAAAAAGAAGAACTTCAAACTTGTTAAAATTGAAAAAATGGTTCAAAATATTTTTTCCTTGCAAAAAACACGAAAACGAGAGAACAGTGGCGGCCCAAAGAGACACCAGAGAAAAAGGAACTGTCAGCTTTTCTGGCTTCTCTTCAGGCCCCTCCCCAACAAAAACTTGAAATTTTGAATTTTCCAGAACAGAAACTTGCACCCAATCCTCTCTGGTCTGGCAGCAAATTTACGCCGAAGATCGACGCGCGATTTTCGAAGAGCCCTGGGAATATTACACGAAACGGCACAATATCAACTTGCTCAAGGTAGTTTCAATGTCTCTTTTGAAAAAAAGCGGCTCGAAATGAAGGATTTTCGAGGTTTTCAGGCTTTCCCTTATTTTTTGATAACGCTTGAGTGAAAATTTCAGATTTCGAGGCCTTATTTTCAGCTTCTGTCACTCTTAGCTGTTACATTGCTGAAGATCTAAATTTCGCTCATTCTACAGTATTATCAAGTGTTACTGTAGCTTTTCGTTGCAGGAGACCCCATCGCAGTACAATAGCTACCCTACAGACGCCACACCACTCTACTGGCCACTTCCGAAAATGTTCCTCGGCGACCGGACCACCAGCTACAATGGATTCCTGAGGTTCAAGGTATGCGAGCCTCCTTAGCTCAGTTGGTAGAGCGTTAGACTTTTAATCTAACGGTCAGGGGTTCGAGTCCCCTAGGTGGCTGAAAGTTTTTGCCTTTTTTGCTTGACCTTTACTGGGTTTAACACGTACTTTAGTTATATTTTAAGTTTATATTTTTGTATAAAGTGACTTTTTCAAAACAATTTTTCATAACTTATATGTTTTATAGGAGGAGGACTGAATTTATTGCATTATTTTAGTTTCATACCTTTTTGATGAACTTTTTTCTTAATTTTTCACTTTTTTTCTTCCTTATTGCATTGATTTGAAAGCTTGTATATATTATTTAGAGATTTAATTTCATGATTTCAAGATTTGGAACGAGGACAATCGCCGCGGCTCACATGGAATCCGGCCAGATCAGCAATATTTCCGCTATTTCCCACAAATCGTCCTCGTCGGAAATATGAGAATGGAGCTGGAGCACATCCCCTATGACATCAAGGACGATGGAAAGTATAAGGTGAGGGGAAACGATCAAAATTTCAAAGAAAATGACAAAAATTCAGGTTCGAATCCACGAATCGGAATGGCGAGTGAGACATTCGCCGGAGCTTTCCCTGACCCGGAAGCAGTTGATGATCGCCCTGCAAAACGTCCAAGGCATCTATATCCGTGGAAGCTACAACTATCCGGCGCGAGGCGATGCGATCAACTTGGAAGAGGTTTGAAGGCGCATTTTCTCGAAAAACTTGCCGAAAATGACGTCACTTCTTGATGACGTCAAGACGACGTCAAGAAGGCGTCACTCCTTGATGACGTCAAGACGACGTCACTTCTTGAAGACGTCATGAAAAACGTTACTTCTTGATCACGTCAAGATGGCGTCACTTCTTGAAGACGTCAAGAAAAACGTTACTTCTTGATCACGTCAAGACGGCGTCCCTTCTTGAAGACGTCAAGACGGCGTCACTTCTTAATCACGTCTAGACGACGTAACTTCTTGAAGACGTCAAGAAAACGTCACTTCTTGAAGACGTCAAAACGGCGTCACTTCTTGATGACGTCAAGACGACGTCACTTCTTGAAGACGTCATGAAAAACGTTACTTCTTGATCACGTCAAGATGGCGTCACTTCTTGAAGACGTCAAGAAAAACGTCACTTCTTGAAGACGTCAAGACGGCGTCACTTCTTAATCACGTCTAGACGACGTAACTTCTTGAAGACGTCAAGAAAACGTCACTTCTTGAAGACGTCAAAACGGCGTCACTTCTTGATGACGTCAAGACGACGTTACTTCTTGATCACGTCAAGACGACGTCACTTCTTATGAAGCTTAACTTCATCCTTGGTAATTAAGGTCTCCCTCGACGTCGCGGTCCCTCCTTCGAACTCCTCCGTGTCCGGACTCACGACGGCTTCCGCCATCGGAGTAGAACAGTGCACAGGCTGTCCTCAAGGCTACGACGGCCTTTCGTGTCAGAACCCTGCTGAAGGCTACTGTAGGAAGCGACATCGGTAAGATCTTTCTCAGTGGAGACGCCTTAAGTGATCCCTTCAGGGACTACCTTAACTCGCCGGACGATCTGGCGCTCCTTGGCTGGTCGGACGCCTGCGCGTGTCATGGACATTCGGCGACTTGTCATCCGGAAACTTGCGTCTGTTTGGTTAGTTATAGTCATCATTTTCAGAATATTAGTTATTTAAGATTTAAAGAAAAATAGTATAAAGTTAGTTTTATAACAAATTTCGTCGCTTTGAACGAAAAGATATATGATATAGATAACAGATTTTTTTGAGATTTTTTTATGTATAAGAAAGTTATTTCACCATACGAAGACCAAACATGAGAGAATTCTCAAAACTCGGGAAATGTTGGATTTGGAACCTTGTTAATCATATATTATTTGTTTATAAAGGTTTTAAGGGCCCTAATTTTTCGTCCGAAAGATTATAGTGAACTTCTTGGTTTTTTGAGATAGGTCTCGAAAATTTATTGGGACATTTTTGCTTCAAAAAAAAAAAAACAGTTCGAACAATCTTGCTTGTATGATGACCCAAAATTCTGTGGCGGAAATAAATTCGGGAGCAGGGTAGTATCGAAAGTTGTAGGAAGTGTTTGAAAAATATTCATGATGAAACGGCAACCTAAACTTGCTGGAAACTAGTTTTTGAACTAAAATTGGACTTTGAGCAGTTTTTTGTTCCGAAAAAGGAAATAAGGTTTTTCTCAGGACTGTGAGCACAACACTCACGGGGAGTTCTGTGAGCAGTGCCTGCCTGGATTCATCGGAGACGCCCGCGAAGGCGGAGCCAACGCTTGTACCAAGTGCGCCTGTCCCCTCATTGACAACTCTTTCAGGTATTTTCTGTTTTGAACGAAATCGAATGTATAGCTGATTCACGGCTGGCTTGAGCCGTCGTAAAAAAAGGTCCTGACACGATTAGAAACGAGACAGTGCCTGGTGGGTGGAGAGCGCAGACAGGCTAGCCGTGAATCGGCTATACTTACAAAGAAAAAATTGGGTAGCGTCAATTGTGGCGTTTAGTACGCAAGCACTGAACTTGCCAAGCTTTTGCCTTATCTAATATTTTTTGAATAACCTGTACTTGTAAATATTCTTTTCTTTCTTAGCACTATCATTTCGATTTCAGTGACTCTTGCGTCGCAGTGGATTACGGTAGAGGGTATGTCTGCAATGGCTGCAAGCCTGGATATACTGGACAGTACTGCGAAAGGTATCCTTTTTTGGGCCTATGAAGTATAACCATAACCGTCTTTTCACTTCTCCCGTGAAGTTGTTTCAAGTCGGGAAAATAAATAGCCCCATTTCAGCTGCATCGCTGGCTACTTTGGCGACCCGTCGCACGTCGGTGGCTTCTGCGAGACTTGCGGATGCCATCCGGACGGCTCCCTCCATGGGGCCTGCAATCCGCTCACCGGCCAGTGTGAATGTCGTCCCGGCGTGACTGGCCGCGACTGCAGTCGCTGTCAGGAGCGACACGCCTTCATTGGAGGCGTCTGCACTTGTGAGCTCTTTTTTCAGAACACTTGCGCTCCATGGATAATTTATCTCGATTTTTTCCTCAACTGGCTCATAGAACCCTTCTCATGGGGAATAGTCTTACTAGAAGGATTTTAGGCTCTGAGTCCGAATCTGGGCTCAAAAATTGCCTGGGAGAAGTTATGAAAGTTCAATTTTTCAGAATAGAAATTTTTTCGGTTCTGCTCATTTAGGATGGCAGGTAGAAAATGTGATTTTCTTTCTCAGGTTCTCAAGATTTTCTTTAACATTTCAGCTCGTTTTGAAAAATCAAATCATTTTCAAAGATCAGGAGCAGTTTTGAGGAAAAAAAAATGAACACCTAGGTAACCTAAAGTGGCCACTATAAGCTTAAGAATATTCCCAAGAGCAATTTTTCCAGCCTGCGACCAGGGCTGTTACCTGCCGCTGATGTTGATGGTCGACGACCTGGAAACGACTCTGGCAAATCAGAATTTCTCAAATTTGAAGCCGATCCCTTGGAAGAGGGTCGCTCGAATCGGAAACAATACTGAACGTTTGTGTCTTTTTTCACGATTTTGTGATAAAAAAGACATTTTTTTTAGTTCTGTTGGAGTTTGTCAACGGTATCGGCCATGATAAAAATGAACTCGTCAAGGACAGCAAGTACGCCAAGGAAGCCTTCAATGTCGTTGAGGAGGTACTTGGGAAGTCCAGAGTGGTCCCTATAGGGGTTAGGGGCCGGAAAACTAGTCCCTAAAGGGGTAAAATTAAAGTGGTCTCTATAGGGGTAAAGTTAAGGTGGTCCCTATAGTGATTATTGCGTTTTTTTGTATTTTTATGTTACTTAGGAAGTCCAGAGTGGTCCCTATAGGGGTTACGAGCCGAAAAATTAGTCCCTAAAGGGGTAAAATTAAGGTGCTCTCTATAGGGATTCAAGGTCTGACCCCTTAGCTCTTAAATATCAAGTGGACCCTATAGGGGTCTTTCAATTTCATCCAAACGCTTATTTAGTCACTTTTCCTCATGAAAATGCTTTGCTTGGAGTTCATAACAATCCCTATCCCCTATAGGGACCATTTCTGCGAGATTTAGAGGCCCCTATAGGGGTTGGTAAAGTGGATTCTCCAAGGGCTTTGAGGTTGCCCCTATAGGGACCACTCTGGAGTTCCATATTGACAATGAAGTGGGAATGGAAAAGTAGTGAAAATTCGAGAACCTTGAATTTTCCAAGTTGCAATTTTTAATGTTCAAAAGTAAGATTTCTACGCTTCGAAAAACTGAATTTATCCGGCAGTGGTCGCACTTGGAATGGCTAAAATTTCAGCTCAAATTGGGGCAAAAGAACAAATTTTCAGGCCAAATTCCAAATGGGCCGAGCCAACAAGTCGAGAACTTCCCTGCAACAGTTCACGAAACTGGTCGAAGACCTCGTTGTCGATGTTCAGCTGAATTATGCCAACGCGTTCAACACCACCAACTTCCTCAAGCAGTTCCACATGGTTTTCCCCTGAAAAAGCGGTTGAAGAAAATAACTTTTTCAGCACGGAATGACGACTGTCGGCGGAGCGGCTCTCGACGCAATGCTTATGGAGGCTGACGCTCACCATAATGCGACCTTGGACCGCGGAGAGTACATCGAGAAACGACATAACCGCGCCGAACAAGAACACAAGTCCGTTTCTGCTCCACCATACATGGGCAGACCATTTTTAAAGGCCCTCCGACCTTTGCTTCCAAGATTTTTTAAATTAACATTAATACCATCTCCCTGAGGCTAGGAATTCCATCGTGTGGTCAAAACTATCTTCCTGGGGCTGAAACTCCGGGCTAAATGAGTTCTCAACTTCCCCATCTATGTTCCGGTCCATAAAAGGCTGATCTTGGTTTCTTTCGAGCTTCTGTGGCTTAGCCATCAAACTTGCCCCTTCCCCTTCTGAAAACGTCTGGTTTTCCCGTCGAAATTACGTCTTTTTGAGCATTAGATGATAAGCCTACTAGTTAGACCCAAGAGGGAGTTTTATAAATTTAAAAAAGAGTAGGACATGCTTTACTAGCAACTTTCCCTATTTCAATCGCTTTCAAAATGTCTTGAACTTCCCACAATCTCCCTTCGAGTTCAGGAAAGCCGATGAACTGCTGAAACGTGTTTTCGCCAACAAACTCAACGACACCGTTTTTGAAAACTTGAAAACGCGAATCGACGATTTCGAAGAATGGCTTCAGGCCTACAGGTTGGAGATAAAATCTCCACTTCCTTGAAAATACATTTCCAGAGAGACCATCTATGATAACGCTAAGAAGGACACTGTGGAAGCCGAAAGAATGAGCAATATCGTTGGAAAAAGAATCGATCGATATAAGGTGAGTGGACGGGGGTTGAACCTGTGACCCTTCGAGTGACAAACTTTGGAAACTCTGTGAAGAATTTTAACGGTTTGCTGATGAAAATGAATCATTCCTAGGCAAGAATGGGCTCTATGATCCTTAAATGGTAATTTTTTGGACTAGTTGAAGAAAATGGTGATTTTTGAAGGAAGAAGGAGTTTTTCTTAGCTGGGATTGAACCTGGGGCCTTTAGAGTGACAAACTTTGGAAACTCTGTGAAGAATTTGAACTTTTTGGTGATGAAGATGGCTTATTCCTAATCAAAAATGGAACCTGTGACCCTTTAAGGGTTATCTTTTGGACTGGTAGAATATAATGAAAGATTTGTGTGAGGAAAGGAAGATTTTTCTCAGCCGAGATTGAACCTGTGATCTTTCTAGCTCGGTGGCTCTTTGAACGATTCATTTTTGGACTGTTAGAAAGAAAATGAATGATTTTTGAGGGAAAATGAGTTTTTTTCTTAACCGGGATTGAACCTGTGACCCTTCGAGTGACAAACTTTGGAAATGTGCGAAGATTTTAAACTTGTGTTAATGAAACTAACTCATTCCTAGGCAGGAATGGAACCTGAGACCCTTTGAACAAGAACTTTTTGGACTGGTTGAAGAAAATGGTAGTTTTTCGTGGGGAAAAAGAAATTTCTCCTGGGCCGGCATTGAACCTGCAACCTTTCGAGTAATGAGATAAGGTCTTAGCCATTAAGCTATCTCTGAAACTTCTCAGAAACCTTTCCGAATTAGTCAACAAAGCTCATTGCAATGAATACAATCATTCCTTGGGATCATAGAATAGACCACTTTTTTTTATAACTGGAAACGGAACCATCAACATTCTTGGCCATGAAGAGGGCCCTTAGCCACTAGGCCACAAATTTATAATCCGAATTTTCAGGAAGTGAGCAATGAAATTGAAAAACTTCGCGTGGAAGCCGAAGATCAGCTTTCTGCGGCTAGAAATGCCGTGGAGAAGGCCAAGGGCGAGGTGATGAATTGATTATTATGACGTCACTTATTATATTCGTGACGTCATTTTAAAAAAAATCGAAATTTTACGAGATTATTATTTTTCTTCAATGAAAGGTAATAGCATAGGTAAAACTGAAAAGTTCCTTTGAGGATCCTCAAAGGATCCTGAGAGGGAGATAAAAAGCTTCCTCTAAAAGCTCCTAAAATGATGTAAAAAAGCTTTTGAGCACCTTTTTCACAGCCTCAGAGGATCCTTTTTGAATCCTCTTGGATCTTTTTAGTTGCTTTCCAGCATCTTTTTTGTCAGAGGATGTGAAAAAGACGCAAAAAAGAATTGAAATGATGTAAAAAAGATCTGCTGGGGACCCTTTCAAGGTCTTTTTTTGAGAAAAGCTTTTGGGGAGCTTTTCAGTTTTGCCCGAGAGAATAGTTTGATAGCTTACTTTCATGATTCATGACGTCATCAGTTTAATTTTTCAGGGCTTTATTAAAAATCCCATTTTTTCAGTTTTTTTCGAGTTTTTTAGGACAAAATATGGAGAGATTTATTGGAAAATCAAGCATTTCAGGAACTCCTTAACCTTTTCGATGACACCCAACGAATAAATGCGACAATCCTGGCGGCTCCCGAAACGATCGATGAGTGTAGAAATGTCACCTTACTGTGGGTGTTCTCAAGCTTATTTTCACTATATCCTTCAGAATTGAACATGACTTTTGCTGTCCCTAAAGCGGTGTCGACCCTGTGACCCTTTTCACCAGCTGCGCTTCTTGTCATTAAAGAATATGATCATTGTTCAGCTACTCGCAACTGATCGACGAGTACGACGAGGGCTACGTGCAGCCCGCGAGCCGACACGCCGCTGAACTCGCCCTAGAGGCCAAGAAAATCGTCGACTCGTTTGCTGACACGAAACTTGTCGCTAAGGACCCACTTAAGGTGCTTTTTCGCAGCTTTTTTTTGTGGTTTGTTGGAGCGTTTTGAGTAAAGTTAGGAAGCGGAAAAATTTCTTTTTCCGGCTAGTTTTTCAACACCCGTAAAACTCTAAAAAAAATAATTTTTGTGGCTAATTTCCAGTACCCGTAAAAGGCTAGAGCATCTTGAATGATTTAAAAAAATTTTTCGCACCGGCATTTTTCAAAGTTTGATAGAAGGAAGCTAACTGAGAAAATTGCCTCGGAGCGCAGAAATTTTCACAGCTTCTTTCTGATAAAATTTCGCCTTTGAATTTAATTTTTCGAGTTTTTCAGGCCTCACACGCCTATGAAGAAATCCTGGAAGCGCTCAAGAATGCCACCAACGCGGCGAATGCGGCTGTGGTCAGTTTATTTTTGTTTCAGATTATTATGCTTTTTTCCGAAATTCAAGTCAAAATGTTGATCAAAAGATATCTATTCATGATATGAAGTGGTGACGTTACCAATCAATAAAAAGTCATTTTTTGAGCACAATTTTAAACTTTTTCCAACCTTTTTAAGCCATCGAAATGTTCAAAAACTCAAAACAAAGACTAAAAGTATTTGTAGAATATGAGCCGGACTTTTTAGAGATTAAAATTAGACTTATCCCATCACAGATATTTTTATATTTTGCTCTACATCCTTTTCTTCAAACCTCTCCGTTCAAAATAATTTTCTTTCTTTCTTTTTCATGCTTTTTCCTTTTTTTTTCTACTTTTTTAATAAATTATCCTGTCTAAGTGTGCGAGTCTGAAAAATTTACAGTTCGTTTTCGAAATAATGAAAACACTCTGTATTTCGTTTATTTAAAGTTCTGAAGCGCCTACGGAATAAATTTCTCTAAAAACTTCATTCGCCTTCAATTTTATTCACTTTCTCACTCAGTGAAGCTCATTAAGATATTTTTTGGCGTGATTTTTGAGTTGTTTTTGTATTCTCTATCGAATTTTTCATTCTCAACGTGATATTTTATTTTGTTTAGACTGCTGCAAACGCGGCCAGAGACAGCGTCGGAACGGCGGAAAACCCAGAGGGAGAGGTCCAGGAGAACTTGTTGGGAAATTTGGCCGTCATCGCCAACCAATCCGAAGCGATTGCTGAAGGTTTGTTGATTTTCCAGGCTTTCAGATTAGAAATTTCATTTCAAAATGATCAAAAGGGTACAAAATAGAAGCCGTTTAGAAGACTTTTTAAGATTTTCTTGGATCTTTTAAGCTCTCGTTGATTTGAATATTATTCAGAAGCGAAATTATCGCTGAAATCCTGGGAAGATGCCAAGTTCGACGAGCAAAAGAAAGAGCTGGACGAGCGGCTCTCCGTGGTCAATGAACAGAAAATCGACATGACCAAGCGGATTTCCGTTATTAAGAGTTAGTTAATACATATCTCTTGGCGAAAATCTTGTAAAGTCGGGCGCAAGGAAAGAAATCTTTGCATGTGCTCTAAGGACAGTTGAAGTTTTCCCATAATGATGGTGACTATATGAAGGTTTTCTAATGGCGCAAACCGGTTCAAGTCGAGATCATTATTAGAAAATTACTTTGGGGTCAGTTCAGGATTCAAGAAGAATTCTGAAAGTTGAATTTTTGAACGCCAACCAGTTTCAAGTCGGGCGCACTGTTTCGCTAGAGACCCATTTAACAGAACTTTTGAGAATTATAAGTAAATTTTTAGTTGGAACCGCTCCTCAACGCGTAGTAGCCTTTCATTTCCAACTCGGAGATTTTTCTTTTTTTTTTCAGTAGCGTTTTTTAACCCGAAAATTTAAGCGTTTCGAACAGTACTTAGCTCAAAAAAAGCTCAAAATTAGCCTTTCATTCAAGTAATTGATAGAAAACCGTTCTAATGAGCTGGATCCATTTTATATCTGTAAAAATTTTCCGAATTTTCAGACGAAGCCTTCTCCTGGGACGACAAACACGACAGAACACACTCTGTTCTGACCAACGCCGCCAAAAGCGCCCAAGAACGGGCGATTTCCGTCAAAAACGAGGCCGAGAGCTTGAAGGAAGAGGTTAGTGTTGAGAAAAGAGTCATGGAAATAGATGAGGTCTATAGGAAAATAAGAAAAATGCCTGGTTTTTCGGAAACTGTCTCCTTTGAGAATTCAAGCCTTCAAACATAACTGGAGACCCAAAAATACTTGAAACTGGAACTCAAAGAAAATATTATCTAACAGTATTTTTTGAAAATTATACTGATTATTCAAATATTCAGGTGACGTTGATCGCTGCTGAAGCCGATAAGCTGCGGAATAGTACTGGAAGCGGAATCAAAGAAGAAATTCAAAAGGTTTTTTTCCACCTTTAAAATTGAAATTCTTCGAAATCAACGACTTGGAACGAGTTGTGAACGAGAAAAATGCGTGTTTTTGGAGATTCCTCATGAAATTCCCATTCATTCTATTGATTTTCTGGCTTCAGAACGTCTGTGTAGGTTTTTTTTACAGATTTTTAAGATTCTAATAAAGAAAAAAATGATTAATTTTTCGCTCTTCACTTCTGTATAGTCTCTAGTTTAATGCATGAAAGTCCTACGGCCTCTTTTTTTATTTTTATATGGAAAGAGACAGCCTTTTTTTAATTTTTGTAGAGGAACTGATCCTGCGATCTTTCGATTGATAGACTGACGTCTTGGCCACTGAGCCATGATCATTTTATTCAGAAAATAATATTTTGGTAGTACTCATGATATTTCCAGATTCGCGATGCTCGACGTAGCCTCGAGGTGGCGAAACAGAGGTTGGGAAAAGTCGAAGGGACGACGTCGACGAACCGCGGCCGTGCCGACAGTATGGCCCGTCAGATTTCTCTTCTGAAGGACAAGATCGAACAGGCCCGCGAGAAGGCTCATCAGGTCTCTCAGAACGTCTCCACTGAATCCTCAATTCAATCTCTTCACCTCTGAATTTTTCCTTACCCCCTTCTCTTCCCGATATCAAAAAAGGGCTTTTCGAGCACCCCAGACCAAACAATTCAGATCCGACTCAGTCTGAACTCGGGAGAACGCGGCCTGTGCCAGCGGTCGTTCATCTCCCCGGCGCACCCATCTCCCGTGACGTCACTTCAGCTGCGGTTCCGCCCGCTGCAAAAAGTGCCCGACAGTGCCCTCCTCGTCACCAAGACCAAGTCGAGGCGCACCCAGGCCAGCGAGTACATCGCCGTCGAGGTTTCTACACATTTTCGAAACTTGTTTCATCCTCGGTCTTCAGATCAAAGAAAAACGCATCGTCGTGCACTGGAACATCGGAAGTGGCAAGAGAAAGGCCACCAACAGCCATTCCATCAATTATATCCCCTCGACGGACCGAGTCACTTGGTATCATGTCGACGTGCTGAGGGTTGGCAACGCCGTCAACTTGACCGTCACCCTCAAGGAGAACGTCGATGGAGGTGAGGACTTGAGAAGGATTCAATGGGGGTTCCGAGATATTTGGGAGTACCTCGGTATTTTCTGGGGAAGCTTGAATTTTTACAGAGATTTTATAGGCTGGTTCGGTTGGTTCGAAAGGCTCTAGAATGGTTTAGTTCTCTCGAAAAGGCTCTTTTAAGAATTCTAGGTAGTGTTAGATCACCAGGCGCCCGTAGAAGGCTCAACAAAGCTTCAGAATGTTTTTTGATTTGCTAGGAAGTTTTGGACCCTACTAGAAGACCTCAGAGCTCCTTCTTAGTTTTTTGTGTTTTAGCTTCTGGAAGATCTTAGGATTTTGTATAGCCGGTTCACTGCTGGCTTCGAAAAAAGGGTCCCGACACGACAATGCACGAGATAGTGCCTGGCTCGTGGAGGGCGCAGACAGGCCACGCCCCTTTAGCTTTCTAAGTTATATGAAGCTTTGGAATTTTTCCAAGAAGCAGGCCTTGTTGGGAAGATTAAGTCGCTCCTAAAAGATTAAATTTCCAAAAAGCTTTTATTTTTATTTTTGAACAGCCTTTACCACTGGCAACAGCTGCCAGGTCGCTCATCGATTTTCTTCATTTTCCCCGATTCCAGGCTTCCGACCACGTGCTGACCCTGTCAGTGTCTACGTCGGCAAACAAGAATCGGACAACGACGTCACCTTCAACACGATTCCTGGCGAGACGACGTTGAACGTCGGTGTCGACGAGTCGACCGCCAAGGAGATTGGCCTTGCCACCCACAAATTCCATGGAATCGTCGGCGGTCTCGCTGTCGACGACGTTCCAATGCCGCTGTGGGCCTTCGAAACGACGACGGCGGAATGCGAAGGAGCCAACGCGCCGCCTAGGATCACTTCTAGAGGACATTTGTTCAGGTGAGAACGTAGGAGAGAATTTGAAGGTGATTCGATTTTTTGACGCTATCCTGTGACTCATTTGTTACTTGTCGCTCCTCATGTTCAGTTTCTGATCTCTAGTTTATGTTTTGATGGTCTTTCATAGCCGAAACTGGCGTCTGACTTCACTTGAAGTCACTCTGACCTCTCCTAGTGTAGGTGTTCTGAAAATCCTTTTTCTTGTCAGATCTTTGAAACTATTTTTAACGTTTTCTCGGCTCCCTTTTTCTACTTCTGAGGGCTATTCAAGGCTCTGGAGCTTAGACTGGCTTCTGAATCGTTTCTTGCGCTTTGACGTCAGAAAACATCGTTCCAGAGACGGTTTCGCAAACGTGACGATGTCAGTTTCTGAAAGAACGATGTCCGCCATCACGATCACCTTTAACACCTACTCGCCCAACGGACTTCTCTACTTCCGCGGCAGCGAACAGACTGGCGACTACGTCTCCTTGTCCCTCCGTGACGGAAGAGTCGTCTTCAAGGTACGGCGCGGATTTTCAACACGAAGACAAACTCTTCAGATCAACCTCGGAGGCGACTCCCAAGCCGAACTGGTGTCCCAGAACGCCTACAACAACGGACTCGAGCACACGATCAAGGCGATCCGAACTGGTGGTGAACTCCATCTTCAGGTTGGACATCTCAAGCTCTAACTTGTTCAGTACCAATGTTTATTTTGAACAAGATTCTTCAAGATAACAGACCTGAGTTTGTACATTAATAAAGCAATCCTTCAGGTGGACAGCGACGCCGACCGATTCAATACGGTGATCCCTGGCGAGAACACGGCGTTAAACATCGACAACGAGCAGCACTACGTAGCCGGCGTGCCGACGTCGTTGAACTTGGGACGATTCGTCGGCTCTGAAGACGTCGCTTGGCGAGGATTCGTCGGCTGCGTCTTGAGCGTCAAGCCGTCGCAAGTCGGCGAGCTCGACCTCGACCATCCTGAGCACTCTCAACGTCGAGAGCCCGGCTGCCGATTTGCCGCCACCAAATTGGTTCCGTCTGGTCAGTTATGGCGCTTCTAGTGATTGCAAAGTCATTGAAAGACAAAATGAAATTTTTTCGTGTCGAGTGGTTCGCCAATGACGTCATGAAGCTTGGAAAAATGTCTTGGAGTTTCTAGCAAAAGTTTGAATGACAACGAATCGATAACCCGAGGCTGATCTCGCTTTTTTATGAATTCGTGACGTCATCGTCATCCATTGGCTGGGAATATATTTGTCATAACTTATCCGATCACATGACGAAATTGAATAGCTTTTTTGACTGGAAGGGAGGAAAAAATGATCGAAATTTATTTATTCAGATCGTCTCATCGGATTCCCCCGTGCCGGCTTCTTCCTGACCCAAGGAATCGTCCTCGACAATAATTCATCGTAATTTTCCCTTTTTCCTTTTTAATAGTTTCATCAAGTTAACTATGCTGTTCATCTTATTGATTAATAATTGGTTATTTAAAGGTTCGGTTTCTCGTTCCGCTCTCGTGAGGAGAACGGAACACTAGCGTTCCAATCGTCCAAATTGAGCAGCTTCCGACGGGCTCAGCGTGACGTCAGCGATGGGAAGGTATTGCTCAGCGTTGCTCATTTTAGATAACCCATTTTAGGGTCACTTTTCATCCTTTTGGGAGTTTTCCATAAGTTGGACACAAATTATTGGGATATAAAAATCTTCTTTCTAATGATTGCAATGATAAAATTAGTGTGCAGAAATAGAAAAAAAGTTATTTTTCCCAGGGCTACATGGCGTTCTACCTGTTCCGCGGCTATCTAGTCCTGCACCTTGGCAAAGACGCTTCTTCAAGAAAAGAGGTACCTTTTTATTTTAGTGATTCTAGTAGTTTTTAGTGGCCACTATAGAGGCTCGCCAAGGACTACTTGGAGAGGACACTAAAGTGGCCACTAAACCCACCGCTATAGTGGCCACTATTTTCCGTTTTAGTAGCCACTACAGAGGTTCTCTATTTAGTGGTTACTCCAGTAGTTTTACATCCAATATTCCTTCCAACAACTCTGATAAATTTAAAACAAACACATTGGACCAGTTATGTTGTTCCATTGACCCCTAAAGTGGCCACTAAAATTTTTAGTGGTCTAGTAGTAGCGCTTAAACCTCTATAGTGTCCAAGTGACCACTAATTTGACTACTATAGTGGCCACTAAAACGTTAAAACCCTATAGTGGCCACTAAAAATTTTCCCAGTTCGTCACAAAAAATTTACTAAAAAAAAGGGCTGAAATTTTAAAAAGAATTCGTAATTTTCAAAAATTGGTTTCTTTTTGAAATATTGCACCAACCTGAAAATCACTATAAGGCTTCAAAGAATGTATTTTACGGTTTTTCCAGGTCGTGACATTCCGATCCACTCAGACGTTCAATGACGGTCAGATGCACAGCGTTTTCATGACGAGAGAAGGCAAAAAGTTGGATTTTACAGTAACCCAGTGATACGGTACCTCCATTACAGTATCCGGCTTCGAGTCGACGACAAAGAAATCGGAGAAGCACAGAAACTCGAAGACGAATCTTCTATTGGCTCGGCGACTAGCCAAATGATCCTTGGAGGTTTATTTTCCGTAATTCTTAAGGTTACTGTATTTTTTTGGTGGACTGAAAGTCGAAAAATAACGTTATCAAGACGAGTTTTTCCAAAAAATTCGAAATCCCACTTCGAAAAATGTGAAAATTACTTTTTTTCATGCGCCGCGTGCTGAGAGACAGCTATGCGCGCAGGCCGGCGCGAGTCGGTTGCACCAAAATGCAGGGGTCTCACCCTTCTCATTGACGGCAACTCTGGTTCCTTTGCATTTGACCGAGAAAATCTTTCGCCTTTTACTAAAGATTTCCGTGCAAAGGGGCAATTTTATGAGTATTGCCCAATTTTTGGAATCCCCTCGAAAGAGCGGGATAAAAATAAATTTACAAAAAGTGTTCGCATTTTAAAGATTAGATCAAGCAGGCCTAATCCACGTCATGATCAATGGAAAGAAGTACCAATAAGTTTTGCTGTCAAAAATCACTTCAAAAAATCTTTTCAGCCGTTTTAATAATAATAGGTTTATTCACTGCATACTGTTAGAAAATAATAAATAAAATAGTTCAGAATACGAAAGCAGCAGAATAACCAAAACGGGAATTAGTCCACCCTAACGAGTAGACTATGACCCGGGGATAGAAAGGAAGTCAGAGCAAACGGGAAGGAATGGATTCGAAAAAAAGGCAGAGTTAGGGAGATCATTAAGTTTAACCCGTAGCGCATCCGTAGAGACGTTAAAATTTATTCTAGAGGTAAGTTTATTCCATAATGGAATAGTTTTGGAAAAATCTTTAGAGAACTGACCGGAAGTGCGAAGTCGAAGTGGATTCCTCTGTAAAGGAGAAATAGTGAAGAAGTCATTGCGATTGAGAAAATGGTCAGAGCCGCAAATTATTTTATGAAGAGAAATAACGTCGTTAATACAACGACGTACAAAGAGAGGTTTAAAGCCAAATTGGCTGAGACGATCAGAATAAGAACTGAAGCGAACATTGCATCTTATAAAAACTTTTCTACTGAATTGGCGTAGAGAAGACTCGAGTTTGAAGCATTCCTCGGACGAGATAGAGGGAGAAAAGATTTCACTACAATATTCGAGAATAGGCGTCACGTAGGTTTGAAACATTCTGAGGTAGCGCAGGGGGAAGAAAACTTAAAGGTATTTAGTATTTGATTAGACCGTAATGTAGCAAAGGCAGAGATACGGGAAATATGGTCTTTGAAGGAGAGCTTCTCATCAATTTGAAGGCCTAGATCACGAACAATTGATCTTTGTGGGATTTGAAATTGATCAAGAAAATAGACCGTTTGAGGATTGTTAGAGCCAAAGTGAAGAGAAAAAGTCTTTTCAACAGCAAGTGGAAGAGACCAAAGTTCTGACCATTGGAAAATACCATTTATGCTTCTTTGAAGCGAATCAGGGCAAGAGCTATAAACCTTGAGGTCATCAGCAAAGATAGAGATCGAGGATTGAGGATCAATAAAATTTTCAATATCATTGATGAAAACGAGAAAGAGAAGGGGGCCGCTGACCGTCCCTTGAAGTACACCCGAAGGATTAGAAAAAGAATTGTTAGAAAACGAGTTGTTAACTTTTACAATGGAGGAACGGTTAGATAAAAAATTGGAGAACCAGCGACAGAGAGTATCATTAAAGCCGAAATTGGACATCTTTAGGCGTAAAAAGGTTATGATCTACTTTATCGAAGGCTTTGGAAAAATCGAAATAAACAGCATCGATAGGAAGATTAGATGCCAAGGATTTTTGAATGGAGGAAAGGGAGCTGATTAGAGAAAGTTTGCATGACCTACGATTGAGAAAGCCGAATTGGAATTGAGAGAACTTTTCAGAAAAACGAGATCTTATCATTTGAGTAATGATGCGTTCAAATACACGAGAAATTGGATGAGTGAGAGATATGGGGCGAAAGTTATTTGGATCAGAAAGACTACCTTTTTTATGCACAGGAATAACTATAGTAGACTTAAATAATGAAGGAGTGATACCGGTTAGATAAGGTTCCTGGAAAATAATAGAAAGTGAGAAAATAATAGAAAGTGAGAAAATAATAGAAAGTGTTTTCACGTTTCCTAGAGTTAATCATGCCACTCGGCGTAAGCCGCTGCGAGTCGGGGGCAGCCAAACACGGGGCCTCTGTTCATGTCCAGAAAATATCAACTCTGGTTCCTTTGCATTTGACCGAGAAAATCTTTCGCCTTTTACTAAAGATTTCCGTGCAAAGGGGCAATTTTATGAGTATTGCCCATTTTTTGGATTCCCCTCGAGAGAGCGGGACATATGATGAATATTATAGTCTGTTCAGATTTTGAATGTCAAGCAGCTAACTCCACCCCCAAGGCTACAATATCTTTCGCGTCAATGTTTTACCTACAGATCACGATGACCCTTTAATAAGGCTGCATTTTTGACTTCTTTTTCTATCTTTTAGATCAAAAAAGATCAAAATTAGTCTCGCGCGTTGAAACATCGACGCGAAAGGGTACCGTCTCGGCAGGGGCGGAGTTAGCTGCTTGACATTTAAAATCTGAACAGACTATAGTTGAAACTTGGAGATCTCTATAAAAAACGGATTCGGAAATTCATGAAAAAATATATTCCTATTGTTTTTGGTTTACAGAGAAATCGATTTGTGTGCATTCTATCGAATCGAATAAGTTTTTTTTTTCCAATATTTATAACGAAAATCGATATAAACTCTACAAGGTCATTTTAAAAAATTCATAAGTTATTGATTTACAGGTTTCAATGACCGTTTGAAGCCGCCAAACAACGAGATTCCACTGACGGCTCCCTTCATTGGCTGCATTTTTTTGACGTTTTTCCACAACTATCGGTGATTTTTTTAAAATTTTGTGAATCAAATATGTTCTGAAAGAGAGATATATGCTTAAAAACTCATAAGAATGTTTTTTTGAACAAAAAAACCAACTTTTCAATTTTTTTCAGTCGAGTCCCATTGATTCCTGAAGACCACGACGCTCAAATTGGCGTTTGTCCAATGGACAACTCAGCTGGAATCGTTCCAATCGGTAATTTCCCTTCATAAAAAAATGTTTTCATCTTCAAATCAATCCTATAAATAAAACAGACGACCCATTGGACGGCGAAGGACACAAAGGCAACCGGAAAGCGTCGAAAATCACGTTAGATCATGGCGCCCATAGGAATTACTACGGTAGACTTGATTGCGTTTTTCATTTACTGCACGCACGGCTTTCACACTACTAACGAAGTAATTGATTTATTGCATGCAATTTAACGGAAGAAACCTGAATAAGCCAAAAAAAACGAGCATTCGGAACTTCTATACGACTACTTTTCTCAAAAAAACGATACACATAGATTTTTTTGCGTTTCCAGGTTACTGTATTCCTTAGTGGTGTACGCACCGCCACGCATTATCGACCGATATTTATGAATCTTCCTTTTGTCATCATTTCATTATTCATTATTCTTCGATTTTTTTTTTCTATTTCGGCTCAGGAAAAATTAAAATTAGAAAAAAATTAGTTTTTCCAGTACAGTTATTGTTTTTAAACCAAAACTCGGGCGTTTTTCGTTTGAAAAATAGAAAAAGTTCATTATTTGGTTCAGTCGGCTTTCTGTATTACTAATTTGTGCACGCACCGCTACGCATCATAGACCGACTTTCGAGAAAAATTTTTTTGTCTTTTTTCTTGCTTTTTCTCCTTTTTCCTGATATTAATCGGTTTTTTCCAACTTCAAATTGAAATCGGGATTTTCCAGTTTTTGCAACAGATTCAGGTCAACGTAAAGTCAACGAAAGTGATCAAATTTTTTGAGAAAAAAAAAGAGGAAAAATTTCATCTTGGCTGTACCTGTGCACACACCGTCACGTATCGATAACCGATTTTCAGGGAAAAAAAAATTAGAAGTGCAGCAAAAAAGAAACAATAACTTTTTTTTTGGTCTCAACAAACTTTTCATCACTAATAATTTGGCACTGTTCATCGTTTTTATGACCATTTATTTTTAATCAGAAAATTATTTTTTAGACGTGAGCCCGACGCAGGATTTAACCCAAGCGAAAAATAAGCCTTCAATCTCGACGAATAGATATTCCACGGTTAGTTTAATGATTTTTTGATTCAATTCGATTTTAGTTTTATTTTTTTAAATGCAGCAGTGTAATGGAATTTCTTATCTATTTACAGTGTGGCGGAGGCTTCACAGGGGCAAACCGTGATGGGTCGGGCGCAGCCAGATTCGGCGTTTCGCGATCTTCCCATAGTCGGATTAACTTCGGAGCGCCATTCCCCAATGTTACAAGGTTTTTTGAAATTAAATCTATTTTATTAATTTGAATTCTCAGTCTGAAAGTGTCGATGTCGCTACGGACGGAACAGGCAAACGGAATGGTTTGGGTGTGGGCGAATTATAAAAATTACACTCGATATTTCTACCTCAATATTATTGATGGTTTTGCAACGATCGAGGTATTTTTAATTGATAATTTTAATCAATAACTTTTTTGCCAGGTGAAAGGCCACAAACAGCCGAAAATCCTGAAGGCCTTGGACCGACGCATAAACGATGGTCAATGGCATGACGTCATCATAGAAAAGCTAGACCGTGTTCTGAAGCTCACGGTAGGTTTTAGTCGGACTGTGCTCCCGAAGAAATGAGGAAAAATAATGATAACCGTGTTTTCAGATCGATGAGCTGCCAGCCGTGGAAATGCCCGATTGCCCAGCTCCAAAGGTACCGAGATTCATCTCATTTTTCTCCAGAGCTCATTTTTTTCAGGTTATGCGACGCCGGATGTACATTGGCGGCGTCATCTCGAAGCATCGGTCGCAGTTTGCGCTCGACACGCCTGGATTCGACGGCTGCATCCGCGACCTCAATGTAGGGATAGTTGGGTCTAATATTGGGCAAAGTTGGAAAAGAGGTTCAAAAAAGGCCGCTGAAAGGCAGCAAAGCTCTTTATCGAGCCCTCCATTTTTTTTTTTCTGGGACCTTAACACGCTGTCTCTGTAACTGTCAAAAACAACGGATACAAAAAGAATTTTATTTTTTGATTCTGATGAAACATTATCCAGTGTGATAACCCATCATCCGGTCGCAACTTTTTGAGCCATTTCCTCTTACTGTAGCCGGGTTACGGTAGGCAGGTGGGCACCTGCGTATCTAAGTATTGAAGAGTTTTTACTAGACAAATGATATATCATTCGATAGGTAATCCAATTTCAGGAACTTTCACAGTACATACCATCTTGGTTTACTGTAGGAATTTTCGAGTTACGGTAATTTTGTGTTAGGAAAGTCCGTTTTTTTTGGTTACCCTGGTCGTCGGCATAAAATCGCATCGTAATTACTTTCAAGGAATATGTCCTTCAGTATGCTTTACATGATGCCACAAAAAAAAGTTCGATTTTCTAAACCTGTCATTTTGAGATTTCCCTCCGAACGCATGCAACTTGGCACTTCGCGGCGAGGGTTCGTCGTGGTTGACGGTTTTTCACATTTTTCTTTTGTTGTCGCGAAATCTCCAAATGACGGGTTTAGAAATTCGAATTTTTTAAGGAATTGTTCAGACCATACTACTAGACATATTACATGAAAGTGATTACGATGCCATTCTACGCCGACGGCCAGGGTGACCAAAAAACCGACTTTCCAAACACAATAACTACCGTTACTCGAAAATTCCTACAGTAATCCAAGATGGTATGTACTGTAAAAGTTCCTGAAATTGGATTACCTATCGATTGAAATATCACTTACCTAATAAAAACTCTTCAATACTGAGATACGCAGGTGCCCACCTGCCTACCGTAACCCTGCTACAGTAAGAGGAAATGGCTCAAAAAGCACTCCTGATGATGGGTTATCACACTGGATGAAGTTTCATCAGAATCAAAAAATAAAATTTTTTATTGTGCTCGTTTTTTTTGACAGTTACAGAGACAGCGTGTTAAAGGCTTAAGAAATGGCGAATGGCCGCGAAAAGGCAGCAAAAAAGGAACCATTTTCAGCCTGAAACCCACCCTTTCTCGCCTTTCTATGGAGCCTTTTTCCACCCTTTCCGGCTGTGCCCATGATGGGGATCCAGAAGCTCTTAGGCTCCCAAAAACACTAGAATTTTCATTAAACATTACATTTTGCTTTAAATATTTTTTTGTCCTTTAAAAAAATCAAATTCCTTCATAACTTCTCAGGACCTTAGATTAGAACCCCCCTCCCTTCCCCCCTATTTTTTTCTTTTGAAAGCCCAGATCTTTTTTTCTAGTTAATGGAAAGCTTGTAAAATACCCTAAATGTTGACAGGTAAATGGAAAGGTCTACCAACTGGAAGGCGACTCCTCGAGAGATTTGATTCCTTGCTCGAAACCTAGCAAAGGCGGATACTCCCACGAAGGCGGATTTGCTGTTTTCGGCGAGTTTCATCGGAATTTCAGAAAATATTAATTTCTTCCAGAAGGAGTTCAAAAACTGTCCAAAGATGGAGCCCGAGGCATCGACATTTCGCTGGAATTCCGACCAACTTCGAGTGAAGGCGTCGTTCTCGCTTTATTATCCAACTCCAATCCTGAATCTACACGATTGACTGTGGAAATCAAGCAGGACAAGGTTCGTTTTGTGATCATTTTTTGGTTTTTCGTAAAAAAAAAATTACTTGCATGAAATAATGTGATTTAGCATTGATTTTTGAATGAGACTGAACTTTTTTCAAGATTTTGAACTTCTCCGATTCACCACGCCTTTTTAGGCCGTTGGCTGTACTTAGGAACTGCAGATTGCTCCCTATAGGGACAACCTTTGGGCCCTTGAAAATTCCCCTCTAGGGGCCACTTTATGAGCCCTATAGGTGCCACTAAAGCTTGCAAAATATGATCACTATAAAGTTTTAATAAGTGGTCCCTACAGGGTCATGCTTGTCGATAATAGAAATAAACTCTAAGCGAAGGAATAAATAAGCGTTTTTGGATAAAATTAAAAGACCCCTATAGGGACCACTCGAGCTTGAGAGGCTAAGGGTTCAGACTCTAAACCTCTATAGGATCTATCTTAATTTTACCTTCATAGGGACCACTTTTTCGGCCCCTATGGAGGTCATTTTCCTCCTAACGCCTATAGGGACCACTCTGGAGTTTTTAAGTTTTACGGTATTTTAGATAGGTTTTTTTTCGGTAAAAAGAGGAAATTCTGTGCTCTTTTTGTGACGTGGCTTATCTTGTAACTTTGATAATTAGCTTCTTAAGAAAGTGCAACGATTCCTGGCTCCGAAACTGACGGCGCAATATTGCCTGGCAAACTGCTCGTCATAAGATATTTTTAAGGTTCTGGTCACGGTTATCCACGAAGCGACAGGGCTCGAGATTCGCGACGCGATTCCCGCTCTTCGCAATTTCTGCGATGGCGAATGGCACAAGTTGAATATCCGTCTCGAGGGCGCAGTTCTCACCCTCAATGTTGATGATGTGAGTTTTTTTGGTCATGGTTTTTAGTTATTTCGTTCCTTCAAAAATAATGATGAATTATTCCCAGGAGAAGAACAAAATGCCCGTGGACATGCTGACCTCTGCTGCCCGCGAGCTGCTGCTCAACCTCCCGGTCAACGTAGCTGGCGTTTCAGGTACCTTTTTGATCCCATTTTCACCTTGAGTGACGTCATCTTCCGACAAAATGGTCTCCTTTTTCAGCCCCAGTCGCCGAAAAACTGTCTCTCTCGTCGCTCACCGGCTGCTACCGCCACCTGGAATTTCTTCGGCAAGCCGAAGTTCTTCGAATCTGCTGTCAAACGAAACAAAATCCTCGTCGACTCGTGTCCCTTTGCTTAACTTGTAGTTTTGTTATGTCTTGTGCGATTTTCCATGAAAATAAATTTATGACGTAAAATTGAGAAGTTGCAAGAAAAATAAATGCCTAAAGTTTTGCCGTCGAGTAGATTTGAACTCTTGCCCCTCTGTAATAGCGAGACCAACGTATAGTTGCCCTAAAAGCTTACCTGGACCAAGATTATCAATCAATACACATCGTTAAGGTACTCTGAGATCGGTCAGAGCTAGTTAGGTCATCTACAAACAGGGTTATTTAAAAAAAAACGACGTCTTCATGACCCTTACCTGTCTGAAATCGTGTTAAAAGTTTTAAAAGCCTCTAGAACTTCCTTGTCGATTCGTGCTTCGAGAAGCTCTAACTATATTTCTGAATACTTCTAGATTTATGAACTACGAACCTCATTCTACGAAATCAACATCAGTGAGAAGCTGACGAAAAGACGAATCCAACAATATAATTGTAAAATCGGTGGCTGCTCAGCGAACCTAATTACAAGATTGTTTCAAACATGTAAATTGCGCGTCAGATAAAATGCCTTGTCCGAGGCTCTGAGTTCTGTATTTTTATTTTTTGAGAAACGGAAAAGCCTCAAAAAAAAGACCTATAAAAAGAAACCTATATCAATCGATAGATCTCGACGAGAAAATAACCGGAGGCCAGGTTTGACTTCCGTAGGTCAACCATGAACGGAGTTATAGGCGATCAAACTGAAAGATCAAAAACTAGAAAGTAGGTCAATTTTAGTATCAATCGATAGAGAAAATCAAGGAGATCAAGAAAAACTAAGTCTCTAAGTTCCTAACCTCCTAGAACTCGAGTTATGATTTTTTTAAAACTTCAAAAAATCATAACTTTGTTCCTAGGCGCCTAGGAACTTTTTGACTTGGATTTTCGTACTTCTGACGTCATTTTCCCTATCGAGTGATGTAAAATATCTCAGAAACTTTGGATTTTCGGGAAAAATCGAAAAAAAGTGCAGTCTAACCCCTTTGGCTCGAGCTTCTGAGGTCATGGAAGCCGATCCGGACGAAATCTATATCAATGGATAGATCTCGACGAAAAAATGACCTGAGACCAGGTTTGACCTCCGTAGGTCAACTAGGAACTGAGTTAAAGGCGATCAAACTGAGAGCTCAAAAATTGGAAAGTAGGTCAAATTAGGTATCAATCGATAGAGGAGATCAAGGAGGTCAAGAAAAACTAGGTCTACAAGTTCCTAACCTCCTAGAACTCGAGTTATGATTTTTCAAAAACTTTAAAAAATCATAACTTTCATTCAAGAAGCCTCAGAACTTTTTGACCTGGATTCTCAGGCTTCTGACGTCATTTCCTATCGATTGATGTAAAAATCCCAAAAGTTTCCATTTTCGGGAAAATCGAAAAAAGTGCAGTCTAACCCCTTGGCTTTTTTTTTGAGCTTCTGAGGTCATGGAAGCCGATCCGGACGAAATCTATATCAATGGATAGATCTCGACGAAAAAATGACCTGAGACCAGGTTTGACCTCCGTAGGTCAACTAGGAACTGAGTTAAAGGCGATCAAACTGAGAGCTCAAAAATTGGAAAGTAGGTCAAATTAGGTATCAATCGATAGAGGAGATCAAGAAAAAAAACTAGGTCTCTAAGTTCCTAACCTCCTAGAAATCGAGTTATGATTTTTTTAAAAACTTCAAAAAAATCATAACGTTGTTCCTAGACGCCTAGGAACTTTTTGACTTGGATTTTCGTACTTCTGACGTCATTTCCTATCGATTGATGTAAAAAAATCTCGAAACTTTGGTTTTCAGGGAAAATCGAAAAAAAGTGCAGTCTAACCCCTTGGCTTTTTTTGAGCTTCTGAGGTCATGGAAGCCGATCCGGACGAAATCTATATCAATGGATAGATCTCGACGAAAAAAAATGACCTGAGACCAGGTTTGACCTCCGTAGGTCAACTAGGAACTGAGTTAAAGGCGATCAAACTGAGAGCTCAAAAAAATTGGAAAAGTAGGTCAAATTAGGTATCAATCGATAGAGGAGATCAAGGAGGTCAAGAAAAAAACTAGGTCTACAAGTTCCTAACCTCCTAGAACTCGAGTTATGATTTTTTTCAAAAAAACTTTAAAAAAATCATAACTTTCATTCAAGAAGCCTCAGAACTTTTTTTGACCTGGATTCTCAGGCTTCTGACGTCATTTCCTATCGATTGATGTAAAAAAATCCCAAAAAGTTTCCATTTTTCGGGAAAATCGAAAAAAAGTGCAGTCTAACCCCTTGGCTTTTTTTTTGAGCTTCTGAGGTCATGGAAGCCGATCCGGACGAAATCTATATCAATGGATAGATCTCGACGAAAAAATGACCTGAGACCAGGTTTGACCTCCGTAGGTCAACTAGGAACTGAGTTAAAGGCGATCAAACTGAGAGCTCAAAAATTGGAAAGTAGGTCAAATTAGGTATCAATCGATAGAGGAGATCAAGAAAAACTAGGTCTCTAAGTTCCTAACCTCCTAGAAATCGAGTTATGATTTTTTTAAAACTTCAAAAAATCATAACGTTGTTCCTAGGCGCCTAGGAACTTTTTGACTTGGATTTTTCGTACTTCTGACGTCATTCCCTATCGATTGATGTAAAAAAATCTCGGAAACTTTGGTTTTCGGGAAAAATCGAAAAAAAGTGCAGTCTAACCCCTTTGGTTTTTTTCGAGCTTCTCAGGTCATGGAAGCCGATCCGGACGAAATCTATATCAATGGATAGATCTCGACGAAAAAAAATGACCTGAGACCAGGTTTGACCTCCGTAGGTCAACTAGGAACTGAGTTAAAGGCGATCAAACTGAGAGCTCAAAAAAATTGGAAAGTAGGTCAAATTAGGTATCAATCGATAGAGGAGATCAAGGAGGTCAAGAAAAAAACTAGGTCTACAAGTTCCTAACCTCCTAGAACTCGAGTTATGATTTTTTTCAAAAAAACTTTAAAAAAATCATAACTTTCATTCAAGAAGCCTCAGAACTTTTTTTGACCTGGATTCTCAGGCTTCTGACGTCATTTCCTATCGATTGATGTAAAAAAATCCCAAAAAGTTTCCATTTTCGGGAAAAATCGAAAAAAAGTGCAGTCTAACCCCTTGGCTTTTTTTGAGCTTCTGAGGTCATGGAAGCCGATCCGGACGAAATCTATATCAATGGATAGATCTCGACGAAAAAAATGACCTGAGACCAGGTTTGACCTCCGTAGGTCAACTAGGAACTGAGTTAAAGGCGATCAAACTGAGAGCTCAAAAAAATTGGAAAGTAGGTCAAATTAGGTATCAATCGATAGAGGAGATCAAGAAAAAAACTAGGTCTCTAAGTTCCTAACCTCCTAGAAATCGAGTTATGATTTTTTTAAAAACTTCAAAAAAATCATAACGTTGTTCCTAGGCGCCTAGGAACTTTTTGACTTGGATTTTCGTACTTCTGACGTCATTCCCTATCGATTGATGTAAAAATCTCGGAAACTTTGGTTTTCGGGAAAATCGAAAAAAGTGCAGTCTAACCCCTTTGGTTTTTTTCGAGCTTCTCAGGTCATGGAAGCCGATCCGGACGAAATCTATATCAATGGATAGATCTCGACGAAAAAATGACCTGAGACCAGGTTTGACCTCCGTAGGTCAACTAGGAACTGAGTTAAAGGCGATCAAACTGAGAGCTCAAAAATTGGAAAGTAGGTCAAATTAGGTATCAATCGATAGAGGAGATCAAGGAGGTCAAGAAAAACTAGGTCTACAAGTTCCTAACCTCCTAGAACTCGAGTTATGATTTTTCAAAAACTTTAAAAAATCATAACTTTCATTCAAGAAGCCTCAGAACTTTTTGACCTGGATTCTCAGGCTTCTGACGTCATTTCCTATCGATTGATGTAAAAATCCCAAAAGTTTCCATTTTCGGGAAAATCGAAAAAAGTGCAGTCTAACCCCTTGGCTTTTTTTTTGAGCTTCTGAGGTCATGGAAGCCGATCCGGACGAAATCTATATCAATGGATAGATCTCGACGAAAAAATGACCTGAGACCAGGTTTGACCTCCGTAGGTCAACTAGGAACTGAGTTAAAGGCGATCAAACTGAGAGCTCAAAAATTGGAAAGTAGGTCAAATTAGGTATCAATCGATAGAGGAGATCAAGGAGGTCAAGAAAAACTAGGTCTACAAGTTCCTAACCTCCTAGAACTCGAGTTATGATTTTTCAAAAACTTTAAAAAATCATAACTTTCATTCAAGAAGCCTCAGAACTTTTTGACTTGGATTTTCGTACTTCTGACGTCATTCCCTATCGATTGATGTAAAAATCCCAAAAGTTTCCATTTTCGGGAAAATCGAAAAAAGTGCAGTCTAACCCCTTGGCTTTTTTTTTGAGCTTCTGAGGTCATGGAAGCCGATCCGGACGAAATCTATATCAATGGATAGATCTCGACGAAAAAATGACCTGAGACCAGGTTTGACCTCCGTAGGTCAACTAGGAACTGAGTTAAAGGCGATCAAACTGAGAGCTCAAAAATTGGAAAGTAGGTCAAATTAGGTATCAATCGATAGAGGAGATCAAGAAAGTCAAGAAAAACTAGGTCTCTAAGTTCCTAACCTCCTAGAAATCGAGTTATGATTTTTTTAAAAACTTCAAAAAAATCATAACGTTGTTCCTAGGCGCCTAGGAACTTTTTTTGACTTGGATTTTTCGTACTTCTGACGTCATTCCCTATCGATTGATGTAAAAAAATCTCGGAAACTTTGGTTTTCGGGAAAATCGAAAAAAGTGCAGTCTAACCCCTTGGCTTTTTTTTTGAGCTTCTGAGGTCATGGAAGCCGATCCGGACGAAATCTATATCAATGGATAGATCTCGACGAAAAAATGACCTGAGACCAGGTTTGACCTCCGTAGGTCAACTAGGAACTGAGTTAAAGGCGATCAAACTGAGAGCTCAAAAATTGGAAAGTAGGTCAAATTAGGTATCAATCGATAGAGGAGATCAAGGAGGTCAAGAAAAAAACTAGGTCTACAAGTTCCTAACCTCCTAGAACTCGAGTTATGATTTTTTTCAAAAAAACTT